TGTAGAGATAGTACAACAAAAATGAAAACATTGAAGTACACAGTTAAGTTGACTGTCCAACATTTACTTGACGATTGCCTTTTGGGTGCCCTTTCATTGGTTGCCCGTGTGTCTTGCAGCAAGGTATTCTATGTGGTTGATCGAATTTTTTAGCAATGCTAGCATTTTCATGTTCTATCAGATGATCTTGAACTTTATCTAAGCAAGCATGTTTATGATAAAGTAATTATAGTTATGAAACAATAATTTAGCTTTATCTTAAGAAGTTACCTGGAAAATAATTGGGTTATCTTCTCCTTTCTCAGCATCTGATTTCTAACAGCCTCCTCTTTCACTCTGCGTAGAACAATGAAAACAGTGAAACCAACATATTGTAGAACACTATAAACATTTCTTCTTCTGCAGGCACTCGGAAAAAAAATAAAGAAAGACGCATTTAGTATACTTTTTCAGAAGTTGGTTCTGGCGTGTGTCCGCAGCGAACCTACCTAGCGTCTTGTGATTTGTTCTCTTGTTCTTTCTCATAATCGAGTTCGTCATCGTCTGACGAGTCTGTTTCTACATCCTCCATGTAGGCATTCCAGTCGGGATCTTTCATTTTAGCAACGACATCGTTGTCTAAAGTATTTCTCAGCAATCCCTCTTCATCATGCAAAGCCTCCTCTAAGATACCTGTATCTTCACATGTTTCGTTTTCCTCTTCGCTTCTGCTTTCTTCTTCTGATGAATCAGGTTACTGCTCTTGTTGTAGGGAATCAATTTTCTGGAAAAGGAAAAAACAAGATAAAGTTGGCTGTGTTGTGGTAATTTGAAATTTACCTTAAGACAGAAAATACGTCTGTTAATATAAGACCTATGTTTGCAATAAGTATAGCCATTTTGATGACAAGTCATAAAACTATTAGGCAATAGCCACCTTCTTCAGGCTTATATTCTGCTTTTTCAATCCCATTATCTTGCTATTCCTATGTAAAAGACGCTGCTTTTGCTGCCATTGAATCTTTTGTAGACATTGAATTCTTTTCTGTTTTGCGAGACATTCAGCACAAGATAATGATGCACGTGAGGTGAAGCTCTCATTAAAACTTGGTGAATCTTCGCATTCTGACGATTTTAGAGGCATAGATTCATTTAAATCTTCGACGCCCAAGTCAGGCAATTCTTCAGAAATGTCAATTTCCTGTTTGAAGCTAGTTGATGCTTCCGACAACTAGTCACGTATAATCTGCGCATAAGAAATAATATTGTTTCAACAAGTGTGATAAATCACTAAATCACAAAATTCAAATACTAAGAAAAACAAATACGAAACTATTGGTATTGTTTTGTGAATAAAATTTCAAGTTAGATAACGATGCACTTACCCTTCTTTAAGTGCGTGTCGTACTTGGCATTTCCTCAAGGACAATTGTCTCCTTAGTGGGAACAGACCCCGGTATTAAATACCTTGCCCTTGCTTTTAGCTCATCTGGCACGCCAAGGTGATAACTTGTTGCGAAGCACGACTTTTCAAAATGTGCCTAGCATATAACAGGCGTACTGCTGGGAGAAAAATTAGGTTGATGTATTTTCACAAATTTTACCTATATTCTTCGTTGATATTCGTTCTCTGGAAACTTGTGCATTGAGATCCCTTCAACTTCATATGCATTCGTGTAACTGTGCAAGCCAGGGCCTCCTTAAACACAATATTTTCCTTCTTTTGCTCTCTTCGTTTTAGAAACCAAGCTTGATTCTCAACGTTAATTTTATGTGTATCAAAACCAACTTTACTGCTACTATCTTGTATTTTTAGTATTTATATGCTATGAAAAACGGCACTTAATACGTCGGGGAAGGGCGTTGTGGAAAGGAGTTATCATCTCACTTCAAATTTTTTATGGAAAACTCCTATAGTCTTAGTCATTTTCCCGGCTATTTCCTTAAAGATACATAAATTGGCTACACCATTAACAAGACATAACATATTCGCTTACAACACAAGAAACCCCAAACAAATGTTCAGAACATTTCGTATTTGAAAGGCTGTCATATGCGCATATATCAATCACAAAATCAAAAGCGCTGCTAAATTTAGATGCAGCAGTTTATATCAATGTTATGAATTTTCACTTGAAGGCTTTTAGAATTTAGATAAAGTATTATGTTCATGTATTACGCGGGCAGCGACCACAATCAATTGATAAACAAATTTGAAAGAGTTTTAGATTGTAGTCTTTAATGTAGTAATACCGAAACCTACACTTCTATATTTAGTGTTTACTAATTCACTGGCTTGTATTTGAAGAATCGTCGTTTACAATTATTATTACGTTAATTTAGACAATTTGACGTATATTTTCTTGTATTTTCTTCTAATAACTCGAAAATCCAAAAATAAGCCATTTGTAGTCACAATAATAATAGTATTTACAAATTGAAAGAATAGCTGTGTCACACTGCATACGTCATCACAACCTCTTGAACCAGCGCGGTTTTTTAACAGAAAATTTGCTTATAACCTCACTTTAAACTCAAAATTTACTAACTTTTCCTTGAAGTTTCTCAATAAAGTTGGTGTCAAAATGATCAGGAAAGATGGTATTTGCACAACATAGGCACTTTAATAACTATCACTTATTATATTACTTTTACCATTCACGATATTCACGGTATTAGCGATATTCAGATTTGTTACCACGACAAAGTCTCTATTTTAATGTTGTTTACGTTAAATGACATAAAGTTTAATCAATTTATGCTTTGTAATGGCGGACAAGTGAACTATAAAATGACTTTAAAATCAATAAAAATCTCTTGGCTTTTGTAAAAATCTTAAAATATGGCAAACTATTGTTGTTTTTACGGATGTTGATGATGCGAAAGAAAATTCAGAAGAGATTCACGGTGACATGGTAACCGGATTAAATTGTAGCATATACTTTGACTTTTCTCATGAAAATCGACCCTTATCTCCTGTGTAGTACAGCACGATGTTGATGAATGATATGCGTCTCGGCAAGGACTGCTTTATTTCATGTACCAATTATATATAATAAACTTTGGCAAACGAAAAAATGAACTCTTCTCGGATTGATTCATATTATGTTCTATGTGCAAGGATTTAAATATTTGAATGGCCTTGCTTTTACAGAATTTAAACTGAGAGATTGAGGGCAACAAAGGAAAAGGTCGTTTCGTTTCTTTTCATACAGACATAAGTCACACATATTTGTAAAAGATGACAGTGATGGACTTTTTTATTATTAGAAAACATTTCTTTGAGTCATCATAGTTAGTAGCCATGTAATCCAGGAACTTTATCCTGTAAACAGTCTTTTCTCTGCTTGTGACATGTTATATTCACAGCTATACACAAAATACGTATTTGTTCTTAATTCTGTTTTGCAAAAAACTGAGTTATAAGAACTATTGGGTATATTTGTTAATGAATCTTAGCTATGAAACTTTTATTTATGCCTTTGTGATTTATTAGCCTATTTTTTCTAAAGCTTGGGAATTTTATTCATTTTATTTTTCTACTTTCTAAATCATCAAACAGTAGCTAGAGCTTTCTGCTTCTTAGAAAAATATTGGCAGGCAAGATTGTATGTACATTAAAAATAAACATTTTTGCATAAAAAATACTCGATGAAATATCAATAAAACCCACTAGTTGACTGTCATATATATTTTCTGCTTGTATTATAAACCATGTGCAATGGATAATGTATATATATCAAGCAACATGGACTTTGCATGCACCATGCATGATCAGCATGCATGCTAATGAAATCTTTTATATATTTAAAGAACTGACATCATTGTATCTCATGCAGCTGATACACAAAAGAGTAGTCATGAACAAAAAATTTAAATATTTGATACATCCAAGGCTAATAGGATTCATTGCTCGATTAACATTATTTCTATTTTTGTAATTAAACGAATTTTACATGTTTTAAAGACAATTTCAGCAAGTTATGTGCACCAATCTTAAAGAAGTGGCTCTATTTCAACTTGGAGTCTCGCTTATGAGTTGCAACGAGCTACCGGAAGCAAAAAAGACAATGCAAAATGCAATTGCTCTTGTGTAAAAAGGGATTTGTTACGCGAATAAGTAGTTGGCTGTTTTTCATCGGCAAAACTTGGGATGTTTACAGCACTGACGAATCTAGTACACCGTCCATAAAGCTCTTACTGTAAAAACCTTTGCCATGAAAGATACATATGTGATTAAAAACTCGAAGTAAACCCTTGTTAATCAACAAAATCTCGCCAATAATTGTCTTTGAGAAACTAAGCCCCCATATTTAACTGTATTTTGAAAAGTTAACTATGCTCTATAGGATAGTTAACATTAACTACCTTTTAACTGCAGTTAGCGCTAACTACTTTTTTATACAACCGACTTATGCGTGATTAAACTTAACTACTTTCTAACTGCAAAAAGCGTAGTTAAAAGTAGTTAAGAGCTTTATACAACCGGCCCCTGTTGTTTACAGCTAAAACTAAATTACACCGTACCATTCCCTTACACCGTCAAACTTCGTTCTCGTTTTCGTAGTCGTACTCTTGCTAAAGCTCTCTATTAGCCTAAGCAAACCAATCTGAACTCAACAAATCAAACCTGTCAATCAATCAATGAGTATTTACAAATCATTCGTAAAGATAATTTAAAAAATTAATAGCTATGTTTGTTTTAAATTTGTCTTGTGAGAACTCCCGAGCAGGTGCAACCCTCCACCTTCAGTCTAGAGCTTTCACTGATCTACTCTCGAGTTCTCTTTGGTTCGGTTTGTATAAGCCTGTGGAAACACATTAAGCATCTTCTATTTTTTAGAAAAATATTATAGATTTTGACAACTTTTCAATAAAATCAACGTTAATCGGAGGGGATTCGTCCGGCAAACTTTCGTTGCAAAATGCTGTATTAGGGTGACAACAGCATGTTTAGGAACCAGTGAAATTTAACATGGACAACTCCTATAGCAAATATGTTTATTTTACAGAATACTTACTACAACATGCTTTCCAGTCCCTTGGATTTATTATCAAATCGCATTCGCCTGAAAGAAATTGCAAAACCATGAGCTATTAATCAAGCAGTCTTTTTGTAATATTTGTAATGTAATTGCCTAATGGTCATTTTTTAAGATATGACCATTGTCATAAAAAAATTGGATGTAAATCTAGGCAGTTTAGCAACAGTATAATTTGAAAAACAAAGCAACATTGTACGGATGAAAAGTCCGAAATAATTTAACACAATTAATTAATTAGTATATATGAACAAAATTTTGAATTGGATTACAGCATATTGTCTTTTTCAGAGTGTTTGCATATTTTTCATGCTACTATTAAATAAATAACTCTGTAAAACGGAACTTTTTTGTTAAAATTATTTAATAAATTGTCCATTATGTGGTATTATGAAATTTTAAACTTGGCTAATGCATTCTTTTCGTAATAGCAATAAAAATATCTTTTTTTGGTTAGTTTCAGGTTGATGTTATTTGTGGGCTAAGAGTACATTAATTAAGTTCTTTGTTTATTTGTTTAATTCTCGTTTTTCTTCTAACGGGTAATAACATGAAACGCGATAAAAGTGCTAATACTGACATAAAAGGAAAGATTCACTTGTGCATGTTTTCAAATAAGAATATTATCGTATCTTAGCAAATAAATAACACATAGAAATACCACAGAGACGTATTGCATATTGTTGGTTTTATAAGTTAAATAAAAGTTAAAACAAAGAGCATTGGAGGATTGTGAATCAGCAGAGGAGAAGATTTCTCGAGATGCATTGAATTTTCAGGAATTGCATGTTTCATCATCGCCTTCAAAAATATTTTACTAGTTCACTGTTGCATATGTGTTTTACTGAAAAGTTTTCTTCAGCGAAATTCAAATAACATGAACTTTTTTCTGATTCTTCCATGTTGTATTTATATATTCTCTCGTGCAGAAAACTCACTTGGTGATTTAACTTCTGTCTTGACAACATTTTCATTTTTAAAATACGGAACAGATTTTACTTCTATACTGTATGTGGTAGATGTGTATGGAACAGGGACGTGATACACCTTCGTCATATCCTAAAAATAAGAAGTAAACAAATAGTCCGCTTGCAACTGTGGCTTATGAATAATTGACCCAGAATAGCCATTCAATTCTATATAAAACTATATAAAAAGAATTTAGAAACAATATAGTTAGACGTATGGAACTCAATTTTTTGAATAGAATGTTCTTGCAAACAGGTTCAAACCAGCTATGTGCCATTGTACCATTATACATAGACTCATGTATGCAGGAAATCAAAATGAGACCCTTATTACACATTTTGTAATGTCAATAGTGAGACTAAAATTGAAGAATTTATCAAATTTTCTTACTTGCGAAATGAGTAATAAAGAAAACAGTCATAAGCGTTTTAAATCAAAAAGTTAAAATAAGTAAAAGAAGTAGGAATGTGAAAATAATGACTTTTAACCTGCGTCCAAGTCTTCAGAAAAGAAATAACTTCTCGTTTTTATAACCCTAAACTATTTTAGTAAAGTCAAGGCTCTGAAATCTGAATTTGTTCTGAAAGGTATAATCAGCTGTTTATTAGTATATAAAATTCTTCATGTTTCAATCTTTTATTGCTAGTACATTAAAATACAAAAAATCTTCATCTAAAATGCGAGAAACGCAATGAATTTCAAAATTTTGGCTGGAATAATTTTTATGGAGTCCCCAAAATTTAATGCTTATTTCTAAGCCACTAAATTAGAGCCAGTTCGAGCCTGTTTGCGAGTAAGCACAAAGAGACGTAAGGTCTATATTCTTATCACTCAGTTTGGGTTTTGGGTCTCCGACACGCTAGCACTTTGTCTGATATTGATAATGAATGCGTGCTGCAGCATTTTCTCTACCACACACCTGGACGTTTATTAGTGTTTAGAAAATATGCTAATATTTGTATTAAAGGATATGTGTGAAAGACGTATAGGCGCCTAATTTTTAATATGTAGAGATCGAGTACATAAGAAAATGTTAAAAGAAAACTGCTCGAATTTGACTTCATATTAATTCGAACAAGAGTGATGCCATCTGAAAGACAACATATTTTAATTTATCAGTTAATCAGGAATATTAGTAGCTCGTGCATTTATTGGCTTTTTTTCAATTTTTCGTATAAAACTGTTACAAAAAATATTAATATATTTTCATTTCTATACATTAGATAAATTACGGTAATTCCAATTTGTAAATATGCTTCTGGTGAATAGGTAGACCAACTATGAAATGAGCCAATTTACATAAGAGCTTCATTAGTTATGAATCTGGTGAAAAAGTTTTAATCACCTGTTTTGAGTAAATGTTCCTTGGTCTCACATTGAGTTGATAGCATTCGAAATATTTATTAGGAGGTAAGCTGAGTACACTAACTTGCCAACCCCATAGGCTCGCTCGACCTTGAAAAGAAGATTGCGTAAGCCATGGTATAGAATATGTAGGCAGATGTTAAGTATTCTCTGATATTACTATGGAAAAAATTGTTTGCATTTTATAATGGTAAATTCAAACAACATTTTTACCTACTCTAGGAATATCCCATATAACAGCAAACCATATTTTAGGTACATCTCCCGCTGAAACGTTGTAGTCAGCTTGAATTTCCACTCTTACGTTCTCAACTTTCGGAGGAAAGCTTCTCACATTTTCACATAATATTTCGTCAAAATAAACGCACTCAGAAAAAATGTCTTGAAACAAAAAGGCAAAAATAATTACGATGAAATAGATTTTACCTCGTATTTTACGCTATTTTGCACAATTTGTTAATGCTTGTTGTGGATATTTGTTCTGCATGGTTAAAATCATGTAATGTGACAGCAAAATTTATTGCAGCAGTAACTGTTTGTAGTAAGCAATACCGACAACCAATGAATTGATGATAGTTTTTCCAACGAAAAGTAATAACAATAGCGGGGTTGTTAGCAATAAAAATTATCAATTTCCTCCACTGATAAGATATATCGAAGCAATGGTAAAAAATATTTGGATCTAATCGTATACGTTTTGCGATATCACGGAGAAAATTTATACAGACATTGCTAATTACAATGGAAGATTAACCTTTATATCAACCTTATTAAGGCATTTGGTATGGAGTGTTTGGCAGCTTTACATACCTGTTTTACGAATGCACCCTGGATCTATTAAAGAGAAGCAAGATTTAAATCCTATGTAGTCTTCTTGTTCGGGGGTGATAGTGGAGTGAAGTAAGGGGGTTGAGTAGGGGGTGAAAGTGTGAACTAAGTCATGTAGAATAAGCACTGTTGCAAAATCAAAGTGAAAGGTACTGACCATGCCTGTGCATGGCGAGATTACTTTGATTCTTTTGTATTTAGCACAAATTCCATTACCCAGGAGCTTTATCCTTGCTGTAGTACGACCAGCATTTCCTTTTTCGTCTGTTCCCACACACTCGTAAACACCACTTGTTTGCTCGCCAATCGATTTTATGACTAGCTCTCTGCTCTTTATACGGAAGGCAGTTTCATTCAGTGAAAGATACTGTCCATCCTTTAGCCAGCGGTAGGATGTTGCATTTTGTATTTTGCATGACATCTTTACAAATGTTCCATTTTCGTACGTTCCATTTTGTAAACTTTGTAAGACTTTCAACGTTCTTCGCGTTTGTGTCGCGAAAAATTCCTGAAGATGCAAAGTAGATTGTAAAAATTTTTAATATTTGCCAACACATGCAGAAAGAACTCGTGAAATTCAGAGACGTACTTTAATTGGAGAGCAAAAATTCATACATGCATGTCTTAATCCTTGGAAAACAAAAGATTTCAAAGGAACTTAATACGGCAAAGCATGCGCACATTAATACCTGTATTTACCTAAATTTGCGTATTGTCATATCAACAACAACTTACGTAAACGAGCAAAGTTTAAAACATTATCTTGCTACAAGTTTTAGTTCCGTTTCACTATTCTAGGTGCTACTTCATTTTTGAAATTTTTGCGAAACCCTGTCATTTTACTGATTTCTACGATCAGAAAATAAATCTGCCAAAGGCAAACACGTTGGTGATTAAATTAATTTGAAATTGGTAACTCTACTGATTATGGACAAACATTGGTTTTTGTTACAGCAAAAATAGAGAAAGAAAACATCATTATATAATAATATTTTGTGATCAGTATACGTCATTACCAAGCCACATAGCACATAGCCACGTAGCCTTTCAACTGTTTATTGCTCTCTATTGGGTTTTAAACACAAGATCACAGTATCCTTTATAAAGCAACCTTTCATTATTTATAGGAGTTTTAGGTTATGAAGAATAACAGCTCAAACAGCGAGGTACAAACGAATACAATCAGCCACCATAAAAATATGGTGGAATCGTCTTCCATCACCGAAACGCCTGCGAATATCGAGACAAGTCAGGCAACTCTAGAAACGTTAAACAAGAAAATGTCCAAGATGGCATCTGTTTTGCAATCCATGTGTGAACAACAGTGCTCACGAGCGAGCCCAACGGGCAGAAAGCGAGAACGCTCCTTTTCGCCACCGGCAAAAACTGCTTAACTCAAAATGGCACGTCCACAATGTGAAGTAACCGCGAGCATCAGCGACTCTCTCGTCAAAAAAGCTGCGATAGTGAGACAGCAGCGACAAGGATTCCAAAAAGCGCAATATGGATGGAGATGCATCAGCGCCCAACAAGCATCAAACGGTCATTGACCATTCTGACTCAAAAACTCTACAAGATCTAGCAGGTCAATACGACAATGACGATGCCACAATCAAAAAATTCCACAGTCCCTGGCGGATGAGGTAAACACACGCTGGGGTGAGCAAACAAGTTCAGACGAAATCAGATATCTGATTATCAAATATAAACGAGCCGACAAGTGTGAACAGTTTGAGGTTCGATGTAATCCAGAGATTTGGATAACTATCTTCCCAGCGGCGTAAAGTAGACATACAACTAAGCAATCTTTAACAGATTTTGAGGAAACTCCTCTTTGCCAATCTACAGATGAAAAATTTTTTCATGAAGTCAGCTGCTCGCCTAGACCCTACAGCAGTTCTTACACAATCTGTTGATTCAATTTCTCTAATGGCCATATGATTCATAATCGTGATCAGATTAGACCAGCCCTTAAACTTGAATATGTGTCTATTTGCTCAAGCACATCTAACATCAACAACACACAACTATTATTTGCGGGTGATCCTGCTAAACGAATGAGGGATACCAACGGATCATGCAAGATTGGCAATGCCTTGTCCAAAAAGGAAAATCGGAAGACAGGTCGCCGCCAAGAGCAAAGAAATAATCTACAACAAACATATAGATCCACCTATTACCAAAGTCGTAGGCAAGGAAAAACTTTTCCTGGAGATGTTATACACAATCCATCATTTTAAGATGGATTCTTTAAATCACATTACAAAAAGGTTATCGCAAAAGGTTTCTACATGGCGTCTATCGATTTAAAAGACGCATATTATTCAATAGCTATACATCACGAGCATTGAAGATTCCTTCGTTTTGCTTGGGATGGCAACATATACGAATTTACTTGTTTACCTAACGGTCTCTCAAGATGCCCACGAAAGCATGCGAAAATCTTTTAAACTGACTTTTGCACGATTGCGCGAACTGGGCCATATTTCCTTGGGGCATATTGATAATATATATCTGCAAGGGTATCTTACCCAAAATGTGTGACCAATGTTCTTGATTACATAAGTTTGTTGGATAAAATTCGGTTTATTCTCCTCCTTGAAAAATCTGGCTTTGACCCTAGCCATTTGAATTTCTTGTTTGTTTGCATAAGATTGGCTTAAGATAAAGTGCGGTCAATACAGCTCGTTCAGCTTTATCTTCAGTAGTTAGTCTAGAGATTGGGCAATCATGTGATGATCACCCACTGGTTTTTTGTGCGATGAAAGAAGTATTTGAATTACGGCTCACATTATTAAAGTACACACAAATAGGGGATGTAAACATTGTTTTGGAATATCTCAAAAATTTGGGTTAACCAGAAGTGCTGACATTGAAACAGTTAACATTAAAGACAGGAATGCTTCTCTGTCTCGTAACAGCACAAAGATTGCAAGCGTTAAACGTCATGGGTATTGATTATTTTCAGAAGCTGGAATCTTGTTATCGTATAACGATCCAATGTAAATTGAAGGAAACAAATGTTGACAGACATTTTTAACCAATTGAAGTACAGGTGTTTTCACAAGATTCAAGGCTTTGTGCTGATAGACACATTGATAAATATGTAAGTCGAACTCTATTATATGGTAATTGAAATACTCAATTTTTCATAAGTTGTAGGAAATTTTTTAGCCCTGTGTCAAAAGACACTGTGTCTAGATGGGTGAAATCTGTTTTGAATTCAGTGGGTGTTGATATTAGTGTATAAGGAGCACAGAGTACATGAAAAACATCGACTACAGTCGGTAAAATTAAAGGATTAGTCATTTGGAAAATAATGAAGACAGCAGGATGATCCAAATTCTCTCGTTTTTGGCGTTTTTATAACAAACCAATTGAACAAGCACATTTTTGGCAAAACTGTGTTACATTAATTATCATGATGATGTTGAATGTTTTACGCAGTGCGGTGTTTGAAATTAAATGAAGATATGATCTTCGCACTTTGCTGGACAATTTAAGCAATCGTCTCAGGAACCTGAAAAAATCAGGTGACTCAACTTCGATTCCCGTTGAGTTACCTGATTTTTTCAGGTTCCTTATCATATTGCTAGGATAAGGCATGTGTGCTGTTGTCCAAACGCCGGTTATTAGTTTAAGCATTTTCTGCTCACTGATATTTTTATTTTTTAATACTTCTTAGACAAATGTCGTGCAATTGCATTATTTCATTGGGTTTGGCAACGTATCAGATTTAAGTTTGTTTCAAAGATGTGGCAATTGTTTCACTAAATGTATGATATGAATAATGCAAAAATATGCGGATAATTTTCATATATGTGACTGAACGCAGAATTAGTGATTCGTGTAAAGCAAACGTATTTTGTATAGCGACTTTATCCTATGGCTAAAGTCAATCAGATCAGAAAAAACTTCTCTTAATGTAGATACAGCCAACACGTTAAGTGTAAATTTGGTGTCTCTCCGTCTCGACTACGCACAAAAGTTAAGTAGATTTGGTTGCTATAGACGAGTCACGTTCTATTTGTCATTCGTTACAAGGTTACAAAGCATTTGCTATAAATACAAGAATGAGATGATTATGAGAAGAGGTGCCATACTATATATAATAAAACCATCAATTGTCACTGTGACATGTCATTAGACTTATGAGACTGGTTTAAGACTAACGAAAGTAAGAAAACCCAAATTGATAGGTCTATACTGATTTAAAACATGTGTATAGTTTATCGACAGCTGACACAGCTGTGATGATCTTCCTCGAGTTGTCTATTTGATAACTGATGGAAGTTCGGCATTTGTAACGTCATAGAGATATACAAAATCCCGATAGCCAAGCTCACTTCCCCATTCTCATACCTTCATATTTCTACTATATATGTTCATGCTCATAAATAGTATATAAATATGACAATATCATGATGGCTTATAAAAGCTTCTTACCAAAGGCAGTAGAAAAGCAATCAAAAATAGTGCACCTTCCATCACAAACTACTTCTTTGTTCAAAAAGTTTTTATTGAGATCACTTCAACACATTGTCGACTTCCTTAGTTTGTAGTTTGGCTATTACCATGCCAAAAGCCTTCCAGGAAAAAGTTATCAGAATTGTCTGTACCAAGAAATCGGTATCGTTGGCCCAAGCAACTAAAACTGTAATTTACCGACAGCTTGCTTAAAAAAATACGGTATTTTCAATTTGTATTGTAAAGTTGTTCTCTTGGTGCTGGTGTAAGTTAGGGCCGACCCACGCAATTTTTTTTAATTTATGAGGTTTTGCTGACGAAATAGATCAAGTGATCAACAAAGCCTTCTTTCAGGTATTCATATGTCTTATTTCTTATGTAAATGAGCCTAGCAGAATCGTATTCATGTTTACATTTTGTGGTAAGATAAAGTACTCGTCACTGTTGTTGATGATGTTGTTGCGATAATTAAAGATGTGTTTTATACTTTGAACAACCAATAGGCCATTTTAATAACTATAACTAACAATATCTCGTTCAAAACAAGACTTTTGACAATTATGACACGCTTCAAGACTTAACACATTCCATTTCCAGCTGGAAGGTAAGGTAGGGTTGAATATGTCTTTGACATGCTGAGTGTCATTTGTTAAACTTTAGGGCATAGAAAACTGAAACATGTATAGTAAAACGCGTACAACTGCGCAATGTGACATATCACGATATTTCATGAATGATTATGGATAGATTAAGTATAGAACAAATTGCCATTCTTGTACAATGCCGTAGCTTTGAGTAAATTGTCTGAAAAATCAAACAAATCGGGTAAACATTTGTAAAAAATGTCAAAACTGAGGCAAAAATTTTGTAGAGCTCCGTCACTTTGCCTAGCTTTTTGTAGTTCCTGGCAATGAAAAAATGCAATAGAGCATTTTTAATTGTGCTAAAATTAAACCGTATTTCATCTAAAGCACAAAAGATTCAGTGCTCTATTCATATTTTATAAAGGGCAAATAACAGCACGGCACCCACTAACTTGACGTTCAAAGGAAACAAAACAATCAATCGAAACTGCAAAAAAAAACAAATTAATGTCATTTCCATTTCTACAGATGTTCTAAAATGAACGCATTCTTAAGTGAAACGATTAAACTGATTAGAATGATTCATAACTAAAGTCACTCAGTCTTTGTAGCCTTTTCATTATTGCCAACTCCTCTATGCACTCTGTAACTGACGAAAAAAATTTTGGTCTGATCGTTAAAACATGAAGTACAAATTGGATGGACCTAGTAACGCACCTATAAATAGCAAGTGGCACGTATAATCATACTGCTGGCCGATACCGTTTTGAGAAATTTTCGGTCTTAATTTTGACTGCAAAAAGAATGATAAAATTATTTACATAGCTGGCACGGGAGGAGCCAGTACGAACTTTTCACTCCTATAATGCAATTTTTACCATGATTTTTTACTAATTTTTTTAAAATTTAAGTTTTACGATGGCCCGTAAGGGACATCAGCAAACATAATATGTGGTGGCAAACATTTAAATCGTGGAAGCAAACATTTAAATCGTGGAAACAAACTTTTAAATCGTGGAAGCAAACATTTAAATCGTGGATGCAAACTTTTAAATTGTGGAAGCAAACATTTAAATCGTGGATGCAAACTTTTAAATGTGGAAGCAAACATTTAAATCGTGGAAGCAAACTTTTAAATCGTGGAAGCAAACTTTTAATATAAATCGTGGCTGCAAAATTTAAGCAGCTTGTACCAAAATCGAGCGTATCTTTTTAACGTAAGTTAATAGCGTTGATACTAAAGCGATATCTTGCGAAATGCTCGTTCAACATTCCCATTATGTATTGTATCTTTTGCGGACTCGTTAGTGGAGTTGATGAGATTTGCGACGACTGTTCAGCGCAACCTAACCACGAACAGCTGATAACGCAACTACTTTCATCGTGGTTATCCCTATGAAGCGATTGTGGGACTTTTAGAAAAGAAAGGAATTGATATGTGTTTAAAAACTCTAAAGAGGGATTTAAACGCTCTTGGTTTGAGAAGGCGAGGTAATCCCATGCCGATTGAAAGAAATCGCATACGTGCTGCAGTTCTTGAAGAAATGCATGGACCTGGCAGACTCTCTGGTTATAGAAGCATTTGGCATGCATTACGTTTAAGGCATCGAATTCATGTTCCTCGCAAGTTGGTGGCGGATTTAATGAAAGAAATTGATCCTGTTGGCGTCGAAGAACGTAGAGCCCGAAGATTGAGAAGACGAACTTTCAACTCAGCTGGAGCAAATGCAACTTGGCACGTGGATGGTAGGTACCAATGGATTGACTCACTACAAATATGAGCAAATTGCTTTTAATTAACTAACATGTTTTCTTTCAAAAATGATCAACGCAACAATAATAAACATTAAATCACATCCGAATTTTTCTGAATTTTTTCAGCAGGCAAATATGTTGTTTGTGTAGGATACGATAAGCTAAAGCCTTATGGTTTTCCTATTCATGGTGCTGTCGATGGATTCAGTCGACGAATTTTATGGCTGGAGGTGTCTCGTTCCAACAACGATCCAAAAATTATAGCAATGTTTTATCTTAATCACGTTAAAGAGGTGCATGGTTGTCCAACCCAACTTGTTACGGATTGTGGGACAGAAAATGGAATCGCAGCGACAATACAATGTTTCTTCCGCTCAAATCATGAGGATGAATTGGCAGGCTTAAGATCACACAAATATAGTTCATCTCCGTCCAACCAGCGAATAGAAGCATGGTGGGCTTTCTTCAGAAAGGACAGATCAAACTGGTGGATTAATTTATTTAAAGACATGATTGACTATGGAATACTTGATATGGGAAATGTATTCAATGTTGAGTGTTTGTGGTTCTGCTTCTCAAAAGTTCTTCAGAACGATCTTGATAGGGTAAGAGAACAATGGAATTCTCATCACATTACAAAGAGTCAACATAGTAATGTTAATGGAATTCCAGATATTATGTACTTTCTGCCCGAATATCATGGGCGCCAGGATTGTTTAATGGAAGTCTCGCAAGCTCAAATTGATGAAATGGAAATACATTGTCAAATGGAAGAACTAGAAGAAAACATTTTTCACCAATATTTCATTTACGTAATGGAAACAGAAGGTTTGTCGTATCCAAATAATGAACGAGATGGTTTAGAGTTATACCGAAGATTGACATTATTACAAGAAAATTAAACGTAATCAAGAAAAACATTAAAAATTAGTATTAAAAGCTACATTTTCGATTAAGATTGACTTTGAACATAACTATCATGATAGTATTGATGATTTCGTAATAAATAACGTTTTAACACACAACTAGCAAGGTCCTTTTGAAACAAAACTCCCAACTATTTTACAAACAACTTAGTAAGATTGCTTTGATAATAATCAAAGGGAAACAAAAAATATTCAACAACTAGCCTGCTCAAACTTATACAATGGTGAAATGCCACGCATCTTTGTTTGAAAGCAATTCACTGAACTCTTCAGATAGCTCACTGTATGATTGATATGTTGAAGGGATCTCAAGTAGGGGCCCACAAGTGTGAACAACTGGTCTACGAGCTGTGCCGTCCAGAACAGTAAACGAAACCTGTATTCCTTGAGAACCTATAACGTCGCTACCCGTGACAAACTGCAAAAACAGAGACAACATGTTTCCTTGCAAGGACCTGATGTATTTCTTTAAATAGTCTATACATTGTCTTTCTTGGTCCGTTGCAGGTGAGGATTCAATCAATTTTATCACTTTTCTCGTTGTTGGTTTTTTAGTATCATACATCTTGTTTAAAGTGTCAATGGATTGGAAATCTGGAAAAATCTTCAGGCATTGAAGAATAGAAGACCAGCAATTCAAAATGTATCGCGGTTTTTGGATAATCTCCTGATGCGCAATTTCCGACATAATTTGCTTTATATTTGTTTTCGATGGGTTACGAAAGCACTTATAATTGCTCAAGAATTCCAATACGTCTTCTTCACCTGGAGCGTTGTCTTCACTGAAACACCGGTCAAAAATCTCTTTTTCGTCCTCTGCGAGACACTGGCAGAAAGATGACAATAGAAATTCGTTTGAAATGCCATCATCACCAAACATACAGAATGACATAAAGCCAACTGACAAGGACAATGGATAATACCCATCTCTGACGTAACCATAAACCAGAATACGTGCAATTGCTTCCCACTCACTTTTCTGGTAGTCGTGTCTTATTGTCGGGATCTTTTCCTGAGCTCCAACAGCCAATGAGGTGAAAAAATGATTCCAAAAAGAGCTAAGGGCATCACGAAAGACACCATCGCCTTATCCTTCTTCCTCCCTGCCATTGTAGCCAATAAGAGTAATGCTGAGATTACTATTCAAGATCACTTTTTCTTTAAATGTTAGGATCATATCGTCTCTAAGAAGAGATCTTCTCCATACAACTGGGTGAACAGGGCCCTCTTTTATATTGCGTGCCCAATCCTCTACCATAAATAGACTGCCGTGGAAAAGAGTATCTATGAAAAAATAGCAAAACCAAAATTTGTAAAGAATATGAAACCATCATAAAGACTAATATGCATAAGTCGTATATCATCGTAATTGTCATATTTATGTGACATATATGGAATTATGGTGACATTTCTTTTGCTCTGATTGGCCATTGACAATTACGACAACATAAAAACTAACTTTCACCTCACAAACATACCACAAACATTTTCCATTTCTGTTGAAATTAACGTCAAGCTTTCATTTTCATTCTCTTCCAACAAAGTACTACCTGTATGTGAATGCAATTAATCTATGAATTTCTGACAATGTAGCACAGGAAGTGATTTATTAAACAAGTGTAATTTAAAAAGTGCAGAAAGTACTAAACTTCAATGGGCTACGTGAATCTTTTATGAATGAAAAATCTCGGCAAACTGGCAAAATATGCTAAGCAAACGAGCAACCCAGTAATCAGCATTACCATTTGACCTTTGCTGCATATGCTGTGTTAGTTTTGAGAAAAAAGAAATAAAAAAAATGGTTTGAGATTGTTTCACAACACAAAAAACAGGTTTTACCAGCAATAATTAATTTCTAGAGCCCTGAGCATCCTTGCTGCATTGCTCGGTTTGTAATTATTTTGAACAACAGATCCATGCACAAAACTGTAATAAATATGTAATAACATACTTTCAGGCATTTCAATGACTTCACTTGAATTATATGAATATTCAACTTCATTGATCATGTTTGACTCTTCGATTAAATCACCAATGTTTGACTCTCCACTTTTTTTGCTCTTTTGAGTAGTGGTGCACATACTTGACTCCAAACTAACTTCTTCCTCTGCAATATTGCTGAAGACTGATTCCCTTGATTCCACACAAGACATGATTGTGTTTGACTCTTCAGGGATACTACTTAAACCTGACTGTGCACTTAAGTTGCTGATATTTGCCTCTTGAGTAATACCATGAGCACTCGACACTTCAACTATAGTTTCCAAATTGTTGGCATTCTGCAAGCTCAAATCATCATCACGAATTTTTGTCAAGCACTGTGCAAAAGAAAAAAACATTATCTTACAGCAAAAAATTTATTTATGGCTGTATAACACGTAATGATGATAACATTTGAGGGCAAACACACATACTGCTGGAAGTTTGGGAGCAAACACATTTTGGGTTAACCATACCAAAATTAGCAGTACATGATAATCATAAAAAATTGAGACAGACTACCAAATAATGCCAATGAGGCTGTAGTTTGGTTTAATTTTCTATCTCCTAAAGTGCAAAAGGCATACTCTTCGTTAGGGTGAAAACCTTCACATAATTACAATAATTTGATGGTGAATTATTACCTCATCAACAATATTAAGATCAGAGTCACTATTGACTTCACTGCAATAAGATGGCTTGCACAAAAATTTTAAGTATTCATCAGTTCTACACACGTGAAAAGTAAGGCGGGAATACTGTTTTCCAATTTCTTTTTTGTATCTTTCCAAGGTAAACGGTTCACTACTTCCAGGCAAGTTGCTGACTCTGGTACGATCTGGATATAAAAGAGTAAATCCAAAAGGTTCACCAGATACTTCACTGTTAAATTTCACAATTTTCTCAGAGGCTTTCTCGAGTAATTCTTTTGCGCCAATCGTTGGGGCAACAATCAAAGGTAACGTACTTCCTCGAACAAATTTTAGATCGTCTTCACGAAATCTTCTCAATCCAACATTGATATTCACTTCGCTGGGTGTTCTATCTTTTGTCTCATTATGTTTTGCTCTTTTAGCTTTGGGACGAAATCTTGAGCTTCTTTCTTGCTCCTTTCGTTTCCTGTACTCTTTGAAAGACACAGGAGTACAAGATTGGCCAACTGTGGTGGTGCTCGCCGTTGATATAGTCAGATTTGAGTCAAACGAATCACAAGCATTAGACGGAACATTTGTACCTTGATTTTTGTTGATATTCTTTATCGGACAAGCTGCTGAGTTACTTATGTCTCCAGACGTAGTATGACCACAGAGGTGGCAAAATTTTGCTTGTAAAAACAACAAACAACCGCACTGACTACAAAACATTATATTCCCTCAAATCTCGACCTTATAATATCATTATAAGGCGATATGGCATGCGCCAATTGAAATAATAAATACAGTGCTTCCACGATTTAAAAGTTTGCTTCCACGATTTAAATGTTTGCTTCCACATTTAAAAGTTTGCATCCACGATTTAAATGTTTGCTTCCACAATTTAAAAGTTTGTTTCCACAATTTAAAAGTTTGCTTCCACGATTTAAATGTTTGCTTCCACATTTAAAAGTTTGCATCCACGATTTAAATGTTTGCTTCCACGATTTTAATGTTTGCCACCACATATTACGTTTGCTGATGTCCCTTACGGGCCATCGTAAAGTTTCATCTATGTTTCAAGAAACACCACATATTTTGCATAGAGTTACAAGTCGGACTTGTCTGAGTCGCCTCGTCATTCTTCTTGACAATAGCCTGTGGCAAAATCCCTTCCATGCACAATTTATAATTGGCAGCATGGCGTGCGAGAAACCGGCGATTATATCATGCTGAAGTTCAGAAGATTGTTAAAAGCAGCAGCGACAACAAGCAGCAGGCCATCCCAGTTCTTATTTTCAAAAATATTAAGCGCTAAGAAAGAACAAAAATCAAACCCCGCTCATTGCCGTTTTTTCTCTCGTTGCAAGAAAGCAAAACGTGAAAAAATGCATTAATATTTTTTCTTCAGTGTTGGCATACATGAGCGTACAACCTCAAAAACTGAGGGGGCTCTTGCAGTGTCTTTATCCTTAAGAGAAGCCCAAAATTATATGCTGACCATCTTTCTTTATTCTCTATGAGTTTATAGACTGAATTTTTATTAATATTTCACAGATACTGGAAGAGTGTCACACACTCTATTGTGCGCCAAGGAGTTTACAGTCGTGTATAATATGTTCCTAAACAATAGGCTTTGCTACTGCTTGTCCACTAAAAACGTTGCAATTTCGAAAAAATTGTCTTTCATTTGTTTGCTTTTGCACTCATATCTACCGTTACATCTTAACATAAAATTTTCATCATTCGATAAATGTTTATACACAGTTCATGTCAATTACATTTTACTTTTCTATGTCGTCATCTGCCTCGAGTTGTTTTGTCTCTAATTAATTTTTGTGGGTAGCCGCTGCACATCACGATTATGTGATCCTAATTATAAATCTTTCTAATCATTTTAGTTAAAAATATGTTAATAGCGAGTGCCATGCTGTTATTTGACCTAAGATATTCATAATATCAATGGATCATATCGAGTAGTTTATATGCTATATATGAAATATATCGTAAAATTTTAGCACTACAATGCTCCTTTTTTTCGAAGTTAGAAATTGTGAAAAAATTTAGGTAAAGTGATGGAAGGCTTGTTATCGTTTTGCCCTCGGTTTTGGTATTGTTTGGGAACGCTTACCCGCGTTGCTTGACAACTTTTGAACTATTTTAGACTGAACTACGCCATTCCATCAGAAGAAAAGAATTCTATTCCATCTTATCAAATGTAACATTCATGAAATGCCTTGATAGGGAGCGTTGTGTAAGTATTTTGTACACGTATACAATTTTTAAACACAGAAGATCATTCAATCTTCTTGGTTTCCTACTGCTACAAAAGAAAGCTCTGAGTCATAATGCGTGTCGCAATTTTCAAATATATTTTACAGACTTTTGAACGACATTTTGTTCGGTAGTTACTCCATATGGCTTGTTCCAAGCATTTCTTTCTTCATCGAGACGGTAGAATCATCAACAACAGTGGAATATTTCATCTTAGCAAAGACTAAATATAGTTGCGTCTTAAGCTTATTAACATAACATAAGTGATATATTAAAGAAGCTTTGTGATACACCGTTGGTGACTAGTAACTTTAATACCTTCGATTTGAAACATATTGTGTGGGCCTTTTAGCTAATACCAAAGGCATAAGAGCAACTCTACCGATCAGTGTAGTCGTGAGCAAGCTGTTAAAAAATTACATTTTTTGTTGTATGAGCCGTCGTTATCGACTTCTTGGGGCAGACGGTCATTATAATTTTTTTCCACGAAGACATTCGGCATATTAAAGTGGAACTATACAAATGAAGGAAGTGGGAAATGTATTGAAGTGATCTCAATCAAAGAATTTCGATCTCACAAACTAGTTCATGATGGAAGTTTTACTAATTTTAATGGCTTTTCTATTGCCTTTGGTAAGTAACCTTAATAAGCCATGCTTTGACATTGCTGTATTTATGCTATTTGTATGCATGAACGTATATGAGTGACTGTGAGGGTATGAGAATGGGGAAGTAAACGAAGAAATCGGGATGTTGTAAATCTATTTGACGCGTTATAGCTTATGGCACAAGATCCGTTTATCGGCGAGATAAATTGTAGAATCGACATATACAAAAATCGTAATGATTTGTTTTTTCACGTTTCATTGCCCTGTCACAAGTTTCTCAAACCGTCGTCTCATAGTCGTATGTCGTAAACACATCGACGATTGATAGTTATATAATCGATACCTTCGCTCTTAAAAGGCCTTTAATGACTCTCAGATGAAACGTGCGACAGGTCTATATAGGAACCAAATTTTATTGCGAAGTCAAGAGACACTTAGCGCTTTGATGATGCTCAATTGAGCAATGTTTTTCATTTTGATCAACCTTAGCTATTTGATAAAAGACGCAGTACAAAATATGATTGTTTGACCCTGATCACCAATTAGAAATCTGTGCTCACATTAAGAAAAATAGAAAGACCGCTCCAATTTGTGATACATCCTAAGGCAAATAATTGCACGATATCAGTCTGAGATGAATAATCACTTTCAGAGAGCGATAAAAATACTTATATATAAATTAATAATTATAACTTGGACTTCGTCAAACATGCACTTTTTTACAGTATATATTTTGCGTAAATTGATCGGCGCCCCGACAATTATAAATTCACTGAAATTATAAGCACCGTTGTATTTCACCGATTTTAAGCTGGGTGTGTTTTTCAAAAGAAGCAGTGACACCTTCTCCCATCTGCTTATTCTTTGCCCCAGCTATAACTCCCGGGTTTTATCATCTTGCTTGACTTCTCCTTTAATCTTTAAACTTGAGAGCCGTAGCTAGGAAATAAGAAGAATATCTGATCTTATGACTTCCTGCAGAAACGCACTATCCAAGATCCTAAGGAGAGTAGTGCTTTATTTATTATAAATTTCACGCCTTTCTTAATGAGCTGAATTTTTGCAAAATGAAATTGATATCTTGCGATCGCTTTCTCAGACTTAGAATTGCGATGATTTCAGCATAACTTTACATACAAGGTACTATAGTTTGAACTTATAGAAGACATTGAGACAAGTCAGTCCAAACAAATGTTTCATAGATATGGGTTTTGAGACGCTTGGAGAATACCTAAAACCTATGGAAACGGCCTTTTCAAAAATATTTGGTAAAATCGCCTGAATGGCCATATTAGTCTAGCTTCAGTTATATTTATGGGAGAGTAAACATTTGAGGCTGTTATCGTCATTAAGCATTGATTTTGAACTAGTTGTTGACATATTCATTCAAAAGTAGCAGCGTATTTTCAAAGTGACACTTGAGAATGCCTTTGTTATAAAATTAATGATTGAGGTACTCATAGTTCGTTTTATTTTGTTTATGATGACAAGAATGCAAAGTTACCGACAAGCCATACTTTATCAGAGAATGTTATATGCAGTGCGGTGTTTGAAATTAAATGTAGATATGATCTTCGCACTTTGCTGGACAATTTAAGCCAGGGGTCTCCAAACTTTACAGCCAGAGGGCCACATGAACTTTCATCCAGCATGTTGAGGGCCGAAGAATATAAAACTTCACTATAAAATTCCACGATATCCTTCAGCTTTTTAAATTTCGCAATGTGCTTGAAACGAAAGTAGGAAGTTGGGACAAAAATTGACGTAAGCCACTCTTGCAAAGTATATTTGGTTTAATAATATTTTTTTCTTAAGTGTCTCTGCGGGCCGGATTGAGAGGCCCAACGGGCCACTTCTGGCCCGCGGGCCTTAGTTTGAAAACCCCTGATTTAAGCAATTGTCTCAAGAACCTGAAAAATTCAGGTGACTCAACTGGATTCGAACCCATGATCTCTGCGATGCCGGTACAGTGCTCTAACCAACTGAGCTATGAAGTCACCACTTTAAAGGTGGTGGTGACCTTCAAAATGAGGTCTCTTTAAGGGAGAGGCTACCTTTAGGGTGACAAGGTTTTCGGGGGGAGGCTAGTTTCAAGGAGAAGTTACTTTCAGGGAGAGGCTACTTTCGAGACTCTACGATATGTTGGCTCAGGCAAAGTATTTTTCCCCTGTTCACCTTTATCTTTTTAATTATTTTCAAGGCTGATTCTTTGGAATACGTCTTTTTGTTTAATGCCAATTTTCAAAACTTTTCACAATTTTCTTTCCTTCAGGAATTTTCAGCGACAAAAACAAGAAGAACTTTAAAAATCATGCAAAGTTTACAAAATGGAACTTACGAGTCAGGAACAACAGTGATGATGAGATGCGAGATTCAAAATGCAACTTCATATCGCTGGCTCAAGGATGGCCAAAATCTTTTCCTTAATGAAGATGATTTTGTACAAAGAAGTAAAGAGCTAGTTATCATCTCGTTGAATGAACAAACAACTGGTGTTTACGAGTGTGTGGGAACAGACGAAAACGGAAATCTTGGTCGTACTGCAGCAAGGATTAAGCTTCCGGGTAAAATAAGATTACTCTTCAATTAAACCTTTTCCTGTACACTGACAATACTTGTCAAGTCTTCCCCTGTATTTCCATGATTATAACTTATATCATTTAAGGATTAAGTCAAAATTGAAATAATTTGAACAAGAATTAATTATGTACATTTGAAATAATTTGTACATATTTACATTGACTTTGTCTTGACTGATTCACTGTATAGACGCCACATAATTTAGCACCCGTCTCTTCCTCCCCCCCCCCTTATGAAAGTAGATAAGTCAGTGAGGTATGAATAGGCATTAAACAGTAAGAAACTTCATGAATTTATGTGCTGTTTCTCTTGAATAGATCCATGGTGCATTCGTCCATACGGTATGTAGTGTCTTGATAAGCTATGCAATGAGTATATCTTTTAAGCTTGTTTTCCATATGTATTTGAAATTGGCAGTCTATTTGTATATACATTCATGATATCACTAAAAATATACTATTTTTTCGATATCATTTTTTACCATTATCAACAACTGAAATTGATGATTGAATTGAAGACAATTTTTGTTATTGCTATTGTTTTTTGTTGGAAAAACTATGATCAATATATAGTTCTCAATAGTTCAAAAAATTAACGGTTACGGCTGCAACACGTTTTGCCATCGCATACTCTACAATGATTACATGACTTAAACCGTTTAGTACTATCAGGCACAACAACACATCTTAACAAAGTGTGCTAACTTAAATTGAAGCGCAACATCAATATTGTCGTTATTTTCATCTTTTCTTACTTTAAGATCCTTATACAGCGTGCATACATGTTGACGAATGGTTGTGTGAGAATATCAAAAGCTTCCCTCCGAAGGTTGACAACTTGAGAGTGGAAATTCAAGTCGAAGGCAACGTTCCAGCAGGACAAATACCTCAAGTACGGTTGGCGATAACATGGGATGTTCCTAGAATAGGTAAAGATGTTGTTTAATATTGATCTCACTTACCATTAAAATGCAAACTAATGATTGTTATAAATGCCACCAATTTTTTCAATGGGTATCGAGAAAATTTAAATTGATTTAAACTGCAAGTAATGTCACAGCCAAAGGCCATATGATTCTGAATGAAGCAGAGGAAAACAGTAATATAAGTGAATATAGCATCTGGCTAGTATATTTTACGTGCACAATCTTGTTTTTAAGGTCGAGCGGATCTATGGGGCTGGCAACTTACGGTACTCAGCCCTTATACTGCTAATAGTTACAAGGAGTGTGATCAATACAACAGAGAACCAAAGTACTTTGATTCAAAAGAGGTGATTTTATATTGCTTGACATATTTAGGGCTCTTAAATATGACATAAAGATTAGCAAAGTTAAAATAGAAATCTTTGACTCACCTTTAACTAAACATTGAAGGATGTTCCTCATGACATCCAAAGCAATCAGTGAAATTATGGCTTATTTGTTGTTAGCAAAGAGCTATTGTTATTTAATGGCAATTCAATTTTTGTCTCAAACAATTAAAAATACGAGTGTTATAAAAAGCATATAGGATGCCTCCAAGCAAAATGGCTCTTTTCATGCATTTTGTTTTCCATTTACAAGCCTAAAGATATTCTGAATTAATAGAAGTGATTTTGTATTCTAAAGATACATGCAAGGTGTCCTAAAAAACGCAGCTCGCAAAAAATAATTATTTGTTTATTACAGTATAATGAACTCGATTCGACAGTTCTGAACCTCGTAGGCTTTGTACATTAGTTAAAGAAAAACAAAGTACTACATATACTGAATTTTATTTGAAGCTTATGACGCAAAAGCTTTGTAAAATCAAAGCGACATTAATTGAGTTGTAACAACCACACAAACCTAATCATATTTTCCATACTATAGTTGCATGCAAACATTGACAAATTTTCATGTAATTAAATTAACTGAAAAAAAAACTCTTGCAGACAAATTGCATTGTGCAGATTTTACTTTAATGCTTACGTAATTATTTGTATGGGTTCCAATTTTTTGCGACACCCTGTAGATAAAAAGGTATAAACAAAAGAGAGTCCAAAATTAATAATGTTAAACCTTAAGTCTCTTCCTACGCACTTGCAATGTGACTAATCAGTATTGAAATCGGATTATTTGTTCACTCACTGTTGCTCATTTTCAGGACATGACAGAGGAATTTTACACTTTTATTCCACCCAGCAAAACATCTGTCACATACCGTGTAGAAGTAAAATCAATTCCATATAATAATGGTACTGATGCTGCAAAAATAGAAATTAAGTCACCTGGTAAGTATATATTTCTTTACGTAAACAAATATATGTGACAATCAGTGTGGTTGAAAACATATACTGATAGACATGCGTCTTAATGAGAAAGTGGGATAAATTTTGTCTTAATAATATAAACAAAAAAAGAATTGAAAGAGTAATTCTTTGTTCAACTTCGCTGAAAAACAAATTTTATGATATTATAAATGAAAAGCGGATCCAGAATTTAATCTGCAGGGAACCTGAATGGAAGAGCCGTATGGAGAACGTTAATTGGTGAGTGGCCTTTTATCCACAAACTCAATTGTGCCTCACTGATTTCATCTCACAGTAGATGAGTTAAATCTTTGGGTGAATTGCTCTCGAAAGAAATCAGTTGGGCAGAACTAAAAATGAATAAATGCTCCACTCCCTATTTAACGGTTTAGGGACGGCTCTGACGGAGAGATCTCGGAAAGATGCATCATTTAGAAATGCCACAATTTAATAACATTTGCATTTACATAAGCTATCTTTGCCAAGGAATTATACAATTTCATGAGGGTGCATTCCTAGCAACCTCCTAGATCCTCTCCTGTCAATGATGTGCAAAAGTTTATTTGTAAAGATAATATAGTGTACTAATTGCAATGTCTGTCAAACTTTCAGTGACGAAGCCAACTTGTAGTTTCATTCCAAAAATACAAATTTCACCAAAAAAATGTTATTCAATTCTTCAAAAAATTAATTCCATAGATTAGTTAATTGTTTATTGAATTTTCAACCCATAGTTTCTAGAGGGGTTGGAACCCACCCCTACATAGACATACCCACCCCTACATTTGGGTCCAAAATTTCCTTACCCACCCCTACATACGAGCCGAAAAAAAATTCGTTTTTTTCTACGGGAAAGCTGATTTTAGACTTATTTATGGTCTCTCTATGCATACTATATACAACACTGATAAAGTCTATGTATTCACTAATATTGTCAATCAAGCAAGTTCACCAAAGTCGTCAATGGCTGATGCAATCAATGGCTGATGCAATAACATGGTGTCAAATTAGGGAGATATTTTTGGTCCCTTATAGGGTAATATGAAGATAGATGATGCAATAACATGGGGGCAAAAATTGAGTGATGTTGAACTTTGAAGTTATTAACTTTTTTTTATCATAGATGCATTTCATCTATTTTTATAATTTTTCTAATAGGGAAAATCTCGGAACCCACCCCTACATAGACATACCCACCGCTAGTTTATAACCCACCCATAGAAATTCAAAATTTTTTCGACCCACCCTTAGAAGGCATTTTTGAAAATTCCAAGACCCCCCAAATTTAAGGGGGGGGGGGGTAGAAACTGTGCAACCCCATTTATATTTTTTGTGCTTATCAATTTTACAAGTTTGTTCAAACCATTTTTACATGTTTGTTTTTTCATGTTTGTTCTCCCGGGTTCAAACCATTTACTTTAGCTTTTATTGAATTTATTTCGGGCTGTTTATGCTTGCAAGGTTGCTTTGTTTTTCAAACTCATTTGTTTTTTAATTGAGTAGACTTACCTGTAGATTAAATTTTCCTATGTTACACTAGTGACTTTGTCTAGATAAAACTTTCTTTTAATCTCTACTGCTTAAATATATGAATTCAAATCGTGAAAAATGGCTATAACGCAATATTGCAAACATTAATAACTGCCTCACTTTTAGCTGATAGTTTTGCAATTTCTTTCAGGTGAATGCGATTTAATAACAAACCCAAGAGACCGGGAAGCATGTTGCAGTAAGTATTATTTTAAAATGAAAATTTAACCACCAAAAAATGGCAGCATGATATAAGCAGCACAAGTTACATAACACTTTTAACTCGATGTATTCTTCTTTTGTTTGTCTGTTTCATTATACGCATGATTTTTTACTTAAATTTGAATATGGGTTATAATCACTAAGTACAACCATTAGATATATTTAGGATAACTATACAAGCATGTTTTTCTTAAAAAAAGTGATCGAGTTTACTGAAAATGCTTTCCAATATTGTCTAATTATTACGAAATACACGATTTGCTTTGTTAGCACCCAAAAAGAGTTAAAACCTTCCAAGAGGTCTAGAAGAAACAAGAAAAACCTCTAACCTGATAAGACTGATACGTCTCGTGTAATAACTAGGTTGCACAGAATATTATTGACTAAAAGGTTTCTGTACCCTGCAAGCCTTAGCGTTGCTCAATTATGATTTAACGCATCAAAAAAGCGACCATATTTACCATCTTGGCTTTTGTAGTTATTCATGCATAAATGTTTTATCTCAGTTATTACTTCATGCTCGCAAGAATATTCTACATTTAACAAATATAGTCAATTTACTTTTTAAGTGTCAGCCATCAAAATGCAGCATCAAAATATCTTTTAAACTAAATAAGCTCATAAAACTTGAAAAAACTTTGTCTGTCGAGCCTGTTAAATAATTTATGCTCTTCTCAGAATCATAAATTCTTAATGTTATATGCACTTAGAATTGTTTCTGATTTCATGATTTTATTTTGTTTCATTTTACTAAGCAAATATGAAATGCAGATGGTCACATTTGTTTTACTTCTAATTTAAAACATAAACATAATGTACTCAGATTGAGAAAGAAACCCTTGCTGTAGTATTTGAATGCTAACAATTCTGCGAAGCGAATAGTTAGAGTGCGATTTGATCACAACCAACTTACAGCAATATTTTCCAAGACGATCAAAAAAGTGTTAGATTACAAAGATCCCTACCACGCCTTCAAAAGTATAATCATGAAGTAGAATTTATACCCAAGGTCATACACACGATGGTCACCCTGTTGTAGAAAGGTGTAAATTTCATGTATGCGAAAGCTTGTGTTGGTCTGGAATGTCTTCCAGAATTTTAGATATGATTTCTCGCTGCAGCACGTGTCTTTAATATAAAAGAAAACAACAACGAGAACCATTGCAACCGACTATCTGCAGCCTGGGATAGAGTTGGAACTGACTTATTCAAATTGCAAGTTAAAGATTATCTTCTCGTTGTTCATTACTGTACTAATTTCTTAGAGATTAGTCAGCTGCCAGACACCTTAATTTCCACTCTACTAGAGCACACTAAGTCAATATTTCCCCGGCATGTCATTCCAGAAATGGTCATATCTGACAATGGCCCGCAATACTCAAGTAAATAATACAAAGAATTTGCTGAAAAATGGAAATTTCACAACATTACATCAAGTCCTGAATATGGTATGGAAGAGTAAAGAAGAGCGCACAGTCCAAACAATAAAGTCGTTATTGATAAAAAAAAATTAAAGATGTAAAGGATGCCTAATAAGCACTGCTGAGTTTTTGAGCATGCTCTTTTCCAGATGGAACACCATTACCAGTGGTGTAAGTGAAAAGGGGGCAAGGGAAATGGGGCTCAGCCCATCCAAAGAACATAAATAGTGCCTTCAAAGAAAGGTGAAATAAGGTTAGAACTTACAAAGGGGAAGGGGTTGACTTACAAAGAACTTACAAAGGGGAAGGGATACGAACCTAGTTGACTACCTATTTGTTACTATCAATCCCAACTGTTTACGAAATATTCTAGTTTTTTTAAGTCTAATAGAAGAAATAAGAAATAAATGTCTTCAGGTATTACAAGGAGTACGTTAACACCTTTGTTTGAACCTTCATTGTAAAGTTAATGGTTTGAACCCGAGAGTATCGTTACATGTTTGTAAATGTAGATCGTCCAGGTTGGTATAGTCCTGAGAAGGACTGTTTTTGTTGTTGTTGACTGACGTTTCGACAACATTAGCGGTACTCATCTTCAGAGTCAATTGAGGAGTAAACGTCAGGTTAGCCGTATTTGTTATCTGGTTCTTACGTCATTGTATTGTGTGTACGGGAAATGTGTGGGTGTCAATTGTGTATTGTCATTGGGAATTAGTGTGAAGTGTAATGTTTTTAGTTGTGATGTGTGATTTAGGTGTGATGTTTTTATTTGTAATGTGAGGATGTCAATTGTGTATTGTCATTGTGAATTAATGAGAAGTGTAATGTTTTTAGTTGATCGTTTGTTTGTATTGTGAATACGTCGTTTGTAAGGTGCCAGTAATTGCTGTTATCTGTTCAGGGGGGTTTGTTCCAAGTTGGTGTACCAACTTTCTAATGTAAGCCGTCGTCTATAGTCAGTACTGTAAGTAATGCATTTTGCCGAGTCCCAGTCAATGTTGTGCTTTGTGCTTCTGTGATGTTCGGCAATGTGATTAGTTTTGTCTTGTTTCTTTGTAGCTCGTTTGTGTTCAGTAAGTCTTATGTTTAAGTTCCTGCCAGTTTCCCCGATATAAGAGGCGTGGCAGTAGGAGAAGTTTATTTTGTAAACTGCACCTTGTCGTTCGTTGGGTTGTTCTTTGTCCTTTATGTTCGTTAGTACTTGTTGTAACGTTGTGATTGTGTTATGTGCGACACGTATGTTGTATGGTCGTAAGATACGCGAGACAGTCTCAGACGTACCTTTGATGTAAGGTATCGTTGCTTTTGTCATTGAGTTGCTTGTTTCGTTGGGTTCGTTGGGTTTGTAAGTGTTGCGTTTGATAAAGTCAGAGTTATAGTTGTTTTTGTCAAAAACACGTTTGAGATAGTTGTTTTCTTTGTGTAGAGCGTCCGGTGAATCACATAAGATTTGTGCACGTTTTGTTAATGTTTTGATTGTGGTAGCTTTGTATGATTTTAGGGTTGTAAGATGATTGGTCTAGTAGTCGGTCAGTATGTGTTGGCTTGCGATAAACTGTTGTTCGTAGTTTTTGATTGTCATGTTTTACCAAACAGTCGAGAAAAGGAAGAGTTCCGTTTTCTAGGGTTGTAAGATGATTGGTCTAGTAGTCGGTCAGTGTGTGTTGGATTGCGATAAACATTACTTATTACACTTCACACTAAAACAAAACATTACATTACAAAACAAAACAAACCAGATAACCTGACGTTTACTCCTCATTTGACTCTGAAGATGACTACCGCTAAGGTTGTCGAAACGTCAGTCATCAACAACAAAAACAGTCCTTCTCAGGACTATACCAACCTGGACGATCTACATTTGCAAACATGTACTTCATTGTGTAAACGAAAATATTCTCACTAAATAAAATATTACAACGCTTAGTGAACCAGAAAGGCTACAAAGTCTCATGTTTAAGTCAGTCGAATCTGACGTATAATGGAAATGGAATCTGACGTATAATGGTTATAGACATTGAAAATCGGTTTGAACATTTTATTGACATGTTACCAGCAAGAATGAATTTAGCATGACAATAGCATGGACGGACGTCTTCAACTTTCTGATAAAAGCAGTACTATGTTAGATACCAAATTTACTTCAGTAATGCACTAACTATTTTGAAAGTTGTCCTTGTTAAAAATCGTGTTTTTTCTGTAACAAATAATTGTCAGCAATATGCAAATTCGCATACCAAAAGCACTGAAATTCTCTACTAAAGGACTTTAAAATTTTCCAGCAGGAGCGTGCTCCCTAACACCACTAGAAGGGTCTAACGCCTTTAGCGTTCGAAAGTATGAACGAAAGAGACGTTTACGCCTTGCTACGCCACTGACAATCACCAGCAACCGCTCTAGTGGATCAAAGACGTACAAGGTTAACCAGAATAAAATAACATCGCAATTAACAAATCATACACTAAATAAAATGCAAAAACAGCAACAATATTATAATATTAAGACAAAAGCTCTTTTCCCTGACTAAGGGATCCACCATAAAAATTTGTCCTGGAAAAAGCTGGATTTCGCGAGCAAGAATTGTTAAGAAATCAGATACACCCATCTGATGCATAATACAGGAGGAAACCGGAGATTACTTAGGATGAATAGCAAAGTTATCCTTCGTACAGATGAAAAGTTTAAGGAAGAAAATCTACATGAGTATAGTGATGATGACATTGACCAGGAAGCATAGGAACAGCCTTTATAGTTATTAAATGACAGTCAAATAAATAGTAATCAAATCCTCCTAAAATTCAAGTCTCATCATGCAATATAAGATGTGGTAGGCCGTTAGACCACCTAAATTGTTTGGAATTGTAAACAACAAAACTTAGAGAGCTGCATGAAATATATCATTGATCTTAATTATCAAAAAATTTAAAGTTTACAAAAAGAGAAACTTATGAATCTATAATATTAAGACTTACTTTAATCAACTCCTTGAACGAGTAGATGTCACGAATGATTATTTATTAATGTAATAAATATAGGCCTGGGAATAGTTTGCTAAGTATATAAATATTGTAAAAGGTACTGCACGGGTTTACTGGTTTCTACGGTGCTGTTTTGAAAAAATATTTCTTACAATCATTAGAATAACTATTTGTTCATAAATATGCTTATAATCTGGGGCGTAACAGCTTCAACTTGGGTATCAAGATTGGGGGATGAGAACTTAATTTGCTCGACAAAAGAGCGCAGTGTTATTTTGCAATTCATTAATAGCAAAATTGCTATATTGCATTGTGTACCTATTGCTCTGCATTGACACGGTGCAATACTAGAACAAAGCTTTGGAGTATTCATTTGAGCAAACAAAAAACCACTAAAATTTTTAAAAGTTCACTTAGATTAGTTGATTACTTAAGATAAAGAAAAAATTGAGCAGTGTTTTAAAGAAATGCAATTAGCATTACTATAACATTCACTACGTGTCACGTGCCAATTTCCAGAAGATTCAATATTTCTTAAACAATTTCCATAAATGCCATCGAATGTGTAAAAATGCACTTAAAAATACATTTTTTCATTGTCACAACGGCAAGTTACTATTTTATCAAAACATATTTTTAAGTAAAATTTTAAGTGAGTTAACGAGGCATTTATGGAAGGTTGTTTTGTATGCAAAAGGATGTTGTACACATTAAAGCTTGGCATGAGTCGCTCCTTCAGAAATCCATACCGACAATGATATTTTTGGTAAAAGCTTAAATGGTGTGAGTTACGCTATCACGATTATAAAGATGGTAAAAAGGTTTATGGGAAGTATATTGGATAGAGTCAATTTGCTTAAATCATTAAACACTCTACCCCTGCGCGTGCAAAGTAGCATAAATGTATCTTGTTCTTCAGGAAGAACTATTTTGGTCAGGATCTTATCTTAAGCAAATACAACTATAACTTAACTTCTTAAATTTGTTTAAAATTGTAGAGTTAAACATTGAAGGTGATATGGTGACAACGAGAAACAGCAGTGTAACTTTAAACTGGACTTCATACTTCCCACGTAATTTAAGTATTACCATTGATATGTTTGTCATTCATTGGATCAGTGAAAATAGAGAAGTTTGTGATGATGGATTTATTACGCTGAACTCTGTAAGCAAGTATAAAATAACTCGTGTGTGGTCCAAGCGTTGCTTTTCTTTGGTACATTTCTGTTAAGTTGGCTTGCTTGTAAATATAGATTTTTGTTGGTTTTATAGCAAAGATCAAATTACACCATCTTAAATCTATCCAATCACTGCAATTTTACAATAGAAGTAAGTGTTATCGTTGAAAATTGCATCAGTGTATTGCACATTACAGTTCTAGAAACATACGTTGCTTTTGAATGTAATTTTCTCTTCCATTTAGATAAGAGCGTTCTTTTCGTCATCTATGAACCTCCCTTGCAAACATTCGATGATTAAAATCTTTAACTACATACCACCAACTCTTACTGGTCAGTGACGTAACTAGAATTTTCTGTGAAGGGTGACAACTCAAAAAGCAAAGGCGGCAATAACTTTCGTTTGAACAATATAATATATATAACACTTAACATTTTAAGGGAGCTAAGAATTTTGCCTGGGGAGTTTTCCGAGATCTTCCTCTGGCTACTTCACTTCTACAGGTGTGTAACTGCCCATTAATTAATTTCGAGTCTTTTGCAAATATTGGTCAGTACGCTGGTGCGTACGGCGGTAGCATAGATTTTTTGTCACAGGTAGCCAATGAAAAAGGAAGGGTGGCCATGAATGTCGCCTAAACCCTATAATGTATGTAAAACCTAACATTTTTTGGGAGGGAAGAATTTTTTCAGAGGGGGGAAGCTCCACAAGAACCCCTCTGACTACGTCACTACGACATGAGTGAAACTGATTATTCATTCAGTTTGACGACTTTTTCAAATATTGTTAGCACTTTCACTTATTGAATTTCTATAGTCCTACAAATGTGAGACTCTATGCTGTATAAATCATCTTATTGAAGAAATCATCTTTTTTTCAGTTGGCAATGTAAGTTCAACTACACCAGAAATTCCTACACCCATATTGGCAAAAGCAGGTTTTGTAATCGCTGCTGTTTTAGCTGGTGTTGTTATTGCCTCTTTGATATATATTTTAAAGAAACGAAATGGTAATTTGTAGTTGATTACATAATACTATCTTTAAGAATGCAGATACTATCTTGAGTGTCTTCCTTTACAGAAAAACAAAATTTTTAACTAATTGATTGAAAGCCAAATTTTGAAATTTGTTCATTCTAACAAATATATAAACTTAATAGCAATTGCCTGAAATTCGCTGTAAAAAATCCGTATTAGTCAGAATACATGCAGCTATGGCAGATAGTAAATTATAAACTCGACGTTTGTAAATGCGTGATATAGATTATTATCCGCCATAATTCATAACATGATGTTTTTGACCTGCTTTTACTCATCCAGGAGTGCTATCATCATATATGTGCAATAATCGTATTCTAGACGTTTTTACGAGTATTTTGATATATAGATGTATACATCAAAATGTAAACATTTTCCTTCGAAATTTTGAGAAAGTTAAGCCCTTTGAATTTCTTGTAAGGAATGTATTCAGGCAGCGCTAAAATAACTCTGAATAATTTTTGATGTCATACTTATCCAATACTTGTTGAACCTTGCTTAGTAATTCTCCACATTTTTAGAAGTGCTAATTTTTCTGAGTAGATTTTTTCATGGGAAATGCAAAGGACGCTGATTGTAAGTCATCTCACCCGCACTCGCTTTTTTAGTGAAAAAATATGCACATGATGCCCTTGGAATGGAAATTGGAAGAATATTTGATTACAGGATAACATCGTCCAGTTTCAAGAAAGATTTTCCACCACATGGTGCAAGATTGAATACCAATTCAGCTTGGTCATCTGATGTGGATAATGAACGGCAATGGATTCAAATAGACCTTTGCAAGAAGAAAGTTTTGTCAGGAATTGCAACCCAAGGCTGTAAGGCAGCCGATGAATGGGTGACTGAGTATTCAGTTTCATACAGCAATGATGGTGAATTGTACGAGACTTATCAAATTAATGACATTGAAGAGGTAATTACTTATCTTGCTACTATGAACAAAATACTAAACAAATTAATGCAAAATGTATATTGTTTATGAATTTATAATTTTTGGTTTATACTCATTTTCGATTTATGCTCCGTTATATGAAAAGACAAATCGAAAATAAATGAGCAAAAAATCTGTAATTTAAAGAATGTGTCGAGACGTGATGAGCTTTTAGCCTACTTATTAGTTTCGGCATGACGCTGCCAATTCAAATCATTATATTTATAATATATATATATATATATATATATAAGTTTGAAAATTTGTAATCCAGGCATTGAATACATAAAAGATAAAAGTTTCTCCGGATTTTAAATGAAAAAAGCACGTGTAAATAAATATCCTCATTCTGATGAAGGCTCGAAGCAACGAGTCGAAAGCTCAATAAAAATCATTTAAAATCCGGAGAAACTTTTATCTTTTATGTATATATATATATATACAAAGTGTATTACAATGTGTCCTCCCGGCTATCACCATGAAAAAAAATAAAAAAAAAGGCGACTCCTGCACTTGGGAAACAGGATGTACGGTTTATACATATATTACATTTTGGCTATCGTCAATTAAACTTGATTAGCATTTGTTTAAAATGAAGTCAAATAAAAAAGATGGACTTATATTTAATGAAACTTTAGGAGAAAAAATACACGAAAAGCCCATTTTGGTAATATATGTCAATCTGAGGTTTCTTGTACTATTGCTACAAAAATTTGTGTGAAGAGACAGTGTGTATTATTTGAAATGTTCACCTGAAATAACGTAAAATGTTGTTTTGGGAAAATCGCTAAATTTGCATTCCCTGGGACTTTTTATTTTGATAAACCGGCAGTAAACTGAGAAGTGTATGCATTGAGAAGAAATGTCAAAGTCAAGGTTATCAAATTAGCTACTTTCTATAACAAAAAATTCTCAAGTTTTCCTGTGCCCAAAATTTGATCCTAAGCAAATTATGAGATTCATATTATTTCTTACCCGTCGTTATTCATTTTATCTTGAATACTCTAAGATGGATACCCTAGAAATATTTGACCGTTTAAGGCACATTTGTCGTTTATAACTTGATAATTAACTCCTTTATAGGTATTTATTGGCAATCGTGATCGGAATTCTATTGTGAAAAATGTTTTCTCACCTCCCATAACGGCACGTTATATTCGCGTTCAACCAAAGTCTTGGCACAACAAAATTTCGATGAGATTGGAGTTATACGGACCCAGCAATATCGATCCAACAGGTATCTTGCAAAATGTTACTTTCCTCAAGCGATGATATTTTATCATAAATTACTTGAATCGCATCTTTGAAATGACAAAATAATTACGTATGTTAGTACTTAAAAAAATTGGCATGGGCAAAATTGAATAAAATTTGTTATTGTTGGCCTCTTTATTATCAGTGACATTTGCTTATACCACGGTATATAATACATTTGATTTCTTTTAGGTCAGGTGAGTGTTTTTATTCTAAATCCAAATCACTGTGATTTGTGCACGGATGTTGTGCACTCATTGGCTGTGTTATTGATGAAGACTGGACGTATTCATTGTGAAGTTGACATTTTTGCACCCATGAATGAAAGATCACAGGGAATGCTAAAGTTCACTGAAGAAAAAATATCTATTTGTGATTATGTCATTGTTCCATGGATGCGCCGTACCCATGTGTCGGACGGTATGTTTTATAACTTGTTTTTATCTCCACAAGTGTGGCGGTAATACTACTCATATATGCATGCTTCATTGTATTAGTTTCTATTGAAATCTGTTATGATTACAGGACATACAATTTGATTGTATGATTACGAGCCCCCTAATTATCAGTCTTCCGCCGCCCTTTTACCCCTTGACTTTGAAAAAAAATTATGGAATGAATTTGATTTTAGAAAAATAAAAGAAATATCCGTAACGTAGAAGTTGATGTACCAGGTGCATCAAAAATGTAGCAATTTAAAAAGCGTCGGGTGAATTAATCAGAGTGCAGATTTGGCATAAACTTCAATGGAATTTGTTGCTAATTGTCGCTTGTAATCATCATCTATATTGAGAACTTTGTTACCGAGAAGCACTTTTGAACTAGCTTGCGCACGAAATCATCATGCTTAAAAGCATGAAATTTTCTTAAAATAGGGTGTATGTTGTACAAAGTAATAAAGCTCCAAGAATTGGCCGATGCGCATGCAAATGCTCAGCTTCTAAATTGCGGAGTAGTTTGTGTGTTTCCTTTTTTAAATGCTAATTTTTATAGTAACCACACCAATTATGCATACATTTAAGGCTCTTTTCCACTCATCGCAAAACGTACTCGCAAGCTCGCTGCGAGTGCATGCGAGTTAAGGTTCATTTCCACTCATCGCAAAACGTACTGGCAAGCTCGCTGCGAGTGCCCGCGAGTTACTCGCAGCAAGCTTACCATGACTTGTAGCATAGTTAAATTAATTGAACAAAATATTTTGATCGCGCGAACAGTCGCAAGCTCGCAGCGAGAGCATTTTGCGATGAGTGGAAAAGAGCCCTTACTCGCAGCGAGCTGACAATGAATTGCAGCATAGTTAAACTAATTGAACAAAATTTTTTTATCGCGCAAACAGACTCGCAAGCTCGCAGCGAGAGTATTTTGCGATGAGTGGAAAAGAGCCCTTAAGCCTGCAATTGCTTTTATTTCATATTATTTTTTGACACCAACTATTTTAAAATTGCTTCTTGGTAACAACATTCTTATATTAAATGTTGTTGATGTTATTTGCGACAATTTTATTGAGAGATGAACTAATGAATCTAGTTAGGTGCTAATTTTTATCAACGTTTTTTACAAACGTTGCGCGCTTATCAATTTAACGATATTTTACTAACTGTTCAGTTTTTTTCTTCTTACCCTTTGTGATGTGAAGCAAACAAAGCAGTGTTCTTTTTTACGCTTCAGAGTGATTTCGACTTTTTGTATGAATAAAATCATAAGTAAAATGTCCTATAAGTAAGAAGATACCAAAACCAAATCAACCAGCTCACATGGTTATTTTTGCTGACAGGCTTTTTGATTACTTATTCTCTTTTTTGATGCCAATTCTATCTTTGTATATTAACCCTTTACTTCCCAACTGTTTTTGCTCTTTGCGCTCAAGATAGCTTTCTTGTCGTGAAAATAAATTTTCATGTCGTGAAAATTTTAAATATGCCTGAAAACAAAGACAAATTTTCCGCATAAATTGACCTGCAGTGTATTTCTTGGATAATAATATAAATGAAAAAATTTCTCAATTCTGACTTGCTTAGAAGAGAGCAATTTGTCTTAAATACGCCTGCAAAAATAAGAAACACAGTTCTAAAAAAAGGAAATACTGTGCAATTTATTTTTGAAAAATGCCCTTCTGTTTGGTTAGTCCAACAAAGAAGTCGTGAAAGAGCCGATCAACATAAAGCATTTCAAAGGGAAGGTTAAATTATTGTAAACAAAACAATTACAATGGCTGGCGTAAGTTTTAAGCAGATTTCCTTTGTCGAACGAGTTACAATTCATCGTTTGCAAGATGTTTCTGGATAAAAATAGGAACGTTGCTTAAAGCAGATACCTTGTTCTAGCTGCGTGTGTGGAAGCTATGGTGTTGTGAAAAGAAATATTGAAAAATACGAAAGCGAGTCGATCGATATTAATAACTTGTCGGATAAACTTACGCTGAAGTCAAAAATCGACAGAATTGAGAATATTTTTCATGTATATTATCAATAAGTAATAGCATAGCTTCATGGGTAATTTGGGAAAAAAAAGTATTCGTCAGTTTTCAAAGACTTTAAATTGCACTCGTCCTTTAGACTCGTGTAATTTTGATAGTCTTTGAAAAACTCACTCGTGCATGTTTTTCCCAAATTGCTCTCAAAACATTGCTAATACCTATACATATTGCTCGAGGTAATTCTGCTCGAGTTAAGAATCTGCGAGTATTGCTTGATCTAAGAAAGTGTTTTGCACTGTATTTCTTAGCTTACGCTTAATACCTGCGTTCAGGTGCACGCATTAGGAGGGATGTGGGTGTGACACCCCATAATTTATGAAATATGTATTAAACGTCGGTTCGGATGTTGTTATTGAACGATAAAGTCAGTCCTGGGGGAATTGAAAAAACATAATCCGTTTGTGAAAATAATTGCATATTTTTTGATAAAACCGTCGATATGAAGCACACAAAAACAAACACAGCTCACTTTAGACAGGGATTAAAATCTCTCGTATTGCGAATATTTCAAAATCATTATGCAATCAGATTTAAGTGTTACCTATCGTGGTCGTGAATTGCGGTAACAAGTTGTGCAAAGGAAAATGTTAAATATTAAAAAGGCGACATGTACAGCTTACATAAAAATGTTGATAATCATAGAATTTTACATACCTTTCAGAATCTATGCATCAAAGTAATATTGCTTCGTTGATTTTGATTAAGTAAATAAGTTAATCAGACTAGTAACTTTTGAAACCAGCTTCTGAATGTTAAAGTTACAAAAAGGCTTCTTTTCATACTAAAACAAACTCCCGTCGTATTAAATTGGACATTTGATAATACTCGGTTCTAATCTCTTGCTTACATGACGTGCGCTAAAACCATGGCGTTAACATGCGCAGTTATGCAAATAAATGGTAGAAAGACTTTAGCAAAACATGCGTCACTCAATATCTTTTGTAAGCGGTTTGGAAATTGTAGAAGTTCGTTATGTTACTTTGCTTTGAACATAAATGTGATGGATGCACTAGCATTATTGCCAGCCACTAATGCAACACTTATCATGCTTGTTAACAATGCGAAAATCTGAAACATAATCGCTACTATACAATATTTCAACCCCAATGTAGTCCGACGCCGAACATAAATAATATTTACATGATTTTGATATTGAATAAACCACCAAAATTTGTACCGTCACTCAAGCTTCCTCAAATTTCCAACTACTTTATACCTATGTATTTTTTGAAATTCTTTAAGCTTGTTGAAGAAATCAGAAAATTTTCCTTTCAGGCTGTACATTCGAAGACGTTGACACACTCAACTTCTTGTCAGGACTAGATATTATCCACGCAAAGTTATTTCGTGACAGAAATAAGAATAAATTTATTCTTGTGTGCTTGGATCACTGCTCTTTAGAAGTTCTTCCACCACAGGAGATTAATTTATTAAAGTATAGAATACCTTCAAAGATCGACACTTTAGTCATTGAACTTCTTGGTACAACAGAAAGACAGCGCGATCAACAAGGTCGGTTGGTTATCGAGGCCAAAGAATACGTGGATGCCAAAACTAAATTGACATCGGCTGTACGAAAAAATAAAAAATGTTACAGTAAATAACGCACAAACTAAGACAAATCAAGCACACTATGTTGCAATGCCATTCCACCATTTCATTTCATCAAACAAGCAAACATTAAAACGTGTTCTAAAGTAATTTTATGAACAGTTCCTTAAAGGAGCTAATTGCTACTTGACTATCTGCCAAACAAAATTTTTGTGGTAAAGCACCTTTTGACAGTCATTCAATGTATATCTTTTGCGCAAGGTCTGTAAAAAATGCTATAACTTATTATCATGTTTAATATATGTTCAAATAATGAATTCATTTTGAAATATATCTCGCATATTTTGTAATGCATGTTTATTTAAAATCAAATGATGAAAATTTTTGCTCTATGAGTTTGTATTAAAGAAAAATTATACGATGTTTGTGTAGCTTTATAACCTATAACACAGATGTAAAAATAAAATTAGCTACTTTTTCATCATAAGCTTGTCATTTTGACATTTTGACAAATGTTTAGTGATAGCAGAGGTCAATACTCCCTCAGAAATTTCAATGAAAAGTTGTTCTTTCCAAAACCTAAACAAATTATTAAAAACGCTCTTTCTCAATATAGTCGAGCTATCTTTTGAACAACTTGCCAGAGTCACTTAGGTCAACGTCTGACTCTAAAGCGTTACTAACGGCGTTTGGAAGTATGCTGGAGTCTCTATATTACAAAAAACCCGACTACAATTAAAACGGCAATCAGGTAGAGCAGTACTTTTCTTTCTCCAATAATTTTTCTTCTTTTTTATTTTTATCTATAGTTGTACATATTTTTACCTTTTATTTTCGTTTAATTTAATGTTCTGATGGTTTTTATAAGAACTAAAGGAAAGGTACCCACCCCTGCACCTCCCTCTGGATCCGTCCTTGCTATAAGTACATCTTTCAACAATTACGAAAGATACGCAGGCAAAAGTTTATGAAGGCAATAAGCCTCCATTGTACACTTGCTAAACTAAAATTCTGTTTCTCAGTTAATAAAAAATAAAAGAAACGATCAGAGCAAAAAAAGTCTGTCATCTATACTCAGTGGCGTGGTGGCGCATTTTTGACTGCGGGGCAAAAGCAAATTTCGCGTTCTTTCACCTTTGAACTAACGAAATTTGCAGTACATGCCGCAGTACTATTGAATTACGACACTTTATGTTAGCCTTTGCATTTTCATTACACTCTACCGATGACTGCGCTCCACTAGAAAATTAAGAATAGGTACGCAAAGAGCGTAAATGACTAATATTTAATTAAATACGTGAGAAATCACTAGAGAAGTCCGATGGTCATTTTTTTGTAATGATAACCAAAATATTATAGATCATTTATCAACAAAAATGATAATTTTGTCTCCAAATAACACAAAATAAAAGTCCGTCTTATTAGTTTATTAGCTCGCGCTCTATGGACGACTGACTTAAGCGACTGAACAAGTCGAACGTCTGTTTGAGAGACAGACTTCAGTCAATGACTCAATAGATTTGCTAAGTAGGCTAGCCACTATAACAAGAGTAGCGACGTTCTCAAGAAATCTCAAAAATTTTAACAAAAAATTAATTTTTTTTCTGCTTCAATAGAAAATCTTCACAACAGAATTTTAGACAATTATATTGCTATTTTTAATCCTACGGGAGGTCTTGAATTGTAGATGCCATTTGTTGGTGTTTATTTAAAATAACATTCTTGTTAAATATATTAGTCACCGCTTACCTTATACCAAATATGTTAATATGAACAAAAACGTTCGTTGTACGTATATATTTATATATATCTCTAGTAGAGCTAATGTGTAGAGCTATCCTGTAAAACTCGTGTTTCTTTCTTAAGCAAAAAAAATAAATCGTTCTGAACTATTCTCGATCTATCGGCATATTTAGCACCATTTTCATACTAACATTTGAATACAACTATATTGCTGATGATTCTTTTGTTGTGATTAAAATTATTCTTAATCTGTGAACGCGGAGGCATTGCAAATACCAAGTCCTTCATTGTTTCCATTGCCCATAGTTACATTTGTATCATCATCGTATCTTTAAATTCATTATCATTTGAATCCACGACAATCTCGTGAGTATGAAAACTTGAAAAAAACCCACCTACTTTTTGCTTTACATTTTTGTCACTAGAGCACAATGACCAGAGTGTGAGATAAACAATGCATATAAGTACCGAAATGAACTAAATACAAGCACAGTACTTGAAGCACAGAAACTTAATTGAAATAGGCTAAAAACTATACACTTAAAGGCTTTGGTACGCCCCTTAAGAGGACATTAAATTTGGCCCTGTATGTTATCTACAGTCATTGTGACAATTGACAAGTCAGGTGTTGTGGCCACATAAGAAACATCAAGAATGCTCCTCAATGAGTATTGTCATTGTGAATTAGTGTGAAGTGAAATATTTTTAGTTGTGATGTGTGATTTAAGTGTGATGTTTTTAGTTGTAATGTGTGGGTGTCAATTGTGTATTGTCATTGTGAATTAGTGTGAAGTGTAATGTTTTTAGTTGATCGTTTGTTTGTATTGTGAATAAGTCGTTTGTAAGGTGCCGGTAATTGCTGTGATCTGTTCAGGGGGGTTTGTTCCAAATTGGTATACCAACTTTCTAATGTAAGCCGTTGTCTATAGTCAGAACTGTAATGCATTTTGCAGTCCCAGTCAATGTTGTGCTTTGTGATTCGGTGATGTTCGGCAATGTGATTAGTTGTCTTGTTTCTTTGTAGCTCGTTTGTTTTCAGTAAGTCTTATGTTTAAGTTCCTGCCAGTTTCCCCGATATAGGAGGCGTGGTCGTCGGAGCATTTTATTTTGTAAACTGCACCTTATCGTTCATTGGGTTGTTCTTTGTCCTTTATGTTCGTTAACCAGATAACAAATACGGCTAACCTGGCGTTTTCTCCTCATTTGACTCTGAAGATGACTACCGCTAAGGTTGTCGAAACGTCAGTCAACAACAACAAAAACAGTCCTTCTAAGGACTATACCAACCTGGACGATCTATATTTACAAACATGTAACGATACTCACGGGTTCAAAGCATTACTTTATTTCAGTCATTGCTGTTTAATAGCAAGCCAAAATTGTTTTGAGTTTTATCAGCAGAAATTTACATCCAAAATCGTAAGTAAAGGACAACTGAAGTGTATGCATGAATGTAAAATATCAAAGTCAATTTATGCGAGTGTGTGATGCGATTTATGTCAATATGGCGTATGGTAAGCAGATTGATGCTTCTAAAATGGTTGTTGCCGAAGGACTTTTAGCTATGATTTCTTTAGTGCTTGGGGAATCGTGGCCGTTGTATGGCAGCGAAATCCTACATTCCTGCAAATATATTTCAATGGACAAAAAATCTGTAGCCATAAGGCGCCATACTATCATTTACTTTATCATAAACAAATGTTTGGGGCTTTTCAGTTTAAGATCATTGATCATTCAATTATTGGACAGTTATACTACATATTGTTTAAGATTTGAGAAAACTAACATTGATTACATGAGAAGCTGTTTACTATAACCTGTGATTTTGAGTCTTCTGATCCATGAAGCTTTTTATTTTGACAATTTGACTGGAATGGTATTAAACCTGAGTATTTCACATACATGAAATGTTGTCCCATGTCACATATTGTCCCCTTTTCTAACTGACACCTCATGTAGAGATGCCAAGGTGTGTTGATCTAGGCTCATACCAGATTGTTTGCCATAAATTCCAAAGGGCTATTGATGTATGAAAAGCATTTTCTATAAAGTAAAAATATCTTCCTATGTATGCAGATAAACCTTGAAATTTGGCAAAACAGCAAAGTATTTTTCATGATCACTAGGTAATTTTTCGGATGATCATTATAATTTCTAAAGTAAATTATTTCAGATTTACTTTTAACCAAGCTTTGATCACATGAAAAGATATTTATCATAACCAGTAAGCATGACACATGAACCAGTTTTAACATTCATTTAATTGTATAATTAAAGACATGTTGGTTACATTCTGTTTGTATTGGCAAATACAATGCTACTAGTGATTGCTATATAGCACATCTTTCATATACTTACAGAAGATAATAGTCTAGTGAAATGCCTAATAAACATTAATGGCATCAAGCTGTACTTAATTGAAAATTTTCACTCTGGTAATTCTTGCTTAATCTTTGGCAGAAAAAAATTTTGAGTTTTTTCTGAAAAGGTGAATTAGCTGGCACTGTATGTGGAGATGGGTAAAGGGTTACAATAAACTTGCATGGTTTGAAGTCTGAGCTTTTCTACAACTATGAACTGCCCCTTGTAATACCAAATTTCTAACTTAACTCATTACATAGAGGTTTGAATGGGGGTCTCTAGGGGGGTCTATGCCTGACAAATTTTTAAAGACAATGTCTTTTTTGGAATAGTATTATTGTAAAATAAATTTTACGTTATTAGACATGCTAATGAGCCATATATTTGGCATGATAATGAGCCTAAATATTTGGCAAAACATTCAAGTATTGTTCACTTCAGTTTTCTTTTGAAAAAAACGTAAGCAAAATGTGTTGTTTTTACGCAAAAATACATTTTGTATTGCTCTAAAACGCTGAAAATGGCATTTCCAACGCTCTGAAATTTAAAATTTCTCAGGGGAGAATGCCTCGGACCCCAGGTGCGGAGCGCCTCCGACGTTTTATGACTGATGTTTGAAAAATCCTAGATCCGCCCCTGCTTTAATAGACTGTAAAACGACCCCCCTTACAAGGTTTCATTTTGATCAGTCTTCCTTTTTCCCCAAAGTTAACTTCATTAATTGTATATTATAACTGTGGAAATAACTGTTCTGCTTCAAATTAATTTTTCTAGCACAAATTTATAACTTCGTGACTCATATTCATTTCTGCGCCCATTTCTTGGAAGAAAGAAGACAGAAGTCCCCATCCCCCTCTTCCAGAACTGATTTGCCGCCACAAATTAAAGAAATTTAACAATGAAATAGGTTGTTGTTATATAGCGTTCACAACAGATAACAAATTGTATAAGATCTGACGAGTATTGTTGGAACAAAACTGTATTTAATTTCTAATTGGCAGCAAGTTTAAAAAACATTTAAGAAAAACGACAGTTTTTCAAAATATTTACATAAAAAAAATATAAATTTAATCAGTGAAAACTTATATCAGAAAGAAAATTATAAAGTAAATATAGTGTTGTAATGGTGAACTTGAACATTTATATTAGGATTAGTTTTGTTAATGTGGAGAGCTTCCTTGATTTTGAGAAAAGATTGTGATTGGTCCGTGTCGATGATTTTAAAATAGCTAGGAAGACGAGAATTTGTTTTGACATGAAGGAGAGAAAGTTAATATGAAATATCTCACTTAAAAAACATTCTTTCTTTGTTGACTGTAACTCTTCGACTGTTTGATTTGCCCCTGTAAGTTATGTACTCATGTGTTCGGCTCTCAATTTTGATGTTCAAAACATTAAAAAAAAGTTTTCAAAGCTGAATTCGTCTCCCGTTGAGGCTCATTACAGGTTCTGAAGAATATTGTGAGCCTACGTTAGTAGTTTTGTGACAAAAATAGTTTTGGCAGTGCACGTTGCAGCAGTAAAAACAACGAAAATTCACACCACATTCGAATAACATCTCGACGCTACGATATTATCCAATGTACTTAGCTTCCCCCTTTTTCGTGGGAGACTGTGGCTGAACTAATTGCCATTTCAGTAATGTACGAGTGCAGGGACAGATAGGGCTAATATAAACATGAGGTGGAAGCATAAAATGAAGACAGAGGGTTATATTTTGCAAAGTGTTTTCGAATTGCGTGCGTGTTTTGATTAAAATAATCAAATTTTCTTTGAAATCGTGAGTGTCAGCTCACGGTTTGTAATTTTTCGAGGACTGTATGCAGCTTTTGGGATAACACTCTCGACAACTGTCAAAAACTGTCTTGTTTGTCTTTTTTTCGATTAGTTACCAAGCACAAAGTTACATTGACTTAAATCTTTAAATTATTCATAATATTATCTTTAATCATGCTTCTCCCCCAACCCATTTTATTTAAGCCATGGAACGACTGACAAAGTAAAAATGAACCAATTCTTACGCATGCAAAAATTTTACCTTCTTCCATACCTGTTTATCTGCAAAATATATTTCGCAAGTTTGTGCCAAAGTTACTAAAAATGTCCGAATGCATGTTTAAGCCTTTTATTGTCCCCATAACCGAATTTAATTATATTGTGTTACAGCCTGCTTGAAAGCTTAATTAAACAAGATATTTGTAAGATTGTCCCGTTTTTTAACATTTAACATTCCACACGTTGTTATTTCCTTTTATGATGTTAACTACGTTGCTTTCACGTACGCACGGCCTATTCCGTTCCATATTTCCTCAGTTTTTATCTCTCTCAAGCAAATAATCATCTCTCTCAAGTCCAATCTTTTTTGTATTTTTTGAATTGCATGAACGCACAAACTCTATGTTCTATTTAAATAAGTAGAATAAAAACTCTTTATTTTCACAGAATGAAGACAGGTTTCGCCCGTTTTAAGCCATAACCATTAGTAGCAATTTTTTCATACTATGTATTCAATCTACGAAATGCTACGATGGAAATTTGCTTTAGATTGACGATGACCTGGATAATACTGAATTAAAAGTCACAAATTTAACTTGTCCAGATGTTTTAAGTACCTGCCGACGTAATTTTAATGGTTCCTTTTATGCATAAATTACACAAATGATGATAAATGTAAACAGCGAATCCAATATATTGCGTGTAAGTCACACCATGAGGCAAGAACATTTCTACTATAAATGAATAAGAGTAAACATCGGGATGGGAGCGTCAAAGAACATTTTGCTTCTCATCTTGACTCTATGTTGCTGTAACTGTAAAAGTTTGTCAGTTCTTCAAAATTCGGTAAGTGACAGGTGATTACGTTTGGCAATTGAACAAGTTGGTCGTATATTCGTTTTTTTAATGTGTGTAAATTGTAGAAAGACAAATTAAATTAGAACAAAAGTGTAGAAGTGTTGCATTCGCGTGAATATAAGAAGTGATGAAGAAAATGAGTCGTATTTTCAAACATAAAGATAAAATTCATGATTAATTGTATAATGATTTGATTTAAAGTACATAGACAATTGTTCTTTAAACGCATGCGATCGATGGTAATGAATGATGCGATGAAAATAGAGTTTCGTGCCGATTTTGCACAGTTTACAAAGCAATGATTATATAAATTAGCCCTCTAATCATCTTTGTGTACAATGCGTACAGTTAATTTTCTCAAAGCAATAATAGGCAGTTGGACAAAGAATACATTTGTGTTTGCTGGGACCGAAAATTTTAGGTTTCTTTAATATATTTTGCAAGACGGTTGACTTTCGGCTTTTAACTGAAAGGTTTGTATAGTTGTTGAACTATCGATAGTTAATTACAACAACTATGAGAACACATGACGTTGTGCGGTTTGTTAATGACGTCAATTTCCTTCCTATCTATTTTTTTATAATAATAAATGCATTGCTCATGTCCGTTCTTCATTGACTTCAGTGAAACAGATGGCAAGTATAGGAATGATTTCTCTAAAAATACACGATTGCCTAAAGACTTGTTTTATTATTTGTGGTTAGGATCGGGAATCTCATAGCAAAATTATAAAGGTCCGAAGAATTCGTGAATTTGCTAAGTCACTCACCTGCGTAAATTTGAATAGCCAAAGCCAAGTAAAAGGAGAGAAACTATTATACGAAGAAGCTGCCGTTATATAGAAATGCTTAGTCTGCGAATTGAGTACATATGTACAATTTTTTGGTACAGTACAGACATGTGTGTTTTACATTTTACGTGGCCATGTAAAAATCATCATCCACTCCCTTTTGAAACTTGTAGCTCAAACTTGACCCTTTACGTATTTTTAATTCTGCAGCCGTCATGAATTTTTTTGTCATCAATCTTTGCCATTGGTTTTTTTGCATTGCGATATTATCTCTGGTGGACGAAAGTTCCAGACTGACCACAGTAACTCAGTCCCAATATTATCCAACAATCGTCTGATTCTGCTTCAACTGAAGAATATGGCGTGCCGATACACACAAAAATACTTTTTCTAAAGATGAAACTTCTATTTCAAATTTATTACTATGTTTAATATAAAATTATAGTACTTCTAAAAAGTTTAATACTTTATTGCTGCCTGCAGTACGCCAAATGTAATTTCCTGCAAAACTTCATGTTGTCGAATTTCGATGTAAGTTGTAAGATGGCGGAAGATATTGAAATCCTCGATCGTGAGAAAGTTGGAGTTAGTGATTTTATAAATATTCTGGAACATGGGAAAGATTTGTATCAAGAAATAAAGCGAAATATGTTTTTGCCTTCCTTTGTGGAGGCTGAACATCTTAATATGCAGACAGAACAATTTGTCACGACTATAGTTATTTCATTTGGCCATCTTCGCAATACTTTACTACAAGATGCAAATATGATTGAAACCATTGCTACTCTAATCAACATGTTTCAATGCCTTGTGCGTCGGTCAATGGATCGTTTTGAAACATCTGTATAAGATGACCTACAATATAATTGTCCTAACAACGTTTGCAGTGAAGGTCGAGGCCGTCCCCAGCTATTGATACCAAAAGAGCAATTAGAAGGATTGAGATCTCTTGGTTTTTCATGCAAATCTGTAGCAACTATGCTAGGTGTGTCAGAAAAGACAATAATGCGTCGGAGGGATGCCTACGGTATTCAATCCACCAGTAATAAATATATGGAAGTGTCTGATGATCAGTTTGATGATAATGTCACAGAATAGATAACATATCTATTCTGTGATATTGTCAAGGCTGCTTTATCTGCTTCACCTAATTCAGGTGAAAGAATGGTTTTGGGTTACATCAGAGCACAGAGATTTTTTGCACAGAGGTGGAGAGTGCGTCAGTAGATTTGGAGGATCGATCCTGATAACCGGATGGTGAGGTGCAGAAAAATAACAAAAAGAAGATTATACAATGTAACACCAAATTCTTTATGGTGAGTGAAATTCTTGCTGGAGCAAGACTTTCAGGAAGTTTATAATAATTTTTTTTCTTTCTAGGCATCTGGATGGCCAGCATAAACTAATAAGATGGCGAATTGTTATCCATGGTTGTGTAGATGGATACTCTTGTGCAGTTGTCTTTTTAAAAGCTTTGTGTAACAATAAAGCTTCCACTGTTCCTGATCTATTCCTTGATGCCACGACTAAGTTTCACTATCCGTGGATAGTGATTTAGAACTAGAACAGATTATGGAACAGAAAATATTGCTGTGGCCAGGCATATGCTTAATCGTTATGGTCTGTCTAGCAAACCTGTTCTTACAGGACAATCCGTTCGTAATCAGCGCATTGAGCATCTTTGGCATGATGTTAACACCTATGTTGTTTCAATATATAAGAACATCTTCTATTACATGGAATCTAATGAATTGTTAAATCTAGACAATGAATTTCATTTGATTGCTTTGCACTATATATTTTTTCCTCGTGTAAACAAGTCACTAAACATCTTTACAATGCAATGGAATAACCACCCATTGTCCAGTGAGCATGGACAATCACCTTTACAACTTTGGACCAGAGGATTTTACCAAAATGTGCTTTCAGATTACAGCACAGTCCAAGAAATGCTACATGAAAACTTAGTTGACTGTGAATATGGTGCTGATGACAATGGACCGATGCCTAAAATTCAAACTGCCAACTTTGTAGAGGTACCTAGATCTGTAATAGAGCTAGATGACCACGAGCTTCATGAAGTGACTCTAAGATTGAACCCATTGGATGATGATGACAATTATGGCATTTCATTGTATGAACAAGTGCAAAATGTGTTATCAGAAATATTCGACAGATGGCAGTAAATAGTTTTTTCTTTGCAACGATTGAATTATAACATAATAAGGTCAATCACTTCAGCCATATCAACACAAAACATAACTTATGATAGTAAAAAGTATGCAAATATTTAACTAATCCTGTTTGGTAACCAATTTAGCAAACATAACAAATCTTAGTTCCTTAACTTTTAACAAGAACAGTGCCAAAACAAGTCGAAATGTTTGAGTATCAAAGCAATGTCAAATTTTATAAAAACCGCATGAGTCAAATAAAGATCTTAGAAGAAGTTTCTGAAACATAGTTGGGTCTTCATGTCCTCTTGGTAGTGCAAGTGACATGGCACAAGTGGAAGAAGACCTAGTTTGCCCATCTTCTTGATCGTAAAATGTTATTGTTAAGGAATTTTCAAATCCAGTTGGTGGGATGAACTCTGAACCAGTCGTAAACTGTGACAAATGCTCAAAATGAACAATTATTGATTTTTCTTCAGTCTGGTAGAACATCTCATTGTCTAAAAAATAACACAAATTTTGGTGCAGAATTTCTTCATCAGAAGGTGCAGAAATAATGTATTGCGGCAACTGGGCAACTGATGATAATGAAGATTTAAAAACAATTGTGACATAAATAAAATACACACCTTCAATTTTTTTCAAAAAGATTTTCCAACAATATATTGTTTCATCGTCTTTTCTTCTGTTATTATGACCTTTTGGACTTCACTCAATTTCGTACATGGCTTTGAATGATTCTCTAGAAAATTTCTTTGGAATCTCTGTGAGCAAATGTTTGAATTCATTAGAATGTGTCTTGATTGTGTCCCAAAGTCCTCCGACATCATTTATTCCCATTTTAAATTGCTCAATTTCTGAAAACACTCTACATAATATAACATAAAACATAAAAGTAAATAATGAAACATGCATTCTTTGACATTTAATACCTATAACCTGTAAAATATGTGCTGCTTAACCAGCGACTTCATAATGATATCTGTTTGCTCAAAGCTAGCCAAGTATATTGATGGATATCCTTGGCTAGCTATACTGTCAGCATTTTCTTTGACAAATGAAATGAACTCTTCTTGTGTTTCCAATTGCTTCAGCTTAAGAATGTTTTAATGATTATCAGTTCTAGAAGTACTAAAGTGCATTGCTACTTGAAATGCAGGAATTTTAAGAGACAATATAAGACAACTTTACCTTTGAGAGCATAGCTGCTTTTTCATAATCTGGTATGAGTGAAACATCAAAGTCATTTACATCACATGGTGCTTCACACATTAAATCATACACAGTAGAATTAAGACATCCAAAGCCGGGGCCACCTTGCATCAATGAAATGCCAACCAAGCGACCTGCTAACCAATACTGCTTTCCTTCAAGAAGTTTCACATTGTGAGTAAAAATCAGATTACATCCATTGTATCCTTCAAAGAGACCTGAAGATTGAACAATTTCCTACCTGGCTAGTCTGAAAAAGGTACACTCTTATTGTAAAGGCATAAAAAATTATTCATTCTAATATAGTCACTGCAACACAATGTCACCCATCAACTTGTTGTACAACACCTTACTCAATAACTATTGAATGAAATAGAATGCATTATTTGACCTGAAAATTTCTCTCTGTGGCCCTCCAGCATCTATTGCATCTTCTCAACTGAACTGAATTATCAAATCTTCACAGCAATCAAACCTTTTTGATTTCATGGCAACAAATGCAGTTGCCAAAAGTTTGCTTCGCCTTACAATAATTTTATTTGATGAATCGCTTTTCATAAAAATGATGCTGTGCTGCTGTAACAGCTTCTTAACATCTATATTTAATGGCGTGCTTTCTCTAAAATGCATTAATTATCACTATATGATGAGAAAATAATGGTTAAAGCAAAGTTCAAAATATTAGCATCTTAAATAATTGATCGACTTACAATCAACTTACATGTTTTGACTTGCCTCCAAAGAAACTTGAAGTGTGTCTTCCTCTTCTTTGTCATTCACTATTTCCACATATTTGCCATATGGTCTACTCGTGCAATAATAATGCTGAAAATTACCCCTAAAATTTTACTATAATTTAGATGAAAATATGGCAAAAGCATCATTACATCATACTATGACTTCTCTCACTAAAAACATGACTTCAACTCAATAGCAACTACTTGAAAACAAAATTATAGAAACTGCTATAATAAATTACCCAGATGCTATGAAATGTGATTGAGCCAAAGATGTTGGTGCAGTTGAGCATTTTGAATCAATTTGCTCTTGTCTCCCATCATTATCTTCTTTGTCACAGTCTATGACTTCAATAGGTGGAGGCATAGATTGCTTAACATCTGACTTTATGTCATTTTTCATTTCAAATGTTGGTGACATTAAGAAATCATCACCACTTGAGTCTACACTTTTGTCAGCTATCCATCCTTTTAAACCAGCACCTGGTACTGCCACCAGTGTTCTAACATAAACTGGTCCCTGTTTGGAAATATGCTGCTAAAGTTTTCCCGTGAAAGGCCCATTATTTACTTTAACTATTTGATTGCCAATCGCTCGAACAAACTCAAAATTATTTTCATGAGTAGCTAACCTAGCAAGTTTCTCTTTAAAAATGCACGATATTTTGCTCTTGACGTCATCCTCCGACATTTCATCATCGACTGCCACGGCTGACTCAGCAACCATTTGCATAAAGGTACTCTCTAAAACGACCTCGGGGCACAGTCTCCACCTGGGGACCTGGTAGTAAAATAAAGTCCTTGAGCAGGTACTTCAACTTTACTTCAATTGGTTTTCTTTTTGTATGACTACATGATGAAGATGAAGAGGAGCCATATCGTTTTAAGCCTTTCTTTGGTACGTAGTTAGCTTTTGGATTATAGCCATAATTTAATTCACTTTGACGACTAGATGAAGCAGCACTTATGCTTGGAAATAAATTACCAAGAGCTTCCTCTGTTGATATTTTTGAATCTTCCTTCTTCATATTTTCTTCAACAGAAGGGTTTTCCTTTATGGCTTTAACCGCCTCGATTAGTTTGTCTATCAATTTGTCCGCCATCTTACAACTTACATCGAAATTCGACAACATGAAGTTTTACAAGAAATTACATGTGGCGTACTGCAGGCAGCAATAAAGTATTGAACTTTTCAGAAGTACTGCAATTTTATATCAAACATAGTAATAAATTTGAAATAGAAGTTTCATCTTTAGAAAAAGTATTTTTGTTTGTATCGGCGCGCCATATTGATGCATGCTTTTATACAAAAGACTCTTTTGAAAAGAGTGCGTGTTGAGCTGCACTCATTCAATTACTTGAAGTTCAACCGTGATTGTAAGAAGTCGTTTAGTTTAGTGGCGGTCCTTTGGAACGAGTGAATTTAGTGTGTTGCTAGATAAAAGATTGAAAATTGATTTGGATAGCATAATGGTCTACATGAGGTATCTGATCTTGCTAGCTCATTAATAGTTTTTAATGCAGTACTGGTCATAATAATGTGTAATAATTTAGTAAACTTTCTGATAAATTCTGCATGAACTGTTACAATTCACGTTGTATGATTTTCATTAGTTTTTCCTGATCCTTTTTTATGAAATTCAAAGTTTTCATAGTCTGTGGGAACCATAATCGTCAAGCTGATTATATTCGGGACTGTGTTTGCATGACGTTTGTTTATTGTGAAAAGATAATAAGTTATTACCATAATTTCTAATTAGCAGCAATTTTAAAAAACACTTGAGAAAAACGACGATTTTTTTGAGAGCAAACATGTTTCGACATTATCAGAATGCCATCTTCAGTGCAGAATGGTTAGTGTTAAGTAATATGATACGTGATATGAATAAATTAATTACAATGAATAGGATTATGATTCAGTTACTAAATATAAAATATTTACAAAAAAGGGAAAAAAAAATAAGTATTAAGAACTTATAACAAAAAATATTATTATAAAGTAAATATAGTGTTGTAGTGGTGAACTTGGATATTTAAATCGGGATTAGTTTTATTAATGTGTAGAGCTTCCTTGATTTTGAGTGAGAAAGTGGATTGATCAGTGTCGATGATTTTAAAACAGGAAGGTGAGAATTTGTTTTTACATGAAGGAGAGGCTTGAAGATGTTTGTAGATAGTGGAGTTTTGTCTGTGTGAGTATGTTCCTTTATCCTGGTAGATAATTGGCGAGAAGTTTCACCAATGTAGGGAATTACATCCCGCACATGAAAATTGATAAACTACCATAGATTTGGAAAGTTCGGGAAGTGGGTCTTTAAACGAAAATAAAGATTTTATTTTAAAGGTGTGAAAATAAGTTTAACGTCAATGTCAGTGCAGTAGCGTTTAATGATTTGTGTGAGTTTGCGTTGTGTGTGTCGTGAGTAATCACCTATGTAAGGTAGTTTGAAATAACGTTTATTGTCAGGTTGTTGTATATCGTTAGTGTTAGTTGTGGCGTTAGATGAGTCAGTGCTTATCTTGTTGTCCAAATAGTGCTGTATAGTGTTGTTGATGAATGAAAAGGAAAGAATTACGTTGGAGAGTGAATATTAGTTTCTTCAAATCACGTTGAAAGCCGATGTCTGTGTTGTTAAGTTTCCGTGCTCTGTCGGTCAGTGTTCGTATCAGTCCAATTTTGTAATTTAATGGTGTGAAACTAAAAGTTAGTCAGTAGTCCTGTATAAGTTGGTTTGTGGTACGTAGAGGTCATACAGTTTTCATGTGATTTAGTTAGTAAGATGTCAAGAAAGGGTAACTGATTGTCTTGTTCGGTTTAGTTACCCTTTCTTGACATCTTACTAACTAAATCACATGAAAACTGTATGACCTCTACGTACCACAAACCAACTTATACAGGACTACTGACTAACTTTTAGTTTCACACCATTAAATTACAAAATTGGACTGATACGAACACTGACCGACAGAGCACGGAAACTTAACAACACAGACATCGGCTTTCAACGTGATTTAAAGAAACCAATATTCACTCCAACGTAATTTTCCTTTTCATTTCATCAACAACACTATACAGCACTATTTGGACAACAAGATAAGCACTGACTCATCTAACGCCACAACTAACACTAACGATATACAACAACCTGACAATAAACGTTATTTCAAACTACCATAGGTGATTACGACACACACAACGCAAACTCACACAAATCATTAAACGCTACTGCACTGACATTGACGTTAAACTTATTTTCACACCTTTAAAATAAAATCTTTATTTTCGTTTAAAGACCCACTTCCCGAACTTTCCAAATCTATGGTAGTTTATCAATTTTCATGTGCGGGATGTAATTCCCGCTACATTGGTGAAACTTCTCAATTATCTACCAGGATAAAGGAACATACTCACACAGACAAAACTCCACTATCTACAAACATCTTCAAGCCTCTCCTTCATGTAAAACAAATTCTCACCTTCCTGTTTTAAAATCATCGACACTGATCAATACACTTTCTCACTCAAAATCAAGGAAGCTCTACACATTAATAAAACTAATCCCGATTTAAATATCCAAGTTCACCACTACAACACTATATTTACTTTATAATAATATTTTTGTTATAAGTTCTTAATACTTATTTTTTCCTTTTGTAAATATTTTATATTTAGTAACTGAATCATAATCCTATTCATTGTAATTAATTTATTCATATCACGTATCATATTACTTAACACTAACCATTCTGCACTGAAGATGGCATTCTGATAATGTCGAAACATGTTTGCTCTCAAAAAAATCGTCGTTTTTCTCAAGTGTTTGTTATAATAAGTTATGTTTAAAAAAAATGCATTTCCAAACGTAAAGCAAACCACACGCATTTTTATGGCAACAATTTTACGAGGGAAATATGTGAGGAAAATTATACGATATATCTTACCATTTTAGACAGTCAAAAACGAAACAGCTTTCGTCGATAGTGTAGCTATCGAAATAACTTTTAACAACAAGACGGCTTTGCCACATGACTCAATCAAGCTTGAATGCGATGTTGAGCCAAAATCAGCTGTTGAGAGTGTAGTTTGGTATAAAGAGGGAAAGATCGTTCACAACAGCAGACGAATGACACTCGACAAGAATTTGTTGGCTATCAATGAAACGTTGCAGAGTGACACTGGTTATTACACGTGTTCTGTTTATAGTACTTCCGGCAACCACAACATGACTGCTTTTTTGACAATTTTGGAGTCCGAGCAAGAAGACGATAACGGTAAGACAGGAAAAGACACAATGGTACATTCGCGTAGTTTGTAGTTGTACAAGGAGAAGAATTTGAAGGTTATAATTAAGACAAAACGCGCTCATAGCCACATCTGTAGTGGATTGCAGCCCTCATCAGTGAATTTCCCTATATGTTTTGCGTTGTGTATGTAAGTTGGACATAAATTTTGGTGCACGCACATAGCACGTAAGACATTGTGTTGTATTAAATTAAACAGTTTCTTTTGAATGTGGGTCCAAACACCTTGAATATTACATAATAGCTATTAGAAATGCAGTCGAACATTGACTTACTAACACCTGTCAGAAGCTGTCACCTCCGTATTATTCTGCTTTTGGGTCCATGCCGACATAATATTACTTTTGAATGGTTTGAGCCCGAGAGTATTGTTACATGTTTGTTGTTGCAGATCGTCCAGGTTAGTATGTTCCTGAAAAGGACTGCTTGCATTGATTGATGTTGACGTTGACTGACGTTTCGGCAGACCTTCTCAAGACTTTGCTAACATGAACGATCTACATCTACAGACATCTAATGCTACTTTTCATAACTTCTCACTCATAAGCGCATACCAATCGTAAACGAGCACCAGGACGTTGTACCAAGTATAACAAATGACCAATTTCGTTGACGTGATTATTACAAATTACCAAATTTACTTTTGCACATTGGGCAAGTCAAATGACGTCACACCTGTATGAAACCTATTGCTCGCTCCCCCCTGGGTAGTCACAAATCATATGGCAATTTATATACAAACATTCCGTCTCCAGTTCACTGTCGTATATTTTACAGCATTGTAAAACTTTCGCTCTTGCAATTTTTTATTTGTTTAATATTTAACTATAAATTTCAGTAGCTCTTTACATTTCGCTTTATTTTTCTTACTAGTGGTTCACCTAGGACTCCCATTGCCTACCTTAATACGGATTCTTTAGCCAAACTTTGCAGCAGTTTAAGTCTTAAAGGGTTGTTTAAAACTGAAGGATAATTGTTGCTAGAAGTATTTACGTATTTTTCTTTGCGCTTTCGAATAATAGAAAGACGAATGGCATTTGGAAAACCCCTCCAAGACATAACTTGGTAATATTAGATATTTGTTTGTTGAACAGCGTTTCATTACTGCAAATCATATCAGTCCGAAAGAAAAGAGATTTGATCCTGGCAATTATATACGACCCCAAAGCTCAATAGAGGCAATGCCCATCCCATAAAAGACAAAATACCAACTTTGGACGGCAGCAACTTAATTATCAATTTATTTGTCCAGCTGTTTTCAATCGTTCATAAGGAAAAGTAACAAGAACCTTTCTATGATCAGATCCCAACAAAATCGTTATTCATGACCATGATGCACAACACATAAGAAACATTTTCAACTTATATATTTATTTATTGTAAATCATCAATCAGGCTATTACTGAAAGTGGTTGACTATGGATGACAAAGACAATAACAAAAACCCTACAACATGTTCGTAAAGTAAATGACATAAGTAGTTAATTATCATCTATATTAGGTTAGAATTAGTTCCGTTTACAAACCATGACACAGTGACACAATTGACACAATATTTGACACAATTAATGACACATATTCCGGACAATTGGTTACTCACACATTTATATGACACAATTATTGACATATAAATTTACCACATCACTTTTCTACGCGTGATCACATTCTCAGTAATACTATCACTTAACCTCTGTCTTTATTATAACAATGCTAATCACTTGCTTTTGCCTGAGGCGTTTTATGTACGTTTCCAGAAACCTCAGCTGAACTCTGGTATGTAGGATTCTAAAGAATTTGTCATTTTGTCCTAATCCCTATTGTTGTCTGTGAGGTGCCAGGCGGGATGCGAATTTTCAATCCGAATTTTCAATAGTAACAGGCTAACAGCAGTTTTTCTTTTTATTGATTACGTCATTTCCTTGTAATGTACAATTCTAAAAACACGCTTGCTTGTATAAATAACTACTTAGCTTGATAATGACTTGCCGTTGTGACTCAACTTTGAGTTTACAAAATGATGTTTTTCGGAGTGTGCTTTATCATTTATTTCTTCAAATGGTCGGCTAGAAAAGGTATAGTTACGGATATTGCATACGGTTCTCCAACTCATGCAATATACTATTAATGCTCTACTCTAACTATATAAGCGTTCCAAAACTTTATAACTCTATAAGTATAAGCTTTCCTAAGTATTAAGTTTGTTGGCAGTTAGACAACGTACTTTACGAATCAAATGTTCCAGCGCAGCCTTCATTTGTTGATAGCGTGACGCTCTGTTACAGACTGTTTGCTGATAGCAAGAACACTAGCGCTCACACAATAAATGCCTGAAAAGTTAAAATATGAGGAAACAAAAGTAGTGTCCGCGCTATTGTGCCAGACTGCAAGCGCTATCAATGTTCATGAAATACGAATAAGCTGCGACAAATATTGCAATAATACGGGATAAACTTTTACGGCGGAAACCACGGGTTTGCAACTTTAAAATGAGAGCGTGCAAAAATGCGTGTTTGTGAAATGAGTGAATTTGAGGCGGAATCTTTGTACAAACTACCATGTGACTATTCAGGGGGAGTGGACTAAAGGTGTTCGTACAGTTGTGACGTCACTTGGCTCGCCAAATTCGTGAAAATTATTTTGGTCATTTGAAATATTTATATCACGTTGACAAATTTGGTTATTTGATATAACAAACGGTGGCGTCAAGTTTTTTTTATATATTCCTATGAAATCATTCTGGCAAAATTTTGTTATTTGATATAATTACGTACCATCGTCTGACGAGATTTTGGTTATATTTATAATACGGTGCAGTGTGCTTTTATTATTTAACTTACTGCATCACAAGAATATTTTTTGATGGATTACTAATTTTGGGGCCTGTTGGCTAAGACAAAGTTGTTGGCCGTGAGATCTATTCCTCCCAATAAGTTTCGTCTCTTGAGGACGTTTGCATTTCTCATGCTTCTTTGCCTCTGCATTTCTCGGCTTCTCTTTGCAACTCATATTGCAAACAATAAGGAATAAATTTAAAGGTCGAACGGGGTAAACTCACTACTTCATGAGTTCTGTGCATCGTGTATTAAACAGTGGATCGTACAGTTTCCAACAGCGTACAATGTCGAACTTTACAGCATTTAGCTAGTCCGGAAGGCACAAAATAAAAACTATGTCTAAATACAACAGGCCTCTAGAAAATGCGGGTCTTCAGGCTTCAGCCTACTTAGCCTACTGAGTAATCCGCCCCTGATTCGGTGGTCGCTTAAGCCTTATACATATATATATATATGACAATGTGCCCTTCCGCCTATCACTATAGTAAAATGGTGACTCCTGATATATATATTCATATCTTTTCAATGTACATACTATCCAAACTATTGTCCTTCAAAGACATAACAGAAACTCATTATTCATACTTCCTAGGCATTTGGTTTAGGGCGCCAAGTACATGGACCGAGTGTCCCGGTTAACTGAGATGAAATTTTACTGATTAAATCTTTGTTTAGCTGTCGTAACCATACACTTTCCTGAGTTGTTGAACAAAGAGCAATGTATTCGGCTTCAGAAGTCGACAAAGCTCCTTTGGGTTGCTTCTGACCAATCCAGCTAATGGCACCTTTAGACAATATGAAAACATTTCCTGAAGTTGATCTTCTATCTTCTGAATCGGAAGCCCAGTCGGCATCGGAATATCCTTCCATATCTTTCTTACTCAATTCGTACTGCAGGCAAAGTCTGACTGTTCCTTTCAAATATCGGAATACACGTTTGACAGCAGTAAGATGTGTTTCATTTGGAGCGGCGTTAAACTTTGTAAAGGTACCAACTGCTTGAGCAATGTCGGGTCGAGTAGCGATAGCTGTATATATTAAGCTTCCAATCATCGATTGATACATAACAGGTTATACTGGTTTGCTGGTGCCGTTATCTTTAATTAGCTTCATTATTTTTGAATATACTATCCAGCAAGACTAGCCTTTAAATCGATCATTTCTTGTTCAGTCTTGGTTAAGAGTATCAGGTCGTCGACATGCACAGCAACTATGGCGAGTTGACCTTGGACTTTCCGAATAAAGACACAGGAATCGGCATCACTTTGCTTAAACTCTTGAGATATCATGAATTCATTGAATGACTTGTTTCAGCAGCGTGGACTCAATCCATAGAGTGATTTCCTTAGATGACATACAAGATTTTCTTTACCAGCCTCAGCATAACCTTCTGGTTGTTCCATGTACACATCTTTGTCGAGTGTTCCATTAAGAAAAGCTGCAACAACATCCATTTGATGGATAAACATATTTTGAGAAACAGCAAACGCTAAAGGAGTGCGAATAGATGTAAAGCGAACGACAGGTGAGAATGTCTCATCAAATTCCAATGAAAACTTCTGAAGGAAGCCTCTTGCTACCAGTCGTCATTTAAAACGATCGATTTTACCTTTTCGTCGTACTTGACTTTAAATACTCATCTACAGCTGATAGCTTTTCGTCCAGGAGGTGGTTCAACAAGTTCACACGTCTTGTTCTCCATCAATGACTGGTATTTGGAATCGGCAGCTGTTTTCCACTCTATTGCGTGATCCCTTTCGAGAGCTTTCTTTAAGGTTGTTGGTTCTTCTACTTCTGTCACAAATAGCGCTGTATATTTTGCTTTTGTTATACTTGCATATTCATCATGATAGTAGATAGGCAGCTTTATTTCTCGTGATGAACGTCTAACGTTTGACGTTTTGTTGTTCGATTCTTGTTCGTAGTGTTCTTCATTCTTCTCTTCAATGTGCAACTGCACTGTATTTGTACGTCCAAAGTCCTTTTCATTGAAGGTAACATCTCGGCGAATGTAGACTTTTTGCTTCTTCTCATCGAACAATCGATACCTCTTCTGTGTTAGACTATAGCCGACAAGTTGCAACTTTACTGCTTTCTAATCAAGTTGAGGATGCTGGTACATGGGCATAGGCAGTGCATCCAAAAGCTCGAAAATTGGAAACGTCGGGCTTTTTGCCATACAAAAGCTCGAATGGAGTAATTCCAGTTGTACTTTTGATAACTCGGTTGCATGTATAAGCTGCAGAACAAATGGCTTCAGCGAAGAAACTTTTTGGTATTTCAGCTTGTAAAATCATTGACAGAGCAGCTTTTTAAGTGTTCTCTTCATTCGCTCCGCGAATCCATTCTGTTGTGGCGAATGGGGTACAGTTGTCTGGTGGCAAATTTTAAAGAAGCTTTGAAATTCATCTGACATATATTCACCTCCATTGTCTGTCTTTAAGGCTTTTATTTTGCAATCGGTTTGATTAGTCACTGATGCCTCCCATTCTTTAAATTTATCTAACACTTCTGATTGGTGTGTAATAGGATAGACCTATACACATCTAGAATAGTCATCAATAAATTTTATGAAGTACCTTGTGCGACCTAAGCTCTCGGTTTTCATCGGTCCAGCGACATCACTGTGGACAAGTTTTAATCGTTTCTTCGACTGTACTTCTCCCACTAGCCTAAAAGGAGCTTGATGAGCTTTTTCTTGAGCTCAGGATTCACAGAAATCAAGTTTTCCGGTGTCTTTCATTTTGGTTCCCGTTACAATTCCTTTAGAAGTCATCGTCTTCAATTGACCTGCGTTTAGGTGAGCCATCCGTTAATGCCACAAATTGAAGGTATCACTTGATCCTTTTGTAACTGATGCTTGTTGCTTTATTTCTCTGTTCTGCAGTCCAGGCGATACATGTTACCAGAAGACAACCTCTTGACACAACGTTTCCTCGAGAGTCTTTAATCCAACAAAGTGTATGACCAAACTATATTAGTTTTCCTTGCATTGCTGCCCCGCGAGCACTGAATAGACTCGTGGCTAATTTTGGAACATAAAGGACTTTGGTCATAGTTGATTTCCGTTCATCCTTTTCTTTAGGGCCAACCAGAATTGTTATAGATATTTCACCTGTTCCCAAGGCATTAACAGATCAACCATCGCCGAGAACAACCGGTTCTGGATTTGAAAACGCTAGATAGTTCATCAGTAAATCAAAGTTAGAAGTCATGTGTTGAGATGCGCCAAAGTCGATAATCCAGCAGTCATTTCCTTTTCCAGAAGCCAGTCCAACAGCGAAAACACTAGAACCAGGGTCATCACTATCAGCATTCTTTTTATCGGCTGGAGAAGCTTTCATGAGTTATCAAATTTTCTTGAATTTTAATTTTTTCGATGTTGTTTTTTCTTTTTCTGTGTACAATTGTCTTCTACACATCCATAACATTTTATCAGTTTCCTTTCAAACTTGCGCTGTAATGCAGTTTGACCATCCTTATTGTTTTCATTAACACAACTTTGCTTCCGTTTTTCCTCTTCGCTAAGTAGTGCTTGGTGTAGTTGACCAAGAGCAAACTCATCTCCTTTAGCAGTCAGGACCGTAACTAAGGTGTTATATTAACGAGGCAGGCTTAACAATAATGCAACTATGTGTTCATCCTCTGGTATTGAGGCTCTGATGGCGGCCAATTGATCAGTGATAACTTTCATTTTTCGCAAGTGTTCATCAAGAGGGTCTGACTCTTTCATCTTTAAGGAGAAAAATCTTTGTTCAAGTATAATTTGTTCGCAATCATATCCCGTTCAAAGCGTTTCTTAAGCGTGCCCCATATCTCTTTTGGAGTTTGGCATCCTGTGATGAGGCAAATAAGATCTGATTTATTAGACGTAACTATGACAGCTATCGTCTTCCTTTGCTCTTTCTCAAATGATGCAATTGCTCCAGGAGTACTTTCAGATGAAACTGAACGATTCAGCATTCCATCAATGTGTCCAAATAATTCTTTTGCTTCTAAAATTGCTGTTATCTGGTGTTTCCATATTGCCTTTTCTTCGCACCTTCGAGTTTGTCAATCGGCAATTTGTCTACTTTAGCCATCATAAAAATAATAAAGCGTTACTGAGTAACCTTTACTTAATACTGCGCTGCTTTAGCGAGTTCTGGGCTCATAACCTGTTAAATTATTGAGACAAATGACAAGAAAAATAGCAGAGAAAATAAAGATGTATATACCGATAAATAGTTTATACTTGAGTGGAATATAAGCTAATTGAGCCCATTACTGCCTAATAAGGTCTTTTCAAAATGAATCTAAATCAAAATTGTAGATTGTATTCTTACTACATTTATGATTTAGAACCTTTAGGATCTGGAACATCTAAAGAGCCGAATCGATGTGGAGCACCGAAGACTAATCTATGTATGTTGGTAACACCGTGGAGCTACGAAAGCTCTTTTATCAAAATATTAATGTTTTTTCATGATGCTCGTTCAAGATCGTCTTCAAGCCAGCTATAGCACTTGCATATTATTTGGTCAGGGATGTATTGCTATCGCTAATTGGGGGGGGGGCTGTTATTCATGTATGCATGATATGCTGAATTAATATCTTTTGAAGTGTATTGTTATCTATGGATTTATAACATGCATATATGAATAAGGCCCCCACCCAATTAGCGATAGCAATACATCCCTGGTTTCGGTTACAAAAACCTACACTAATGCTGATTCTCTATTAAATGATTTTATGGGTCGTTGCTTTAAACCGCCAGCATAACGAAAAGCAGTCGTAAAATGACAGTGGACTTTCTAAAACGGTAAAGTCATATCTCTTTGCATTCTCTCGACATATGTGATGTCTGATTTATAGAGAAAGTGATGACATATTGCATAGAATAACAATTTTCTTCCTTCCGCGCGTTATTTTTGTAGTTTAAATTGTAAATAGGAGATATGCTAATCAGGGAGGAACGGAGAGAGAGCAAGAAAAACTCTGTTAACATGTACAAAAGTCCTAATGAGGTTTGTTACTATCCCCGTCCACACGTATCCGGAAACTTTTAAATCCGCTTTCTAGAGTAAAAATTTTCGTATCCGCAAACAATGAAGGAGTTCGTCTTGCTCTTCTCATTTTTTCTCGATTTCTGTCCCAATTATGACATATATATTCAAACAAAGCCGAACAACGTTTGCGCACACCGACCGAATTCAAAGTCGCTAACCAATTTACCGCCAATTTGCAACAATTTAAAAATATGTGCGGGAAACGGACATATTACTTTAAATATCATGCGAACAGAAAACAGAAATAAGATTTTATCAGCCTCAGAACCTCCTTTAGATCCTGTTATGCAAGATTAAGCGAAAGCGATAAATATCCTTTAAGTGCATGCCGGCTTTGGGTAAAATACAGATACCAAAGAAATAAGACGTGAAATTTGGGTACGATAATACAGTAATACGGTAATTTGGGTACTGTAATACTCAAATTTCTACGATTCAAAGTCGCATATCGACGCCTGCGAAATCCAAGTGCACACCGACAGTGCCAAAATAGATTACTACAAGGTGAAATTGCCGCCAAATATGCAAGAATGCGTATTCTGTCCTCACAAGTAACAGTAGCGTATAGCAACTTAGCCGCATTTGTATCTTTTTTTGACCTGATTCACCTTAAGTCGGTCTCGGATCGTGAAAATACAACGAGACTCGCCAAACACCAAAAGATTCAAGATTGCAAGTTATTTCGACTGTGTGCGGAAACGAAATGTGTCACTTCAATCGATCCCAATAACGTACTTTTCAAATTTCTCAACGTCTTATTACAGACAAAAAAAAGAAATCCTATCAAAAGGACTAAATTCTACTAAAAACTGATCAAAGAACAACTAGAGAATTCCGGTTTCTGTCCTACATCCGTTAAAGCAAAATTAAAAGACATCGCATACTCAGGATGTCGTAGGTACAGCCGGCCTGACTTTATGTTTTCTAAAGAAGACATAAAACTGCTTGATAATCTAAGTAAGGAAAACAACATTGAAGCTGTTAAACCTGACAAAGAAAATGGCGTGGTTATTCTCAACAGAAGCGACTACAACAGAAAAATGGAAAACGTATGGTCAGATAACAGGAAATGTTACCGGCTGAATGATGACCCAGTAAAATTGACGCTACAGCGTGAAAACCACTTGAAGAAACTGCTAATAGCATTGAAGAAATCTGAGTCAATCACACAAGGAACTTATGATAAACTTTACCCGACAGGTTCATGCATTAGTATATTATACGGTTTGCCTTCAACTAATTAAAATAATGTTCCCCTTAGACCCATATTCTCATGTATTAATAATTATTCCCATAAAGTAGCAATGTTTTTCATCCCTCTTCTTCTCCATCCCCTCTCCGTCAGAACTTACATAGTAAGAGACTCTTTCTATTGTTCAAGAACTACTCAGTCTTGACATCAATACTAACAATGTCGTTATGGCCAGCTTTGATGTCACATCCTTATTTACTAACATTCCTTTGGACGAAACTGTTGATGTGATTTCCAATCAAATATTAGAATCCACATACTTTCGTGGTCTCATCGAATGCGAATTGAGGAAACTTCTTTGTCTCGCTATTAAAAGCTGCCACTTTATATTCAATGGAGTCGTATACCAACAAATAGATGGTGTCGCCATGGGTTTACCCATAGGCCCCCTATTTGCTAATATATTAGCACATCATGAAAAAGACTGGCTTAATGAATGTCCTACTGAATTCAAGCCATTACTGTATCGCCACTATGTTGACGATTACTTTGTGCTTTCGCATCACAACGTCATCCCTCCTCAATATAAATGTTTCTTAATATTCTCTCTCGTGCATTGCTTCTACAAAATCTGCTCTAATCATGAAAACTTCCATAACAAGTTGCTGCGATAGATTCTTAACAACAACAGCTACACAGCCTGTCTGTTTGATCGCTATATACGAACATTTTTAGACAAATTATCCCAACCCCAACGTATTGTTGACACAGTTGCAAAAAAAGTCTTGTACCTCTCCCTACCATATACTAGCAAAAATTCATTATAGATTCATACGCAAATTTCCCGTCTTATTTCTTCAGCATACCCTCATCTTAGCATCCGTTTTGTGTTTCGTTTCACTCTACGTTTGTATCATTTCTTCTCCTTTAAGGACAAAATCCCCAAAGCTATAAAATCTTGTGTGGTTTATTCTTTTAAGTGTCGCCGCTGTTCTTCGTGTTCTCTCCCAAACGAGCTACTCGTTCGGAAAAGCCTCCTAATTTCCAAACACAAACCTTCCCTTAACATCCAGGATAGTTCCGTGCCTCTCCTCCTTTAACTCAACTTTTCCTATTTCCTGTAATTTAGTACCTTGTAAATAGTTATATTTAATTTATTCATGTTAACTGACTTCGCATATTGCTTTGAGAAGGACGAAATGTTAACATTTTGCAATAAATATATATTAACTTTTTTTAACTTTTTTTTATGGCTGTTTTACGTATTATATGCTGTGCTTTAACTTTTATCTTTTGAGTACGATTCCAACCTGGTTTGTCGATCGCAACCTATACAGAATTTTATCCCATCGACACTTTACTCCGACAGGAAAATCATCTATTCTTAATAATTCAGTTTTAGTTATGCAATGTGACGTCACTTTCCTCATATATCGAGCACCACCCAACTTCAATATCTTGAGAATTAGAAAGAGATATGGCTGGCCTAACTGTTTAAGAAAGTACATTGTCATTTTACGATTTTTTTGCAAATAAAGTATTATTTTACAAGCAAAATTTTCGTAATACTAGCCCTTTTAGATCACATATTTAGAGAGAGAAGAGTACACACGGTGACTAAGTTCTTTTCAATTTTCATGTTTGAAAGGCCTGGCCCGAGCATTGGTATCATCAATCAAAAACACGTGTTATTTACATTTATATATATAATTCGACAAGAAATATATTTTACTAAAAGTGTGAGATTTAGTAATGCATAAATATTTACGTAAATTTTTATTAACTACTTTCAAAAATTGTTCCAATTTACTGCAAAATCAAGGCGAGCCAAAACAAGCATTCGATTTTCGTTCATACATTTGCGTTCTCAAACTTCAAACTCGTTTCTGTTTATTAATTACTATTGGTGTTGACCACATGGAAGTTTTCAAAACAAAAAATATTATTAATACTTGCAAAATGAACTTTTCAAATGTGCTCTGTGCTCAAATTCAACCCAATAGATAAACAGCAAAGTAACTTAATTAGCTAAACTATTTGTTATTCTTAAAAACTGAACGTGAAAATGCTACAGCATATATTGATGATGCATTTTTCGGCATTTTTAGATTCCGATTGTGGCCAGGCAGTTTTTCCCAATTGCCAATCTTTTGCTCCTCCTGTGGATAAAAATACAATCAAAATAAATATGAGCCTTAGCTCATTGAGTTTTGATCCAATATTGGTGAAAATTCATGTTCAATGGGAGATTCCGAGAGCAGGTAACGCAAGCCTTAATGGTTTAGATATAGTGCATTCTATCCCCATTATTAGCTAATTGATGTTTTTCACCTTATCTTTTATTATATATTTCTATGGTGGAAACATACATTCTCGGTACTTTCAAAATAGCTAATTGAGCACGAAAAGGACATTTTATAAAGCATCATTTCTCACATCTTGTTTAAGCTAACAAAGTTTCAGATTTTTTGACAACCGTCAGATATTTATTTTTTGAAGGTTATTTTTATTGATTTTAGCTACAAAAAGTTGCATTGAAAACAAAAAATAGAAAACAAGTTAATAACCCAAGATTTGGAAGCTGATCGTTCGAGTTGCTACGTATTAGCAGAATTTCCTATAACTATTATTTGTGCCATATATTTTGAGCCTGTCTTTTCAATTGCTTTTTAGCTAACGGTGTGAAAAGTGCTCCTCGGCAATACAAACCTCACACTAAAATGGATATTGCGATAATTTTCTGTAATATAAAACATTACTAATCCAATTCCCCATTTCCAGCAAAACTTCTTTAATTCTTGCCCACTGATAAAGTTAGCAACATTTTCCTATAATTGTTCAATTTTTTTATACCGTGCACTGCAACATACTAAAAAGACAACGAGTTATTATGAATAAAAGAGTAAATATACAGTGTGTATAAAAAACTGAACAGATAGGAAATCGTCGCTAAACTCATCAGCCAGCGCGATCAGCAAAAACCTAAACACCGGGCTGACCGTATAATTGGGCCGTAAGTTTCGGATTATTTTGAATTTTTCTCAAATAGCATCTTATTAAAATACTCCTCAATTATGCGTAAATTTGGGCTTAAATTAATGCAAATACAAATAATTGATTAGGTTTCAAGAAAATGACTGTTCAAATGGATAAAACGCAAAATAGTCCGCAATTTAGATGCAAATTTGGGCCAAATTTCCCGGAAGTTTGCAAGCTTAAAAACATTTATCATACTTTAACTGTACATGTTGCAATTGCTTTTTCGCTTATAGTCATTTTCGAGCACAAACCGTTTCAAAAATGGTTTTTGTTAACACAATTCTCACTCTAAAAATGGTTATTATTTAAGAAAAATTAACTGTCAGGTGAACCATTGGAAATTCTACCACCTATTTCATTAAATGTTGCGCCTTGCGGGCTGATAACTTAAGGGATGTTTTTCCTTAATTCTTTTAAGATTTTGTACGTAGAGCGCAATTAAATTGTAAATAAGAATATGCCTGCGTTGTGGATATAACTCGTATGAAGTTATAGTGTATATTTTTGTTAAGGAAACTCTGATATCTGGGGATGGCAAATGACTGTTACTGACATTGGCAGGTATCCTGGTATCTATAAATGTCAACAAATTAACAAGAAGGTAACTTACCTTCAACCTGGATCGTTAGACTATTTTATCAACATTATCGGCGACCTGATATTTTGAGTAATAAAAAACACTTCTATTGCTTAAAGTTCTTTACGAGTTGATTCATCATGGAGAAAGAAGCACTAGCATATGGCATTGTACTGTAAATAATCGCCGATATATAGCTACGCAACCATGCATAGGGGTACGTTATGCATAGGTCTCATAACATTTAATTCTCCGTGTCGCAAGCTGGTTTCTTTTTCCTGGAAAAACCAAAAAACTAAATAAATTAGTCTTTGGATTTACTAGGTTTTTATAGGTGACATGGAAGGCTGTCTAAATATATACCGTCATTTTATGAGAAAGTTGCAGCTTTTACACATTTTAAAAATGAAATGATCATAGTGACTCATACGCGACTCATACGTTTCTATCATATATTCATGGCAGTGTGACAGGACTTTTAGCAAAAATTACACGGCCTATTTAAGTTTTTTAACCTCTCAAATAATTGTGTCCCTATTTTCCTATAGTATTCTAAATCAATGAACGGCGCATACTACGTTGATTACGTTATAACAGACGTGGCTCTTGATACACTAAAGTTGTTGCGCATTCAGAGTCTCCCAGCCATGGCAGATTCAACAGCAGCGGAGAAGACGATTACAACAGCAGGTATATCATTTATCTTGTTTATCAAAAAACATATTTTTACGAACGTAAGAATCCGTATCAACAAAGGAAAGAATCCGTATCAACTTTTAACGGCATCACTTGAGGGAGTAGCAGTTGTAGTGCCGTAATATTAGCTGAAATATTATTAATAAAAAAAGCACTGTTTGTGGATGAAAATTATGAGGACACATTACAAAAAGCAGGCTTGAAATCGTTGCAAAATAGAAGAGATAGGTTTTCTACAGAGCTTTTTCATTCAATATCTTTATGCAATGATCATATTTTAGGTAATTTACTACGGCCATTAAGGATTTATATTATGTATAATCTCTGTATTTTTAAGATGAATAGATTCAGAGCTTGTTTTATTATTTATTTTGCTTCTAGAGCTTAATTAATATTAGTATTTTTTTATTAATACTATTGTAAAATCATAATATTTTATGTAAAATATCGTTTCTTTTATGAAATAACTTAATGTATGTAATTCAGACATAATTCAGTTTTTTAAATTGCCATGTGTAGAAATTGATAAACTATTTAACTAAATAATTAAGGTAACTGGACTATGCATATTATTCTTTCTTATCGTAGCTCGCTGTCACATCATTCCAGATTTACCTTGCTGTTGTAAGTACTTTAACGTAAATATATAAATGTCGAATTTAAGAAGATAAAAGTAACCATTCCAGCAAAGAATGTCCTTGGCGTTTTTGTAACTAAGTGCAATTTCTATAGCGTATCCGTGAAACAAGTTTTTCATTTGCTTAAATCGTTTCTTGTTCGTGGCAAAATAATTGATTGATACATGATTAAAGGTAACATGATCAATACAAAATATACACATCACCTACCTTTAATGACATTTAAGAAATAAAAAATGTTTATTGTGTTTTCACAGGCTTATGCGAACCGAGTTGACCTTCGGGAGAATTTGAGATTTATGCAAGCCTGAGACCGAAGGTCGAGGGTTGCACATGCACAAGAGTTCTCACAAACGACTCCGAGATTTGCATAAGCCAGTGAAAACACAGTAAACATCTTTTATTTGTTTTTAAATAACAATAATACGAAACAAGTAAAACGTTAGTATTCTTCTAACGTGTATTCATGATTGATTTGCAAATTCTCTTTGAGTGATTGTATTATGTGATTGGTTGTGCACAGATTGTTTTGCACAGGCTAATGCAAACGCAGCTCTAGACCAGTCAGCGCACGCATTTCGTTGTGTTTATTTTATAATAGAATTTGTTTTGATTCAGGCTTCTTGCTACAACAAATAAGGCCCATTTAAAACAAAGGTTCTGCGCGTGAGAAGAACGACGTTTGACCTAGGTCTTAAATTGTAACTGTAGTTGCAAAAGAATAATCAATTGAGAAATTTTATCACTGTTACGTTAGAAATTGCACAAATTTTTATTAACGCCAACAAAATTTTTGGAGGAAGGGATATTTTAACATTATGAAATGAAAATTATACTATTTTATTTTCTCTTAATCTAAGATCAAGCAAAAAACATCGTCGTGAAACAACTTAATTCAACGAGTGTTTCTTTGACATGGAATGATATGAACAAAACAACTCTTCATTTGGGAAAGTTAAAAAGTTTTTTCTTAAATTACAATTCTTCCTCGTGTCACGAAAGCACAATCGTTGTAAATGCACAGGTAAATGTAAATGTCATTAAGTAAGCGAGTCTCAGGGTGTTGTTAGCAGACTGTATATTTTATATCAAATCATAGTTTTAATCTAGTTCTTTCTCACAAGTTCCACATACCAGTATACAGAGCGTTACCTATTGAAAAGAATTTTTATGAAGTTTTTTGTTCGACACACCAATATAGCCGCTTTTTTCATAGTCATGTTGATCGTATTGACCCCTATGGAGTGAGTGAAAAGTCTATGAAGTATTTTAAATTGATACTTCCAAAACAACAGATGTTGATAGAATTACTTAGTCACTTGAGAATAAGTCGTGTTATTAATTTTGAAAAATCTAATCTTCGCACTTGAATTTTTTGTGAAAATTTTAAAATCATCTATGATTAGCTGATTTTGAAAATATTTGAGAACAGTTGAGAACAATGTTATTAAATAATAAAGACGTACCAAGGATGCTTTTAAAAGTCATTAGACATGCATTTAAATGAACGATAATTTTTTTATAAGCACGCATGGGATTTATTAGTAATATCCTGTACCTATTATGTAAATATTCTTATTCCCTTCGCACTGAAAATGGAATAAAGTATTCCGAAACATGTTTGCATTTAAAAAAATTGTCGTTCATTTGAAATGTCTAATATCCTGGGTAATTAAAGTCAAATTTGTGCACACATTTGCCCAACATAGACATGATAAGAAGACCATGGATTTCGAATATGAAAAGCCCGTATATTTTAAGTCATCATCAGACATACGTTTCTCACCTTGATTAAATTTCTGGCAAAACGTGATCAAAGACGCTTAAAAGTTGTATACTGAGCATTTATATTTGTATTAAGAATTCATTTTCCCCCTTGCAGATTGTATGTATTTATGGTATTCAAGTAGTTTATTGCAAATTTCCCGCATTAAAATGATTTGCAACATACCTTACAGCAAATTACCGTTTTAATAACTCTATGAAACGACGACTTTGTATTGCAAACCTGAGAAAAAATCATCATGAATTTATTGCCCGGTAAACATGAGCAAAACAGCGATATAAATATAAAATATATTAAGTTAAAGCCATTTATATATTTTAAATAACATAAAATTTGCTTTTACAATAAATAACTTCAGTCTTCATTTCTTTTGTTGATTCTTTTATCAACTTAAATTTTCTAATTTTGATATTTCTTTGCTGAAAAATTTCAGACGGCAATGAATAATTCCCAAATAATCATCAATGATCTTAAACACCACTGCAGAAGGTATACCATCCAGGTAAAAGTCAACCAACTAACACGTAACAATGTATTTTTATAAACAATATCTTTTGAATTGTCCAAAAGCGTAAGATTTATGATTACTTTGTATGGTTTATTATTAGCAAACCAATTCTAAAAGTCTTCAAGTTTTTAACATAAAGGTACATTCGATTTTTCAGGTTACACCCATTTTTAGTGATGATTGGTGTGCGTTGTGCAAATCAACATGCCACGCAGATTTCAATAAAGGAATACCTTCTACCAGAAAAACGTTTGAAATGATTTCAAATGCAAAAGGTATTTTGTGTATTAACGTTTAAAGCTAACCGAAAAAATGACCACATTTATTTACTGTTTATATACACATACTAGGTAGGGTAGGTAGTTATAGCCTGCAGGTTTTATGCACGCATTCTAAATACCTGCTCACTCTCACACCAAGTAAGTGCCATAAAAAATTGCACTCCCTCTCTGGCAAATTCCTTTCTTCAGCAACAGTAAGATTTTTGCTAAAATAGTACCCAAAGTAGGCACTCGTTTAAAGTGAAAACTCTATCTTGGAATAATTATGTGGTGATTTTGAAGCCCGACTCATGAGAACAAGTGTGAGTTTGTGTGTGTGAGCTTTTAAATTGTGCGCGTTATGGTCTTGCTCTGGACTATTAATCATTGACAAGGTAGAACTAAATAAAGGATGTCCCCCCACCCCATAAATTAATTATGTAATTTCTGCAATTATTATACTCTATTACGTAATTAGCATTCAAAACAGTTTAATAAACTTGACAGTTCTTCCCTTCCAGGATATCATAGGGTTTATAGGGTGTTAATGTAAAAAAGGTTAAAAGTATTATCATAAAATGATTTTCATCTCACATGTATGACGCAAAAGCCTTTTAAAATCAAAACAAAACTCGTACGCTCCCGTACGCCTATGCCCAAGAGTTCAGAAACTTAAGAGGAAACCAAAAAAGTTAAAAGAATGAAGAAACACTTATAGTGTTTTAATTGTAAAACATATCTTTTCATAACTACTGGGTTTTTCTTTGTTCTCTCTTCGGTTTCCTAAGTTTGAGAACTTCTGAGTTTCTATTGGCTTTCGAATTTTGGCTATACGCCATGGTTATGTCAAGGCAACGACAACAATATCAATGCAATTATTGTTATGTTATTTTAAAGTATTATTATTATTATGATTAAGATAGAACTGCCTTCTGCATGATCTCCCAAGTAAGATACGATGCTTACTTACCATGCATTCATGATTTTTTTGTTTAGTGAATTATCACGTTAAGAATGCCACCATGAATAACTTGTATAAACCTGTAATTATTGTGACTGTCGTTCTTATTGCTACTATTTTACTCGTGTTGGTCGCTATTTTTCGCAAGAAAAAAAAAGGTAAACCTTATCTTATTTATTTGTTATTACATCAAGCTCATTTATCCTTTGTCAACTAACCGAACTAATATGGCTACTCTAAAAAGTGGAGAGCATGAGAAAGAGAATCTTAATGAGCAAGCATTCTAAAATTTATTCCAAACTTTTTTAGCAAAATTTTTATAAAATATGAAGTACATGGCTTGCCCACGAAGCTTATAAAAATCATTTTTAAAATATCGCCACGTTTTGCTTTGCCATTGTATAGAAATTTAGCAAAAACAGCGTATTGTCTAACGTCTGTGAAATTGGCGTAAACGTACCATATATATGCATAGGTGAATATTAGCTACTACCACGCCATTTTTACGTCATTTTTATAGCGTCCTTTACGTAATTTTCTCGGGGTCGAAGATACGTAGTGTTAGTTGGATTTCTTTAATAGTTCCGAGTTTCATTATACATATAAATTATATATAAAAATTGAGTTTGATAGTCCATAACATTGAAACAAACGGGGAAAACAGGATGCACGTGTTTTCCTCAATTATTGACACTTGGCTTTGGGATTCTTCATACTGTTGCTTTTCAAACAGATAAAAAAAAGATGATCATAAAGTCGATGACAATACCTGAAAGGAAACTAGGTAAAAGTTAAAGTAAGATATAGAAATATTTATGTGGATCGCATGCTGGAAAATTTCCAAAAACAAACGTCAAAGACAATGAATTAACGTATTATTCATACGAAAAATGTTCCTTACAAGGACGGCGAAAGATTGATAATTGGGGGAGGCTCAGATTCGCTTATTCATGAGTTACTATTTGTAATGACAATTGACTTCAGTATAAATTAACAAAGTAGAACATCATTATATGAATATTAGCCACCCTTAATTGCCAATTTTCCGTCCATCGAAATTCATTGATTGGAAACTGGTTTGTTAAATGCTCTTTACCCTTTTTAGTGACGAAAGTTTTTATCATTCACGGGAGCCACTGCGAAGGTTGCGAAGATGTGGCAATTGCTCTTGCTACGTATTTGAACTTAACAGGCTATTGCGAATGTTCCCTTGATCTTTGTGCACATCCGAACGATTGGTCCCAGGGTACTATGCAATATTACGAAAATAGCATTGCAGTTTGCTCAAAGGTCATTGTACTGTTTACTGTCAACAAGAACCTTCAATGGGATGATGGCGTAAAAGGTAGGTAAATACCCTTAATCATCGCGACCTTATATGCATTTTTACCAGATTTGGTCAAATGGGCATATCCGTCTATTCTGGACAATGACCCTGTTTTAAATATTTTCCTTGTTCGTAGTTTTACAACTACGCTGTTGGTTATATTATTCTAGAGAAGATTTAAGTCTAAAATTAACACTATAGGATTCGCTCTAAAGTATGTTAAAATAGAAGTTTATTTCCAGTAATATGTTCTGGCCAACCCCTGATCCGCTTCTGTATATCACACCAGGTGGAAGATTTTAAGTTCATAAAACCAATTCTAATGTAAAAAAATGAATACAAGGCCACACGGCCATGAACATACAATGTTTTAGTAAATAGGATGTATAAAAAAACCTGAGCAGATAGGAAAACGCTGCTAAAGTTATCAGCGTGCTAGATATGCAGAAACCTTTGATGGAATAGGTTGTTGCACTTGCAATGAATCGTCTGACATTAAAATTTTGCAAATATTAACCACTTTAGAATGAGAATTGGGTTACCTAGATGCATTTTTGAAGTAGCTTGTGCACAAAAATTACAAAGCTAAAAACCAATTTGGAACTCGTATGGTTAAAATATGGTACATGTTGTTCAATCTTACGAACTTTTAGGAAAATTAGTCAAACCGTGCACGAACGCTAAAATGCGGATTATTTTACATCAATTATTCATATTTGGATTAATTTAAGCTCCATATTTGGATTAATCCATTATTCATATTTGGATCCATTAGCTGCATTATTCATATTTGGATTAATTTTTCATAATTGATAAGGATTTATACAGGAAGAGTACAAAGTAGTTCACAATTTTAATGCTAAACATTCGCGCACGCATCAGACAAAAGCCCTTAAACTTTGTTAGCGTGAGCAGCATGTGCCGTATTTTAACACTATGTGTTCAATTGATTTTCAGCTGCATCATTTTCGTGCGCAAGCTATTTCAAAAGGGTTTTTTAGTAACACAATTTGCACTCTAAAGATGGTTATTATTTGCGAAACTTTTAATGTCAGGTGAGCCATTGGAAGTCTTAACACTTATTCCATCAAAGTTTTTGCAGATCTTATGTGCTCACGACTTAGCGACGATTTCCTTGTTTTTAGTTTTTTTATAAACTCTGTTTGGCAAACTGGATTATAGATAATGCTAATTTGCGTGAGTACTACTCAATGTGCAATGTCGCCGTCTTCGAAATACAAAGTAGTAGTTACCTCGTGTTATGCTTTGCATGAAAAATCTTTTCCTTGCAGTAAATATGCTTATGATTTATATCTATTTGACTATTTAAGCGAGAAACTTAATCTATCAAGAGAATTTAATTCGCTCTGAGATTAAGTCGAATAACAAGACCAAAAAGTTCATCCCTGTTTACGTGGATCCCTTGTCCGACGGTGATCTTCCTCTCTTCATACAAAACAAGAAGTCGTTTTCGTTACCGTCCCAGCTCGCAGACCTCATCTTCTTTATCATTGAGGAGCCCATGTGTAAACCATTGCCCAATTGCTCGAAGCAGTCTCTTCAGGAAGACATGAACCTTGTTACGCAGAGGAAACTTTTTGAAGTCCAGATTAAGAATCTAAATGCCAAGCATCATAAGAAACTTAAAAGCATCAACAACAATGCACTTACAGCTGAGGTAAGATTTACTATACAGACGCCTGTTCTTTTTTTATAGTTAATTATTTGTAGTTAATCATAGTGTAATCACTGAAATTGCCTCTATATTTGTGTTGTTTTTTTTAACTCACAACACTTTTTTTGACGCACATAAGAAGAAGAAATCGAAACGACTTTTCAATTATATTACAATTGGCGACATTTTACGAAACGTATGGTGGACTGAGCAGCAATAATATTGTTTGAGACTATTGTTTGAGACACATGCAAAATTATGTATTTGCCCTTATATACCATATTTGGTACATTTAGATTGCTTTGTTATGACGAAAAAATCTGTATTTGAGTAATGGGGCTGATCAGGTTGAACAGGAAGAATTTTAATACGTTGAAAAGAAGAGCAATCGTCATGTTCTGTGTAATCTGTGGCTAATTTCATTCGTGCAAAAACAATTCGTTTTCCCATGTCAATTCTGAGAAATTAGAATATTTTACAAAATTGGAAATTGCTTTAGAATTTTAACTAAACGAAAGTAACTTTCAATTTCATATTTTTAATAAAGTACATATTAAACCATCACAGACACTGTTAATAAATTGTATTTGATGTTTGACTTTTAAGTTAAGATAATACGTGGTCCCCGACACACTCACGAATTCTTGCCATTTTCTGTGTTTGGGAATAAGCATTAATTAGTGAAGTTTCTAATGCACTGTTGCCATTTTAATGAGCAATAGAGCAATTGTAATGTATGATTTTTCACGTTTCTTGCCTATGATGGACCAGCTTATGATTTGATTAGGTTTGTTCAATGTGATGAAAGCAATGAAAGAAGAAAAGGCAACAATGAAGGCACTATTTGTTGTGGAGTTTTTTTTGCGTTCTGCCGATCAGCTGTTAGATAGGATGACACCTGAATTTAGTGAAGAAGGAAGCAATTGCAAAATGGCAGAAGTTGATGTTTATAAATTCTTTCTCGATTTCTTGCAGGATTCCAATGCTTTCCAAGGTATATCTGCTGTGTTGCAAATACAGCATACTTGATGTATAATGTAAAAAAAGATCTTCCAATATTCTACTCCTGTTCACAACTTGAAAAAATTGCCATTTCATTCAAACTCTTAACTCAATATTAGACTTCCATGAATTGATCAGTTTTATAATTGATAACTTGAGTGACATACTTGCCCGATTGCATTTAATACCACTGCCTCACGATCTTTATAAGTTCAAAATGAGATTTGAAATTTGAATCGATTGGGTTTTTTATTCTAGGGACGCATGCCATTAACACCTTGTGCGTGTTGCAAAAATTCATAACTGGATGCGAGCAACTTCCACCATTAGGATTACCAAAAGCCATAAAGGTTAAATTGAAGCATGGATGTACAGAAGGTTGCATGTGTCGGCCAACTGCTTCAACTTGTGATCTAACAATTACATAGCTTGTTCATTATAGAGATAGTTACAACCAACTAAAAGAGGCAATTGACTCTGCACTTATCGAAGGAAAAAGAATTGGTTTCATTTAATAACGATAATTGTATTTTATCATTTACGGGGGAATAGCAACCAACCAAAATTCATAATTTTTTAATGGTAACAACTGCATTATTAGTTATTAGTTAAGTTCATATTTAATTGTTTTCTTAAAAAACGTTAGGTAACAATGAATCCAATTTGAAGCATGTTATTAATCTTTCATATTAGTACTCTATAGCTCTTGTTACGAAAGAGCAATGCATTTTGGCATATGTAATGAACATTAAATTTCATCACTAAATGAATATTCAGTTCCAACTTTTTCCTTTAAATTGCAAAACAAATCTAAGGCCTCCTTGGAACTGTCTGGATATCTGACACTTTCGTGATCCATAACATACTGAGAGTATTCCTGATATGAACTTTCGTCATTGGTGTCTTCGAAGTGACGCAATTTCATTTCATCAATTTTATTCTGACTGACCCTAACCAGACAGTTAATACCCCCCCCCCCAGAATCTTTTGGCAAATAAAATAATAAATCAGGAACTCCTGGAGTGGTTTCATGGCGAGATGACCTAATATAATGCGTATTCCAGTATGCTTTCATTTTGTTTAATTATGCTTGAATTACATCTTGGAAACAGAATCATAAGCACTGTCTGTGTAATGTGCTTTCAAAGTTCACTGATCCGCTATCCCATAAATCCTTGAAAAAGTTTATCCACCAATCTGCAAAAGTTAAAGTATGTGATCACAATTACCTACAACTACTATCACTTTAAACAACTTTTCATGCCATCTCTTTTAATTTATATTTTATAAAGTTATTGCGTCTTTGTTGACTCTCAAAAATGACTCTGAAGATGACTCTGAAGATGACTACCGCTAAGGTTGTCGAAACGTCAGTCAACAACAACAAAAACAGTCCTTCTCAGGACTATACCAACCTGGACGATCTACATTTACAAACATGTAATCACAATCTACATACCACATGTCCACTATCAATCCAATCACGTTGACTGTGGAGTGTTTGCCATTGGATTTCTTATGATGAAACAACTTTGATATATAATGAAGGCTCTATGCGATCACACTTGTTGAGTTGTCTGAACAAAGATAAGTTTGATGACTCTGACTTTTGATGACTTCAAAATATAACTCTAAAGATGACTCTGAAGATGACTACCGCTAAGGTTGTCGAAACGTCAGTCAACAACAACAAAAACAGTCCTTCTCAGGACTATACCAACCTGGATGATCTACATCTACAAACATGTAACGATACTCCCAGGTTCAAACCATTTACATAACACAATGCCAAAATATTACAAGAATAACACAATAATCTTTACACATTTTGCTAAATATTTCCATTAACACTCTACTATTTGGTTTTTTTATTCTCATTCAGCAAAAAACAGTATTATGTTAGAGAACCTAGTGCACTTTCAATTCATAAGTTGTAATTTTATAAAAAAATGTACTTCGCAGCAGTAGATTAAGGGTTATGTTGAATAGTTTCGTAACAGCTCACCACGATTTAACTTGCAGTTGACAGGCCAACATTTTTCCGCACATTTTCCCTAAGATTCGATAAAGATAATTGTACCAGGCTGTTCACAAACAAGTACATAGAGTGCGAGTGTTTATATTTATGTAAACTTGAAGAAATTCACGGTCCCACAAAAAAATGCCGAGTGTGGAGTTATTTTGAATTTAAATTGTTATTTAAATATAACAGAAGTTTCTTTACCCTAGATTTTTTTATATTCTTGATTGTGTATTCGATAAAACGCTAAAGCATATTTTTCAATCCAAAACGTTATTCGTAGTTGTTTTCACTTTTCACTGATTCTCAAGGGGGAGAGAATGATAAAAATAAATTTTCAAGTGGAAGATTTTACCTCCAAGTAATTTAATAGATCTCAATGGTATGAACTCCAATCAAAGCGCGCCATTATAGCGGCAGTGACGCTTGCTTTACAATAAAATACCTTAATTTGCAAGAACACTAGTTTACCAAAATAAACGTGTAAAATTACTCGATATGTCTCTTTCTATGAATACTTGTAAATGAGTAATGGTACTTGTAAAATCAAATTACAAGCAATAAGAAACAAAATTTTGCGTGATATCGATTTCGAAATCGCTGGTTCTGCGAAAAATCATATCATTGTGCATAAATCAACATTCACGCTGCAAGAATGTTGGACAAAAAACGAGTAGCTCAAGATCTCTACTCTCTAGTAAGCAAGGCTCTCACGATCAAACGTAAGAATTCCTTGGATGGAGGCTAAAGATATTCAAAAATTATCCCATATTTCTGACTGAGAATTCCTCAGAAAAAATATGGCTGTACATGAAGTTAAACGTTCCTTAGTTTACAGTAAGATTATACAACGATAAGAGCTAAACCATAGCCGTGCGGGATAGGGGGCAGCTGCCCCGACGCCCAAGAAAGTTTGAAGATTGAAAAAATGGGCATATTTTAAACGTTATAGTCGGGGGAAAACGGTCTATTTGCCAAACAAAAATGGGATTTGAATTTTCAGAAAAAATATTTGATCGCGAAACAATAATGACAAAATATTTGACAAAATCTTACAAAAAATTTATTATTCTACAAAAGATTTTATTGACGCCATTTAGTGTGAAAAAACACGGTTTACCCTTTCGGATAAAACACGCATGAGCCTCGAAACACACGTTTTGTATAATATCAGCTCATCCCGTCCGTCCGTCCACGAATGTCATTCGTCCGCAAATTTTCATCCGCCATTTTCCGTCCGTCCTTATCCGTATTTTATCCTAACACTTGGTGAATGGCGTATTTTTAATTGATTCTCATTTCGAAATGGATTCTTATAACGTAGAAAACTTATTTCTAAAAGTATTTTCGACAATTGTCTTTCCTGCGCGCAATTTTTCCGATATGTTTCTCATAGGAAACTGGAGATCGTTAATGTGGAGAGCATTAGCATATTCATATAATCATGATACACAGTGTATAGTTCCTTTTATGTCCTTAAGGGTTCACTGGTCACCAAAACATTTTTGGGTTTTGTTGCGATCAGGTTGGAACTTAGCCAGTTTTCAGGACATGCAACTAGCCAACAACTAACACAAAAATGAATTTTCCAGAGTTACCTGTGCTATGGTAACCGAAACCAACTAACTACAATACTAAAAAATGGATAAATTTGTAGAAATTGTATCAAGAGAAGGGAACAGGATTAAACAAGGAATTGACTTCAATTTGATAAATTATGACATGTGTTTTTGGGGGGATGAACTGCAATCAAATTTATAGAAAAATCAATACAGATTTTATGGACAGTTTATTGAATTGGCCGAAATTGACTGCAATATTTTTGGTTTAATGGCAGATTTTTTCATATTCCCAGTTCATTCTCAAAAGAGTGGCATGAAGAAACTACTTTGTGAATAAAAAATTCACAAATTTCATTGAAAACGGCTAAAGTTTAATAGTGGACCCCCATTAAATCATAATATGAATATATGAGCATGAGTCCCTCCCCCACCAAATATTAATCTTCTCACCCCCAGCCAGCAGTAATTCTCACCCCTACATGTTTGAAAGAAATTTATGCTGAAAGGAGTTTGCTAATCCAGTAAAATCTGCATTCACAATAAAACTTAAGCAAGCAAGTTGTTCGCTCTGTCGTCCAAATTATCGTACATTTACTCTGTCGTCCATTTACTTTAATACGATCAAAACTTAATAAAGTTTGTCGTGCTCAAATGGTAGTAAAAATCATATAAGAGTAAAACTCTGAGATCGTATTTGTCACAATCACAAAGCCATGTTAAAGTCAAACAAAAAGATGGCCCTTAAAGGGTTAATGACTTACACCATGCAGAATTTGTAAATCATTTCGTTTTTAAAGATTTAAAGATGTTTTTAGCAGATTGTAATAATTCTCTTCATGGCACTCCCCTGTAGTGAATCTGTTGCAAAACATGCAACATGGCGTCTTCTTGCAACACACTTTGTAAATGTTCGTCGGTTGAACAATTTGTAATCTGTACGCCAATAAAAATTAATTTCACGGTGCTGGTCCACCTTGCACAATTGGACTAGCCATCAGTTGACCTGCTACTTTGAACTTGTCACTCCTAAGCGCTGCCATGTCAAGTAAAGGCATCCATTATTAAACAGCAAATATGCAAATTGTTCATTTTATTTGCAGGTCTGGTAAGCAACTGAAACATGTATACCAGACAAAAATTCACGACGAGGTCCGCCATCATGTTACTTTCAGCAACTGCTTGTTATTGAACTATTGTTTCTTTGAAATTTCCAAATAGTCTTTGAAAACTGATTTTTGCCTCAATGGAGTTCACATGTTCAGCAAGCTCAGCTATCAAATCTTTCATCTTCTTTTTCATATCAACCAGATTCACATTACTATCATCACATGTTTCAGAAAAATCATCATTTTTGACAGATATATCAAAAGGATCATCTTTTATTGATCCAATTGGGTCTATCCACTTGTCAGCACAAATGTATTCATGTGCCTCAATTGGAATCTGGAAAATCTTGAACTCTGTCTAAATCTATTGTAGCACACAGATAAAAATATATATTCGAATAGGGTTTTCCTAACTCCTGTTTGTACTCACTCAATACAAACTGTGCTGCACTGCCAGGTAACTTCTGTACAATAGAATGATCTGGATAGAGAAGAGTGTAGGAAGTATACTTATTGAACTGTCTAAAATGCTTCGAATGTTTATCTATTGCAGCCTTCATTAAGTTAGCTGCATTACATTGAGATGAAACAATTAGGGGTAGTGTTCTTCCCTTCAGCCTTTTTAACCTTTTCCCTTCAGCTTCTACGACACTAACTTGAATTTTAAAGTCCTCGTGTTGTTTTGGTTTCTTATACAATAGCATTCTCTCAGTTTGACTCCCTTGCTTTCTTTTCCGATATTCGTTGAATGTTAATGTTGACACATCCGTCTAGTGGAGTCATTTGACGTCAGCAAACTCGAACTTGAACTGGATGATAATGTTGGCTCATTAATGCTTGGTGTTGAAGGTAGAGTTTCTGATTAGAAAAATTTGAAAAGGAAATATTAGTGCTATGTAATGTAAATGCATCAAAGAGAAATATGTGTATAAATGCAAATTAAAATTACTAGCCTTTCGCAAAATTTGCCCTATTAACATGTAAAATGAAAATACATTATAATTTTTTCAGAATCTTTTAAATAACCACAATAATATTTACGAACAATTAATATCCACAATTCATTATAGATGATTCTATTGATTCATTATAGAAAAAATTTAAGAAGAAACGTTTTATTATCTGCAGATGTTGGTTTCCCGCAGTTATGACAGTATTTTGCTGCCTCATTAGCAAATTCCGTGCCACATTCGCTACAAAAACCGCCATTTTAAGGTCTCACTTTTGCTATACAAATTTCACTTTGTGGTTTCACTATGTTGTTTCCGCCGCCATTTTGAATTGTTAGAATTTGATATATTTGACAACTAAAGCCGGTCCACCTCCGATATTTCCCATTTCTACGGAGAAGGTCCATTTCTGCGGAGGTCTATTTCTACGGAGAAGGTCTATTTCTACGGAGAAGATCCATTTCTACGGAGAAGGTCCATTTCCACGGAGAAGGTCTATTTCTACGGAGAAGGTCTATTTCTACGGAGAAGGTACATTTCTACGGAGAAGGTCTATTTCTACGGAGAAGGTCTATTTCTACGGAGAAGGTCTATTTCTACGGAGAAGGTACATTTCTACGGAGAAGGTCTATTTCTACGGGAAGGTCTATTTCTACGGAGAAGATCTATTTGTACGGAGAAGGTCTATTTCTACGGAGAAGGTCTATTTGTACGGAGAAGGTCTATTTTTACGGAAAAGGTCTATTTCTCCGGAGATCTATTTCTATGAATCAGGTTACAAATAAGTGAAGACTGCACATGAGTTTTGTATAAAGATGTCGTGTCCCTTGTGGCCACCGTACAAACTTCGTGAAGCAAACAGCAAAACTCAAAAAAAAACGAAACAAAAAATCATTTGCGAATGTGAGTCGAAGGAAAAACTCTCGGAAAAGAGTATGACTATCCAGACGATACAATTAGAAACGATCTTTTTTTACTGACAAAAACTAGAAAAGTGAAAGGCAACCCATACAAAACACCAAAGATGAGAAAGAAAGCAAGCTTCGTTTCAGGTCAAACGGGCTCGTTACGGGCTTGGTCTGTACAAAAAGACTTCGGTGCAATATTTCTCCGTAAAGACCTCGAGCTCGTTAAGGGCATAATTGTATTCAACTGCGCAACACGTAAATTCGTCTGACTTCAAAATCATTGTAACATTTCATTGTTAATAGTATCGATGATAGTATCATAGAGATCTCATTGATCATTGAAAATAAGTGGCTTGTCTTGATACCAAACCATTTTTTCATTCATCAACAAGAAAAAAAAGTATAAGGCATATAATTAAAAGCTAAATATTATTTACATTTTTCATAAAAAAAGCTAAAGCACTTAACATCCTTTGCATTCATATGTCTTTTTAACTTTGACACCATGTGCCAATTTATTCGAAAGGCTATTTTAATAGCAGCTGGATAAATTTTGATTTGTTATGAAGCACCTTAGGACGCCTAAATATGAAAACAAAAGCACATCTGGCCATAAAAGACACAGGAAAAATATTTTCCGTTAATAATGTTTCTTTGTTTGGTAGTTTTTCGATGCATTCCTGAACTTAAACGTTTTATTTCTTCTTCTGGGATTTTTAGAGTGTAGGTTGTATTTGAAACGGTTCTATTATCGACGAACTCGGTGTTGCAACGTCAAAAATTTGAAATTCATAATTATGCTTTTCCATTCTTTTACGCAATCATCTTTTGAATTTTATACAATGATAATATCTCAAATTCATGAATGCTAAATTATAACAAATCAATACTTCAATTGAACTGTAGAAGACATCGTCGAGCACATCTTGAATAACTTGTATCAATGTATTTTTTGTCTTTCACCAAACCCTTTTTCCATCACTTGCTTTTTGTTCTGATATGTCTGGAGCTAAGTACTCTGCATGGTTATAGCAGACCCAAGGTATCTAACTTTTCTTATGAATCTTGTCGTTTGATTTCAAGTGTACTTTGTTGATGTAGCATCACTTGATATTATTAAAGATTCGGTCATGATAAATTTTGTCATTAAAATTCGACAACGTTGAACTGTAGAGCGATTTTCCCAAACATGTGTATGTATAGCCGCGTAGTTAATTTATAACAAGTCAATTAAATCGAGCAAACTGTGAAAATAAATTGTGGTAATTACAGCAATAATAAAAAACCTTGACAGCTTATTCATACATAAAAAATGAAATGCCTGCGTTCACAAACCACCGATGATTTTAATCGATTCTGGCCTCTCACTTTGTTTTGAAATTTTCGGTCAATTTTCAACTTACGCACGACTTTATCGAAATGGATGGCGTACTTTGTGACAGCACTTTAATGTGTTTCAACAAGTGATAGATAGTTGCTGTCGTATTGATTCAGAGTATTATAGCGTTATAGCAATAGTATTCTATTCAAATTAAGGCAACGCGTACTTAGATATCTTAGATTATTATATTTTATAAACGTCAGTTAATGAAATAGTCTGTCAATGAATCGCATCAAGGGATTGTTGTTGTCTTCTTGGCAGGTTTAGTTGAAAGATCTTTTATCGAAATCACTTGATCATCCTGAAATAACACATCCTCGGTATGACCTAATGCCTCTTTTCTTGCAAAATTGACGATCTTTCGGAGTCGATTTGTTATATTGCTTGACCGCTTAGTTAAATAGAATGATTCACATAATAATTACTGACGCAAACTCGATTGTCTTTCTATACGTTTTAAAAATATATTATAATATTCACTGTATGTTTGGAGAAGAATGTTTTACATCAATTATGAATCAGTATATTAGAAACGTAAGTGTATTACAGCTTGGGATACACAATTCTAAATGAATTTGTGTTGTTCAACGGATAGGATTTTTAAATGAGTCTTTTAACTAAGTTTTTATTCATACACTATAATAGATATTTATATGCTATGCAAAACAATGAAGATTTATTAACTGCGAGTTAACCAACCGAGCGTGAGTTTTAAACAAAGTATCAGTCGATGGGCACTTTAGACATAGCAAGACTGATATTTGTCGGTACATATCAAAGATTAGCGTTCGATTTATGACGTATTGCACCTGTGTACAAAAGATTTTTATGATTGTAGATACTAGAGTGCAATGTTTGAAAAAATATTAAGTGCGAGAATGTCAAACTACATTGGAGTGATTGTCTGAAAATTTCAAATTTATTGTATCAGAATTTCGTATTTATAAATTTCTCATTTCTCACTGCAGATAAGAATTTAGATTAATTAGACAATAAGCAATCCATACATTTCATCCAGTTTATATATTCAAAATTTATATTCTTATATATCAAATATATTTATATTATATATGCAAATATATATTCAAAATTTCTCTTTTTGCTGTTGCCATTAATTATCATCATTGTAGGCTATATAAAAGCTACAAACTCCAACTTTTTTAACCACTAAAAAGGTCATCATTTTTGTGGGCTATCAGCAATGTTGAATTATGTCATTGAAAAGCATCGCAGGCATGACTGAGTCCTGCTTCAGCCACAATATCAGAAAGCATCTCAGGCTTGCCTTAATAATGCCTCAGTCATGTCTCAGTCATATGTGAACCAGGCTTTAATCTTGTTAAAGCTAATACGTAGCAGTTTTGTTAACGCACCATTAAAAACGCTTCATGCAATTTTTCATAGCAGAAATTGATATAATTCGCATGTCAACCTTGTGAAGTTTAACTGCTCAAGATGGCCGGTTTCTGGCTTCAAATTTAATTAGTAATGCACGAGCCACGTAATATACATATCAATAAGTGGTCACGTATATAGTAATGGCAACCCACCTTAGATATGGCGCGTTTATACTGTCAAAAATCAAACAGTGCTTTCGAGTCAACTTTTTATGTGTGCCTCAGTAGGAAGATTTATTAACGTACTGCTTAGTACTTATGAGTCTAACCAAATAAATTTTTTGGAAGAATCTCATCAGCAACTATGCAGTTTTCACCATTTGAGATGAAAAATTCTTTGCAAATCTTTCCAAAATATAGAGGTAAATGTTACATATAACATGGCAAGAGAGCATCATAAGAATGCTCGTGCTATGTGGTAGTATAATAAGCCACCGGAAAGTCTTTCAAAATAGAATTGGTAGTCGGGACACGTATGGAATGTAAGCAGAACGCTATAAATAATGCACTAGGATTCGTGATTCATATTCAACAAATACGACTTTGACTAGAGAAAAACTTTATGAAAAACGTGGGATGAAAAATTTTGCTAGTTTATACGAATAGTGATCAATGGGAAGAAAGTTTTTCATCCCACTCCAAAAACCCTTCACTATAAGCAATCTCTTTCTCCTTTGTTGAAGAAATCCTAAATTGCGATATCAACTCCAGTAATGTTGTCCTTTCTAGTTTTGATGTCGTACGGACTCACTGCAGCAGAATTTGAAAAACTACTTTCTCTAGCTGTTAAGAATTATCACTTTATCTTTAACGGGAAAATGTACCAGCAAATTGATGGTGTGGCAATGGGCAGTCTATTGCTGATATATTTATGTCCTTTCACGAACAATCCTGGCTGAATCAATGTCTTTTTTTATTCAAACCACTACTTTATCGACGCTAAGTTGACGACTGTTTTTTACTTTTTCACTCCTCCAATCACGTCCTTTTCTTTCTTGACTATCTGAACTGACAACACCCGAACATCACATTCACAGCTGAAGTCGAACAAAACAGAAAACTATCATTTCTTGACATTGACATCTCTCGCACAAATGAAAAATTCACCACTTCAGTCTACCGCAAACCTACTTTCACTGGCCTCTTCACTAACTTTCCCAGCTTTATCCCACTTACTTACAAACTTTCACTAGTCTCCTGCTTACTTCACTGCATCTTCAACCTTTGTTCTACTTACAAAAATTTTCACACACAACTTGAATTTACCAGAAAGTCACTCACCAAAAACGGTTTTCCTTCAAGTATAATTGACCAAATCACACGTCACTTCCTTAACAACACCTTTGCCCTCAAACCACCTGTCTTGACTGCTCACAAAATGCCCATCTGTTTTTGTCTTCCATTCGCCGGCATACACTCCCTTCAAATTCGCACACAAATCAATAGCCTTTGTGCTGCAGCCTTCCCACATATATCTATTAAATTCATTTTACGCCCTTCCCAACGTATCTCTTCTTTCTTCCCCTTTAAGGACAAAATCCCCAAACCTCTGAGATCTGGTGTGGTTTATTTATTCAAGTGTCGAAGCTGCAACGCCTCGTATGTGGGTCATCTACACACCAGATTTTCGGAGTACTTGGGAATATCCCCCCTTACAGGCAATCAAGTTTCCCACCCTGCGTTATCGAGCATGTTAGCTCACATTAACGCAACTGGACACACCCCCAACTTTGACGACTTTAAAATAATCTCCTCTTCTAACGATTCCTATGAACTCACCATTCATGAGAGCCTTCTAATCAATAAATACAAGCCTTCATTTAACGTGCAAGGAAGTTCCATTCCAATTAACCTCTAAAGACGAAACATCACAATAAATTCAATTTTAAAACTTTTAGTCTATTTCTATGGCTCTAATTAAAAATTTATGTTGGGCATTAATTTTTATTACACGAATTCGATTTCCGCTCGGAAAGTCTCTCGCTACTATTTTAAGTAACAAATTATCTTTGATAAAAATTCACAATATTCTTATTCTGCCAAAGATTAAAAAAAACAAGAATAGTCAGAGAAAAAAAACTTGCATTGAAGCTATCAATGTAAGTCATGTTTCTTAGGCTATTAATTATATTTACATTCAAGTCATAATTTCAATATGAAAGTCAGTCGAGTAAGTTCACTTATTTTAGACCAGAAATTACTTTCATTATATGGTCGTTGTTTTGTTTTCCATTATTAATATTGTTATCTGTGTTTCTTTATTACCTTTCCTCTTTAGTTGTTTATTTTCAGTAAAATTATCGGCTGTAATATTTCTCCTTTTCATTCCATCTACGTTCGCTCCAATGGATATGGTGCCGTGTTCAGTTTTACAATGCATTCTTTAAGGGCGAGAAGGAGTTAAACAAACGCATTTTGATAAAGACATTCATGAACTCGATGTTTCGAAGCAAGTTTACCTTGATTTTTCAAGTTCATCTTTTATTTGTAGTAAGCATTAATTTGGTCTATCAGTAAGCACATTCTGCGACTTAGCGGTTACACTAAAGAATTTTCTCTAGTTTTTTAATCTAAAAAATGACATCCAAAAATGAATTTTTTTTCGTTTCGTTTTGTTTCATTTTGTTTTATTTTACAAAGTAAGTTATCAGGGTACTTTTAAGATATGAACATCAAACAAAACGTATAAAAAATGTTGGGTGCATGAATAGTTAAGTACTAATTTCAGTTCATTGAATGTTGTTATTGTAATATCGTTGTTTGTTGTTCTTATTTATTTTTTGTTCAACATTAAATTCATTATTATATCTTATACAATCCCAACATTATTGCCAACTTACAAAATGATTTAACAGGAACGACCTATTTTACTTTAAGTGAAATTTTTCAAATTAAATGGATGAACGAGGTTTTCATTTTTACCGTTGTACCATTTACGTGGGTCAAGAAGGAAAAATATTTCTTTTCCGTCTTTACTGGCCTTCCAGCTCACAAATAACATAAAATTTGTCATAGAATAAATTGAATTATAGATTCTACAATTCCAAACGTCAAACTAATGAGTACTTTCATATAGTTATATCACTGATATACAGTGCACTCAGTTACGTACTCTTTGTCAAACTTTTTAGTTTTCAGTCCTTCCACTTTAATCTTACAATAATCTTCCTGGACGTTGTATGCATCCCTGACAAGTACTTTGTCTTTTTTACTTTTTTCAACTTCGTTTTCGTGCAATCAATGAATCATTCCAGGGTGAAGCTAAATCCATGTTATAGTTGCCAGTTGTTGTTTTCCTTCTCGTCTACAACCGTGGATAAAGCGTCCTGGAATTTAATTGGAACACTCATTTTTTGCATATGAATTTCTTTAATTTGGCATCATTTGATAATCCATATTGTTGAATAATTGATTTTCTTTCCTTCAATGTCTTCAGTCAAACGTCAAAATTATAGCCTCCTAAGTTTAAAAATTGTTCTCATTTGCACTCCTTAATTACAAACATCCTTTTACTTACAAATTACTAATACTCTCATTGTGCTTGCTTTTATGTAGAGATTTATTGAAAAATACGTTACAGCGAATACAGAACGACAAAACCTTGAATGTATACCAGGAGTTTTTGCTGTGTGGAAGAAAAACAATCGTTCTATTGTTTTGCCTTCCGATCAGAGTTTGAAGTTGAACTTTGATCTTCATGATTTGCAACCTAATGTTTTTCCCATATTATGCCCAAGATATTCCGTATATGATACATACACCTGTCATAACAAGACAAATGGTCCAATTTTAATGATTTTTCATGTAAATGTCACCGGTAAGCATATATATAACACTTAGAAAATATTGATTCAATCAGCAGCATTGAGTAAAATAGGAAGGCAAAAATTACAGTTCTATTCTAGTTATGTTGTGCTTTCTAAATGATAAAAAGTTGTTGAGCTGGGATTTTTTGTGAATGAAATTGTCCTCGTAATTTGAAGTGAATAAAGACTTGAGAAAAAATTAGAGGATGCCAGATGATGCATTGCACAAGTTTAACAAAAACTACAATCACTGCATATGATGAAACGTAATTTCTTTTCATTGTTTGATGAATTACTTTTTCTTATTTCAATCTCTTACTGTTACTCTTCCAAAAATCATTTTATGTATTATGCAACATATTTTACGTATTTTTAACATGTGTTCTTTAAATTTAAGGTAAAAGAGACTGGTGCAGAAGGGGAGACAAAGGTGAGCTTGCAGAGATTGTATGAGTTTCAGAATAGGAAGCTATCTTTGACTTGCTTATTTTTTTGTTTCTTAATGTACAGTATTGGAATATGTCGGCAAGCAGATTTACTCTCGCTGTGTAAATAATTAAATTTTTTTTATTAAAATCATTGACATCTAATCTATATCGCTAGTGAGCTGACTACGCTACAGATAATGTCGCAAAGCTCAATTTAGAAACAACTATCTTAAAACTGTCGTTGAAGAATTATTAATTTGCAACTAAATGTTGTAAAAACACAAACATGTATTACTAGTGTGGGTCAAAATAAATTACTGCAGCACATTTTGCTATATATTTACCGTTTCTAATCCCCTTAGAGGTATATCCATTGGTGAAATTAAATTCTTTGGAAATTCAAAACCAATAGTCTATATATATTTACGTTTCTAACCCTCTTTGTGGCATATCAATAGGGGAAATATATTCTTTAGAAATTCGAAACCAATAGTGTTTTTTTGAAAGTACTTTGAATTTAAAATCATTGAGCTAGAATGTATTTTGACGAACTCTAGATTTGCTACTGTATATTTCTGCGTGGTGCTTCTTAAAATGCAGGATTTTTTATATTTAATATATATTTTTGATTTATCATTTACAAATTTCATAGTTATTCCTTTCCATTGAATCATGGACGTTAAGTGTAGAGCTAGCTATATGTGCAGTAGTAGTATACAAATCAGTATCTAGACGCCTTGTCTTCCTGTTGTAGAAAAAATCAAACCAGAGAAAGAAGAATGTTGCGTTCCATTTTTGGCAAAAGATGTACCATGCTGCATGAGCATACCAGTTGGGCCAAAAGAGATGAATGTATCTCTGTCTTTTTCAATGACAAATAAATGCAACATGTACAAAGGACCTAGTTATATATCAAACCCCTGGAAAATCCATGTCAGTTGGACGAAAAGCGTTATAGGTAAAAGTCAACGTTTAAATCAGCATGTAGATCTCACATTGCGTTTTAGATACAGCCCCTCTAATAAGCCTGTTATATTCTGATTATTGGCACATTTTCTATCAATCATATAAAATATTATATAGTTTTAAAAATTTTTGTTCCACGACATTTCGAAAATCCATTGAACATGTTTTTTCATTTTTTCCCAATTTATTATTAACAAAAAGGGAGTTCATTTCGTAAACAGTGCATGTATGATGTACAAAAAGGGAGTTCATTTTCGTAAACAGTGTATGTAAAAAAATAAATAAAATCAATTTGTCGTGAACAGTGTGAAAATTTTCACATTAAAATCGCATTATTTCTATTATGTTACCTGTGTCTACATTCATGGATAAAAATTGATCAATAATAGCTGCAAGGCATTCATAAATGCATGTTATAATGCAAAAAATGGATTTCAAGGTAACTTTATACAGCATATCATGCACATAGGACTATCAACCCACAGTGTACTGCTTTTGACTTTAAAAGCCCTGATGAAAAGTCTAAAGTAAAAATATCAGGCGTGGTCATTTAAAATCATAGTAATTTTCATTAATAAGTGCGCATGTTATGTAGATCGAGTGTTCTTGTCACATGTGATCTAGTACACAAAATCTAAACAAAGTTTTTTAAAAATTTTATGCAAAAAAGCATGGAAGTACATTTAAAAAACACCCAATTGCTTGATTAATATATCAATTAAAGAATACTTTTATTACTGTTTACAAACTGTCCTGTAGCCACACATATATAAATGACTTGAAAATGCTGTAACAAGGTCACGACATGGAAACACATTGAATAAATGCTCGTAATGTTTGAGCTACCTGAAAAAAACTCAATACTTCAGTGAAAAAATTTATAATGGCTTCAGTATAAAGAGTGCAATCAACAAACAAAGCTTTTCAAAACTCTTAGATTCTTTCTTATTTGCAGGTTCAAGTGGTACATTGGGATGGCAAGTCACTGCTTTTGGCTTAGACGGCGATCCTAACTATTGCGTTTGTTTTCCAAAAAACTCTAGGGAAAAAGTTAGTAGACTTTTGTTTTGCCGAAATTCTCCCTATTTTTTTCTTAAAATTTAAAACAAAAAGAAAATGCACACCTATTGCTTTTATGTTAAAAATAATGCAGCATCTGCGGGTGTCAACAAATATTCAATTATGTCTAGGGTACTTGAACTTGCAATTATAATTAACAATCGGTGGGAAAGGTTTAAAAACCTTCAAAACCTGAAATAGGCAAAAAAAAATCCGAATGCTCCATAGCAAAAAACCCTGTAAAGTATATATAATAAATACAGCTACATTTTGTTCTGTTTTTTTAGTTGTATGCATTGTCATACTGTTTTGTATTGTCATATTATATAGCTGTAGAAAACAATAATTAAAACTAAATGGTGTTAAGAATATGTATGCACGTATAGATATCAGGCACGTAGCCAAGACGATAATTGGTGGAGCATATTTATATATTCATATTATAATATGTAAAAAAATGGATTACAAAAGAAATCAATACGGCATATAATGCATATATGAATATGCCCCCTTCCCAATTCGTTGTTCTGACTACGTGTCTTGTATATATAAGCCTGCGGGGTCATCAAATTCTCTGTCTTAGAGCGTGGAATTTGTCTCGAGGTTCTTCCTCATGGGAGCCAAATATAAAATCACAGTTCAAGCTTTGCCACAATCCGGTGGGCATGGTGAACCAAATGCATTATCGAAAGAAATCGCCCTACCAAAGCTGCAGGGTAAGTTAATCACATTTAAAATTTAATACTCAATTAAAAACTTTTTTTACAGTAATTTCTTAAATTTTCAATACTGCTGCCAGTTAGGTGCCAGGCACGAAAAGGATTCTCATTATAAAAATTATAGCCCCTCAGAGCAATAAAAAACATGTCTTGAGTGAAGATGGAGCGTCACTCGCTTCATAAATATTATAAAGCTAAACTGCTTATGGCTTCGATCTGTTGTGAGGCGTATAACTTACGACTGGTAACGGGTATATGCATGTAAGTGCGGGAAGACGAGACAATAGCAAGATTTGAATCTAGGTGAGAAAGTGAAAATCATAATTTTGTATAATTCCCTTTTGTTTGAAAATTATTTTAAAGTATAAAGTATAAGCGTGTGTTCTTAAACAATTTGGAACACTTTGGTGCCTTGACCAGGATTCGATAGAGTGTTATTTTTGAAGAAATGGGCATGTTTAACGAACTAAAATTCAATGAGGCGGAAGTGAATGAGCCTAATATTCCAGACGAAAAAAGTTTGAAAGCATCAGCAGAAGAAAGGGAACGCGAAAAAAGATCAGAAAAGAAATAAAAAAACGTCTGAAAATTTTTTTGGAAACTGCGAAAAATTTAGCAAATATGCAAGAAAACACTATACATACAAATCAAGTTAAATGATCCGTTATCTGAACAGCCAAGGCTTAAGATAGAGTTTGGATACAATAAACGTGGGGGTCGTTGGCTATACAACAGTGGGTTTGAAACTTGAAAGCAGAGTATACATCGTTCATCGAGAAACATATTAAATAAGCTTAAATGGTTGAGAAAAAGGAAAATAGAACTTTGCAGGAGAGCTGGAGAGATGAAGAAGAGATGTTGCTAAGCAAGTTACCAAATGTGAAACCTGATTTTATTTCGAAAGATAAAAATTGTAAAGACTGGAACATTTAAATGGTCATGTTGGAAATGCAAGGTTGTTTGAAGCGGAATAAAACAACAGACAATCTTGTAGATGTTGGAAAAAGACCATGACCTATTCTCTAAACAGCAAAATTTTTCTTTTAAGAAAAGCCCAGTTTGTATTTTCTGTAAGAGAGGATATAAGGAAGAACAATGCGTTACATACTCAACTTTGGCTTAGCGGAAGCAGTTCTTTCTCGAAAATAGACTTTGTTTCAACTGTGTCAGATCTGGATACCTTAAGGTCAAGTGTTTTAGTGGAGAATACTTAAAGTGCATTGCTAAGCATCACACTAGTCTTTGTGACAAGGGCACAGACAAGAATCAAGACTATAGTCACCAATCATTGGATGGATACACCCCTCTATTAGACAAAAAGTAATTGCCTGCGATTATTCCTGTAAAGATAAAGGGAAAGGCTATCTGCGATATTTGGATACTGGGTCTCGTCATAACTTCATATCAAAAAGAAGCATCAGGCAGTTCATGTCGAATTTCAGGAAGACATCCAAAAGAAACCTGATGATAGATACCAAGTCATTGTGTTCCTTGGATTCCATGTGCAGAAATGTTGCATAATAACAAAGAGCCAAGTTGAAAACGTTCGCAAAGTGCTACTAAGAGGTTGAACCGAAATCCTAGTTAAAAAGGAATACGAGAAGACCGTGATGCAGTGCAGCAGTTGGATAGTAGGATTGTCGAAGTAATAAGGAAAAGCTCATGTGGAGATAGTATTTTTTATAAGCAACAAAAACCAGTGGTGAAGGAGAATGCTTAGTTGGTAAAAGTGAGAATCGTATTTAATGCCAATGCAAGACCTCAAACGTTAGCCAACAGTATCAATGAATGCATGCATACACGACCACCTTTACAGCCTTTGCTATTGGATAGCATAGTTAGGACAGGGTTTCGATTTACATCATTACTAGTAATTTAAAGAACCATTCTTCATGTGGGCTAGAGGGCTAGAGGAGAAGACCGATATGCCTTTCATTTTTTGCTTGACGTAAATAGAACAGCCCGATATCTTTGATTTACTCGAGTAATGTTTGACGTAGAAGCTAGCCACTGTATGATCGTCGCGACTCTGCAGAATCATTTTGACCAATACCACAAGACGTATGAAAAAACAGTTGAAACCTTGAAGAAAAATATGTATGTTAATAACCATATGCATCAAGTGGCAATGTGGAGGATTTTATGAAATTCAAACTAGAAGCAACCAAGATCTTGGAGAAAGCAAAGTTAACTGGACATAAGTGGGAATCGGAAGCCAATCCACGAAGTTCTTATTCCATAAATGGGACAAGCGATCAGATACTTTCGAGGCTAAAAAAGATCAGGAATGTAATGAAATTGGGATTGCAAAGCAATCGATTTTAAGGGTATTGTGGAGCATTTATGATCCTTTACGGATTATTTCCCCAACCGGGGTGGATGAAAAACACATGTTTTGAGAGGCTTGCAATGAAAAAATTGGCAGGAATGTTGACGTTTCTAACATTACTGCAATAGATTGGTTGATGTGGAAACGTCATCAAGATAATGTTAAGATACCTCGAAGCATCTTGAGGAACGTTGACCAAATCAAATCAAAACAATTACATCTGTTTGCAGATGCCAGCAATACTGCCTGTTCGGCTATCGCCATTGTTGTAGCAAAACAAATAACAGGAGTAGGGAAAGAATTGCTCTTGTAAAAGTCTTTGATGGCAAAGAGAAATACCTTCATATACTGAATAGAGCTTGTTGGAGGTCAGACGGCTTTGAATTTGGCAGGGAACATAGCAACAGTATGCGTCGAAAGGCAATAGCATCCACAGTTGTGTGGATGGAAAGTATGGCAGCCTTCTGATTAAAAAGCCCAGGTAAACCCTAGAAAGTCTTTGTCTCAAACTGCACTCGAAAAATCGTGGATATATCAAATAAAATTGAACTCCAATGGAAGTATTGCCTATCGGAGATAATGTTGCAGACCTGGCGAGCCGTGCACCGTTGATTGACAAGTTGGAAAGTTCTGGTTGGTTTGATGGCTAACATTGGTTGCTTGATGAGCGTGACTGGCTGGAGCAACTCACAAATCATAAATCATTGATAAAAATAGTAACTAATGAATAATAAATAGTAAAAAATAAATCATAAATAATAAATAATAAATAATTACTAAAAATTATAAATGATAAATGATACATGATAAATGATAAATGATAAATGATGAGTTATGAGTGATGAGTGATGAGTGATGAGTGATGAATGATGAATGATGAATGATGACTGATGACTGATGAATGATGAATGATGAATGATGAATGATGAATGATAAAAGATAAATGATAAGAGATAAATGATAAATGATAAATGATAAATGATAAGTGATAAATGATAAATGATAAATGATAAATGATAAATGATAAAAGATAATGATAAATGATAAATGATAAATGATAAATGATGAATGATAAATGATAAATGATAAATGATAAATGATAAATGATAAACGATAAATAATCAATAATATATAATAGATAGTAAATAATAATTGAATTTTCAATAAATTACAACAACCAAAATATATTTTTAATTTAATATATCATTATAAGATTAAAAAATTTATTTAATCATCCAGTATATCATTGTAAGACCACAATTTACGGTGGTTTTGATTTTATTCATAGATATGTGTGAACCAATTGGTATTAATTGTGGCTGGGAAGTTTGCTGTAAGTAAACTTTTCATTACGTTTTCAATATCACCGACAACTGTACTTTTGTCAATTATAAAACGTTCTCCATATCATCACAATACATTTTTTTCAGTTCCTGTGAAAAATTTGACGGCGACAAACAGTTCAGTGACTTCGCTTGTGTCGTGGCAATTTTCAGCCTTTTATGCTTCAAAACGACATTTCGTGATTTCATATTTCGATGAAAACAAAACTGACGTCGGAGACAAACTAGTGATTGAGGTATTTTGATGCAAAATGTAGAAAGTGCATGTCACAGAACAGTAAGATCAATTACTTCCTTAAAGTGATATTTATTATACTTCCTCTACGTTTGGTCTCTTGACGTTTGTGTTCTTTACGGCTCACGTTCCTTTGCTTTTACATTACAGGCTTTTGTTTGTAACCCCTAGTGTAAACAACAGGGAAATGTTCGTTTTAAAGATCAAACAAATTTTCGAAAATCAATAACATATTCAGGAGAAGGGAAAACCCACTACTTTATAGGAACTCAGAGCATCTCGCAGTTAAACAGTATAGATAATACAAAAGCCCTTTTTTCTCAACACTCAATCACTCGTACGAATTTCAACAGAATGGTCTAAATGAAGCACATTTAGCAGTCAGGAATAGCCGAAACGAAATACTATTAATGTCTAGATACACGCGGGCCTATAATATGCATTTCTCTGCATTTTTATGTATAGCTTTATTAAGCTTTCGACTCGGTTTTCTTCAGAAATTAATGCAGATTGCGTTGTTTTAGGTTCTAACATATTGTGAATAGACTCTTTGATTTTTGTCCTTTTGTGATATTGTGTGTGTAGGATTTGTTCAGTTTTTTATTTCTTGATTATGGCAAAAACATCGTCAAAATACCATTTGCGCCATAAAACGACTATACCCAAACTCACTACTATCTGAATCTACGTAAACAACCACACATATCACTGGACAGAAACTAAACTACTCGGACGCGCACAGACAAAACAGGCACGCAAATTTAAAAAATCCTGTCACATTAATACAGGAATAATTTTAGGAATTATATTATGTATAATCTCTGATGACGGCTTTGGAATCTGTCACATTAAAGACAACAACACAAATAACTAATAAGGCCTTATTGATTAAGCTCAGAAAAATGGCATATGATGCTTTGTTGGCAAACTTCTTTCAAGGAAGTGAGGCTATCGCTCACAAGACTGCACAGTCTTAGAGAACAAGAATTATATTTTCTTTTTGATCGTCCTTATTCAACAATCAACAGCTAAGCTCTGGTTAAATACTCGTTCCGCGCTGCCGTTTTTGAAATATTTTATTACGAATGAAATTCATTAATCTTGCACAAATATCGTAGAAACCTAAAACATGTTCTCTTTTACTTCACCGAGCACAATACAGTGGGTACCGTAGATCAACAAAAATGGAAACAAATTACAAAATTATGCCTGAAATTCTTGAGCCAAAAATTATGCCATCCTAATCGGAAATGCTTTACATATTAACATCCCATCATAAAACCACAGCTCAAGAAAAAGAATAGAAAAACTACTGATGACACCGAGACTATATAACAACACACTCTAATAGTATTAACGCCAGTCTTATTCATAATAAACCAGAACCTATAACAACGAATTCCACATCATCCAATCATTTTAATCTATCTATTAATACAATTAGACGCTCTGATCTTCCACAAAATAAGACCAGTTGTAAATAACTTTCTACAAGGCTCGAAGCACCGAGTTGAAAGCTCAATGAAAATTATTTATGAAAATCCGGAGAAACTTCTATTATAATTAATAAATGAAGCTTGGATTACCAATCTTAAAACTTATCTGTGCCATTCTATGACTATTCCAAAAAATCACAATTATTTCTGCACAAAGTGTCTTGGTTTTTTTATTTAAGTTTCACCAGAGGATAAAGATGCTTATAAAGATTTCACATTGATCACGTGTAGTCTTGCGATAAAGCAAGGGCCCACTAGAGGCATGAGAGCCTGGGCAAATTTTTTCCATGGCCCTGCGACAGCATGATTGCAAAAATTCCCATTACTGCCAATGGCTCTGAAAAACAACTCTAAATATTTTGAAGAAAATTTGCTTAGTAATAAGTCGCCTTAGGTTGTACATCCTGAGCAAGATGCCTCTTTTGTGGCTTTTCCTCCTTCTAAGCGCTTTGGGAGAAGGGCGGAGGGGGTTAGAGCTTGAGAAACATCAACAATTAAAAAATTGCATTCTTGTTGCTAAGAAAATTGCACATTTTGCAGTTGTTACAAAAAAAGAATTGCTGTTTTGAGTCAATTGTTGTAATCTTGAGACATACAAAATGATCTTTTCTTGCTTTCTTTTGCCAGGACTCGTATGTGAATCTTACTAATCTAACATGTATGGGATGCAAATATTTTGTGCAGGTTAGTTTTTGGGCGTATCTAGCTATTTGAAGCAAAGCTTTTTTCAGTGTCGTAGCCCGCCTGTAGGTTTTTGATCGTACTATATGTAAATTTCCCAAAATCAACATTATTGGTTTTTTTAGATATCTATGTTGTTTTCAGGTTAAGTAAACACAGGAAATATAACATGGCAGGACTAAAATAGCGGCTATGTAATGGAGTAGTAAAATTTTTAACACAAACTGCTGTGTGTCTTTCTTTCTTCTGGTTTTGAAATAATACTGACTTTTGGGATGTGTCACCATATCACATGAATCGAATGTCTTGTATAGCAGTGTAAAGGAAATAACTTTTGCAAAATGCAAAATGTTACAAGCAAAATTGTATCGTAACATTTTTTAGTATCGTATTTCTTCATATTATCGTAAAATTCTGGAACTGACTCATTGTGTCTTATTTGAACACGGTGTTCCTATTAAAATGAATTGTTTGGTTTTTAGGTGCAACCGCAATTTTATAGTTACAACGATGGAATTAAAGACTTTGTTTATGGGAAAATCAGCGAGGTGACATTTTTTACTAATAAAGGTAACAATAAATACTGCTCAGAATTTATGTTAACTCACGAGGATATTTATGGACAGGAACCTTCAGCCACCCTTACCCTCGAACTGATTGTCCTCCACTTCTGAAAAAATTGGGACAGAAGGAACTAGGAAATTTGTAGTTGCAAGAAATAATCAAACGTGGCTTAATAAGTGCATGAAAAGTTGTCCTGAGATGATTTAATCAGTCAATTCTGCATCCACATTGTATGTAGTCTTTTCCATAAAGAATCAAAGGTTTTTGAATCTTTGTTGTTTCACACACACCATTTCTTTGCTACAATTGTGCTATATTTCGACTTTAATATTCATGAAAATTTATTTAGGCAATTTTCATGAAAGGGGGGAGGGATATGTCACTTAGCACGTGCGGAAAAAAGTAATTTATATAAATCTTACTTTAAAATTGCCATGAAAAAAGTGGGTGAAATTGCCCCTTTTGCCCAAGCCTGGCAATACTCCATTGGTTTTTGTTGTGGGTTTTGTTGTGAAAACTAAATGTGCACATACTATACGAAAATGGTAGCTTCAATGTTACAATGAGTTGGAAAATTGTTGATCGGCATAGTATTAATTGTGAACATATATATTTTGCCAGAAAATGTGCGTTCTGAAAAAAATAAAGGTGGAATCTCATGGAAAATAATCACAGCGATAACTAGTTGTTTTACTGCTCTTTTAATTGTCATAGTTTTTTTGATTATAAGAAGACGTCGACCCAAAGGTTGGACTATTAATTTTAATAAAGTGTGCCATGATTAATAAACTTATACATGCCACGATATCGTTACACACTCTGATTTTTCAATTTCAGAAATTCTCATTTCGAACATTCCAGGTACGCTTTGAATACTTGTGTACAATATATTGTAGACTTACAAGAGCAAAACTAGAATTGAGAACATTAAAAATTTATATATGCCACTCATATCATATTCCCATCAAGATTTCATATTGTAATGCTTACCACCATGGATCTGAAACTTTACGCTTGCTCTAAATGGGCTTGCTGGAGATTACTCGGCATTAACTTGCTGACTGACGATCTACATCTACAAACATGATACTTTTTTTCTTGGCCAAAAATCTAGTGTGTGGTGTGCAGCATGTGACGATTGTCATGGAATAATTCATAACTTGCCTGAAACCCTTTTAGTTTGGTTTTTGTGCCATTTTTGAGGAAATAAAGTATTGATTAAAAACGGGCGATATGTCTCACTGGCTATCTATGACCCGTCGATGTTTTTTGCAAATCTTCTGAGCGGTAGTAAGGCTGGCCACCCTATACAGCTTCTTTACCTGACGTCATAGACGTCATGTTGGTGTACAAATTGAAAATTATTTTAACGAAGTTTTTTTTGGTATAGCAATATGGAGGTTTCCTTTCTTTTCACATTAATCAGAAGAAAACGAGTGAAAAGTCTTTATTGGTTTGCACCACATCATTTATCACTTAAAAGATGTGTCATGAGATAGCCGTACCTTTGAACTCGTTATGTAGCGTCAATGCAGTATGTAGTACGATTATTAATTTTTATCATGTAGATCCTTCGTCACCAAAAGCAAACGTTTTTCTCGTTCATTTTGGACACTGCGAGCATTGTAAAAATGCAGCACATTCACTGGCAAATGTTCTCTGCGCTACTGGTTACATCAACTGTCATTTAGATCTTTGCTCAACTGGACCATGCACTGAAGGCCTGGACTGGTATGAAAACAAGCTAGAAACATGCGAAAAAGTTGTCATTATTTTCACTAACGAGTCAATGAATCAAGGTGTGTTACGCATTGCAAATGAAATTCAAGTCTCTTTTGCGCTGATCGGAAATGATTTTCCCAGTAAGCTATTTCCCTACGAGAAAAGAAAATTTATGCAGTAAGAATATCAAAAAGTTCCTCTTATTTTAATAGTCATTTGATGTAGAGCTTTGTGGTGCCAAATTAAGAGTTTGAGATTCAAATTTATTGAAATAAGGGGAGTTTTTTTTTAATTTTTCATCTGAGATAATCTAGATATTCTCAAAAACTTTTAGCAAAATTGTTTTGCTCAGGCCTCCTTCGCTCGTAACGTATTTTCTTATCATTGTTGTTGGTATTCAAAAAAAGTCAATGTATCTTTAGATCCGCGGATGAACATTCAGCTATCTTCATTCAAGTTTGTGCTTCGAATGATTAAGGGTCAAATAGCTCATGGTAACAACAATAAGCCAATAATAATTCCAGTTTGTTATGATGACGATCCTTCCGATGTTATACCGTTATACTTGCAAGACCGGAGACACTACTCCCTTCCTTTGGAGACAATGGAACTATTGTTATGCCTTATAGACCAGACTAGCAGAGATATAGGAAATTTCATTGAAATTTCAATTAATGAAAGTCCAAAGTTCCGCCAAACAATGAGAAACTTGGAAAAGGCTATTAGAAGGCTAAGAATAACTCATGGCCATGATAACTAGCAATTTTTTAATGGTTGGCATCTGTTATAAGATGATTGATTATCCTTCGCAAGACATCAAACAAATATTGTATGACTACATTTGTTGAAGCCTGCTGGAAGCCGGAATAACATTTGTCTGGTGATTCAAACTTGACTTGATTTAACAAAGGATTTTCAAGCTACGTTGCCGTCATTTACTGAATCCTGCCAAGCTTTTTTTGAAAAGTAATAGAGGAATTTCATTGGCTAGCAGGTTATATTATCAATTCTAAAAGAGAAGTGGATCTTTCATGGATGATTTTCATTCTCACGAGAAAATGGACGGGCCTCGTTGCTATGTATAATTATAAGACATCAGGCAAACAAAACTGAACGCTGAATTTTATAGAAAGCCATGTATATATGTACATATCAATAGAATATATAAATCGTTTTGATTCTGATTATTTGCACAGAATTGCTTTTTCACCACATAATTGCAACTTTTGGCAGTGCATCATTAAGATTCAGCTAATTTATATGTATACTAGGTACCTAATAGTATACTTTCTCGTGCAATTTGGAAAACAAGCTCTCGATTTTTTTCAAAGAAACAGTTTTCCTAAATTGCCTTCGTAACTATAATATGACTACATCTAAACTGTGATAAACCTGTACGAAATGCAATAAAAACATTTTCACTTTGATTTGTTATGCTACGAGAAATTTTTGTAGCAGACGTTATACCCAAGCTCTTTATCTTCTAAAATTTTTGATCAGGCTAGAAAACAGACTTTGAATGTTTTACATTCGAAAGAAATTATGGTTCACTGAGGGAAATATTTAATAAATATTTGTCTGGAATGGTGCTTGATATCAGCCAGTTAAGAATAATTGATTTTCTCTCTTTTGACTGGAGTTATTTCATAAAAAAAGTTCAGTGAAATCTTCACAAGGCTTATTATTAATACGTTTTTCATAAATTCACAAATTTCACCAGTAAATCATCAGCCAGTTTCAAACCTCAATTTTCATAGGAAAATAACCAACAAATATCTCTACATTCACTGACTGTAAAAACGATTGGTTTCTAATTCTAAAGAATAAAGAAATAGACAATGATTCTTAGAAGACCCAAAACCTGCAGCCTGGCTTAGCTACTCATTGCCGATAAGCCCAGATCAACAACATTTCTTTTAATTAAATGAGGATATGATCTTCGCACTTTGCTGGACAATTTAAGCAATTGTCTCATGAGCCTGAAAAATTCAGGTGACTCAACTGGATTCGAACCCATGACCTCCGCGCTGCTGGTGCAGTGCTCTGACCAACTGAGCTATGAAGTCACACAGTGGTGAGCAGGTCAATTTTGTTGGGCTCATATCTTCATTTAATTTCAAACACCGCACTGCATAAAAACATTCTTTCATATAACATTTCTTTTACTAATTTAAAATGCTGAAATTTAGATTTAGATCACATAGTATTACAGGTTATGGTGGGGCTGCAGGGCCTGTGGGGCCTTGAGTGTCTCTAAAACGTTGTTGAACTTTCTACGGCCTATTACAGTACCTTCAAATTTTATATTAACACACAAAAGATAAGTAAGATGATTTTCAATTCTAATTTATAACTCATTCACTTTCCAGCACCCATTTTTGAATTTAAGATAGCAAACAGGCATGAACATACGTTAACTGATTTGTTCTGTTATTACTAAGTTTATAAACATGATAATTGCATAAATTTTACCCTCACAGGGTTACAATACTTATAGTAAACTTAGGCAGATTTCCTCACCCAGTGTCACACAGATTGCAGACAAAAAAATTAACTAAGAAACCAATCTTTCAGATCTGGAAAAACAGGGAGAACTCCAAATTTTAAAGTTGGCATTCTCTAGTACCTTAATTTACATTGCATGTAATAAGTGGGTATATTTTAAACATTTTGATTGGAAGCACTCAATGTTCCCCATTCGTGAGGCTTGTCGTGCATTCGAATCAACCCCATCTCAGTATTCAGCACACACTCCCAACTTAAACCAGTTATCATCATCTATGAGTAACGTGCATTCGAATCCACTCCATCTCAGTATTCAGCCCACATTCCCAACTTAAACCAGTTATCATCATCTATGAGTAAGGTTTTACTGATTGAAAGAATTGCTTGGCCATAATTTTTGAGTTAAAATCTATTAAAAGTGAAATTTTACTTTGATTAATAAACTCAGCCCCGTTCATCAAAGTGATCACTTTCTTGATAAAATGATCCCAATCAATGAAGAACTGATGAGAAAATGTGCGTCCTGTCTAAAATTGTTTGAGTGTTGTAGACTACTTGCAATTACTTGATATAACTTTATAATGTCAAAAGACTCAGCCAATGTTGAGCAAAATAAAGCAAGAGATCATTGTTCGATCTTCTACTTACGAGAATCATTGTTCGATCTTCTACAGTTCAAAACAACTTGAAAGAAGTCCAGTTTGTACAACGACTATTTACAAGGCCAGTTATTATATAAGCTTTAAACAAAGTTGTTGGGAATGTATGTTGTGAGACAAATTTGGTAACACTAACTCAACCTCAACTGACCTCAACCACTAAGATAAACCACAACAGTCAACGATGCACCACCAAGCATGGTTGCCTAAACTACCAGTGCCGCCAATGCCCAATTGTGTGGTCAGCGGCTGTTACACGCCGGAGCAGGATTTTTGAATAATTTTTCCAAAGGAAGACTCCTTTCAATAGTCATAACTCGTGGTTTATAATTATCTTTTTTGAAAGCCATTTTCTCATATTGCAAGGAATGTTTGCAATTGCGCAACAAGTGAAAATCAAAATTCATTAGTTGAAAATAACATGGTTAACGAAATCTCCTTTCAAGACGAACCGTCAGCTTTCTCGACGAAAGTATTAACACAGAGAAATTCAGGTCAGAGCGATAATTTACGTGTTTGGATTGTTTTTATGTAAGTTTTGATATCGTTAACTCTGTTCAATCAATATATTGGCTGTCTACAACGAAGATGGCACAATGCATGCTACATGGTTGATTTGTCTACTCGGCTTGAGAGTTGAAACTTCATCATTGTTTCTGGTAATTCAAATTGTGCTGATGTTTTAGCTCTCCATCATAATACATTATAATTTTAACCATTGGAGTAGAATATTTAATCTATTTGAAGAAAAAAACAATTATTTCACTGACTGGGCTCAGCCTATTGCTGGGACTGCCAATAACACATCTTCCCAGACTCTAAATTGGGCAACTAAAACGACTGTACACCCAGGACCTTTTGGTTATTGATATTTTGCTTCTTACTAAAACAGAATGCTGTCTTAAAATAACTATTTATTATCAGCTATCTGATATATGTTGATTGTTGTGAATAATCAATGCCCTTGATGATTTGTCTTTCAAACAACTTGAACTACAAAGCATGTCTCCCATTATTAAATGGATTAATTTTCCATACATGGATCTTCTTTCTTTTGAGTGTAGCTATTTCTACCAGAAAATGGATCTCCATCATTTAGTTTTCATTTTAGTAACTTACCTTTTTTCATATCAGTTTTTTATGTTTATTGTTCTGTTAAACTTTCCTTGATAAAAAACTTGATGAATTATCACTTTTTTTTAATGAAAAGCTTTTTCGATCCATCAGTCTAGGGATACAAAATGAATTAATGAATACATTTAGTTATTGCTTTGCATGAAACAACTATTGTATAAAATAACAACAACAAAAGGAATGTGCTGATTAATCTATAGCTGCTTGAGTTTGCATTAGCCTGTGGAAACCAACCTGAGCTCAATCAATTACAACAATCAAAGAGAATTTGCAAATGAATCATGAATCAATGTTAGAGGAAAAATTAAAACATTTGTTTTAAATTGATCTGAACATTTCACATGTTTTTTTTTTGTAAAAGAAATACAAGATGTTTTTCATGTTTGCACTGGCTTATGGAAACCTTGGAGATGTTTGTGAGAACTCTCAAGCATGTGCAAACTGATCTACTCTCAAGTTCTCCCAAAGCTCTCCTTGATCTGCATAAGCCTGTGCAAGAACAGTAAAAATTTTTTATTTCTTAAATAATGTCACGATGTTGTGTATTGTTTTGAATTAATTATGATGTGTTTCTGAGAGATGTTGAAGAAATTGTGTGTGGATGTTGTTTTGTAAGTTTCTTTTAATGACATAGCACATTATCAAGTTAGAACTATAGTTTGTTACTGTCATACAAATATGTGCTTTAAATATTGTTGCCAGTGAGGTGCCAGGTAGAAATAAATTCTTCATGCAAAGATTAGTCCTGTGTGTCAAGTTGTTTGTATTAGCAGCAGCAGGAGGGGGGGAATTGTTGCTTGGATAACCCATTGTTAGTTTCAGCTACAGAGCTAGCCTGCATGTTTAGTCCTGCAATGCAATTTGCAAGTTTTCAAAAACCGTGTGCTATGACTTGTTGCTATTTTGTTCTTATTAAAAGCATCAATTTTCTTCATTGTAGCCAAAAAATCCAAAAGTAAAGATGTTGTTGTTTTGGAATTTATTAAATATGACTTCTATAAAAAGGTATTGTTTTGAATCTTGAAGTTTTTAATAGTTTTTTTGCCAATATTAATGTTGTAAGTTAAACAATCCTATTTTATGAAAAAATGTATGGTACGTTGTAATGAAATCTATGTATTATTGCTTCAATCACAATCCTGGTGGTCGTAGATAACATTTTTAGTCTGTCGGAATTGTGCTGAATTACGGCCTTTTTAATATTTCACACCTTTTTCCTTGCATTAAACAAAAATAAACAATTAACAACACTGTGTGATCAATAAAACTTGCATCAACGAAATGTTCATTTGAATAAACAGAAGACAGTGTGCGAATTAACGGTGTGCAATGTGCAATTTGCACATCGTTTTAGCTAAGATGAAAACAATTGCACATCACTTTTTCAAACGATGTGCAAAAATCAGCAGTTTTAACGAAAAACACTGTCGTAAATCATATGAATATGTTCACGTTTAAAAATATTAATTTAGCAATTAGCGCTATATAATAATTAACGTAATATCGATTTGATTATGCCTCTAAATGAACACTTTGTCAAAAAAATTGCACATCGTTTTTTCTGAACTAATTCGCACACTGAGAAGATCATTAACATTTGTTAAAGTTCAATTTGATGTTATGGATGACCTAAAATTATAGGTGAAAATCAATAACAGTAAGAAATTCCATGGGCCTTACTAAACCTAAGACACAAACAAAAGAAATTTTGATGCAGGCAAAAGGTGTATTTGAAATATTTTCACATGCCTGTGTGTCTAGTTGGTTCTTTATGGATTAGCTGCAGGGAAAAATAGCCAGGATAACCCAGAGCTAGTTTTGGTGGCTTACATAGCTGTAGCTTACATTTTTAGTTCTGCTTTGCAATTGTTTTATGTTAGCTCAATGCGTAAACTATAGATTTCTGTATTGATCTGAATTTTACATGTACGTAACAGACCCAAAACTTGCAGGCTCTCCTCACTTTTGCCTTGTTTTAAGAAAAATGCGACGACACGCATGACAGTTGTAGTTAGCAGACATGTGACTAAAGCTCTCTTTGAATACTTGAGACATTAAATTTGTTAAGATGCAAATATCTGTTCATTAAAGAAAGTATGTCTAACAAGATGCATTGCGTGCTTTTGTTTATGTTTTCATCGTTACTTTTTGAGCTTGCGGCACACTGAATTCAATTTCGTCACTTCATCGTCTAATTTATCTGAAAATTTTGAAAAAACATTGATTAAAAACTTTATTTTACATTAGTTATTATCGTTTGTCTCATTTGTATGGACTACAATAACAAAATCCGCCATGTTTTCTACCCACAAAATGGCCGTCACGCTGTGATTAACGCTCAATTTTTCTTGGTTGACACACATTCTTCAATTTGTGTTGTTATGATGTGGACTTAATGTTATGATCAAATGTAGATTTAAATCTTGGAGTTACATAAGTGAATCTAACAAGTTTTACATTTCTTAAATTAAAAGTGCATTCAGACGGAGTGCCCCGGCACGGTACTCAGGCACAGGCACCAATGTGAACACAATATTTTGATGGTGCCTGAGTCAAAGTGCCCAGGTCTGGGCACCACGAAAAGAGGTACTACCCGAGCACGGTACTCAGGCACAGGCACCAATGTGAACACAATATTTTGATGTTGCCTGAGTCAAAGTGCCCAGGTCTGGGCACCACGAAAAGAGGTACTACCCGAGCACGGTACTCGGGCACGGGCACCAATTTGAACGACGACATCTGAGTAACGTGTACAGGGAGGCATGTATTCAGCACATGGTTTTAAAACTTGTTTTCAATGAAAAACATGAAATTATAAATAGACGAAGTTAGTGGGTACTAGGTACGTAGTGTGAACGGCCTGCAGATTTGTGCCTGAACCAGCACTAAATCTGAACGCGCTATAAGCTGTAATTTTTGTTTATTATTTCAGAATGATGACATTTTAAATGTTTCTGTCTACGTGAAAAACATTGACAAGAATTCACTTGTTGTGAAGTTTGGTAAACAGCATTTGTCTGTGGAGTTTCAAACTTGGTAATTTTTACATTATTTTGTGTTTTCATTCTATTTTCATCTTCGCTCTTTACATTCACGTTTAAAAACAGTCACTGTTACAGTTCTACTTTTGTAATACTTATTTCAATGTAATCATATATACAAAAACAAAAATATATACTGTATTTTGTCGTATACAACCCGCACAGCAATAATGTTCTCTATGGAAAAACATATTAACGCATAAATTGGCGAAGTTGGAGTGAAAACTTCCAAATTGCAAAATGACACAAATTTTATCTTACGCAAAAATACCCAACAGAAGAGGATAATGAACTGGATGGGGATTTCGGTACAATCGTGCTTATTACGTAATAGAGTCTGATTAAAAACCAGTAATTTGATTAAATAGACAATTGAGTATGGGTTTATTGCGTATGAGTTTATGGATGGAAAAATATGGCAACAAAATTTGAAAAGGCTAAAATGGGCGAAAATTGCTTTGGCCGGCTAAACTGTTTTTTTCCTGGCTCGACGGATTTGAAAAAGACTAAATTTAAGTTATTTGGCCGAAAAAAAGGCAAAACTAGCAACCCTGCTTTGGCCAATGGGTTTGGCTGGGATTTTTTTTTCTCAAGTGAAACACGAGCTCCTGACAGCATCAAGGGGGGTTAGCAATGAATAAAATGAATTAATAGATAGTGATAAATGACGGCTTAGTGGCGTTAAGGTATCTTGTAATTATTCTTGTTCATAAATTAGTAAAATATGGTGTGCCATTTATTTTCAATTTGAATTTTCTCGAAGTTAGCAGCTCGTTTTAGTACAAAAATACGTCAAAAATATTGGTATTTATCAGTATTCTGATGACGCCAGCCATGTCAGTATTCGGTATTTCCGATGTACGTCTTCCTGCAACACTGTACGTATAATATTATCATCATGAAAAGCAAGTTTCGATGTTTTCAAATACTTTTCGTCAGAGAAAACGTCTTTTCTCTAGAGTGTAAAAGACTAGCATGTTGCTCATACGTTTGTTATTTTTCTTTTCTAGTTCAAAAGAATTCTTGAAATTACATAAGGAAGCCTCTGAAAGCACTGTGTTTTTGTGGAATGTTACTCTGAGGTGAATATGATCTCAGTGTCTTCGCTGAGCACCAATAGCATAGATAAAAGTGTTTTGGGTCCAGGTTGAGATTAACTTGCTTTACTTTGTGCTCCTGTTTCACGTCCATTGCTACATTAGCCAATCTATGAGTTATATTAAACACTATATAAGTTCTGTAATAAATCAACTAGTCTTGGAAAACCGTATACTATGTATACTGTAAACCAAGTTTCTTTTTGCCTTGGTAGTTGTTAACCCTGTAATTTTTGTACCAATTGCGTAGGCACGTGGCACTTCTAATTGTGCTGTGCACCGGATGCTGGAGTTAGGCCGGAGCTCCGGCGTTTTTTTCTGCCTTAGTCGAAACCGGAGTTTGTTCATCTCCGGCAAAACTCCGGCAGCATTTATTTGTGCTGCAAAATACTGTTAGACTTTAGTAAACGTGTCCGAGATATTCGAGTTATTAAATAGCTGAAGCCAGAGTTCGAGGCCGGAGTTAAGTAATGAGCCGGTGCCGGTGCTGAAGAACAGGAAATTGCACAGCACTAACATGTTCCTTTTCAAAACAAATAGCGTTCAAAAAATCACCGTAGTAATCAACTGTATATTTATATTTTCACCCACTGAAATGAATTTAACTAGAACGCTATCATTGACATAGAACCCAATCCACTAGAAATCTGACTCCGCCAAAATTTTATAGTTACAAGTGAGGCAAGCCGCCATCTTGGCCAAACTGATGATATTTACGATTAATATCTGCTTTTCCTGAATTAATATGCCGTTGCAAAGTTCATAGTCTAGGCTTAATTTTCAAAATGTTAGATATGATTGGGTTTTTAAACCTTCTTTTAGCTTTATTTTTTATTTTGAGTTTTGCTTTTTGCCACCTTTCAAGATGACGTCCTTGCCTCATCCAGTGCCTCACCTTGACACGGTAGTTAGGCATTCAGAGGATTGGGTTCTAAATCATTGAACCGGTTGTACCTTTCCCTGTTATATTGAAGCCGCTTCTCCCCAGTCTTTTCATGCCATAAAAGACACTCAGCCAAAGAAAAAAGTTTTTATTTAACTCACTGTTAAAACTTCTCAAAATATCTTAATTTTAGGGAAATTCATAAATCATTTTTTAAGTTCAGCAAACGAGGCTAAAGATTATTATTTAATGGCTCGTCGTTTGGAAAAGATGAAAGAAAAGTCTATTTCTTTGACAAAAAAACGCACAACCTTTTCGTAATTTTTTTAATAGTCATAGCGAATAATTCATTGTTTCTATTTAACAATTGTATAATAACCGGAAGAATTTGAGCAATTTCATTGGCCGAGAACTATGATCTATAAGAGGACAGACGCACGGAGTTGACGTCACAGAAAGTTTCTTGTTTTTAAATGACAAACGAGCGGCGAATTTATTTGAATGTTTACCCGAATTTATCTCTGAGTGGGCAAATAAAGAAACTAAGAATGCCTAGTTGAAGCAGTGGACGTATTTGAGCAAAAAGAAAAGAAAAAACCCGGTTTTCAAGCATTGATTTGTACTTCGTCTTTGATAACAAAATTTCAACAACATTGATCAGCCATTGCTTGTTTATTTTGTTAGCCAATCACATTTTATCACGTGATTAAGCTAGCGAATAGCATTTCTTTAATCCTATAGATCAAGTAAGCGTGATATTTGCAAGTTTCAATGTTCCAAATGTTGGGGACAAAGAAAACAAACTGTTTGACCTATAATTTGGGAGATATTTTGATTTTATTATATAAATCAACTGCATGACATATTAACCGTTGTCTCGTGGCCATTTTGTTTTTATCACAATTGACGTCATACTCGTGTATCTATAACTGTATGTACAACAGTTAAATGTTGTCTATTTGTTTTATATAATAAAATCAAAAAAATTCCCAAATGAAACGGTCAAACAGTTTGTTTTTTTGTCGCCCAACACTTGGAACATTTAAAATTCTTGATTTGCAAACATCACGCTTACGTGATCTACAGGATTAAAGAAATACAATTGGCTAGTTTAATAACGTGATAAAATGTGATTGGCTAACAAAATAAACTAGCATATGGCTAATCAATGTTGTTGAAATTTTTTTATCGAAGATGAAGTACAAATCAATGCTTGGAAACCGGGTTTTTTCTTTTCTTTTTGCTCGAATACGTCCACTACTTCAACTAGGCGTTCTTTATTTCTTTATTTTCCCCATTCAGGGATAAATTCTGGCAAATATTCAAATAAATTCGCCGTTCGTCATTTAAAAACAAGAAATTTTCTGTGACGTCAATTCCGTGCGTCTGTCCTCTTATAGATCATAGCTCTCGACCAATGAGATTGCTCAAATTCTGGTTATTTTATAATTAGGGCCTGTTCATATGAGCCGGGCTGGCCCGCTTCACCGGGCTAGTCCGGCGGTAGCGAGATCTCGACTCTTTTAGTATTTACTTATAGTTTCAAATTTGATATATATGAGAGGCTGGCCCGTCTTGCTTGAATCCCGCTTGAGCGAGGCGGGATCTCGGCGTAAACGGGTTCATGTGAATGCACTAGGGGGGCTAGCCCGGCATGCCGGGTAAAACATCGTACTAGTGCGCATGCTCATGAAATTCAATTAGGTGCAAAATAGAGGATTTTTATGCTGCGTGCGTGATTAATTATTTCTGTACTTGGCGGGCCAGCCCGCCTCATGTGAATCAAATAATAAACTGTCCCGGAAAAGCTGGCCAGCCCGGCTCATATGAACAGGCCATTATGAACACAACAAAGACAAACATATACACCTAAATAGTTTCAGTATTTGCTTCAGTTTTGCTGTGAAATTTTGGCTTTCAAATGCGCAAAAGCTTTCTTTTATAAACTCTTCTATATTAAAGTATTCACGCCGTCAAATTTGTACCGGTTATTAGCGGGTCATTTTTCTTTTCAAATTTTTCTTAGTCAATCGACAAATTCTTTTATCAAAATCAAATTGTGTGAAAACACATTCCCAATCACAAACTTTAAACTCAAAACCATACAGTAAACAAATTCTTTGTTCGAATTCGTTTTGTACACCACAACCTAAACAAATCAAATAGCTTTGTTTTCTTCGCAACAGTCCCGCAAATTTGTGTTCATCAAACGGTGGCGCTCCAGTTAGATTCATTCAATAATTTTTACCACAAAATGTTACTATATTTGTTTACAGTTATATATCTTGATTTTATAGACACTGTGTGGACACTGAAAAATGCAGATACGCGCATTTTCAAACGAAATTGGCAATAACGCTAGCTAAAGCTTGCAGCAAGGACAATTGGAATGCATTGGAAGAATTAAACAGTGGCGGTTAGTATCGCATATAACAAGACCATTTACTGCGCAATTGATACATTGCACTTATACGACCAACTACAGCCTTATTTCAATCATAAAGAATTTTCAAATCATGAACACATTTTCAGACGACAAAAATCAAAATTAATTTTTTTTTTATAAAATAAGTAAAAGATGTTTTTCGTGTTTGTACGAACTTATGCAAACCTCGGAGACGTTTGTGAGAACCCTCGAGCAGGTGTAACCCTCGACCCTTGGTCTCAGGCTTGCATTTATCTGCATTTGAGTTTTTCCAAAGGTCTCCTCGGTTTGCGTAAGCCTGTAGGCAAACATGGTAAACATCTTTTATTTCTTAATGATAACAATAATTGAATTTTACGCATTAAGTGGCTACATAGCTGAATTACATTGTTTTTTACTTATAACTATCAAAATTACATTTTTTTGATATATACATGCCGTGTTATTTTTTATGATTTCGTGCAATCTGATTGGCTAAAGCACTCGACTGATTTTTCGATATCTTGACCGGGGTCCAAAAGTGTTAAAATTGCAATAGATTTGTTTACAAAGTGATGAATAAATTTTGAAAGCTGATTTAAGACCCATTTGTAAATTGTTGAAGGAGAAAGCAAAATTTATTCACATTGTATTTATCATAACAAGAGTGAATTTTACCATCCAGACGAAGTGAAGTTGGTAGAAAATAATCCTATTTCTAACACAAAATACGCCTTATATATAACAAAATCTATGCAGGCTCTCATTATACAATTATATACTTCAAATAGTAACAGTTCAATCACAATACTTTAAATAAATTTAGTTCACCCTCCATGTGCAGAAAGTCCACTAGGAGCTTAAAAATAAAGTGTATTTGAAATATCGTACTCTCAAAGTATTTTCTTCGATTTTGTAATGTTAGTGTTGTCACTACTGAATACTCAATACGTTTTAGTATTGTGGAACTCTGTGATAGAACTCTGTAACGTAGTCAGCCCGACTTTTTACTTCCGCTATTTTTGTGTTTATTGACCGTGAGAAAAATACATTTTTAAAGAAATGAATGATGGTAATTATTAAAAATTCACATAGTGGGAGTATATCTGCCGGCTACTGATAGAACTACAAAGTCAATCTTTAAATAGGAGACTACATCTGCTTGGTTCTTTAATTGCAGTCATATAAATATATAAAATAAGGTTGTAATCTTTTGCTTTCAATGACTTTCAGTAATATGCACGCAACGGACGAACGCTTAAGAAATTGAAGAAAATAGTTGATAGGACATCTTAGGTACTTATTAGCAAATTTTACATTTCGTTCGTAGATCATCATTGGTATTGCAAAGTGTATATATTTGTACTGCTCAACTTTTGTTGTTGCAAATACAAATTTATTGTATTTGGGAGTATATTTGTTATTGCTACGCACATTTCAAGCAAAAGATGGGGGCAACGATTGAGAAAATTCGCCAGCACCGCAAGAAAATATTTGACCTCAAAGGAGATTTTTTGAGCAATGAAATAACATCGCGAAAGCAAGTGCACCAACATATACAAGTGAATTCATTTATTTCATTTGTCAAGTGAAAAAATGAACAGTGTGAAAAAAGTATGACTTAGTCAATAAATACATAAACCAGAGCCTGCGATCCTTGTGGCTAACTTTTATGCAATGCTTCGAGTTAACACAAAATTTTGTAGGAAATTCTTTGCACATGAACATCGTTGCTGCCAGAAAGAAGGCTGGGGGATTAAGTATAAATTTTTACCAAGTCACACAACACATGCTTCAATATCAATATCCCGTACGTAACGTCCATAAAGCCTGTTTTCCACTAGCCACGTATCGTAACGTATCGTAGCAAAACGTAACATGGCGCATGCGTGATTGTGCCTATTGACCATCTAACTCACAAGCACGCATGCGCCATGTTACGTTTTGCTAGATACGTTACGATACGTGGCTAGTGGAAAGAAGGCTTAAGTTTCTTTTTGTAAAACGAAACACCTAAACACATTACTGTAATTTTGTGTGAAAATTCGACATAAAGCAAGTCACTAATTTGATATTTTATATTCGTGAATTTCAAACGACTTAACGCTTATTTGAACAAATAAAGGTTATATGCCACTTGTGTTTTGTAATTTTTGTTACGATTTCGTCGAGAGGTGGACTTCCAGTGATCTTTTACTTAACAGAAATAAGGGGATAAATCGCGGGGTTTTGTTGTTTTTCTGTTTTGCTCACTTCCATGTGTGAGTTGTGGTGGTGGGTGGTTGTGGGCGGTATTATTGGAGAGAGGGGTTTAAATTGAGGCCTGGGACCAAATAATTCAAATGCTGTATGTGTTTTATTGTAATGAAGAATAATGTTTGTTTTCAGCTTTCCGATCAAATGTTCATCAAGGGACAACACAAAAGAAAAAAATCGCCAATGGTGGACTTGTTAACGGCATTTTCGCTCGACCCGAGGATGATAAGAATCGTATGAAGTTAGAGAATAGAAACGCGAGTTTCAACTATCGTGTTGAAGAACAGGAACAAGAAAAACGGCTCAGCGTTGAATCTTTTGGAGTTCCTTCGAGCTTAGGTGATAGTAATCATTCATTAAAGAGTTCTTACAACGGAACTGGTGAAAATCACTCACTTCATTATAAACCTGGCCCTGTTAAGTTAAGTTCGAATCGATGCTACTCCAATGGAACCAATGACACACAAACAGGTACTTTACAAATGCTCAACTTGTTAATATCGTCGTATTCTTCTCTACTGTACTCACTACCCATACTGGCACTGCCGACAATTAATCTATAATTTTTACAGTGTAATGTTACGGTAAAGTCTTTCTTAATAGTTTCACATTATCGTTACCGCTTTCAAATTCAAGACAGCAGCAGTCAGGGATTTTTTAAAACCTTTTGCTCCAAACAAATGTTTGTCCGTCTTGTTGATCGCCAACAATGTCAAAAATTGTAGTGTGTGCAATAAAATCAATTCCTTATTTCAGAGTTAAAAAGATCTGCGACGACTCCGGGAAAATCCGAGAAGACTACGAGCGAAAGAGATAAATTGACTCATCCCGAAGAAATCCAATACGATTCCAGAATACATGAATGTCGACCTGGGTCCACAGGGCTGCTAAATCCCGACAATCTCTGTTATATTAATTCGGTGGTGCAATGTCTTTCATCCGTTATTGAGTTGAGAAATTTGATATTATGTAAGTATCCACTTTTATTTTTTTACAAATAAGCAGCGGGTGGAATCCTAGCCTTTCCTGCAATCTTGTTGGCTGCAACAGCTGTCAAAATTTGAGTTTTCAAGTAAAACGAAGAGCCTTGTTTTGATTTTTACTTGGCCGGCATTATTGAATCGGACAAAGCAATCTATTAAGATTGTTGCCTTTATTTAAAAAATAAATACGTTATTTACCGTTTAGGTCGGTCTCAATTTATCTCGATATTATTTATTTTATTTAATCTCTAATTTCTAATTCTAATTTTAATCTCTAATTTTAATCTCTAATTCTAATTTTATTTAATCTCTAATCTCTAATCTCTAATTTATAAGTTCTATGTAGGGTTTGTGCTCTAAATCAATTGGCCGAATGAACTTGCATCCTTTTCAAGTCCGTAGCCACCGATTTCGTAGTGGCCAGTTTTTAGCCGCGAGATTGAAGTCTCTCTGGGGGGTCTGCGAGCATGCAACGACTGAGGGATTTTTTTATTTCTTAAACCTGTAAATCGCCACTAACCGCATTTTGTGGTTAAAGTGAAAATAATCGATGAAATGTTTTTCGTACGAACTGCTCAACTGCCATCATAACGCACTTACTTATGTCTGTGATTTGCGTGTCTGAAAAACAGCATCTTCCAAATTTCTGGGTCTGCTACCCTCAGCTTTTCCTACCCGAAGGCCTATGGTTGTAAGTTGTGTATTTATATTTGAAGCGTGACTGTCAACAATCATGCATTGCGCACGTAATCGGTCATGCAAATCTGAAGCACGAAATTAACTTGGAAGAATATTTGTGTTTTAATTATTCGCAATCGCTGCAATCCTTCTATTATTTTATATTTTAAGTGATGTATGTAATTAAAGAGGAAGCATGAAACTATCCGAGTTAGCGTGAAGCACAGGGAATATATGAATGTAAGTGAAGCGTGCAATGCATGATGGTTGACACTCACGGTGGGAGCATCGAAAATAAAAGTTTCATCGACAAAGGTTGATGACTTGTGTTTGAAGTATTTCAAAAAAGTCTTTTGCTTTTCCAAATTAAATCAAGTTGTTTTGAATGTCTTTAGCGAAACGGCACCGTATGAACATCAATCGTAGTAATAAGAATGGTTATGGCGGTGAGCTTATTGCCACGTTCGAATCACTCATGCAAGATATGTGGTCTGGCAAAAGACGCGTCATCTCTGCGTCAAAACTGAAGGTAACTCTGCAAATACGTACGTGAGCATGCAGTATACGGTACAGACAATGCGGAAAACTTTAGGTTATGTTTAGTGTAGAATCTGGTAGTTATTGTTCGCGGAGAGCTGTTACTCGAGTGATGTTGAAATGTTTTGTTTAGTTTTGCAATTATTTTGGTGCACAATCAATTTGAAAGCAATAGATTTTTATAGAAACAAATAATGACGATGATTTCAAACTTACAGCATGATAAAATCTGCGGGCTGGCTAGGCCACAGAAGATGGCTAGAGATATACGTCGAAGCATTCAACTAGCACTTTAAAAACTCTAAGCAAAATGCGGTCGTGTGAACTGGCTAAAGAGAGAGCTGAATTCTTAAAAGGGGATGTATGATTTCCTGTGAACCATCCCTCACGGGGAAAATGCCTAAGAACGGGCGAGTTAACGGCGGGATTATATTGCTGTGAGACTTTAGTACAGTCTGCACAGTCTCATGTTTATCATTTGGTTATGCAATTCATGCAGCATTTATTGTTGTAGGACATACTCGGGAAAAAGAAGAAACAGTTCGAACAATTTGGTCAACAAGATGCTCAAGAATTTTTTACATATTTAGTTGATGGTCTACATGAGGTGAGCAACAAAGTCTGTATCTATGAAGCAGTTTTGAGGCGTCACTTCCGGCAAAATGGCGCGCTTTGATTGGCTCAGAAACATTTTTGCCGGTCCGACGAAAACTAAAGAAGTGAAATCTAAGCTGTACGAAACAGCGAAGACGAACAGGAACTCATAGTCTGTCCTACTGATTTATCTTTGAATAGGACCTTAAAGCTTGCGTAAAGAAAACGTTGTCGGATATCGAAACGAAGGTGTCTGGTGACATTTTAAAGAACAGTCGTTTGCATTGGGATAAATACACGAATGGCAATAATTCTGTAATAAGTGACCTCTTCCAAGGCCAAAGCATTTCTGAAATACAATGTAAAGATTGTGGGAAGGTAAGAAAAAGTAGCGTAAATGAGATATATTAATGACTTATTTACGTTAATTTGACAAAGTGTTAGCTGGGCTGTTGCGATATATCGATATAGTCGATAAATATCGAAAATTCAAAAATATCGATATTCAATATTAGTTTTTGTATACCGAAAATTAATTAAGTTGAATGTCACCAATAGTCGTCGAATACATGTACGTAGCTATGCTCCATTATATACGTCGGTAAGCAAGAAATTGCTATCGTACTTTCAATACTTTATCATGGCAATCAAAACAAGGCTTAAATATGTTGCATGGAATGAGTATTTACCCCTGGGGCAATACGATGAAGGCTTTGTTGGAGAAGATACGGTTGTAGAGGTTGCAGTGTTGCAGGTCGATGTTTCGTTGATATGGTTAGGGATTGGTCCGTCCATTTTTGTGCAAGGACACTTCGGATCAACGTAACGAAAGTTTTGACCAAAGAGTTTGTTGCACAGTCTTTGACCATTTCCGTACCACTGGTGAATTAGAGAAAAGTTTAAAATCACGTGAACACTCTTGTACTTCGTGACGTAATCTGTTGCTAAAACTTGGGTCCTTGCATAATTAGCCCCACTAGTCATATATTAAGTCGGAGGTGTATTTATTTAGAAACTTGAAATTTTGTGTATTTCACTCAATCAAGAGTGGCCTGATTTTGAAAATGCAGCCTTAACGTTTTCTGCTTATCGAGAATAGTGATAAAAATACCAACCTCGGAGAACTTGCGGCATGTTGAATTGCGAGGACAAGTATATGTTGAATTAGCAAATTCAAAGTCTGTCAGCCATTCCTGAACACAGGTCTGGTCGTCCTTGCATGCCTCGTACCAGTCGTCACAATAATCTCCACAAACTGGAACGTTCCTCAGTGTAAGATTTCCTGCGTGCCATCTGATTAATCGCGGTTCGCAATTGAAGAAACACACTGCTCGCAGCAGGAATTCGTCGCATTTCTATAAATAGCACGCCAAGGATGTTCATTTTTACATCAACGATCAAATTTATAGCTACTATGTATAATACATAATTTTATAGTTAAAGTCCTGCCATTTACCTTTTCTCCATTTCTATTTCTGTATTCCTACGTTCCTATATCATTTTGTTTCTGATTTTGGAGATCTAACTTTCCTTCTGCCAATTTTGCATTTCGTAATGGCATTTCAAAAATGTATGTAATTATACTCCTTCAACTCCTTAAAAAACTCTTAATATGGGAAACGAACTTTTAAGTACACTTGAAAACACTTGAAAACCTTGAAATTTAACCTTAAAAACACTTAAAAACCTTAAAAACACTTGAAAACCTTGAAATTTGACCCGTAATTTTAGCAAACGCTGAGCGTATTTTTTGCCTTTGTTTGGCTCGATGCTTGTTGACTTCATCAAGATAATACTCTTGGAATGCCCGTGTTTTTAAAGCGCATGTGTACCTTACATAATTTGTTATGTACCTCATGCCGGCACCCTGTTTATGAATCAATTGATATTTTTGTTCTTTAACACTCCTTGAAAGTTAAACGAAAAAGTAGCGCGAGCACTGATATACTTCGCGATTTCATTTTTTTCATTGTTAAGTAGTTGGTCAAAAAGGACTCTTAGCTACATGTCGTAGACGCATAGCTAAAAGGTGGCATTCAAATAAACTATTGGTTGTGTATCGACCTCACATACTCTACCATGTAGAATAGGATCTACGGGGGAAGGATTTTATTGCAATCTCCCAACCCTAACTCGAGAAATCTCTGTTAGCTACAGGACTTAGCGCATCTTTAGTGAAGTTGCGTGAAGAATTTTCGGAATGTAAAAAGCAATTAGCTAAGTTCATACATCAAATGCACGAACATTTTTAATGCGCTTCTCTCTTCAAAAATTTTGTCGTTCACTATTATGAGAATCATAATACACCACAAGCCTTATTTCATTACAATCTCCCTACCGAACTTGAGAAATCTCTATTGTTAATTTGGTCGCTAGATAATACCTCTTTTTCGTGATTTCTTTCATAGAAATTTCTCAAATGAAATTTGTCAAGGATGTCACGGGAAGAATTAGCGCGTCTTTAGTGAAGATGCTAGAAGAATTTTCGCCATTTAAAAAGCAATTAAGTCTCACGCACATCAAAATCAAAAACGTTTATAATAAGTTGTATAGTACGTTTTTTTCGCCACATAAATGTTGTCGGCTACTAGCTACTTTCGGAAACGAAAGCTACAAAAGAAATCGTCGTTTTAGCTGTTGTTTTTTTTTTACTCAATGGTATTTCATTAAATAATTGCAAGGCTTTTGTATTAAAATCACACATTTAGCTAGCTATCTTCCCGTCAAAAGCTCTACGACATAAGATATGAAAACATATTAACCATCTACCTACATTTTGATAAAGACGATGTCAAAAACACACGACGTATTTGTTTGTTTTGTGGAATGTGGATTGTGCATATTGGGCAAATTCTATAAAATATCGGGCTTACCCGCGAAATGCTCTTGCAATGTCCCCAGTCAAACCCTAACAATACCCGTCCTCGTGTTTTGTTCAGTTCGTTCGTGAAGTTTGCTGTGCAGCAAGTATCTGTATTATACGCTCCGCATGCAGCACGCTCTTCTGTCGCTGGTGAAGAATATTTTTTGTGAAACGGTCCTGGCACACACTTTTCAGCGTTTGCGTTCACAATATTAATGGCGATAAGAAAGAAGTACTTCATAAACATGACTGTGATTTGTCGTTGGATTGTAGTCCACAAATTGATTGTGCTTTCTTGCTTGAAGTTTATTATGACTTTGTTTCTGCATCGAAGCTGCTTGAATACTGCTCAAATCGTTATGTAGTTTCGCATTTTATTGGTGAAAATTTGAATAAAAAATTTTAACTATGAAACTTGCGAAAAAATTAAAATTATTGTCGTACTTCGATATAATGTTAAAACTATTGATGTAGCTAACATTTTAGATTCCGCTGTGATTGTTGTATGATTACTATTTAAATTGATGAAAATCCCGTTTGTTCAAAACAAACACGCTTTGTCTTTATGAGTTGAGATGGTTATTTCAGTTATGTCGATGTAAGATTTGAAACATCTAAAGTGATTTAACCTATAAACTTTCTAACTCACACATCAGTTGTAAAACTGAAATACCTATTGTTTACGTGATTCTCAATCTGAACTCCATATTACACTAGCTGAAACGATGGTATGATAACATCTGCTTGGTTTTTCTGATTATCATCAAACTTCCTGCTTCTTGTGCTGAGTTGAGCAATTTGTTCAATTTCCTGCCTATTGTTTTCTAATGGCTCGTTGTAGTGTAGTTGCTGCAGCAAATATTTGCGACTTAAGGCTTTTTACGCCAGCTCCAACTAAAGCAAATTGTCGTACTCGATTTTCTCTCACTCGATCAAAAGCAAAGAGTCCACCATGTACGTAGCTATTCCAGGTGAAGAAAATGAACGAAGATTGAAGATTGTTGATGTATCTGCTACGATATATAGAAATGGAAAGATGCCTGGAAGAGCAACAAAATGAAAATGAAACAAAGGTTGATGTATAAGGTGCCCAAGAATGATAGAAATGAGCACTGGAGCGAAAAGATTATGCACATATAGATTTCTCTACGTGCTCAAATTTCTTTATTTTGTTGATGCTGACCTTTTCTAACGAAGAGATATGATTTGCAATATATTGAACGTTTATATGGCAAACTATAGCTTGAAAATATAATGAAGCGAACATTCGAAAGAATATGAGAAAAGTAGAAAAAAAGTTTTTAAAAAATTAAAGAAAAGCTTAACACGACAAAACATTTTTCAGCAAAAGCGTGACCAACAAACATTGTTTAAAACATTTTCAAAAATAAGAATTCTTAAAACATAACAAAATGCGCTCGGAAATTACTTGCCTTCGATGAAATTTTTCAGCTTTTATGCGATTGAAGGAAACGTTTTTGCACGTGTGAAAAAATCGTTTCGCGTTCTTCATTGGCTGACAACCATTACGAAACGATTTTTCACACTGCTAAAAAGTAGCTACTAATAATCACAATTTGTACGACTAGCGGAAACACCGGGAACGAGTCCTGGTCTTGGTTTTGTTCTAGCACATTAGGGACCTTAAGATTTCACGACGCGCGTTACAACGACGCGAGTTTGGCGCGCATGGCCTGGTGCGAATGCGTCCGCGTGTGATTGTAAGTTAAGTCATTAAGATTGGATTTCCTTAACGACGCGAACTTGTGAGTTCACTACCTATACTTTCAAAAAAATGGCCTCCTTCAAAAAAAACAAAAAATGCTATAGCTGTTGCGTATGACGCCGCTTTGATAAACGAAGAAGAATTTGCGCTTTTGTATGATATTTCGCGTTCAAAGAACAATTTAGAAATATATAGTGGCCAAAATTGATATATCAGTAGCCGTTGTATAGTATTTTTATGCAAACATAAAAGGGAACACAAACCGTTATTACAAAGTAAGACAAATTTCAAAGCCACTGGATGTTAATTTAGCTAAACAATTAATTTAAATCACGATGAATTTAGTGGTGTGCTTGATGAGCAATCACTTGATGCTGATGAAAAGTGTTCTGCCATTTTCTTGCTTTGCTAAAAGCAAAAATGTAAACATATTTTACTCACAGATAAATATCAACACATCAATCACATACCAAACTCCACAGACAATTGTAACAGGTGAATTAAAAGCTGAAATACTTACTTTAAAACTTTTTTTGTGAAAAATTCCACACTCGATGTAGGACGACGTGGGATTAAGCAAAGACGCCGCGTTGTAGAAGCAAGACGAAACTCAACGACGCACGCACATGTGCATTGGTTTAAAATTCATTTCCGCTCGCGTTGTAGATGAGCGCGTCGTTAAATCTTAAGGTCACTAATATCAGCGGAGAACTTTTCGTGAAAAGACAAATGTGGCGACATTAAAATGATGGCAACACACCACTAATGGAAGACTTTTTTATGATGGACAGAAAATGATTAGCAAAATGATGGCAACAAACCACCAATTGAACTTATTGAGGACTGCAGAGTGTTCGTACGTGAGGTCAAAGTGGCCATGTTGGTTGGTTACATCAAAGTGCCGTTGCTCAACCATAAATTAACATTAATTTGTGGGATTGCCCCAACATGGCGACACGTGTATTGTAACTTATGTTTGTTGTATACACGAATGGAATAATTTTTTCTGATTTTAGATTTTGGTTAATCGCAAATAGAAACGCGACAAGGTGTAACAACTTGAAATAATATGTCTCACAAAACCATTCGGATTTCTGAAATTGATTGTTTGAAAGGAACATAGTCTGTTTATTTTAGATAGTTTAACAACTCACCTTTCTACAATGCTCTCGCGCCATCGTCAATGTTTCATTGTTTTTATCTTGTGTTCACAAAATTGACTTAAAATACATCGATGATAAGTAGACGTGAGTTGGAGGGTCTTCATAATATAGACATAAACATTGAGTATACAACCACCTTCTCTTGTCTTTTGGTAGATAAACGTGAACATCGACATAAGAATAAGCATAAACAAAAACAAAAACAAAAACAGTTGTTTTTCAATTGCCTACAATTCATTTATGGATATTTTTGACCACTTTGTAGATATCCTCAAGTTTTGATCATTGGATGCAATTGAATCTACCAATCCCCGATGATCCCAAGCTTGTGACTGCCTACGTGTACTATTTAGATGTAGAAAAAAAGCCATTAAAGGTACGATTGATGCAAAGAAAAGATCTGTTGAAAATTTTACTATCCATGCAAGGAGTCAACTTTTTTTATAGTATTTCAGCTCAAACGATCTTGTCATATTGTTGTGTGCTCTCCGTTGCAAATTTGCAACATATGCAAGTCTCATTCAGTAGCTTTCTGTTTAGCATAAACAACATTGGCTCTCGTGTTCACTTTTATATTCACAACGTTCAGATACTTATAAAGTAAATGGTCTGAACGCGTAGCATGTATGCCTATCAGTATATTAATGATCAAAGTAGCAGTAGAGCATAGAGTGATTCTCTCATTTTGGCTCTCCAAATGCTGGCTAATTATTAATTGAAAACAACAAAAGCCTGAATACCCGACTATAATCCTCACATTCCATTTTTCTTGAATTATATAGAATTTATGCGAATGACTTAAACTTAGATTTGCTTTTTAATTTTTACTGTGTGTTTGTTTTACTGTAGGCTAAAGTAAAGGTTTGTCCAAGAAGTCGACGATCTGATGTCATCTCACAACTCTGTGACATTGCTCATCTACCAAGCAATAGAGTAAGCATATTTACCTGCTTAATTTTTTGTATTTTAACGACCTGCAGTTACAGTATCGTTTTTACGCTTTGTCTTATAAGATTACCGTACGTTGTTTTTTTTTGTTTTCTGCATAGTTTCAAAAAATGAAACACTGACTTCTAATTTTATCATGCTCCGTTGATAAGTGGTAATTGCTCACCTTCAGGGGGCGGTAGCACATAGGTCAAATAGCACTGTTCACTGGACAGCAACTTTTTTTCAACGTTTAAAAATATCTCTAAAGGCCAAAATATAAGATTTAAGTTGAGCATTTCACTGAAATGAAATAATGCTTTTAAGATTCCAAAATTTCTTTGTCGTAAGAAAAATATATAAATATCTTTTTAACAAGTTCGAAAACCATACTATCCAATGGATAACGCTATCCAGGCCTCATGCAACCAGCCCTTGGTCAAAAAATTTATGTCGTGACCAAACGAAATAAATACAAGACGTTAGATGTTTTAAGTTTTAAGATAAAAAAAATATAGTCGGAACTGTCTTCAAAAGTTACTCTAATACGGGAAACTGTTTGTTTCTAATGTTATCGTGAAATGACCATCAAATCAGCAAAAGGAGAGTACAAGTTTTCTACAAGGACAAAAAAATATTTAATGTCGAGGCACGGAAAACGTTACGACTTCCGTACAAAGTAGTTTAAAAGCTTCTATATTTATTAGTGTGCATGTAATAGTACAATTAGTGAATTCGGTTTTCGCATGATATCAAGAATTATTCGATCTCGATCAACGTTATTCGCCTCAGCTTTGCATCGGTAGATAACAATCATCTCGTTCTGAATAATACTTGGTATTATATTCAGCCTCGTCTAAAAATGGTTTTAATTGCGTGATAATAACCTCATTTGCAATGATTGCCGAATGTCTTTATAAATTTCTCAAATCAGATCTCTTGTGACTGTTACACGCTTGACGTCTGTCCTATGATATTTTACCACTTTTTCTTTATTTACATTTTAGCTGCTTTTACTTCGCTCGCATTATAACAGGATAATTGAAATTTTCGATGAATTTGACGAAGTCTCGATATCAGCCAATGAGGAAATTCTTATTGCGTAAGTATAGCTATTATTTAGTTATGTCTAGATTTGCTTACTTTCATATGCATATATGCATACATGCATACTTTTTGACAGGGCTGAAACCCCCAACGTTATTTTGGGGGAGGGATATTCATATATTCCGCTCTTCCCCGGTGGGAGTGATCATGCTGTACTTTCCAAAGAAATCGGTATCGCAGTGATCTGTAATATAAACTGCAAAACTATAATGCTAGTTCTATACGCCATTTCGAAGCCAGTTATGATTCATTTATATCTGAGTTTTTAGGTTTATTACTAAATCTTTTGTGGTAAAACCTTTCATGGCTAAATTGTGCGCCTGTATTTCATTTATATCGTTGTTGATTTTCTTTAATAATATCATGAAACTTCCAAAAAATGAGAAAACAAACTTCATTTGAGGCGTTGTTAGCGTTCCAGGTGATATTACAATTCACTGGGCAGAGCTAAATTTATGGGCATTTGCCGCCACCACATCCCCTATTGGCGTTCTAGTTCCTACCTTCCTTTTTGCATGTTACGATGTTGTTACATCGCTTCACGACTGGTCAAAAAGCATTCAAATAATCTTGCAGCATTTGAAGCAAAGCACATGAACATCATTTAAGATGTAGCAGCATTTTGTGTTTTCTGAGATGTTTGAATTCAATTTCACCGAACATATAATTTATATTTTTTGAAGAAATATACATTGGTTTGGCAAAGTTATGTTCACGAATAGTTTTCTTTTGCCTTTTTACCTCGGGCGTCATCACATCGAAATACGTGTCTACATTAATTTCTCTTAAGCCCATCCTCTTGTCTCACAGCAACTGGCATCATATGATCATTCAGTGTTTACATATGTGGTCTCTCGGTGTATTCATATGTTGTCTTCTGGTGTGTCCGTAAGTGGTCTTTCTTTAGATTGGCATATTCTTTACCTCATTTTCAATGCATCTTAGCCTTGCCCTGTCTCCAAAATATGCGGTTTCCCTCAGATGTTCTTATTGTTTATTCTGTCACTCTGTCACTGCAAATGGTAAGTTTGATTTATTGTGTTGTAAAGCAGTCAAACTAACCCTATCAACCATGCCTGCACATGCTTTTTCATTTCTTTTTCACATTCTTCATTGCAGTAGACTGTTGATCCTTAGCAAGTGAAACTATCTTTTTTGCCAACCCTATACTCCATGTAACCTCACTGTTTCGTTTACACTTTTCGTACAAACCCTGCACCACTTTAAAATTTTTCTCTGCTCTCCTTTCAAAGTGTAAACGAAATCGACAACAAAATCGACAACAGCAAAGCAGCTCCTCCAACTTTTTCTGTGTTTTTCAAATTAGCCAAGTACTGCATCGGTGATGTATTCTTGGTATGGTTGCTCACATATTATCCTTTCTGCTCTTAAACTACGTTTACACAACTCCGGAGTGGTCTGAAAACGGCGCAAACGAGTAACTTTATTACAATGCATTCGATTCTATCGCGCTGGTTGAGCAAACAATTATAAAGAGACTTGTTTTTTTTCAATTAACCTGTTAATATAAAAGGAATATCGTAACAAATTACATTGTTTTATTTTTGTTTAAGCTGCGAGATATTAGGATCAAAAAATGGTGCAAATATGGAAAACGACAAGTTGTGTGAATATGAAGCATCACATGAAAAACTGAATTATGATCGTGTTTTGAACTTTCTTGTGATTCAGGTATGATGCTGCAATGTACAATCTCGTTCACTAAACGTACAGCTGCACTCATGTAAATGTAAAATCAAGCAGAATGTGTCAAAATATGAATGAACTAACCAAAGGACTTAAATCTGTTTTGAAAAGTTGACAGGGGGGAGTGTATTAGATATCTCAAGATGTAATAGTAGTTTTCCTATTATGAAATGGTTGATTTTCGTAAAAGTGGAATGTGCAGGTCTCCCCTCCCGCCCCGCCCTGATGCATACAATCATATAATTACATATAATTTACAAAGACAGAAATGATCACAGAGCAGGAGTAAATGGACAATCATTAATTATTTTATTGATGAAATCGGTTTGAACTGCATGATAGACTTGTTTGTTTTTCTCATGTGAAGTTGTGGCTTGATTGTCAATTTTTCTGTTTGCATATGTTTAATACATATGTATTAAACAGACACTGTAACTGTACACTCGAATATTTGATACTTTATTGTCCATGAGGTAAACCTATACTTAATCATATTGTTTAAATTACTTTGCCACCCATGAAACCATGATATTTATGGACTGCGAACGATGGATGATTAGGGGTGGGAATATTAATTTATTCATGTGTTTTAATCCGTTTTAAGCCATAATCCCATTTGACTTCAGTAGGCAAAGGCGGCGTAGCATTGATAATTGGGGGGGGGTGCTATTATTCATATATGCATATCAATGCTCCACGGCCCCTTGTCAGTAGGAATTAATAAAATAGAGAATGCATGCATGAATATGCCCCCCCCCCTTATTTTGTAAATCTTTTGTGGTTCCTGCCACTTTATTTGCCACTTTCCATTTGGGCGTAACCAGCTTGCATGTTTTGTTCATGCCACGTACATTTCAGATCTTTAACATTATTCAGTTCTTTTGAAATCCATTGTTTGCACAGTGAGTGAACACAGAAAAGTTTGCATAGCACGACGAAACTTGCGGGCTGGCTACGCTACTGCTTGCCATTATTATTTATATTATCTTCTACAATTTTCGATGTCATTTTCTTCTTTGAATGTAAAGTCGTTTGTAATTATTCGTCTTTTTCTTTTAGAGACTCACCCACAAGATCGTGAAAAAATGTACTTATTGCGGACTTGAAAAGGCTTTATCTTATTGTTCAAAATGTTGCAAAGTTGCATATTGTAACAGGTGACAATTCTAATTTTTGCACGTCGCGTGTCACGTCACTGATTTCTAAACCGTTTTTATTTATAAATCGCATTTAATCGTAAAAGAGTGAGACTCAACATCATACTTAGCGTGCTGAGTGCTCGCACGGGAAGTTTAATGTGAAGAATATGATTCTTCAACCGTTCATTTGATTTCGAGCACTATAGCAGCCTTTCTATACTCGGTATTTATCACGTTACCTGAGTATAATTTACTTAAAGTGCCTATATCACCCTCAGGGAAATAATCTATTTAAATAGAGGTGATGATTTTTATAACATTTGCAATATATTTTATAAGACAAAAATTTGGAGAACACGCTGCTTTTTAACCCTGTAGAATTATAGTGTAGTTCAATAATAAAGTACACAATATAACAAAAGTTTAATAAAAATACATTCCTCGACTTTGCTACAAAAATCACTATAAACTACAGCGTAAAAAAGCAGCGAGTTCTCCAATGTACGTCATGTTAGGTGAACTAGACACATTCACAGCACCTCACTGTGAAACAAGAAAAAAGCCAACTTTGAGGCTCAAAAAGTCAAGAAGATCAAATTTTCGTTTTATAAAATATCCTGAAAATGTTCTTAAAATCGTCAATTCTATCTAAATAGATTATTTCCATTGTAAAGTTTTGAGTGCCAGTTTAGAAAAACTGGTAACTAATGTTATTTTTGACGTCACAACGGGAGTTCTTCTTGTATTTTGTTTAAAATTAGATGTATTTCAAAATCCAAAACACAAGATGCCACGCACGTGTGTAATTCGAAAAAATAGCTATGCTTTTGAGGAGATTATGTGTAAAATAGTACGATGTTTACTTTAAGCGTGTTCCAGATCTGAGCTCTCGCCCTTTTTTTTTAATTTTACGGTCGAGCAAATAATCACCGAGTTTGAGCTCCAGGAAAGGCAAGAAGATTATATTTTGTAATAATAAAATATATTGAAAATATGTTTAAATTCTTCGGAACTATCTACATAGCTCTATTGCGAAAACATGATACAGGCGCTTAAATCTCGTCGCATTGTGAATTGTAGACGTTGGTTACGAACGTGTACATTATCGTGGAAAATAGTTCATACATCTTAAAGAATATTGTTAACCAAGGTGCATCACAGCGTGAAGGCCATTTTGTGGGTCGAGAAAATGGCGGACTTTGCTTTTGTAGTCCATGCAACTAAGACAATAGTAATTAATGTAAAAGAGAGTTTGAATCAAGTTTTTTTACTAGCTTTTCATATAAACTAGACGACGCAGTGAAATTGAATTCAGTGTGCTGCAAGCTCAAAAAGTAACGATGTAAACATAAACAAAAGCGCGCAATGCATCTTGATTGACACACATTCTTTAAATACGTAAATGCTGCATATGGCAAGACTTAACATAATAATATCATATAATGTTTTAGTAATTGTCAAAAGATTCATTGGAAGCACCATCGTCACTATTGCGAGTTTCAACCGAGAATTGTTGGTACGCCATTCGTCATCAGTATTTTTCAGGCTGACTTAACTATCGAGAACTTGATGAAGAAAGCAATTCACTATGGAAGGTTTGACATTTCACGGAAATCATTGTTCTCCGCTTTTGCATCTGCCTCTTTGAACAACGTGATGACAATTAAACTTTGTTTTAAGTTTTATTCACGAAAGCATTTTTACCTTTTATTAAAGGTATTCGGTTACGCATGGTAAAGATGAAACTGGTAGGTAATCTTTTGAGAGTTTTAAAATGCATGTGGCCTCAATTTTTACGGTATGATTTTTTATCGAAGACTCAAACTTGACTTCAAATTTGTGGCCTTTTAGACTTCCAAAACGATAAATTGACTAATTGCACCTTTAAACCTGAATTATTCGAGAAACTTGAAAAATGATTTAATATCTACAAACAGATAGGAATTCAATTTATCTAAATTAATAGAATGATTGACTTAATTACTCGGGCATTTAGATTATTTCATACTTTTTATAAGAAAATATTTGTGTTTATAAAATAATCTGTTGAAAACGCGAGCGCTGATTCGTCGAATGCTCGAAAAAGCCGTGTTGACATAACATAATATTGCACGGGACTTCAGTCTGCCAAGAATCTCGTAGGTTGCGTCGTTTTTGTGGGAAATTTTAATGGCGAAAACATAAACAATTTGTTATTAAATCTATAAATTTATCTTTTAAATATTGTTTTCAAAAGGCTATTTAATAAGCGAAATGTAAAACACATTGACTTGTTTCTATTTAGTTGTACAAACACCTGTGTAAGTTTGGGAGAAATTCGAAATTGCTTGCAAACACTCGCTCCTCGTAATCGCGCTTACCACGCAATTTCCCGTTTCTCCCAAACTTTCCCTCGTGTTTATATAACTCTATAGAAACTCGGGAAATGTTTTCTATTTGTTAATTATCAAATACGTCTCGCAGATTTCGATATCATGGCTTTGTTTTTTACCACTTTTCATTACAAAAGCTGTATTTCGCTATATTGATGGATATTGGCTGTTTTTGAGGGTTCGTGTTAGGGTTAGGTCCACTGGCGGATCTAGACTACCTCAAAATAAATAACAGCTGCATATTTTGGCGTATATTTACATTTCTAAACACCTTAGAGGGTAATCCATTGGTAAAATTTTATTCTTTGAAAATTAAAAACCAATAGTGCTTTTCTGAAAGTAATTTGAATTTAAAATTGAGGAGCTGTAATTTACGTACACTGGTTCCGCCACTAGTTAGGTCTATGATAAACGAGGCTTTCATAGTGAATGACATCACTGCCATGAAAGGTCGCCAAATTGAAAAAGTTTGCTTTGCTAACAAACCTTTTTTGTTTTTCTTAAGATTCAGCTAGTCTTATTTTAAAATTTTTGGGGAAGATTACGGACTATCGTACCAAAGGAACTAAATTAAGTGATAAAGGTAAAGATTCAAAAATCCATTTTCATCAAAGTATTTTTTGCATTTATTTGACGTCTTGAGGACCATATTTTCGTTTGATTGTTTGCAAAATTAGCACATTCTGATCTATTAGCACCAGTTTTTCTCTACAAATTTGAATAATTTATGATCACTTCTTCTATGCTTAAATTTGTGTAAACAGTTTGGCTGTCGAGAGTTATTAGTATTGTTTTGTTTTTTTGACCATTTGATCAACAATGTTCCGTTTTTATTACTTCTTCAGTAGAATCATGTTTTGTAGCTCCTTTTTCTGGAAATTTTTAACTTTGTCATATTGCAAATAACATTGTTATGACATCACTTTGCGTAATTGGCTTTAGGTAATGCTAGTTTTCGTACTATATCTAACTTTGATACCTTCACACATCTGTTCATCTGTTTATGTATTCATCTGTTCATGTATTTAATGAATGTATGATGTATTTGTTAATTTTAAATGTCTTTGCAATACAATTGGAAAACTGCCTGGTAAAACCAATGATAAAGAACTCAATCCTCTAAATATCTAACTACCGTGTCAAGGTGAGGCAAGGTGGTAAAAAGCAAAACTCAAACTAAAAATATGGTAAAAGAAGGTTCAAAAACTCAATCCTATCAAACATTTTAAAAACTAAACTTATACTATTAACTTCGCAACTGTATATCAACTAAAAAAAGCAGGTATTAATCGTCAATATCGTCAGTTTTGCAACCTTTAAAGATGGCGGTATGCTTCACTTGTAACTCTAGAATTTTTGCGGAGTCAGGTATCTAGTAGATTGGGTTCTAGGTCATTGGGTAAAACAAGGACGCCTAAAAATTGATAATCGTCGGGCTCATATCCTTGAATTTATATGTTATTATAAGCAATCAGCATTGATTTCAATATAAACTGATCATGAATAAAAAACATGATGTTTTAGTCTACATCTTCATCAGATGTGAATACATGGTACTAGTTTTGGTTCATGCTCAAGATTTCATGATGTAGTTTTGATAATAAGTATATAGGCTTAGTTGTAAAGTGTATGAACGGCACATGTATTTTTTTTATTAGTGTTGAGCTCAAAAGAAAAGGAAATGGTTGACGAACCCATTTGTCTGGCTGTTGACTGGGTTAAAACAATACAGGAACGTAATAAGTTGGTAAATTTATCTTTTTTTCGTTCATATGTTTCCAATTGGTGTATTATATCATTTATATTGCGTATAAATGTGCTATGTGTTTTGTGTTTACATTGCAGAAGCATAAATATTCTTTGTACAATTGTATATTTATTATGATTAAAGTTTCATTTACCAATCAACAATCAGTTGCAGCACCAGCGAACGTACGCTTTCGTTGTACCGACCAAATAACTTTTTCTTCTCGTGCACATCTCATGTTTTTTGGTTTTGTTGGATCTACATCGGGTTTTATTATACTGATTTCCGTAAAAATAACCGGTTTTGTTTTGTTTAAATTTTGCAATTTGTATTCGTATAATTGTATAGTTTCATGTCTAATTACTGTGAAACATAAAAGATAAAACAGTACTTGTTTTTATTTCTTTTCATTATTTTGTAGTTCTTGAATTTCACACGATTGCTTTTTGGAAATCTTTGTTTACTTATAACGGTCACCATTTTCTGAATTGATAAAAGTTTGCTTAGCTTTTACTTCTTTTCAGCTAATCAATTAGAGGGTTACAGTTTTACCGAGTAATTGCGAATTTCTACAGTGCAATTGATGAATTTTTTCAGTGCTGCTATACATTTTATTTGTGCAATTACAGCAAAACTGCTCTCCAATCACATTCGAGACTTACGTACATGAAAGTAGATTATTAAGATACTTATAATTTGGTGCCGTAGCAAGTAAGCCTTACCAGTTATTCTTGCATTTGAAGACTTGATATTGATATTTGAGACTACTAATGGAGTAATTTCGCTCTACACTCGGAAGCAGTTGAGATCATTTCGACATACTTATGACCTGGAGAAGGAAACCACTTTTGTTTCAGACTCGTACCATGCCTTTATTTCGCGAGAGTGGACAACTTAAATAGACCGATAAACTACTCACCATAAAACAATATCGGCTTTTTCGATATTGTGCAATGGGAACAGGACGTACGGTTACACATTGTTGGAATTGCATTATTGAGTCACTTCCAACAAAATTATGCAATAGGAATTTTCTACCCGATTAGTAATATTTTTCCAACATTATAAAATTTCCAAACCATATAGCTACTGTTTTTTATCTTTTTTGAAATATCTGTTTTCGAACACTTTCAAAGTACATATACCGGATTCTTACATTAATGATTTACTTTGTTTGTAAATGCTCCATTAAAAAAAACCCTTATAAAAGCGCTTTTTAATAATCTCTTTTGCAGGAGTGTGATGTTGATGAAAGTGTAGTTGGATCAAAGTGCGAAATTCCTGAAGGTATGCATGAATTTACAAAAATCAACGAATTTTCGATTTGAAAACTTCATTCGTATATATAAGATGTGATATACACAAAACATGAAAAGACTCACATTTCAATTTATGGTGTTCGCTACTTTCTAATGGCTTTTTATGCGAGTTAGATGCGCATGGTTTTTATTCATGTGCACGTACCATTTTTTAATGATTTATCTTTCTTGCGTAATTTGAAATATTGTAGTGATAGTATTTTATGCATGGAATTTTGGGATTGTTCAGTGACGTAAATGTGATGTTGCGGTTGATTCAATGAAATATAGCACTAACTGAGCTTTGTGATTGGTCAAGTTGAACATGAGTTTACTTTTCCGCAGTTTATACTGAGTGTATTTTAATTGCTCTACGACGTTTTCGAACTTTATTATGTTAGTTTCCGATTTTTACATACTCACTAAGTTAATTTAACAATAAGAACAGAATTCATCTTCATCTTTTGCATGTTTGCGGGTGTGAAAGAAAAGCGTATTGGCAATTCCATTTTAGAAATAGTTTTTAGGCATCAAAGTTGTGTGATAAATTTACTGCAGACTATATTAGCCTGGGCATGCATGTCAAAGATGTTGCAAGTCCTTCGACATGTATAACTCATGTCATTTCACCTACATCAAGTACGATCAATTAATGCTTGCCGTTGAGATTTTCTTATCTGTTTCTAGACCATGATTTATCCTAAGGTGTATTTTTCTTTTCAGATAGTTCTTCTTCGTTGAAAGAATGTCTTAAGTTCTATTGGAATGCGGAGAACATTAGTAAAGAATGTGGCTGGTAAGGCTTGTACATCACCTAGTCTGCAAATTCTTCCCAAGAAAATGGTCCACTTGGTATTCACCATTTACCATTCACAATCGACGTCTCAACACAATATACGAGTTATTCTCTCTGAATGATTAGTTAATACGAAACGATTTATTCTTCCAAAGGAAATGCGAAGATTGCAAAGACGTGAGAGCTGCGACGAGAAAGACTATGATTTGCAGACACCCTGAACATTTAGTCATCCACCTCAAACGCTTTTCCTATTCCGTCAATGGACAAAAAATTGGCAAACGTGTACATTTCCCGCTCGAGTAAGTTGTCGGTAAAGTGTATTTGTATCTTTTTGGAGTTGGATTTTTTCAATTATGGCAGGAAATGATACTCGTCTTCAGTGTGTTTAAGTCTCGGTTTCAGTATGTTTAATGTGTAAAAAATTGACACTCGAATGATTTTCAAATACGGAGAGGTTCACGATTATTTACCTCCTGGGAACGAATGTTCGAATGTGTATGGCTCAGTAAAACGCTCGTCTTACATATACCCTCGACATAAGCGCTCTTCTGAATTGTTTTCTTTTTTATACAATAAGTGCTGTAACTTTCACTTATATGGTAATTGCACAGTACAAATTTTATGATGTAGCTATAGGGTCGTATAGGTTATTTGAAAAATAAAAGATTTTTCTGTGTTTGCATGAGCTAGTGCAAACCACGAAAGCCATCTTTTATTTCATTTATGATGCAATGATGCAAAACAGCCAAATTTAAAACTAATGTTTTAATTTTCCTTTAAAGAATGATTGTGAACCACAATGCAACGTGCCCCTCTTGTTTATAGTCGTGCTAAATATGATAATTAATTCCATCGATCAGTGATCTTTCCTTAGACTTTTCGTACAACTTCGACAAACGTCTGATTCCAAATGTTAAGTTTTTATTTGAATACCAAGTTGTGGTGTTTTTCTTTTAAGTATGTTTTCAAACATTGAGCTTGCCATAGTTTTGAATAGTTATTTGCTCACCCAAACATATACGTTTATAAGAAATGTCTCTAGCAAGCTTCCGAAAACACTTTTTTCATCCAAAAACGACACAAATTTTTGTACATCCACAAATGCATAGAATATCCACGGATTACAAACGTTTGTGTAATAATTCAACCACGAAAATGGCCGCGAAGATCATTTGAGCGCGCGTTGCATTGTGGATGGACAATGATTTTTTTAACACGTATTCATGGTTGATTTGCAAATTTTCTGTCACTGAACTGAGGTCGGTTTGCACAATGCAAACTCATGCAGCTATGGACCAATCAGTGCACGCGTTTTATTATTTTATTGTTAAGGTAATTCAGACACGTTCCACGCCTGTGATGTACTTTTTATTAAATGTACTACTATTTATAAAACAATTCAACGGTTTGTCAATGATGCTATGATAGTATGAAAAGATCCAAAGAACACACTAACAATTGTTACATATTTAAAATAGAATCTACTTTTTGCGTGTGGTAAACTTGATCCCGGGTTCAAACCATTTACTTTAAAACTTGATTACTACAAGTTTTTATTTTTTTTTCAGAGGCTTGGATATGTCTCCGTACACACATCCTAAAATGCGAAGTAATCGTGACGTATATGATCTTCGGGCCGTATGCAGTCATTACGGTTTCATGAATTTTGGTCATTACATTGCATTTTGTAAACCTTATACGGAAAAGGAATTAAGCGATGTTAATATGACAAATACTGATGGTAAGTTCCTTCATTTATTTCTTATGTTTATATCGTATGCCAACTTCTCGATGATACATTGCTTTTCAGTTTGACTAATGCTTAGGCCCGTTTCAAACGTCGCGTTTTACATGCGCCGAATGCATTTAAAACAAAAGAAAATGGGATAAAAGTCCTTATCATCTTTTGTTTTAAATGCATTTGGCTCATGTAAAATGCGACGTTTGAAACAAGCCTTACTTTCGCTTCTATCGATCTCCTCAATGCCGAAATTTTAGTTCTGTGATTATCGATGCATATAATCAGCGTTACTGCGTTTAAGTTCGTTTCAAACACGTTCCAACCCCGAAACCGGTTTTTGTGAGTAGCTGTTGCGCATGCGTGGTTGTATTCCATCGTTTGTTGATCTGTTTGGCTACTGTGTACTTTGTTCGAGGGCTGCATGACAGAACACTGAATTTTTTTTTCCTTATCTGTGTGGGTTAACACAATGTCAAAATGACATTCAGCAGTTAATACATATGATACGATCCTTGTAAAACTATAAGCAACAAATTCAAACTTGAATATTGATCTGAACAATGTTTGAATCTTGGTGTACGAATTTTTTTACAAAACATCGTACTCAGATTGATAACGGCTACGTGTTGTTGTTGTTGCAACAATGTTTTCGCGCCAAAATGACATAATTCGTACTCGTAGTCGTTCTCGTAGTCTTTGCTAAAGCTCCCTAATTACGATTCCAACGGCAACCAAGTCTTTGTTCTACCAAGTACAAATTATGCAAGGAAATACTTGATGTCCTCGAAGATTAAACATTTTTGCATTCGGCACTGATGACCCTGTGAAACATGGCAACATTAAAAACAATCCATACAATGAGTAACCGTACATACTACAAACCGTAGCTTTAGTGCATGAATTACCATTGCACATTAACAATAGCCGCCGGGACGTTACAATACGCACATGTTGTATTTGTACTCATTGTTTGGATTGTTTGAATAATTCCGTGTTCTACAGCAATCGATCACTGATTCATTGTTTAACTAGTATGTCGGCTGTGGCCTAGGGCTATGTAAAATATTTATGGGTAATGTTTCGGTTAGTGATCAATTTGTACAACACGTAGCTCTGGCTATGAACTACAGGACAGTCCTTCCGTTTTCATTATTGTGTAACACGTCAAGCACTCTGTGGAAGTTCCTGCAAATATAAAGCTCTTCAAAGAAAGTATCCAAATCGTAAGGTGATAGGAACATAAATAAAGGAATCGCATAAGCTGCAATTTTCACAAAGTCCTTATTTTGAGTCCAAAATAAAATTTTCCACTATTTCCATGACCTCAGCAAAGGCAAGAGGAATTTATCAGCCCTTTCAATTTAAAGAACTTCGTGCGGTCTAGCATGATACAAGTTAAAGAGGCTGAATCAGATCATTTTACTGCACGTAAACCAAGAAATAGCAGATCACTTTGATTTGCACAGAGTTTATTGAAGTCAATATTGGACAAAAGTATTCTTTGACATATCTATTATAGCTAATCTGAGTTCAGACTCATAGAATAGAAATTCTACGTGGTGATTGATGGAAGACGTGGCATTCGACATTTGTCGGTGTTTGTAATGTAGTTTATTCATTTTCATTGCTATGAATGAGCTGTACGTTGTTTCTTTGACTAACATTGACTGCTTTTCGGTTTTCACATCGAATGCCAAGCCCATACAAGGACAAGGTTACTGAGGGAATCGAACAAATAAAAAGTCGAGTTAAAAAGATTCAGAGTTTCTAATAGGTTATAGTTAAATGGTGTTTAATTATCATTTCAAGCTTCTTTCTCCTTAAATGATAATTTGGTTCGGCTCGGCTCGTTATTTGATCACGACTTACGGAGTTCTGATGCGATCGATTGATTTGTTCATAGTAAATACATATTTATATAATAACCAGAAGAATTTGAGCAATTTCATTGGTCGAGAGATATGATCCATAAGAGGACAGACGCACGGAATTGGCATCACAGAAAATTTCTTGTTTTTAAATGACAAACTAGCGGAAATATTTGAATATTTACCTTAGATATTCAAGTATTACCTTGAATATTTACCTTAAATAAAGAAGTTAAGAATGCCTAGTTGAAGCAGTGGACGTATTTGGGCAAAAAGAAAAGAAAAAAGCCTGGTTTTCAAGCATCGATTTGTACTTCGTCTTTGATAACAAAATTTCAACAAAATTGATCAGCCATTGCTTGTTTATTTTGTTAGCCAATCACTTTTTATCACGTGATTAAGCTAGCCAATAGTATTTCTTTAATCCAATAGATCAAGTAAGCGTGATGTTTGCAAAATCGAGACTTTTCAATGTTCCAGTGTTGGGGGACAAAGCAAACAAATTGTTTGACCGTTTGAAATTTGGGAATTTTTTTTTATTTTATTATATAATTAACAAATAGATAACATTTAACTGTTGTCTGTACAGTTATAGATACACGGGTAAGACGTCATTTGTAATAAAAACTAAAATTGACCACTCGCCCCGGCGGCTCGTTCTATAACTGTATGAACAACGGTTAAATGTTATCTATTCGTTAAATATATATTTAATTTCATATATGGATATGAAATTAAAATGAAGGCTCACAAGATAAAAGAGTGCTCCATGTAAACGTGAAGGTTAAAAGTCCTGGTCACGCTTTTACGTTTACAGTTAGAACGTGGTTTGAATTTTCTTTTGATTTACCCCTCCCCCAGAAAAAAAAACGAACAAAATCTGGTCTGCTGACCTTAATTTAGCGTTTACGCCACTGGTTTATGCCAAAGTCACCGGAGAGGAATTTATGTACATTCGTATTCTCTGATGCAAGCCTCGGAACAGAAAAACGTTAATGCAAAAGATTTAATTTAGTTCTAGCTTTAGGGATATGCCAGGTAGAACTTTGCCAGATACCGTATAGTGCCGGATAGCAGCCGCCCGGATACCTGTCAAAAAATTGATATCCCCGAATACCTGATATTAGGCTATAGCTGATAAAGCTCTGAAGGTACATCTTAAACAAAGCACGTTCAGAACTTTACTTTTGTTAAAAATTATATTATGTTATTAGTCTAAGGGGCTGTTTACATGACCCCGGCTAACCGGGATTCAGCGAGGCGTGAAATGATTTTGAGTCATTGAAAAGAGTAAAAACTTTAAACACAAAACTTACAACCTTTTCTCATGTCTCATATGTCATTTTAGTTTTAATTTTTACATCAGGCTAAGTTATTTTTTCTCATTATATCGGTTTTGCAATCTTATAAAGTCAGAGCATAGAGAAATTTCTCAAAAAATTTTTGTTGTGACGTATCTTTTCCATTTCCCAAAATGATGTAGCGCTTCGTTGAATCCCGGCTACCCAAGGTCATGTAATCAGCCCCTAACGCGTTCACCTTAACAAATATTTTTTGCTGTATGAAGTTTTTCTGGCTTGAAAATACTTAGAGCTATATCACTTTCCTAACAATTTCTGACTGAGAATGAGTGACAGTAATGCATAAATTTCTGTTTCAGGTACAAAAATTATTTTGCATTCTGTCTCGTAAAGGGTAATAAGAGTAGCTATCTCCCAGTGTACGGTAAATATCCAGCAAAAGTTTATCGGATATTGCCGGATAAGCATGTGTTAACACATATCGGATGCCGATACCCATATCCGGCATGCCCCTCTCGAGCAGTCAACGTGCGATGATTTTTTACCATTTGCCATTCATTAGTAAAGAGTTGATTTTCAACTGCGCATTCCTTCACTTCATTAGAATTACCAGTTTACATACTAACTACTTTCCTTATGATATAAACTGTATTCCTTAAGTATATCATAAGTTCTTTTGCATCTTTTATTAGGCTGGCTTAGGTACGACGATAGTAAAGTTTGTTGCGCAAAACAGAGTGAAGTTGAGGCCGAAACTCAAGCATATATTTTGTTCTATCGTCGAAGAGCCATAGAAACTGAACACCAAATTCTTGGATCAATCAATGGAGATGTTTACAACCGCAGAAAGTTGAAAAACTTCACTGAAATGTCGCTGAATTTCGAAGAGGATGTGATCGCAAAATATGCGACCAGTAATCGTAGTCTGGAACAGTCGACTGATTTACAGCCCTCCAGTCGGTTCGAGAAATCAAGTGGGAGTAAAAACTTACCAAATGACACTTCTACCAAATTGTGTGATCAAGTGGAACACGACTATTTAGACAATTCCGATCCTTCTGTGACGTCAAATTTTAATCAAGTTGAGACATCGAAAGAACGTGACAATAGAGAAGTTTTCTATGAGAATACCAATGTCACGTTGGAGAAGAGCGAAAGTGACTCTAGAATAAATTCTGATGTGAAGAGCAGCGAGTTTTTTCTTGAAGATATTTTGGACTAAGTAGGATCTTATTGCAGATAGCTGAGTGTTTTTTTAATATTTATACTTGGGGGTGAATAAATTTGATAATGAAAAAATAGTACAAGTGCATCTTTGTCGCTAAGATTGGATATAAAGTTTAAACTGAGACTTTCTAGAAATAGCTTGCTTTGAATTTGATTGATTTTGATTTGATTGATTTGTAGAAATTTGGCTGCAAAAACCTATACCTTTCTTGGTATCAGATATTGGCATCGTATTGCTTTTGCTTCTGCTTTTCCCAAAAATTCGTAGATATTTTGCCAAAAAGTAATAGTTAACTTTGACATTTGCTCCATCGTGAGTCCGCTACACTTGCTGCAAATCGACTGATAATATTAGCTTGCAAAGGGAATCATTAGCCAATACAGTCCACCTGCCGTCTTTTCAGACGATTCTGGAAAGTTAGCTGAATAGAGTTATGACGTAAGAGGTAAATGTCTATGCTACTGAAGGTGCTTGTATTTTTTAGCATTCAATTGACTATAGTCTGAGATGAAATAAAGTCACGTACATTGGAAAAAGAATAATATATAAAAGAAAAGACTGGCTAGTTAATTGTGCGAGTTCCAAGAACATATAAGCGTATTTAAGTTTTCTTTAGCATTTTATCAATTTCGATTGGCTTTATTCTGTACCAGCAATCAAAACTCATTGGACAGACGCTTCGTGTGACTGCCAAAACATGACGATACTACCTACTTCCATATCTTTATTTTATACGAATTTACGTAATTTTGACCCAATCACAGTCACACGTTGACAAACGATTTGCGTCATAGCTCCATATATGGCATGTAAATACTTTCATGATGAAACCTGGCTGTGGCAGAAGCAGGAAAATCGCAATAATAAGATACCAACTATATATAACGTAATAACTGCCACAGCCGCATGAAAGAGAAGCGCCTTGAAAGCATTCTCAATCCAAATATGCGTTGATGTAATGTTTACTCGAGATACCGTGCAGCAGCGCCATTGGGCCACACGAGGTTGACCCATGTATAGACAAAACTTTATATTATCGTGTACTGTAGAGTTCGTATTTGTCAAACAATACAATGCCGCGATCAATCATTCTTGGCAACAAAACTCAGGTCTGTTCATATGGATCGCTATATTATGAAATTTATGTCATTTGCGCTATGTTTCTTCTATATTACACGAAGAGCCTTGCAGATCGCCATTTCTAAATCTTCAACTTTTAATACTTCTAGAACAGTCTATTGGAATTGAGTTCTGCCGAAGATCTCGATGGCTTTGCTAAGGCTACGAGAAACTTGCTCCTTTCACAGTTCGAAAAAATAGTAAGTATGTTTGGCACTAAGATAAAGTTATAATGCTTTGACGTATTGAACGAGTATTCTGTTACTGATTCCAGCACTTTGAAGCGATTGCCTAAAATTTGATTGCAATTGGTCGGTGTTTCGAGGCATTGAAATTTAATATGAAGAAATTCGCTTTATTTAATATACCCTACTACGCCGTTGGAATTTTGATTTCTGTCAAACTTTGCTAATATTGTTTATAAAACGAAATTTACCTATTCGAACGCGTGGTGTAACAAGCTGCACGAAATGTCAAAACTTGTATACCGATAGAAGTTCAATTCGTGAATGTATTTATGTAGCTAAAACAGACAGAATAGAACGGATATTTATTGCTGTTCCATCCATTTTCTTACCTAAAAGCATAAACACCATTGTGCCCGTTGGTATATCTTCATTTTTGTCTGATTTGTCGTAATTAAAGCTAGAAATTAGAAAAACTAAAGCACAAGCAATTACGGACACCTTGTTTTCAGTTGAAAGAGAATGACGTGAAAATAGATAAATTTTTAATGCTTTTGCTTGAAATTACGTTTGTTTTTGCTATACGACATTTATTTTCCCACAGATTAATTTTCACTTCTGCCTTTTTGTAATTTTATGTTAAAGGCTGAATGATTGCATGGCAAGATTGTTTTGTTTTTAAACTTTTAATTAATACATGGCTTCATACTAGTCCATAATTTGGTTTTGTTGTCAAACAACATACGCTTGCACAAATCTTGTCCGTTTGATGAAACAATTACTTTAGTTCATTTGCATGCAAACAGCACAACTCTTCTAGACCCTGAAGTGTGGTGTCAAAGATTTGCCTCCATCAATGAAACTTTTCTTGGGTTCTGTAAAAACATAAAAAATGATCTTTTAAACAATATATAGATTGTAATTGACTGTTATTTTATATTAGTTAAAGCAATTGTGCTATATTCTGAATCCTTTATCTGGTGAACTTGAATTTTTGTCATGTGATGGAGCTCATAGGCATTCCTTTCCCAAGTAAGTTGAACTGTTTTGCTTGGTGTTATTGGAGTTTTCTGTAGTAATATGTCTGGTTTAATGAGTTTTCCTAATTTCATGTGTTCATTATCTTTACTTTCTTGATTATTCACACACCAAATTTTATGCTATTTTATGATGTTCACTGTATTTGGACCTTTCTGCCAAATATATCAAGAGATTAGTGGAGTGTTGTGTTTTACATGAAACCTGTAAGGGGGGGAGAGTTTTTTAATGTAGTTGACTCCTTTATCTTAACCTTCAAGGCCACATGATTTAACATTCCATATTCTTGGATGCTTACAATTAGTGTTGCCTACTTTGAACTATTGAGTAAGTACCAAAATAAAGTTGGCTATGTTGAAAAAAATTTATATTTTTTTCGGTGTTTGATTTTTAATCCTCCTCACAGATTATGTGTCGAAATTTCTCACATTCAAATTTTTACAAAGATTATCTGGGTGAAAATCTATTAATATTATCATTACCAAACCCTCAAGAAACTTTTGCCCTTAAATTTGAAAAATCATTTCTTAGAAAAAACGTAATGAGCAGATCTTGAAACGCTCGAAAATGTAAAAATATTCAAAGTAATGAAGGCTCATTATTACATTTCAAGTGCGTTAGAGTGTTGACAGCAAATGGCGCCCGAACAATAAGGAGGAATTGATTCAAGCAATGAATCGTGAAATGTCTGGGCTCTGCCTCTGTCTGTTCTGTTATGCCTAAGATCGCTATCTGCATTTCTGGTGCCTGTTTTGCGTTGTGATTTCAAGTCTGTTTGTTTCGAGTTTTTTTTCGTCCATCGCGTATCGTGATTTTGAATTTTGCCCAATGATCCGATTTGTGTATGTGGCTATTGAACAAAACATTTACCATCGGACGATCTCATCGCCTGCAAACAATCTTGAACTAGCAATTTTTTCGTTTTATTGAATAGCAATTTCCTATGAACTTTCGCTTACAGCTGCTGGTGATATTTTTTCGATTGCGCTGTCTAAAAACCTCTAGAATATTCTGATGGGTGAGTTTTGCTTGCAGCGAGCTAGGTGCGAAACTAGGAAGTTTTTATAGGCAACCGACGGTTTAGCGCAGTCTGTTTTTCGCTTATTTCTGATCGGCTATGGCAATTATGATCGTGCATGTAATTCATTTTTTAATCAGCAGGTGACAGTCTCGGTAATTTCAATTATATCAGATAACGAGACTTGCGTCACAGGACTTGCACACAAGCGCCGCCTTTGGTGAATGAAAGATGTGTCTCTGCCACATGGCTAATAAGTGTGCTAACGTATAAGGCGTCGCCCTTACTCCGCCCTTATTTGAATGAGATATGCACAAATTTTTGTCGACCAATGCTTAAGTTCTCTCGCACATATACACTTCTTATTTTTAAATTGTCAACATTAGCAAACATGTTTCAAATTGGTTCGTCCAAGAGTGCTTTTCAAAACAATAAGATTCATCATGCGAAGTTATTCTAATACAAATTTGTTCCTGATAACTTCATTATTAACGTAAGTTGTGTAATGTCTTTCTGCAGGTTGATCATCTCGGTGTTGACCGTAAATCATGCAAAATAGTCAGTACCCTACGCAGATTGATACTGAATTGAGGAGCAAATATACATGTTCTGCCCTATTAAACTCATTTCAAATACCTCTCCTCCTCCCCACCCCCCTCCCTAATTATTAGTCTGTGAGAATTGTACTTAAGAATGGTGTTTGTTTCTTTTCAAAATACTTTTATGAAATCATGAAGCACCGACCAGCCAGTTTGTCTCTTTCTTTTTAACTTGTGCGACCATTGACGATATACATATATCTTATTCGCGTAGTACGTAATGGCGTTTATTTTGAATGTAAACCACTTTTCATTTACGAAATGAAACCACCGGCGTATAAACAAAGATATAATTTGGTGAAATTTGAACTGGGCAAGGGAGGTTGTGTTATTGAGACGCGACATTGTTATTTTTTATAAAACGAACGAAAACATTACATGCATTGGAATGTCTTCAGATAAAGTCGTCAGATCATTTATGTCTTTGATTCAGACGTGTGTGAAAAAAATGAATTGACGCAGAGCAGAGCTTTCTAGCCAGCGTCATTGACGTTTGCAGTTTGTCAGTTAGCGGGTACGCACCACACATGACTCCTTGGTTACTGTCCTTGTGATGCATTTTTTCGAGGTTACAATCAGTCAAATTGACTGTGAAGTGCAGAGCGATAGCGAAGTTCTTCAATATTTTCTAGATTGTTGTACGCTCGAAAAACTGTTTTCCTTCTTTCTACCCATACTTTAAAACTGGTGTTTTGATTGCAATGCTCGTATCTTTTGACATTGTGTTGTTTTTATGATTGTTTCCGGATTCTTGCAAATGCATGTGCTGTCAGAAACATACATAAAAATAACTGTATTTCGTTTGTCTTTTTCAACGTATGCAAAGTTATAATAATTGATTGCTGCTCAATGTGACCGTATGAAAAGTCATTTTTTTACTACATGCATTCTTTTGCGAATTTCTTGTGAAGTAAAGCATTGTCTAAAGGCCATTTCCATAGATTTCCATAATTTGCGCATGCGCTAAGTACGGCTAGAGATGCGATCATATTTTCCAGTGGAAAAAATTGAATGTTTTTTCGAGTAGAAATTTTTCAACTTTGTGTATTTAGTCCGGTTACAGCATGTGTAACCTGGATGATTTTACAATTTTTTTGAGTGGAACCTTGCCTTTAAGACCCATTTCTATTTCATTTGTAATTTTTTTTTGTTGCGCAATTCAAGTACTTTGTTTGTTACCAAAATTTTAAAGAATGTTCCGTAGCCACATTTTGTGTCCCTACTCATCTATAATTCTGCCTTAAAAATGCGTTTCTTTTTACCACAGGAGTAAACTTAAAGATGACTATTGGTCAAGTCCTGGCTTGGACATAATGGATCCTCTGTTAGATATCATCCCCGAAGCTGGGAAACCTATAAAAGATGGCCGGCAATGTACTCAAGTTTAACAATCATTTTGCTATACTTAAAAAAAACTTAAAAAGCCATACATCACAATTAATCATTAGAGTTTGAATCATTAGATTCATTACAAACTATCTTGTCAGATATCTGAATACTAAAATTAGCTGCTGACGTACATCGTTATTAACATTAATGTACAATGACGTTGGTTTGCGAGTGCGTTATGTTTAAAAAAGTGCCGATATATTTAGTCATTGAAATCGACCAACTAAAATTTCCGAGTGTTTCCATACACGTGAAATGAAAGGGTCTCTTCTGCTATTTGTGTTGTGATATAAACATTCGTTGATTTTGATTCAATTTTGACAAGAAATACAACTGAGCATAAGTATATTCCTTGATGAAGCCTCGTTTTGGTTTAGCCATCGTAGTTTTTTATACATCATAGAAACTATAACCATTCATGGCAGAATTTTATATTTCTTTTAGTATATTATTGGCCTGTGAAGAGAGATGACGAGAGAATCGTTTTATTGCTTGTGGTAAGTAGATATCGGAAACTCTACGTTTGTGTCTTGCATTATAGCAGGAAATTATACTTGATTGTGATTGGTTGGCTTTTGCGAGTGTTATAACTCTAAACATCTGAAATTTCAAGAAATGTTTTAAAAATTCATTCCTAAGATTTGTTATAACACATTTTGTAGCATGCATTCTTGGCAGAAGTTGGCATATTTTGTCTCGTACATTTTCTGCTGTATAATTATCAAGCAGATATTAGATCCTTTAGCATTTGAAAAAAAAACACGAACTCGTAAGTTTCAAAGAACAAAAATAGCATTCGTTCTTTTGGCCTCGTATTATTTTGTGTCGTTGAAAAGTCATCCGGGCATATTTTGTAAAAATTTGCTCTAGACTTTCGAGTACGTCAATTATCGCTGAAATCTGGGGGCCTAAAGCCGGGAAATATCTATTCGGGAGCGGACTCAGAAGCGCAAATGTACCAAAAATCTTCAATTTTGTTACATTTTTTGTTTTCTGCTTAACAACTCCGGGGCACTAAAATTTGTCACTTGACCAATCTCGAGGGTGAAACTACTCTTCTACCGCCGTCTTGTCAAACCAAAGATGCATTGTATGTCGTTATAATTACGATGTGCGTCTAGTCTAGTTACGCAAATATGGCATAATGTTTGTTCTCACATTGTTTACCAATACAGCGCATGACGTCATTGTGTATAATTATTATTTCATTAACTATACTCCAAACAAAATCATCACAAAGAAACAACATCGCTGTTTAAAGCTGCAATCGAACCTATAGCTGTAATAGGCGGCAAGGTAGGTAAAGTAACAATAACAGATGATAGAATATGGCTTCGATAAAATATTTATTGTGAACTATAACTAGAACCTGTCGTCCTGTTCAAGCAGTCTGTAACAAGAAACAAAAACTTTATAAATCAAACAAACAATTGGTTATTGCGTATATTTATTGCAATATAATGCTCCGACTAGAGCCGGGTTTTTATCTAGTTGCTCATTTAATTGGAGTTGACAATCGTGTTTTGTCCAACTTAAGTTTGAGTGTGATGGTCTTGTACCGTAGAGCTAGTTTCAAGTTACGTACCGACTGCTTTTTGATGAAATTTCTCGAAATAATAATCGACAGTTAAATGACGCACAAAAATCTATCTTCAAAAATTCGTTGCTTTCATTGCCAGAATGCTTTAGTGAAGAAGAAGTAGAAAAATAGGTAAAAAACTCATTTATGTGTATAATACTTGTCTATTTCTATGGTGATTATAACAATATTAATTTATAATAATTACCAAGTTTTTTGCTACACGGGTTTTGTTACAACCTATGACCCTGGGTTCTTTCGCGTCACTGTTAATCATTGAACTAAAATACATGGAACGCTATCTGTAATGGAAAAGCCGAATATTTTTTGAAGCCGAATTTTACACCCAGACACGCGTGTGTAGTTCAATTAATTTTCACTCAGCGAGGGAATCTCAAAACACTACACACGGGTGTCAGGTTGTAAGATTTGGTTTCAATTATTTGCTTCAGGTAGCGATCTATGTATTTTAGTTTAGTGCTTTTAATTACTTTGGCGCCATTACTTTCATCGCCTGTAGTCATCCTCCTCCCCATTTATTTTATACGAGACAAAGAATGCCCAGTGTTTACTGTCAAGAGTTTATTACGTAAAATTACTCTTAGAATGTGCTATATTTTTCTTTCGAATATTAACAATTCTTTAAAAAAACTTAGCTCCTAGTGTAAATATAAGCTTAAATATAACTTAGGTTAGGAAATATTGCTTAGAACGTATTTTTTTCATATTGTCTTGATTGTATATTTTTCAATTTCTTTGCAATTTTGTCCTGGAGTAGTAGCGAAATATGCGCTGTATTTGGACTAGTGGTGTTTAGTGAAGTTTTGCAAATGTTTTATTTGACTGCTACTATTACGAGTCGTTGAAAAATTCGTATGACGCACAAGAAATCATATTCTAAGGAGAAGACGAAACAAAAATGCAAACAAAATTTTTAATTTCAATAATTTTATCATTTTCTATTGTTTTGATCGCAGCTTTTACGTCATAATGTGGTTCGAACAAAGATGTGTTCGTCATGGATATTAACCACTGACATTAATTGTGTCTATCCACATCGTCTGCCGTCATATTTATGACTGAGCAGGCAACTGCTAAATTTTGTTCTGTATGCTTCATGTTACAGCATGCATGATAATATACGAGAAGGATTTAGAAACGCGTTTACTTTCCTAAATAAAATGCATTTGGTAGAGATGTAGCTATTGTGGTGACGTCTTATTACGTGTATGTCCTCTCCTCTTCATTTTTTTAATGGTTATTCAACCTAAAAATGACGCTCTCTTGAGTTGTAAGAGCTGAAATAAATCTAACATCGTGTAGAAATGCCTTTGTTTATGTCAAACGACAATGTAAAAATATGTACCATACATTAGCTTAAACGGTTGGATTCTATGATGAAAACTACGAGTTTGACGTAGTTCTCGATAAACCCTTCAGCGTTTAATGATTCACCTAACGATAGGTATTGTTCTTGTTAACTCAAGAGTGCAAGCCAACGCGACTCTGCATTTGGATACAGGAACTTTAATCAAACGGCAAAGTGAATATTTCTTTCTTATCAATGACTGAGATTATGTGAACTGATAAAGCTGCATTTTTTCTATCGAGCTTCCGTGTTTTACGTTGTTCAATTCTTGTAGAATAACGACGATTTCCGATTTCGGTCTTGTGATAATGAACGTTCCACCAGTGAGTTTATCTTGCTGTGCGTGAATTCTACCTAGGCTATAACATTTCGCTTGATTTTTTTCAGATGGTGACGTCTGCAAAGTTCATCGAAGATGAAAAAGAACAACTCGAGTTCTTTGCTAAACAGGTATACCGTATATATACGTCTAGACGGATTGCACTTAGTAACCATGGGTGTCTCGAAGGGTTTGGGTTTGATATAGCTAAAACGATGCGTGGTTAGTTTGATTGTGTGTCATGGCTTTTGTTCTTCGGGAGTGTAACATCTTGTCTTGATATGTTTAGTCTCTTGTCAATTTAACTTATGATTTTATTGTCTCCGACAAGCAAGTCCGCCAGCTGCGGGAATAATAGCAACTCGACGCGAATATGCTTTTAGCTCGGTTGCTAGTGGTTATCATGAATTATGCTTTCATTCATGTGAATAAATTTGCTCTTGAGTTTTATCATATCGTTTTAACTGTATGACTGCCAAAGGAACAAATATATTATTGTTATTATTATGCACGAATTTATAGACACGATAAAAACTCAATCAGTTATGTCATAAATCAAATCTGTTATTTACAGAGGTCATGTTGACAAAAATTGAAGTTAAAAAGTAATATTAAAATCACCTTGTTAACTAATCAGTTAAATATTTACACACACTTCATTGATGAAATGTTGTAAAGTTTCAGGTATGCGAATTTCTAGAGGCAGTTATTATAAAGTAAATGCCTTTCTTGGCAATTTCACCTTTCATTTTTTTCGAAGCTTTATTCAAAATCACTGGTTTCTCGTGGCTACTTTAGAATTGATCAACGTGAAATAATTTCTAGAGTTTTGACTTTGACACTTATCCTTTAAACATCAGAAGGTTTCTTCTTTTAGAAGGTTTCTATCAGACATTGTACTTGGCATTTGTTTCTTTAACGTTCCATATAAAATTTTTATTACTCGTTTTTCATAAATCTCAGGTCGTTGTGTAGTCGTAGAGCATGCACAGACTAAAGAACGATAAGGAATAACCATGAATTTATATATTTGTAGAGAAGCTTTCGTAGTTATAAAGGAGTGATATTTTGCCAGCTACTGATTCTTTTCTTGCTATAAATGGTACGAGATTTTTTTCGCTGATGTTCTCAACATTAAGAGTGGCCTTGAGAGAGATATAAATAGAAACTGCTGAAACTTAATTGTCGAATAAACTGTGTCTCTGCTAATTTTTCGCCTGTCTGCTTTATCGGCAAAGCTCACTAAATCACGTGATCGTTTCACGCTGTGCAATTTTGACTTATTTTATACGACGTTTTATCGATGACTCATTTAAAAAAAAAATTTTAGTTCGCCACTTTCATGGTGACGAATGCACTAATGTCAAAATCAAGCATGCGCTATTTTAATCAAACCGGCATTTTATAGTAAAAATTGTTGGAAAATTTCACGTTCATTTACTGTCAAGTGCGACCTACACCAATAGTTTGTAAAGAGAAGAATAAAGAATAAATACAATAGAAATTCTATTCTCTTTATAATGAGCACTAACTGCCTGAATAACCATAGGGTAGCAAATTAGGCAGTTAGTTTAACAAGTTGTCTTATCAAGATATAATACACGAAAATAGCCTTGACAAAAGGACGACAAATAGCCTAAATATACTGTTAATATTACAAGAAAAAGCTTTTTGGTTACAACTATGTTTCTATATAGAGGAATCGATAATTTTTAAGAAAGCCATCTTCGATCACTCTTTTTAATCTTTTTAAAGAAATTAAACAATGTTGCAGAAAAAAAATACTCCGGTCAAGCTCTGACATGCTTTACGTACTTTGTTATCTTATTTGGCAACTCTCTTTTACTTGACTTTCTTATTAAATAGTTTATTATTAGTATTATCTAGATTTTTATAAATTCTATTGACGTATTTCCAGATCAGCATTAGCTATGAAAATGTTCTTCGACGACTACGCGGTGGTTTTAAGAAACAGAAACATTTTGAACTCTTAGGTAATTTGACACTAAGCGTTGTGATTGATACGCATGTGTATGCTTTGATTTATTCAAAAATGATTACTTCACTCGTATGTTCTTTTGATAATTAGGTGATATGTACGAAAAGAGCTTTGCGTTGCTATCTGAAAGAATAGTTCAATACGTAAGTTTGAAGTTTTCCCAGTTTGCTCAATTTTGTGCGTGAATTTGTGTGATAGACTTGCTGTTCACTACAACGGCTAAGAACAACTTCTCGATCCACATTAATGTATGATCAAAGATTCCTCGATACTTTCATGCGGGCATTGACATCCAATAATTGAGTGTATTAAAATCCATTTTTACCCCCGCTGAATGATATGTTCATTGACATCCATCTCTCCCAATAGCTTTGCTAAACAGCATAGTTAATTTCATTTAGCTTCAAGAGGTTACTGAAGCATCCTCTGGTCTTATCTTAGCCGTCGATCATACTTCAGACGAACTCTATCATAAGGTATAAAATTTCAAATCTCGTAAAATTTAATTTTCATTTATTGAGCTACAGATCGCTTTGCGCAGGCTAATCCAAACTTTACTAGGTAACTAGGAATAAATCAACGCACGCATTGTATTGTTCTAATTTCATAATAGATAATCAAGCATTACGTTCGATATCATTGAATTGGTAGCCATTGTGCTTCGTATTACAGGTTTATCCCCCAGTCCCCCAGTGGCACGCAATGCTCTTTTGCAATTTTTGTCTTTCCTCTTTCGTTCTATATTTGTAGATGAAAAACGCTAATGGATGTTCAATTGAAAATCGTTTCGAGGTATTGCCATGTGCAACTGCATATATTCATAAAATACCGCAAAAGGGCTGGACATGTATTATTTTCTTTAAAGTACACAATCCCATGGAACTATCACACACTTTATATGAAATGTGGTAGTAAAGTATATTTCAGCTTTTGGGGTGGTCTTATATGGCTGCACGATGTAATTGTTCCACTAATTAATTTTTTTCTTCCATTTCTTTTGTTTAGTTGGCGGGGACTATTTTCGAAGACGTTGTGAAGAATGGATCCAAAATCAACCTATCAAATTTAACATCTGTATGTACATAGTATAGCCTATTAGATCGTACATGGAACTTCTTGCCCTAGCTTTGTGTTTCTTTGCAAGACATGAACATGTATACGTGCAACAAGTGCATGTCGATATAGGAGGGAAGTTTTGATCATTGCGTAGTTACTTGCAGGTTATATAAAACGGCATCTTATATTTCCTCGTTATAGTTGGTGTTTTCTTCATTTGTATTTGTGTTTACAATATTTATTTTCTTAAACTCCGTTCACATGATACCGGTATGAAAAAGTATGAAACCGTAACACAAACCGGAATAGTTTGAAAACGGTACAAAACTATACCTTTTCCGTTACGTGTGAACACCTAACCGTAAGAGTTGCATTACGGTTCGACAAAACATTTTCTCTGCTAAAAATGATGCGGTAAAATATTCAAACTCAGCCGTCATAGCGATCGTCATCTATAACGGGTAGACCTCAAATAGTTATGACACTAATAAACTGAAAGCCGGCGTCAATCCGTCTTTATGTGAAAACGACACCAAGACGTAACGAAACTCGGCATTTTGTGAACAAGGGAAAACGGTTTAAAACTCTACCGGTATAACGTTTGGAAACGGCATCTTACGAACAAGGTCTAATTGGAAGATTCACTGAAACACCATATTTGACCACAACTAATTAAAAGCTTGGAAATAAGATTACAGTTGCTAATGATAATTTTAAAAAACAAAGGAAGAAAGAGTGTATGCTGTTTAACATTAGTAAAACTATTTTTTATATTTTTTTCAGGATTTTCCTTGTCAGAAACGACTTTCAACGTTAACAGGTAACGAAATATATGTGTGCGTCATGTTAGATTGATTTTTGCCACTATCGTGATTTATTTTTGCTTTTTGATGAAAGATTTTACTTTCTTAAGAAAAAGATCCATACAGTTCACCAACACCACGCAATTCATAAGCGTTTATATTCGTTACGTTAATTATAGATGTTCCTGTGACCTCACTGATATGTGTGCCTGTATTGCACAGTCAGAGCAAAAATATATTCTGCGTTGTTTGTCTCTTTAACGAACGTTCATCGGGAAGGTTTGTTATCTTATTCTTGGCCGTTGTGAAGGCGAATTAGAGTGCGATCTATTTTATGAAAATGATGTTGTTTATCGTGGTAACTCTATTTTTGTGTCATGCCCAACTGATACCATACAAAAAGAAAGTTTTCCCCAGCATATATAATAATACTTTCTTAAATGACTCAGCACCAATTTCACTTATGATGATTTGCTTACTGGCATATGAAGAATGAGGTCACTCTTGCTTCAGAAGGAGAACGTATCATCTCTTCAATTCAAGAATACCCAATTTCAAATTCAGCATTAAAAAGTTGTAACAAGTTCTATTCACTATTTAGAAGGAAGTAGTGAGTTTTGTTTTCTGAGAGTCTCAATGTTTCCTAAGACGAAATGCATTAAGTTTTTGCTGTAGAGAAACAAAGATAGATTTCCATAGTTTTAATAAAATCAACGTCTTTCGGAGGAGATTCCTTCTGTTAAATTTCTTTGCAAAATGCCGTAAGGGTGACCACAGCATTTTTGGAGGTGTGTTTTCTGAATCTTTCTTTTATTACTAATTAAATTTCGTCGTTTAATAAACTCGAGAAATGTGGTTGTAGGTTTTTTATCTGGTATGATATTAAAGTAAGCAGGAAACAATTTTTCACTTGTCTCGCATCAGGAAACATTGCATTTATTTCAAGTCATGGGACTACAAATGAACAGATCACATTAACATACACAATGCTCATACAACAATATTTGTTATTGACCATCATAATGTAAAGCAGTTTGAAAAATGCCCAGATGACAGTCTATTATTTTGATGGTTTAATCGTTGGTGAAATTTGCTATAAAAAAATGCTTTTGCTTTCAGCGTTTTGATGTATATTTTTTCACCTTTGAAACAGGTTCTCTCCATCAAAAGAAGCAACTGTGAATTCAACATGTGAATATTTTTATGCTCAACTTTTCAATGCCCTAGAATGGGAGAAAGAACTCGTTTATCGTCGTCAACAAGAGGTTTCTCACTTTCTATTGGCTTATAGAATGCATACGTAACTACAATTGCCTACTGCTAGGAGTTCAGTTTTTTTAATACCCGCGTAGCTATAGCTCTGCCCGAGTGATTTGGTTTGAAAGCGATTGTAAACTTTCAAAAGATATTACTCGGGCAGCACCATTGAACTATATGTATAACTGGAAAGCTACCTTAAGGATAACACGGCTGTACTTGTAAGAAGCCAAATTTTACCCCTCTCGTGACTATAGAATTTTGCTGGAGTGAGATATCTAGTAGATCGGGTTCTAGATCATTGTAAAAGAACTTTCTTCTAGCTGTGCGTGGAAAGACGGGAACTAGTTTATATACTGGCTTCAAATTTTGACGAGGGGTAGCCTTCCATATATATTTAGCTCAGTAGGCAGCACTGAATATATGATCACTTTCCTCCTAACATTTCCTCTTGAATATACCTGACGACCATATGTCAATATGACGTCACGTTTTTTCAAGAAATTGTTTCAATCGAGCTTTATTCATTGTAATGTTACTTGTTCCTTTCAGCATCTGTTAAACGTGGCAAAGAATTTATTCATTCATTTGGGTAAGCAGATCGATTTCATTTTTTTGGGGCGATCAATACATGAATGATTGTAAAGATTAAATTATCAGCCAGAAATGTGTGATGAGCTGTAAACTATTATGCAAATCTGTATTTTCCGATTATCTTTAAAATTTTTGTAAAAATGATTTACTTTATTGTACTTTTTGAAATGTATTGTACTTTGCGCTTGTAAACCATAAAGAAAATCAAGTTGTTTGTTCAAAAAGTCTTCCATTTATACTTTGATGATGTATATTATCAACTGATGTCAATTATAGCTATTTACTTTCTTGTTTATGTTGCATGCATGGGGGGGCGCGAAACTAGAATGCTAATAGGAGAAGGGGGGTGAATAGTGTATATTCATACATTTAGCGCTTCTTAACTTCTTTCTTTTCACTTTCAAAGCAAATCAGTCTGCCTGAGCTAAATACACGAATACTCTCCCTCCGTGCCAATCATAGTGCTCATTTCTCCCTTGATAACCCCCTCGCAAATCAGCGTGCTAGTTTTGTCCTTGATAACACCCTCTGCACTAATTATCGTGCTAGTTTCGCCCTTGATTTCATGAGGCAATGCCTGGTGCCATCTTACATTTGTTCCTGCAACTTATATCTTGTTTTTTTTCTTCCAGTGTTTTAGTGATTTTATTGCAAAGTCAATTTACTATTAAAATAAAAATTATCTTGATAAAAATATTGAGTTAAACATGAACTTTTTATTCGGAGTATGTTTCATATTTTAAGTATTTTATTTTTACATTAATAATATTTTCTCCACAGATAATGTCTCTGTTCTTCTCAATGAAATCCTGCAGGGAGCAAAGAAACTCACGCAAGCTGAAATGTATGTATATTTGTTATCATGTGTTGTGTATAGCTGCATGTTGGAACCCAGTACAGTCGATATACAGTAGAGACACTCCATTGAATTTTTTCGTGCCACACATATATCTTATTCTCACCCTGTTGAGTGGTCTTGAGCGTTGCTGGAGAAGTTTGAACTTGCTTTAATATCTCATTCAATCAACAGTGCTTGACATTTACTTTGTTCTCCAGACACCAATACGTGATTGAGCTAACGCATGCGCACTGTGCAAGATCAGTAATGGGCGCATTCGCTTTTTTGCTGAACTCACTGCTCTTTATATGTAAAGCTGTATATACGCGGTTGGCACAGTCGTGCGTATTTTAACAAATGATCCTTTGTGTTATCATCTTTAAGGCTCAACATGTTGAGAGCAATTGTAAAGTTAATGTCAACGTCTTGTAGCTAAACACCGTCTCGTTTAACGTCACTAAAAATTTCGCAAACTTCATCTGTAGATGTTCGCTGTTTCTTGTTGACAAGGAAAGACAAGAACTGGTTTCCAAAGTTTTTTTCAATCATAAAGCGAATGATGGCGGAGACGAGGTAATGTCTTTTCTCATTAGTTATCACATAGTTCACTGATTTTTTATTCGACTTAAACGGAAATCATGTAATATTTACTACATTTACGAGTAGATAACTATAAGATACTTTTTGTTAGCCAGAAATATTTTTAAGGGAGGGGGGCCAGCACCTCCCAATGGCTACGTCACTAATATGGAAGACGTCACTATTTACATGCTTTAATTGTATGATCCAATCTGCAAAGGAACTGCATTTTGGGGGATATACTGCTCCATCACGCACCATTTACATAGAGTACTGGTTTAAAAGACAGTCATAGCTCAGACTGCTCTGACGTTTGCTTTTGTTTTTTTAGACAAAAGAAGTAAGAGTTGCATTTGGGCAAGGTATAGCTGGACACGTCGCACAAACCGGTAGGACTTAAGGAACATACTTTGATAGTATATGCTTCTACGAATTCCGTGAAATTTTTAGTTGTATGTATTGTTTGTTTAGAAGATAAGATGTATCACTTCTGTATTTATGATTCTCATGCCAATACACGTGTCTCAAAAAAAACGGAAAATTCAAATTCATGCATGCACATCGAATCATTTTGCTGCATAAATTAAACAGCATTTTGGTGAGGCGCATATCAGTTTCACGCTTCCACAATACCATCGTCTCTCATGGAAAAAGATAAAGCCTTTCAATGCATTATAAACTACCAGTTTGACTTTCATCAAAATATTGTTTAATTTAGGCAGTCAACTTATTCGGTATGCATGCTTAATTCTGCGTGTTTCTTTTTTTTGAGATACCCTTAAAAGATGTGTTTTTAGTTATAATTTCCACAATTCCCAAAAGTAACATTCGGTTTTGACCTAATATAAGCTCCAGAAATTAAGAAACTCTCGCATACATAGTGCGTACTCATCTCATAAACGACCAATTCTCATTCAAAAGGTGTAATGCTGAATATTAAAGACGCATATTCTCATCCAAAGTTTTGTAAAGATATCGACAGGAAAACCGGCTTCAAGACAAGGTTCGTCCTCATTTATATATTTGTTAAAGTTCGACTAGGAATTCACAACAATATCTCGCGTCTTCTTTGGGCTGATATAAATTGTTATTACCATTTATAATTTTATATTTATATTGTAAATACTATAGCCTAGCAAAAACTTCTTGTGGTTATCGTATGTACCCCCTTGATTTTCATGTTGTCTTATGTATATCCCATGTTGCATGTACTCGTACCATTAATTCGTTGTGGTCATAGACGTTTTTGCACGTGATCATACCCAATGCCTAACGTGGTCAATCCCCTATGTGCTTCACGTGTTCGACGGTGTTGCACGACTTCATGATCATTGTAAATTTGAGCATGAATGTTTTAAAGGTAGAATGAGCGAGAAAAAAATCAAGATCATTTTAAGTGCTGTCATCAGCTTACACGTTTGCTTAAAATAAACAAAACAATTGCTTCAATAATGATATAAGAAGAACGGCTGTGAGCTCTGACGAGAAGAACTCGATGAAAATACGTCTGCAAAGTAGATTTTATTTCGTTACGTTTTTTGCATTTACCTGGAAAATTCCTCCACCTGTGTGTAAAGAACTCATCTGATTGTTTTTTACTTTTAGGAACATCCTCTGCTTTCCAATCAGAGATGAGAAAGGTATGCGTTCTTCGGAAATTTATGCTGTATTTTATACATGCTTCAGTTCTATTTTTATCGAATTTTCTTACTAACATATATTTTTTTCAGAGGTTATTGGTGTTGGGGAACTGATCAATAAGATTAACGGTAATAGTTTCTCCTCTTATTATCAAATAGGGCCTCATCTTTGCATGTCGACTGTTGCCGGTGGTCATATAAAGTTTAGTTTCTAAAGGTCATTTATTGAACAGAAATATCAGTTATTCTTATTTCTTACCAATTAAACGTAGTTCCCGGACTCTTGAGTTTGAGATTTCAGAAGTATCCATTTGTGTTTGAAGTCGGGGCTTATATGAGGAGACGTTCGAACATAAACGTTTTAAAAAATTACAAAGCGTGGATAGGTCACACGTGTTAAAAGATAGTTATGCTGGTATTGTAAACGGAAATAACATTTTTTATAAGTAAGGCTTCTCGAGTTCTCGTTAGTATTAGCAACGAATGCTTTCGTAGGTTTTTGTACTGAGTGAAAAGGCTGCAAGTGATTTTCACGGACAACCCCTGATGAAATCTAACTTACTGAAGGAACTTGCTAGCTGCATGTATTTATGCTTGCTTCCTATATGTGCTTGCTTATTGTATATCCGTACATGTGTTTATCGTTGACAAATTTATTTTGCCATTGACAGGCCCTGCTTTCAATCGACTCGATGAGGACTTGACGAAAGCGTTTGCGATCTTCTGTGGTATTAGTATTTGCCATGTAAGCGAGGAAGTATTTTAGACCTTTATATGATAGGACTTTCTATCGTGCTTCAAATATAGCTATATGCAATCAAGATGATGACAAGGTAGACATATCCAATTTTAACGCTGTGTCTATCAATTATCTTCATCTAGAGTTTGCTGTACAAAAAAGTGACGGACGCTCAAAATCGAGACAAGATTACGAACGAGTTGATGATTTATCACATGAAGGTATTTTTCACATCCCGTGTCTATGTCTTTCTGCGCAAAGATAATGTCGTTTTCGTATTTCACACTTATGACTACGTTCTGTAAATTTTTAGGTTGCGCAGAAAGACGTTCAGCATTACACCTCTCAAACGATTCTTCTCCCCAATGAAGTAAACAAAGAATTTGCATATTTGTTCTTCAGACCTCGTTTGGAACCAAATCTTGACTATGTACAGGTACGTTGCGTCGTCAGGTACCAACAGGTACGAACTCTTACGACTCTTACCCATTTATAGCCCACACTTTCCAACTATTGACCTTTGTATAATCAACTGAACTGCTCGCTCGCTCTTATTTTTTTCTGAGAGTTTGCGTTATCGTGACTGCTGACGAGTATGCATGAGGGTAAACGTTAACGATGCAAATCGCTGACTATTCATGAATAGGCATCATTACAGGCTCTGATAAAAGTGCACGTCTCAATTGGGAAGAACGAAATCGAGGAGTATAATATTGGCCTGTATATGTGTTATTGCTAAACGTGAATCCCATGTATAAATAGGCCGAATTTTCGCTACGCTGCTTTGATTTGTTGTGAATTGTTTAATGCTAAAGGCATCATGCTTAATGTTTATTTCCTTGATCATGTGGAGGACCAACAAGCTCTAGTTGTATTGAATTAGCGGTATTGTTAGAAAGGATCATCTGTGTCCAAATGTTTCAATAGTATTGCCCATCACTTGTGCTATAAATATTTAACTCCCTCGGCCAGGAACGCGGCAAAAACGATAATAGGACGTGAGGTGAGGTGCGGTGCGTGTTGTATATTTATAACGACTTCATGCTGTGATGAGTTTCTTATGCAACTTTGCTTTATTGGATGTAAAATATAGAATCCAGTAAGAGCAATGTATTTCGCAGCGCATGTTTATTTCAATTCACCTTTCCTCGACCAAAACCTTTTTGATAATCGTTGCCACAATGTAAATAAAGCTGCACTCTGTTGAAAAGGTTAATAGCGAGATTTCTTAAAAGAAGTAAAACTTTATTTAAGATATATCATACTATAGTGCTTTCCGTGTTAATTTGCTCTTTTGAGAATCTTTGCGATGTGTTTGAACTTGCAAACTGTTAGTTTATTCCTTGCAGTTCAACAATGACGTTTTAAGATGACGTTAAAATTACTATTGAACCTGTAAAGCATCTTTTTATTGTTGATTCATCTAAACGACCCTATTTGATATCGGTGATCATCTATATTTTTATAATGCAAAGTGATTTTCGTTATCTACTAGGCATGTTTTTGTATGTTTCAAGATCTGGATCTTATACGAAAATGGAAAATATCGCACGAAACACTAGTAAGGTGTGCAAAGCTGCAGAGCTTTCGCTCGTTATTCTTTCAATTTTTTCCCGTGTTGGACTAATTTTCGCCTTTTCTTCATTTGTTTAGATTTGTTCTTATGGTGAAGAAAGGCTATCGAGATCTACCGTATCATAACTGGACCCATGCGTTTACAGTCAGTCATTTTTGTTATCTTTTATTGAAGTATCTCAAAAAGATCGATTGCTTTAGGTATGTATGCAGTTTCATAGCGCGTGTGAAGTTCAAGAAAATATCACAGAAATAAATGTAAAAGTTATGTTATAAGAGGAAGTAATAGTCGAACATCTAAACATTACATTGACTTCTTTTGCTTTGTCTTCTTCGGAGAGAAAACGAGGTTGAGATGTACGTGGCGAAACGTTTAATTAAATTTTTGTAGATGTTGAGCTTTCAGTTTGGTGCAGTCCTTAGAACTGTTGGTGTTAGTGTCGACTGACGCTTCATCACAGTAGTGCGTTTTCGTGTGAAAGTGCATACTTATCGGAAAAACCACTAGTGTAGACGCGGGGCTTGTGTGTGAAGATGACTACCTCAGACTATTGCTAAGGATTTATAAATGTCAGTCAGCAGACTCAGCACAAACACTACCAATTCTTATCAGGACTGTACCAACCTGCACTATAAACATCTGCACGCATGATGATACCCCAAGAAGGCTCAAAACATTCGCTGAAGATCGATCTGTTGTAGTCGAAACATCTTTGTGGTCGTCATGGACAACGTTGAGCTGAATTCTAATCCAGGGACGTCGGAACCGGGGGGAGGGGCTTTTTGCAACAGCAAAACCAAAAAGATATTTAGACTGGGCTAAAGTTATTGTTTAGAAGTGTTTTTTAAGACATTATAGTAGAATTGAAGACTTATAGTCCACGCACTTCATATGTTGCTCCGACATCCCTGTTATCTATTAGCTCATTCATGTTAAACTGGCTACATAAGTCGCTAATTGATTGATCGATCGATTATTCTTACGAGATCACAACCAAACCTCTTTTCTTCCATGAGATTCAGATGTTTTTTGTTTCATTTAGTGACTTGGAGATTCTCTCTCTCTTCGTTTCATGTCTGTGTCATGATCTTGATCATCGTGGAACTAACAACGCTTTTCAAGTGTCATCTGTAAGTTATTATTATATGCACTCCATCATTTGTGAGTACAAATACACAAGGAAACGTTTGAAATACAAATCATCCAAATTAATTTCCAAAAGTTGTTTTTGCGTCTGTCAACATTGTTCTGATCAGATTGTTACTTTATTTGATGTAATACTAAAATTATCGACTTCAATAAATGTTTTTCGATTTGTAATGTTTTCACATCGTAAGAAGATTTATTGTGGTTTTATTCACATAAGTAGAAAACTTTGAATGACTTTTTATAAAATAAAGATACAGCGCGCTCGCTCATCAATTTATACATGACTTTGTCATAGTCCTTGCAGACTGATCTGAGCTCCTTGGATTGAATGGATGAAAGAGAATTTTCAAAATCAAATCAACGATCAAAATATGTTTTAGAAAAAATAAAACGTTTGATTTAAATTTATTTGTTTTGCAATGTCGTAATTTTATAAAAGAGATGAAAGTTATTTTTCTTGTTTATATTGCCTCATGCAAACCTCGGAGACGTTGGTTGTGGGCTTGCGCTGATCAACTTACGTGTTCTCCCAAAGGTGTCCTTGGTTTGCATAATCCTGTTTGCATTAATCTTTTATTTCTTTTATGATAGTCTATTGAACAACAAAAAATATAATTGCACATGTAATGAAAGCTTGTACTTGTGAGTGGAATGTTTTATATTTACCGAAATGTCTCTAATGCTTACTCGCTGCTTTAGAACTCAGTTCTCGCTGCTTTGTACAGTTCAGAAGGATCGGTAATGGAGGTATGTCTGCTAGTTTTTTATATTTCTTAATTTAGGTATCCTTTGCGATACAACATCCAAAAATATATCATGTTTACACATTGATTGGTTCATAATGTTACTTCAAGTGTGCTTTATAGGTCGACATATAAAGTAATGTCATTTTACTATGTTGATTAGTTCATATTTTTTACTTCAAGTTCGTTACACGTTTTTATTTTTTTATTTTTTTTTTTTGGCTTTAAGTATGATTTTAAAATACACTATCTAAAATTCTGACATTTGTTTATTTCATAGAGACATCATTTTGCACAGACATGCTGTGTTCTTAACACGGAAGGATGTAATATTTTCGAAAATTTAACTGAAAAAGTAAGTTAGCCCTTGCATTTACATTTCTTCTACGACATTTTAGAACGTGTTCTTTTGTGCGAATATGCTCTCCAAAGGGAGCACGGAGCCTGCTTAAAAATGAAAAGGGAGAATAACATGATAACATACTCTATAGACAAGACGCTAAATTTTACCCAGTAAATTGGTTGTCAATTGAAAAAGGTTCCCCCAGCTATGAGGTCTCTGTTCCATCCCCTTATTTCAAGCGTTTTCGAGTTGAATAGAATTGAAAAATACGTAACCGTCAATGGCGAGTGAAAAAGCGAAAACAAGACAACCGCGTTTTTCATGAAATAGTTAATATTGAGCTGGTTATTACGACGACTTTTCGTAAATGACGTAATCATTTCCCCTTTCTTTTCTAGGAATACCACGAAGTCTTAAACTTGACGAGAAAAATCATCCTGGCGACAGATCTGTCACACCATTTTAAAATTCTGAAGGATTTGAAAAAGATCGCGCAAGGTAAACTGTTTGCGTCAATTCAACATCCTCGATGATTTTATACGTAGATCGTGAGCACTCATAAAATCAAATGATAGCTACTTCAAAAATGCTTCCATTCTGAAAACTTCGTTTAAAGTGTATTTAGCACAAAAAATTTTATTGTCTTGAATGAAACATCCTTAAGCTGCAGTTAACTTTCATTTTTAAATCGATGTTTACTTGTTCACTTCTTGAGATTATGAAGTTTCAATTGTGTATGTATTTTAGATAATTTATCGTCAGATTTTTTTATTTTATCTATTTGCTACTTGTTTTTACCTTTGTTGATAACAAATTAGCTTGCTTGATAGTGGGTAGATGATCAGTTTGGTGATCAGTTTATGATTAGTTTTTATAGCAATGGAAAATTTATGATATAGCTCAAGCAGAACTGCAACCGAACAAAAATGACCAAAGTTTGTGTACGAGCTAGTGCCGATGTGCAAATACTCTTAATGCACTTTAACAAAAAGGGGTATAGCCTGTATATTATATTTAACATCAACTAGAAACTAAGACTAACATTTGTTTAATTATTTTGAAACTCTGCACCATTTAGTGGCTTATTCTTGCTTGAAAATGGTAAAACGATAGAACCTTTAATTAATTACGCAGTCAAGGATTTGTGCTTGGAGTCAAGCTTTGATTTTTTTTTAAGGTGTTATTGCAGCTCAGTCACCAGCATTGAAAAGGATATTAATTTTGTATTGAAATTGTATCAATTATTTTTCTGTGGAGGTGGACACAGTTTGTTGTTGCACCGTGACTAAGTAGCTTAGTAGAAAATGTTCCAAGAGCTAGGGTGATAAAAAAAAGCTTCTAAGCCAATCGCGCTTAATAATAATAGCGCGCTATTTCCCCGAAAGGGACATTAGTCCTATGGTAATTGTGATACATATACAATAAAAAAATTGCAAATATTTTACTATGTTGTGGTTACTTTCAGTCGGTTTTAATCCTTCGGATGTCGCTCAAAGAGAACTGTTGCTGTATCTTATGATGACGTCGTGTGATTTATCCGATCAAGTCAAACCTTTTGATTCAGCCAGCACTGCGGCGGTAAGACTGAATTTAACATACATCAGCATTCAGAGGAAATTAATGTAGTGGTCTATCTACTCTTTGAAGTTTCCATGTACAAATTATCTGTTTATATTCTTGAAAAAGGGTGTGTTTTAATATAATGGTTCCAAGAACGCGGAGCATGTTCATGGGGAGGGGATAGAATGAGAACTTACTCTATCTGCGAGACGTTAAATTTTATCCAATCAATTGTTTATATGACTTGACTTTATACATGTTTTCATCTGCTTATGTAGGATCTTGTTTACTCCGAATATTTCTCCCAGGGAGATCTGGTAAGTTATTTTCATGCTTACTTAAGCCACTATTGACCAAGTTTTATTACTAAGCAAGCAAGGTTAATAAAACGTTCATTATGTGGCATTATTTTACATGATATTTATCCGTGCCTCTCTGAACCTTTCGTTTTCATCACGAGTAATTTTCCAGTTATTAATATCTGGAAACCCAATAAACTTTGACATTTCCTATACCTGGAATCTCCATCCTCTTAGGCTGCGTTTACACTATACCGGATTCGCTCATCACGACATCTTCATTTGCTTTAAAGGGGTAACTGTTCGGAGTAAAAGCTTATTAAGCTGATAGATTTAGTCTATTTTATTGTGTTTCTGACGTTGAACAAATTCACTGCTTTTTAGTACAAATGAAATTTAACCTGCTACGATAGTAATCCTGTATAGTGTAAACGGGGCCTTAATAATTATGCAAGGATCAAAATATCTGTGCAGTCAGTTCATCAATCGCACTTAATTGTAAACACAAGTAAATATTTGATTGAAATGTTCGCAGAAACCATAATTGACGGAAAACTGTCGTTTTCCTAGAAGATGTTTTACCTAGTAAAGGAAATACTTCATTTTTCATGTTTGCTTTGAACTTTCAGGAGAAAGCTATGGGAAATAAACCATCGGAGATGATGGATCGAGATCGGGCTTGTATTCCAAAGCTGCAAATTGATTTCATCGATAGCATTGTTCATCCCACGTATCGGTAAGATTTCCTGCTATGTGTTATTCACTTCTTAGAAAACAATATTTGGATTTCGTTAAACTCTTAAACATTGTGGCCATATAAATGCTTAAGACTTTCGAGATTTGCTTTGATGAGCTTTAACCCTCCCACCTGTTTTACATAGCTGCAAAGTTTATAACAGGTGGTTGTTTAAGCTTATCCAACCGAATCTGGCAAGAAAAATTGCGTATATGTGGTAACACTATCTTGAACAACGTTCAGCATCTAACTAGTATTAAACTAACACTTGTTAGTAATCTACCTCATCATCATTTTTAGTTCACTGCAAAAGACTACTGTAAAAACCACCGTCGAGTGAATGAATATATCTCTCATTTCCTCACTCTTTGATCCCCCCCCCCCTTTCAAAACCCTCCACCCGAAATACCTCATACGTCCATAAACAAGATCAACCCAACCCGTAGAAAACCCTAAGTGTTTAGCTCCTACCCCCCTTTCGTTGTTTGATTAGGTTGCTCGCCGATATTTTTCCCGAAATGACCGTCTTATGTGCTGTTATCGACGAAAACAAAGGAAAGTGGAGTGAAATCGATTTGAATGTTGGAAATCAGAAATGTTTGGCGACCACTTCCATAATGTCAACGTTCACTAAACAAAATAACCATAGCCACGAGCAAGTGTCATACGCTATCAACAACGGAATCTAATTTAGAATAGCGTGTTTTATTGTAAATAAAGTAGTTAACTGATTCTCAAACTATATGTGCATAGTTTCTTAATTTATATTTATGTCAAAGCTATTTTGCCATGTGAAAAATGGTTGTATATAGTTGTATACCTATACATAAAAAATGCGACCGCTATGTTTAATATACACATAAATTATTGTTTGGGAATGATGTCATTCTACATAAATGTCGCGCCTAAATTATAATTTTTTAAGAAATTAGAATTTAGTGTGGTATTTTATGGTATTTTAAACTTACGAACGAGCGGTAACTTGTTTTTTCTAGAGACCTTAGTCTGTCAGTGGCTGCGATCAAAAATTTGCAATAATGTGTTAGATTTTAATATTTCTCCCAGGTGCTCCAATAGAAATTAGAGAACCTAGGAGAATTAGAAATTGTTACTCGGTCTTTACCACAAGTGCATTGAAAGTTGCAACTGAAAGTGCTACTATCTTACCTCCATTTGTGGGGTTTTTTAACAACAATATTAATGTGCATTTATGTATGTGGTGAGTGCCTCCATTGAATTTGGACATGTAACTACAGCGCATGAGCAATCAAGAAGAAAGTTATGGCAGTTTTACACCTACTTCAATATTTCATCGTCGTGTATTTCTCAATATTAACGTGGGCTCCGTTTCCCCTATTTTACTCTAGATTGTCCCTGGAAACGATTATATGCACAATCATCCTCATTCACGCACTGCCTGCAATATACTTCACCTCAAAAAAGCCAAATATGAAATATTTATCTTTGCTGCATTAAACGAGAATAAAATTTTTGCCTTACTACTAAAGGCTGAGTTGTCAATCCACGTCTGCCGATAGTATTCATGTAAATATGGTGGAAGTTTAGTTTACATAGACACTGAATTAAAACGTAAAGTTAAACTGCAAAATATAAAGCCTGAATATTAATTTTATTTATTACAATTATTTTGCTGATGTTTACACATACTGTAGCAGCATGCTTTTATTTGTTGTATTTCTTCTGATTTTTTTAAATTCACTCCTTGAATTTCATCTACTTCTTCGCAATTTTACCCCCCTCGTGCAACCGGGAATCTCCATTTTATTCTTATCCAATAACAATTACTGAAACCTTAAGTTTCACATCAATGAATGCTAAAGATATTATGGAGTTATTAAAAGTTGTAATTAATTTTCGGAAAAGACTATGAGTAAAATGATTAGGCGTAAGCCTACAGCACAGGAGAGCTATCAGCTGAGCGAAAAGTTGCTTGTAGCTCAAGTGATAGCTCACTGTGTGCTGAGGAGTTTTACTGAATTTTAAGGCTCGTGCTACCTTTTCTCGCATATCAAGCATGTTTCATTTATTTGGCCACGCGAGGCAAAAAACTCACTGTTTCCACAGCTACAAGGACTTTGGTGTTGTTCCGGCCTGACTTAGAATTAAGCCCCGTTAATAAACAAAATACGATGACGTATTAACAGGATAAATACGGCAAACCTGACATTTACTCCTCACTTTTCTCTAAAGATGACCACCGCTAAGGTTGTTGAAATGTCAGTCAACATCAACACCAACTGTCCTCCTCAGGACTTTACTTACCAGGACGATCTACATCTGCAAACATGTAACGATACTACCGGGTTCGAACTATTCACTTTAAAGCGAAATATAGTTGGTACACAGACAAAACTAAAAACAAAAAAATACATATCCGCAGAGCTTTGGTTAATCACATATTATGTTATATAACCTGGATGTGTCAATATTTCAGGTTTTATAGTTTCCCTATAAGTGACAGTAAATGACAGTAACTGACAGTAAATGACGGTAAATGACAGTAGATGACAGTAAGTAACAGTAGAGGACGGTAAGTAACAGGACAAACAGTAAAGGACAGTAATGACAGTAGATGACGGTAAATAAGTAGGAGTAACAGTAGATGACGTAAATGACAGTGATGATAAATGACAGTAAATGGAAGTAAAGATAACAATGACGAAATAAATGATAAAAGTAGATGACGATAATAAAATGACAGTAGATGACAATGACGGTAAATAGCAGTAGATGATGGTAAGTGACAGTACATGACGATAAATGACAGTAGATGACGGTAAATAGCAGTAGATGATGGTAAGTGACTGTAGATGACGATCAATGACAGTAATTGACGGTAAATTACAGTAAATGACGGCAAGTCACTGCAGATGATTGTAAGTGACAGTAGATTACGGCAAATGACTGTAGAGACGGTAAATGACTTTAGATAATGGTAATTGGCAGTAGATGATGGTAAGTGACAATAGATGACGGTAATTGACTAGAGATGATGGTAAGTGACAGTAGATAACGGTAAATATTATTAGAATACCTTTAGTAACAGCAGACTACGGTACTTAAAGGTACAAACAAAACAACCAACGAAAAACTACTTTGAAAATTTTATTTCAATTTAAAAGGAAAAGATATTAAAACGCAAAGGCAAACGTCGCTCAATTGTTCATTGCTCACGGTATCGATGGACATACTGGATGAAAGTCAATCTAGAGTTAAAGACAACAATCAAATGTTCAAAATAAAGTAATGAATCTAACGTAGAAGAGTTTAAACATTTTCTATTGTTATAAGTCAAAACATATATATCAACATATAACTGAAAATAAGCGTTTGAAAGGAAGGAAGATGTAGCGAGTTTTTATTATATTGGTTAGCTGTCGTTATTTTAATTACTCAACTAATGTTGTTAACAATTCTACTAATTTGGTTCCTCACTTGAGCGTAAAATTCATCTCCCTCTTTATTTATTCCCAACTAATCAGTAAATTAAAAAGTCACCACCAGAAAGCGTTTATTGGTTCGATATTTACTGTTGTAAAAATCAAAACAGTCATTTTATTTGTATTGAAATTTTAATTGAAAATGTTTTTATGCACTTTCTAAAAAGGTTATTTGTTCAATGGAAATATTTTGCCGAATGCGTTGCATGAATTAGTATGCTTTAGCAGTTTAGATGCTAACCTATTTAGCCAGCTCCCTTCTCAATTGCTTTAAATAATCCATCATAATCCCCAAATTAAAAGGTAGCAAATTTATGAATATCTCTTGCATTTTATTTATTCAACTTACTTTAGAGAAAAATATCAAACTTTGCTTGGATATTCCTTAAAGCGTTGTGCTATAGTTTGTATTAAGAAATGTATAAGCAGCAAAAAATTGCCATGATTAGCTAAATGCACCATTGTTGAAAAATTCTAAGACAACGTATGATCATGCAGAAGCTGTTTTTGCCCTTTAAAAAGATATGCTGCTCGAATAGCCTTCACAATTATCTTGGTTTATCGGATTGACATGATTGTTTTGACATCATGCCAAACAATGAATCAACACTTTCAATTTTATCAATAATACCTCCAAGGAAAATCTATGTTGTAACATCTGTTTTATATGTTTCTTGATTTGTTAAAAATATAAAACCAAAGAATCACATTGACAAAATACACTGTGCGTATAATTAGCATACACCTGCATGCAGGACAACTAATTAAATGAAGATATTTTTCGGATTATTCGAAATAAGGGGGTGTTAACATGAATCCGGAATGACTTTCGATCCTGATCGAAACGTAATGTTAATCCGTGTTTACATGGGAAACCAACACAAGGATTGACATTTCGCAGAATTTTGAAATTTGAAGATTGCGAACATAAACATTATAGCAACAATTTTTTTCTGTTGCTCCTGCGTTAATACAGCTTAACACTTGCATGAAACTAATTGTTGTTTTTCTTCGCACTCATTTTAGCCCGTTTAGCCGCCTTATTTGCTCACGAGCTTAAATTTCCCATAAGACACTATGCATGGCGCATGCGTGCTTCGTCATTAATCACAATCTCATTCCAGAATGAAATTCAATTCGCGTTTACATGAGATTAAAACTAAATTTCAATCCAGAATGAAATTTTGATCCGGAATGAAAATAGGAATGAACTCGATCCCGATCAAGTTGTGACTCATTCCCCGGATTCTTGTAAACATACAATAGAATTTCTTTTGAAATGGAACGAGTTCATTCAGGATCGAAAGTCATTCCGGATTCATGTAAACACTACCTAAGTTCCACATCGGAGAGGTGAACATTCATTGAAAAGAAATAAAGCGAACATCGCGCTTACGTGATCTATAGGATTGAAGAAATGCTATTGGCTAACTTAATCACGTGATAAAATGTGATTGGCTCACAAAATAAACTAGCAATGGCTGATCAATTTTGTTAAAATTTCGCTATCGAAGAGGAAGTACAAATTAATGTTTGAAAACTGGGTTTTTTCTTTTCTTTCTGTTCAAATACGTTAACTGCCTAAACTAGGTCTTTGTGAATATCTTTATTTTCCAATTCAGGGAGGTATTGCGATAAATTTTCAAATATATCCGCCATCAGTTTGTTTTCACAAACGTCTGTGACGTCAATTCTGTGCGTATGTCGTCTTATAGATCATAGCTCTCTACCAATAAATTGCTCAAATTCTTCTGGTTATTATAATATTGTATAATTGTTAAATAAAATTAACACACTTTTACAAAGTAGGATTTAGATGGTTTGTTTCAGATATGTCATCCGATATTAATTCTGTATTTTTATGAACAAAATATGTATATGGTTAATTTTTCTTTACCCCACACACATTTTTTGTTTTTAAGTTTTAACAACACCCCCCACCCCCCATTACATTAATGCTCATTTTTTAAATTACTCCATTCGCCTCATAGCCCTTTGTAATAAATAATGACCATGATTCATTCTGAACCATTAATATATAAACATTTTCATTTTTCAAATTCTCCGTGTAAAGTAGTCTGCTGTGTCGCCTGTGTGTGCAAGGTGAAATTCAACCATTCAGTTTCCACCAATCATATTTGACCAACGTGTCAATATGCAAGAATTGAATGTGCAGGCTCAGTTGTGTGTGGCTGCAAAGAAATTTCATTGTCCTCTTCGTTCTATGCTTCGAGCCCGCCAGAGTGTAGAATTTTCGGGTCCAATCCATTGAAAATCACGTACATCGCAGTATGGTCTGCGTTTCTTTGCAGCTTTTTCTTATCTTTGTGATTTCCAGTTCTTGTTGTTATGCATCTCAGGCTTCGATCAACGAAAACCTTGTGAATCGAGAAGTAACTCGATCGATTGATATTTCAAGTCAGGTGGCGAAGTGCAATGTTAAAGTAACGCTGGAAAATACTGGCGAAAAGTCGGCAAGCTCATTTCACACAGCTGTAGATGCCGTGCTTGCGGAAAAAATTGGCTACATCGGTGCCTGGGTAAGGATAGAAAAGTTCTAGTTATGGACTTACTATTTTGTACTTTAAATTATTGATGTAGCTTACATATAAATCGCAAGTGGAACATGAGGTTGTGACATCTGAAATCTCCACGTTCCAATTCTACCAATTTAAAGGATAGTAAGAGTTTGTGTTTATGAGTTTATGTTTGTTTATGTATTAAGTCTACGAAAGACATGTGGAGTTATAGAATGCCCTGCAACTAAGCCACATACTTGTCCTAATCCGAACCAAGCCTGATTATTGTTTGCAGGCTTTTTGTGAGGGTATTCTATAATTGTGTGTTGCCAGACATATTGCTTCACACATCATAATCATTGGACTCCAGCTTTGCAACAGATCAGATGATGGAACTTACAATTTGGTTTCCTCAAACTTTGAACTTCTGAAGACTATGTTCTATGTATTTGCAATTGTTGTGTTGTTTGTCAGTAATAATTATTTTGCTCTATCAAGTCTGAAAAAACTTACCATAACTTTGAATCCATGCATAATCTGTTGGAAATTGAACCTTAAGACACAAAAGTGAAAAGACTGGTCTTCATTACTGAACCATTTCTTTGTTAGGTTGGTACAGATGAAAAATCAAAGACTCTTGTCATTAGCGAAGTGAAACAGAATGGAGTGAAGTAAGAGGAGCTTACAATATCTTATGCAGTGTGCGAATTAACAGTGTGCAATGTGCAATTTGCGCATCATTTTAGCTGAAATGAAAACAATTGCACATCACTTTTTTAAACGATGTGCAAAAATCAGCAGTTTTAACGAAAAACACTGTCTTAAATCATATGAATTTGTTCACTTTAAAAATATTAATTTAGCAATTAGCGCTATATAATAATTAACGTAATATTGATTTGATTATGCCTTTAAAGAAACACTTTTGTCAAAAAAATTGCACATCGTTTTTTCTGAACTAATTCGCACACTGATCTTATGATTGCACATTTTATCCCCTTTGCATTTATGCACATAGTAACACATGGATTGGCTGGTATTTTCCCAAAAATTATAAGTGGAGAAATTGTGTTTAGTTGTTTAGCTAAATAGTAGCCCTTTTGGTCCATGCTTGGGTTTCAACAATAATACCTAGGCTGTTGCGATATATCAATATATTCGATAAATATTGAAAATTCAAATATATCAATATTCTATATTCCATTTTTTGTATACCAAGAATATTGAAATTATTGAAAATACTAAAAGGGTAAGTTTTATTGCATAGTTACTGGTAAATTATCAAAAACCAATAATTGTGAGAAAAATCGTGATAGAATTATCACGTGCATGACAACTTACACACACAAACCTGCAGCAGTTAAGTATTGAATTACTGTGCGATGACTCATAAAGATCGAATGTTCTAGTGATGAGCCGATTGAGGAAAAATCACATTTGTCGATCCGATAAATTGATTTAGAGGCATATTGGCCGAATTATCGGTAGGAACCTATGTATAATTGAAAAACAAGAAATTCTCAAATTGTTGACGTTTAAAGGTCTTAAAGGTTGAAGTTTTTAAAACCAGTTTTCAGAGCTCTAACTACATCTATCGCCGATTTACATTAGTAAGATTGGCCAATAACTGATCTGCATGAAAATGGCCGATTATCGGCTTTTACCAATCAATTTCTGATAATCGGCTCATCACTAGAATGTTCACTACTATGCAGTTTTTGTATTGACTATCACAGTTGTTGTTCATTGTAACTGTTTTATCCGCGAAGACATGTCATTTTAAAGAAGTCCTGTTTGGAATTATTTTAAAAAAAGGGAGGATTGCCAAAACAGTCCTTCATGCAATTCCTGTAAGAAAAAAATACAAAGACAGGAAACACATCCTATTTGATGTCCCATCTCAAAACTCACCACAGTTTGATCTACACAACATTGATTACAGCGAGGAAACGAACCTCATCAACAAACCCTTTGTCTACTAATCTTTCCAGATGCTAAGTGTACTTTTTCAAAATTCATAGTGAATAAAATACTTTTATATTCTATTTGTTTTGAGGATGTATTGACTATACTACATTTTTATAAGTTTGCTAATTTGCATAATTCGATATAGTCGATATTTTTGATATCTTTTTCAATATCGATATATTGCAATTTTCCTATATTGCAATTTTCCGATATAGCAACAGCCTATTTTAGTTTTACGTTATCATGCAAATTTTACCTTAAATATCGTATTAATTTGACGTAAACTTTTTTGTACCTGTGTATTTTTATTTGAATTCTCAAAAGTGATGATACGCACTGGGTTATGATCATATTGAACTGATTCCAATGTCTTTTTGTATCTGATTTGATGTAATTCTTCTGTGATGTAACTATGTGCTATTGGATTGTTTTGTGAAGTATTCTCTAAGATTATTTAGTTAGTTTAGAAAATCAAGAATCCTCTTGTGCATTTTTACTCAAATTTATCTGCTTTGGTTTTAAAAAAATGTCTAGAAGCTGTGTTTATTTTTTTGCTAAATAGTAGTCAAATTTTGGTCTAGGCTTTGCTTTCAATAATAAGGCAGCATTTATTTTATCAGAGTCAAAAACATGAAAATTTATCCATTTATAAAGAAGATAGCATGAGAAAATTAAAGCTAGAAATTCTTCATCATGAAATACCTTCATTGTTTGCATGTATACATATGCTTGTAATTCTTTAACTATGTACCTACCATGATGATAAAAAGAAATGAATAAAGTTTAGGTTTGTTTATTTGAACATATATACAAGTTGAAATATTTGTCATTTTTATTGTGGGAAACTCATAAGGTCATTTGGAAGCAACAGCACAGGTTAGGCACATTAACATAACTTTTGTTCCTACGATAAACAAACAACCAGTCACATTACAGATTGTTGAAATTCTTTATATGAATGTTGAACCAATAGAATTTATAATTTCTGTCTCACGCATATTTTTTGATTGCCACCAAAGAAAGTAAAACATTGCATATATGTAAATATTAAATGCAAATGATATTTTCATTTTATATCATCACATCTATATGTAGAGCAATTACACAAAAAAATTTTCGCACATTGTTTCAAAAACCCAATTTGCAAATTTTACAATTCAGACCAAAATGTTGTGCAAATCACACCCTTCAACTTAAACCTTGAAATAGGTACCATGCAAGGTACCTCCCTGCTTTGAAAAGTATCATAAGAAAAAGGTCTGTTAGAATGTCTAAATTAATACTCTTTAAAGCTTTTTGCTATTTAATTCCTTCATTCACCCTGACTGAGACAATTACGAATGAGGGAGGACAACCTTGGGCCCCATGTACAAGATCTTTTAATGTCATATGTATTTATTATCACAGTCTTTGTGTGTTTAAGGTGAAAATAATGTTAAGAGTGTAGTCAATGTAATGTCTTTGGATACAAAGTTTGTGATTTTAATTTCACTATTCAAAGGCATGCAAATATTTTTTTATTATTCTTGTTTTGTCTGTGTAGCTCAAAATTGTTTGAAGTTGGATTAGATGGACCACTTGCAGCTGGAAAGTCAGTGAAAGTGAACATTGAGATGGCGTTTGTTTATGCTTTGAGGCCATTTCCAGAAAAAATTGCACAAAGTGAAAAGCAACTTGTAGTGTTTAATGGAAATCATTATTTCTTTTCACCTTACAAGACTGTCAAGCAAACAACAACAGTGAAATTATCTTCCTCAACTGTCGAATCGTATAGTGAATTGAAACCATCTTCCTTGGAGGACAAAACAATCACTTATGGACCATATGAAAACACAGAGCCATATCAGAGCAGCCAAATGAAAATCCACTATGAAAATAATTCGCCATTTTTGACTGTAAGTTCTTGGGTTCAATGGCCATTTAGAAGTCAATTGAAGTAATATTCTTTTCACGCGCACTTAGTAGTTGAATGCCGTTTTCTACAAAAATTAGAGAACAAATTATGGTTTATTGTCAATTGTTTTCAAAAATTTTTCTTTGGTTTTTCTAATTTTTTTCATTAAAAACGTAGAAAGTTTCTAATGCTGATATCATTTTAGCCGTCTTTTCATGCAAATTTTATTTACCTTAAATTTCATATGTAACTGTCCTAAACTTTTTCATACCTGTGTATTTTTGTTTGAACTCTGAAAAGTGATGATACGCACTGGGTTATGATCGCATTGAGCTGATTCCAATGTCTTGTTGTATCTGATTTGATGAAATTTTACTGTGATGTAGCTACCATTGGATTGTTGTGTGAAGTATTCTATAAGATAATGTAGTTGCTCTGAAAAATCACGAACTTCTTGTGCTTGATTACTTTAATTCGACAGCCATGATTCTACATTTGTATTGTTTTGTTTTTTTTATTTACCGTTCGTTGATCTAAATACATACTATAATACGAGAGAAACACTTTTTATTTTCAAGGTTGTAAATATGGTTCGTTTGATTGAAGTGTCCCACTGGGGAAACATAGCTGTTGAGGAGACCTTTCATGTTAAACATACCGGGGCGGAACTTAAGGTAACTGCAGGATGTTGTCCTCATTGACCATTTACGTCATACAATGCAGCTGACGTAGACATACGTAAGAAGGTAGACATACGTGGTTTGGCCATATTTGTCAGACATATCTTCGCTTGTTCAGAGATTTTGAGAACTACTTTAAAGTATCATTTGAAATATTGCAACAAGCTTCTTTTGAATCATTGAAATGATTAGCTATGTTGATTTTCTTTAACGTGGCTGAGAAAATGTTGGCAGAAGCCGGAAAAAATTATTTGCTCCAAATTCTTGGAAAAATTTCAACATCGGAAGTAGTGTACGGCGCTGTGCTAAGTATCAACTTACTACTATTTTACATACTTTCTTACTGTTTTTGACATGCATTTTTTTTACGTAGGGTACCTTTTCCCGATACGACTATCAAAGAAGCCAGACATTTGCTGTCATCAAATCATTCAAAAGCGTTTTGCCAGCTTCCGCCGCCGACGTATATTACCGCGATGAGATTGGTAACATCTCTACGAGTAATCTTTTAGCTGTCGAGGACTCCGTTGAACTTGAGATAAGACCACGTTTCCCGTTGTTTGGTGGATGGCAAACACGTTATTACATTGGTTATAATGTTCCTAGCTACGAGTACCTCTTCAGTTCAGGTTTGTGTAAACCTTGTTAACTCTTATATGTCAGCACATATCCCACGCAACTGGAAGTGGTAATGAGGTATTTGCCGGTTGTAAGTCTCCCTAAAATTTACTCGATATTTGCATTGCAATAAGTTATCGCTAGGGGGTAAACATGATCTTAGAGATCTTGCTGTGACTGCAAATAAAGATAAATTTGCATTTTAATGCGCCATTTTTAATTTTATTTCAATTTTATTTGACTTATTTTAATATAAATTGGTTGAATGTAAACTTTCTATATTTTAGGAAATGATTACCAATTGCAAATGAGGTTTATCGACCATGTTTATGATGATTTCATTGTTGACCACTTTACACTTAGGATTATTTTACCCGAAGGATCAAAGTACGTGAGAATTTGTCTTTCAATTACTGCATCGTTATGCTTGGGTTGCCTATTCGCAGGTTACCCGGGGCTATACTATCTCATTTTATCTACGTATTAAATATTCCGTTTTATAAATTCTAGGGATTTGGACATGCAGCTTCCTTTCGACGCTATTCGTGGGGACAATGGTCTACATTTTACGTACCTTGATACATTTGGAAGGCCAGTGGTTGTGTACCATAAAAACAACTTGGTCGAGCAGCACATCCAAGAATTTGAGGTTTGTATAAACAACTTCCATGTTACGTCAATAAGTTGGTTTTCTTCGTTCATGTTTGTCGGTTTTTGACTGTAGATTGAGAAATACCCTGTACTAGATGTATAGATTCGCGATGGCTTTTTTTGGAAGTGGTGGGATGCTTTAGTTTGGATTAGATTTCCGTGGCTTCTTGCCGTATCATGTGAGGCTTTTTTGGTAGTGTGCTCAATTCTCCTTAAAACTTTAATCACACTTGTTTTTGCTCAATTGTTTGGTAAATTAGTATTTTGTGGAGAGATTGGCATCTATTCGCGCCTCCCCCCCTAATCCATCCCTTGGCTAGATTCAGGCTTGGTTTTTCCATACTCTGAACTGCGTGGTTAGTTGTGGAACAGTGCCATTTCTTTTTCGCTTGTTTTGTTTTATTGCGATGTTTTGTGTGATTTGGACATGTAGTTATGAGTTTAAAAAAGGAATATTTATATATCTTTGTTTAGCTCAACTATCAATTCAATAAGATTTTACTACTTCAAGAACCATTGTTACTCGTTGGTGCATTGTATCTTATGTTTTTGGCAGTCATTGTTTACGTTCGAATGGACTTCTCCATCACTAAGGTTGGCATAAATTGAAACGATGTTCATATTCTAATGTGATGTAGTCTTATCGTTAAAAAAGTGAAAATTTCTACTCGTCCAGTCCAGCTTGGCATGACAAGAAAAATTTCAAACAATTAACTTTTTTATCTAGCTTTAAATATTTTGGTATACTTTTGAACTCTTCTAATTCCCAGAATTTTTAAAGATGTATACAGGTTTGTTACCTTCGTACTTTGACTCTTAAATGCTTTGGCAAACCCAGTGGCGGATCTAGATTATGTAAAATACATTGTAGAATACACTGCGGCGACTCCTTTTATTTTTAAAATACTATATCAACAGAAATAGAAGTGACTTGGTTATAGAAAATTCTATAGAGCCAAAGCATTGCCAAGTATTGTAAAGTATTTTGAATTGAAATATGTTTTTTTGGAATTTATTCTTAGTAGGTCTAGATCTTCTTCTGTGATTTTAGTTTTGCATTTTATGACATAACGTGTTGCCTGCTCAGTTTAATGAATTAGTTTTTGTTGCTCATAACAATTGATGATGTCGCTTGCAAATGTTGTTTAAATTGTTTATGACATGAAATTTCAACGCAAATTTTTTTAATGCTCTTGATAGAGCATATAAATTGACTTGATAACATATTCAGTTGAATTGACTTACTGTACTTTCTTCAAGAGATATTCCACTTTATTTCTTTATGCAAAAGGATCGTTATGACATCACTGAGCGTAATTACATTCTAAAAATCATCAATTTTTCACATCATTAGAACCTTTTATAAATAAAGCTGCACAATAGTTTAATGAACACAATGTGAAGATGGATATTTGTAAAGATATTTAAATGCTAACTGTCGAGAAAATTAGTTTTCTCTAAAGCCAATTATGCAATGTGATGTCATAGAAGAAAAGTTACGAATCTTCAAAAAGAAATAAATAAGGGAATTTTTTTGAAGAAGTCATTTAGTCGTTTCAAATTGCCTTTAAAATTCAATCAAAAAAATTATGGTAAAATTTGGTGTCATAAACACTTTAACGCGATCTATTATATGGAAAGCGTCACTTCCGGCAAAATGGCACACTTTGATTTGCTCAGAAACATTTTTGCCACTCCATTATTTTCCCGTAATCGACCACGGTCCAAAACCAAATTGTACTGTCAAATGTAAACAAATTCGTAATGCAAACAGCAAAATAAACGAAACGAAAAACCATTTACGAATGTGATTCGAAAGAAAAACACTTGGAAAACAGTTCAACTATCCAGACAATACAATTTGAAACAATTTATTTTTTATGGACGAAAACTAGAAAAGTGTAAGCAAACCCGTAAAAAAACAGCAAGGACGAGAAACAAAGCAAGCTTCGTTTCAGGTCAAATAATAAGCCTTTAATAACTGAGCTCGAGGTCTTTACGGAGAAATATTGGACTTCTGTCTTGTATGAAGTGCCAAATGCGTCAATATTTCAAATCGCACGAAATATCATCAAGCAACTGAAAACTTTGTCATAAGAACAAAAGTCACCTTAATTAAGGGGATTATTTAAAACTTGAAATTTTTAACAAACTTAATGAAATTTTTGCAACAAGTTTGTCATGTCAGCAAAACGTTCTGTCTTTGCTCTTCCTTTCGCTTTTTATAAACAACATGGCTCCCAAAACTAGACAACTTCTTCTGCAAGGTTCACATATTTATTTGAAGATTTCAATCGATTTTTTTATACATAAGACGATTTTACACATTCAGTTTTTCATCGGAGAGTTACCAAGTACATTTTTCTGTTGTATACTGTATATACAGCATTATATGATCCGAACGCTTTGACTACTATCTATCATTCCAGCCCCAGACGATTTGAGACAAGATCTGATTCTTTTCATAGAGAACAAGATACGACTTATTTATCGAAATATATAAGAACCCGGCTCAAAAATAGAAAAAACATGGCAAGAACAAATGAGTCCCATTCCGATAGGGTGGAGTGGGAAGACAAAGGTTGAAAGTGAGAAAGGAACAAATCATTGAAATGAATATAACTGGAACGCTACCTGTCCCTGTGATATCGAAGCCGCTTCTCCCCAGTCTTTACACGCAAAGGAAAGCGTAATAAAGAGCAATAAGTTTATGGAAAGCGTAATAAACAGCAAAAGACAGAACGTTTTGCTTACATGACGAACTTGTTGCAAAAATTTCATCAAGTTTGTTGTTAAAAATTTCATCAAGTTTTCAAGTGAAAATTTCATCAAGTTGGCTGCAAAAAGTTTCATCAAGTTTTAAATAATCACCTTAATTATGGTGACTTTTGTTCTTATAACAAAGTTTTCAGTTGCTTGATGATATTTCGTGCGATTTGAAATATTTGACGCATTTGGAATCTGCTATTCTTGTACAAAAAGACCTCGGTCCGATATTTCCCTGTAAAGACCTTGCGCTCGGTTATTAAGGGCTTTTAAACAGAACGAATATATTTTTGCTTCTTTTCTCGCTGCATTATTATGCGATTGACAGTACAATTGATTGTCTTGAAATAATTCATCAAAACTAGCTCATTGAAAATCTGTACTGTTTTTAGTTTTCTACTTGTTGATGTCTGTCTATTTTAGGATGCGGCTCAGGAAGCTCGGCTTCGCGCTGCTGGTCTTATCGAGGAATTAGTGGGACTTCTCGAGCAGCGCAAACGTTTGTACGATTCATTCAACGATGCAAAGAATAAATACAAAGCCACAAAGGATTCGGCTTCATTTGTCGCTTCGCGAAAATCTCTCGATGGGGAGTATCGTACAGTTAGCCAGAAAATCAGTGAGCGGCAGGCTGCTTTGTCCAGCGATCAACCGGAGAGCGCAGAAAAGGTATAGTTACTTATGATAACTGTGTTAAGGTTGCGTTACTTTTTCAACAAGAACGAAATGCGTCTCTTGTGATGTCCAGTGAGCTACTCGTGAGCACAAGAACTATCTACAATTTGAATAAAGTAACTTAATTATTCAGTAATTTTAAAACAACAAACGTATAAAATACGGTTCAGTTTCTGAGGTAGCTTATTGGAAAACGTACCAATAGTTATAATAATCAATTCATTAGAAGAAAACTTTAGCAACATGGCTTGTATAAGTTTTACTGTCTAAGAATTAACGAAGTGTAACAGCGTGCATTAGCTTTATTTTATTTTTGAGACTTTGCTATTGCAATTTACAGATTTGTTGAATTAGCCATTGTGTACAACCACGTACGTGTTCAGTGGGTGCATTACTGTGATTAAAAAATTTTCTTATTTTCGTAGATGGTTGAACTCCAACGAAAGGAGGTTGAACTTAAACGCCTTATGGACGAGGCCATCATCTTGGCTCAAAAAGTCGTCGATGGAAAGATCAACAAGCAATTGTATATCGAGCAGGACGAGGCAAATGCTGCAAAGCGCGAGAAGCTGTTCATGGATATCGAGAGCATCCAAGAAACACTCTAAGAGAACACTACAAAAGAATTTGGTTGTTTTTTAAACTTGATTTTTAGTGTTGAGCTTTGCAAATTAAAAATGTATGAATGAATTTTGGCTTTTTGTATTTTTCACATTGCCAAAGCCATTCACTCGAGTTAATTTTATTGAATCCAATATGCTTCTGATTGGGGATTTGTGCTTAGTTTACAAGTCTGATGCAAAAATACCATGCTCAGTTTAAGAATTCGAAACGGGAGTTATTGGTGGTCGAATTGAATGGTAGTCGTCTGATGTAAGTGATCTTGCCTGTAGCAAAATACGTCAAATTATCAGTAAAATTCCTAAATTTTTGCAATACAACTGATAAAGATTTCTCCGATGTGCTTGTCTTAGCCAGTTGTGAAATTTTAAATAGCTTCTATAATTGAAAATAAAATAAACCACGAATTACTTCATCGAAATTTATTCCCTACAGAACTGTTTCGTATGGCAGTTATTTAACTTGCCACACTCGTCAGGAGAATAAATATAGCACTATAGCACAACGGAACTTATACACAAAGATGAATAATTAAGTGTTTAGGTGATATAGTATTACATTAATGACGTCATTAATGTCGTCATTAATGTAATACTATATCACCTAAACACTTAATTATTCATCTCTGTGTGCAACACAAAGTTTCTATCACAAAATCCCATTATATATATATAAACCGTACATCCTGTGTCCCAAGTGCAGGAGTCACCATTTTACTATGGTGATAGCCGGGAGGGCACATTGTTATACACTTTGTATATATATATATATATATGAGTAGTTTAGACCCCTAAGTACAACCTACGAGCACAGCCTACGACAAGGCAAACCTAGGAGGCATAGCCTACCGAGGTAGGTTGACAAGATTTCACAATCTGCATCATGCCCTGATTCAGGGACTAAAGCACATGCTTTCCTCTTACGAGTAGATTTTAATGTAGAGGATACTGACGTCTGCTGCATTAACCTGAGTGATTCACTCATTGCAGTCATTGGTTCACTCATTCTACAAAGGGCGGTTGCTACTTTAAATTCTTTGATTTTACTTTCACTTCTTCGATTTCTTCCATTATGTCATCTTGTTCATCGTGTTTAGTAAAACCCAGGAGTGCCTCTTCATCTCCGACATCATCTCTTGTCGTTTACTCTTCACTTGTAGAAGCCATAATTCAAAAAATTTGTAATATAGTGTGGAAAAGAACTTTTTGTAACTGATCGCTGTGAAATCTACGCTGGAACTGATCTTGATATCGCACGCTCTATCTCACATGAAATCCTAGTGACGTAGAACAGTAACGAAATAGAATTGAAGTTTCTAAGTTCCATGTCCTTGGTATAAATAAAGATGACGGATGACTGCAATGTTTCTGTGGAATGTCTCCTATTAGTCTGGGGGCCGTTCTTAAAAAAAACACGTTCGATGGACATTTATAGTAGAAGCAGGAACAAAGCTCAAAATTACCGTCTTGTGATCCTTTTTAAGAATATCGCTGTTTCCAACTCCAAGCATATACGTGTAAAGGAGGTTTTGACTCTGGCATTTGGTATCTTCAACGTTATAACAATGCTGAGTTGAAAAATGTTTTAAAATCCTAGAGAGAAAGCTTTTCAGGCTGTGTAAGTGCAATTATAGCTATTCAGAGTATGAAAGTATTTGTATCTGCTAAATAAAAGTTACAGGTTTTTCACTTTGCTTGACGGATTGATCACGTGATTATAAAAAACTTGCTTAATACTTGCTTTTCTTTGGCAAATTTTACGTTCTGAAAGCAATTCTTAATTTAACATAATCCTATATTACTAACAAAAAGTTCATATGTGCAAGAAAATATGTGTATTTAGACTTTTTTGTGATGGAACTAAGGCCCCGTCCACACGTATCCGTAGTTTTTTAAAAACGGAGGTTTTTTTCTCCGTTTTTGAAAAGATTTGCGTCCACACGTAGCGTATTTGAATCGTTTTCGCCTGTCCACAGGTATACGCAAATACGATTGCAATACGAAAAAAACGGTATGAAAGAGCATGCCTTCCTTGCCTTTTTATTACTCGTTTTAGAACAATTTCCCGTGACTTTGAAATAGAGATCATCCTCATAATATTAATTCGTTTTTTTAATTATTCAACGTGAACATTCAAGATGTTAATTTGTAACTCAATACATGCTATGATGCTTGAAAGAAGCCCGAGTAAAATAGCTATATAATTCTGCATCGCCATGTTGAACAAATGCTTTAAACTTTGAACCTTTGAACCATTCTTTGAACTGATGTTTTGAATTCGGCGCAAAAACGCATGCTCCATCCGGACTCGATAATACGTCATCCCGGTCATCGTATTAAAAAACCTCCGTTTTAACCGTCCACACGTAGTTGTGAAACCGGCGTTTTCAAAAAATTCCACTCTGGAAGCCGTATTAAAAAGCATCGTTTTTGGTAGGCGAAAACGCCGTTTACGTCTGGACGCAAGGACAAAACGTAGAAAAAAACCTCCGTTTTTAAAAAACTCCGGATACGGGTGGACAGGGCCTAAATTTCATGTGCAAGAAACAATGAATTTGAAGAGGTGCCTGTCTGAAGTCGTAAACTACACATATACTCTTATAGCTATTGTGTACTTGACAATACATTCATAAATTGTGGCCAGAGATTTGCAGGCGGAAAGCGAATTTTCAATATGAACATAATAGCCCAACATAAGACTTTTAAAAAAGCCACCACAATAGTAAAATAAAGAAAGATTTATTAATAACGTTTCGTCTTTAACTTAAGACATCTTCAGATTATTTGAGATAAATTATATACATGAGGTTTTAAAATACAAGCCTATATTACAGGGTGTTAAATTACATGTGAGGGGGTTAAGTGAGAATGGCGGTATATTAAAGAAGGTGAAGGGGGATTGAGTTGCCTTGGGTGTTAAGAGAGGGTTTAAGTTTGGATATAAGAAGGCTTTCATGAATCAGAAGGTCAAAATTGTCGGAGGAGGAAGAGAGAATTGAGAAGTCATTAAAATCGGCAGAGTGAGATGTATTTCTTATACGGGAAAGAACTGCAGATGGTGGTGGACATAAGGAAGGTTTCCCTGTTAAGGGAGAGATTCCCAAATGTTCCGATGTTCTGATGTGTAAATGTCGCGTGGTTTGACCCACATACGATGCAGAGCAGCATCGACACTTAAATGAGTATACAACACCAGATCTCGTAAATAACTTTATTTGTAAACGTAGATCGTGCAGGTTGACTGATGTTTCGTCATCAAGGCATGTTTAAGCTTTTAACAATGTATTATCGTGGTGTGAAAGGCTTCTTTCTAGTATTATTCGGTAATGGGCACCATATATTCGGTCGTATTTGGACTTTATACTCTTCCAGTCCTTGCACCCATTCGTACAAAACCTTAATACGCCCAAGAAAAACTCTACTTAGTTATCTGTCGAAAAATCTCTCATTTATTTACGAAATATTTCAATTAGCAATCATTGCTGTTATTACTTGCACGTACAAGTACTGGGGCGAATTAAGAATTTATACGAATCCGGCATCGTGTGAACAGAGTGCGACGACAGACAGCTGCCACTCCTGTAAATTAATTTTATTTTGCATAGAAAATTTAGTTCCATTTCAAATAAAGTTTAAATTCACATTTTTTCTTGTACATTTCAACTTATCGTGAGTAATATAGCGTTATTTTGGACTAAGACTTGCTTTCTGAACGTAAAAATTGGCAAAGTAAAGCAAGTATCAAGCAACTTTTTATAGTCATGTGATCAATCCTTCAAGTGAAAAACCTGTAACTTTCATTTGGAAGATATAAATACTTTCACACTCTGAATAGTTATGATTGCACTTACACCGCCTGAAAACCTTTATTTCCAGGGTTTTAAAATGTTTTTTTTTTAACTCAGCCTTGTTATCACGTTGAGGATACCAAATGCCAGAATGAAAACCTCCTTTACAAGTATAGAAGTTATATTTGGAGCTGAAAACAGTGATATTCTTAAAAAGGATCACAAGACGGTTATTTTAATTTAAGTTTTCTGCTTCTACTATAAATGTCCATGGAACGTACACAACATAGCTATTCTAGGATACTGCCACCTGACTATATAGAATGACGACGTTTTTAAATGACGACCTAAAAGATGACAGACACACAGATAATAAGACGCAGCCTATTTAACTATCAAAATAATAACCTTTTCCTCATCAACTGTATACTTGGTGAGCAAGAAATTTATTGACGACAACATGATTGCAATGTAAAAGCTAACAAAATAAAACAGATGGTTTAATGAAAGTTATTTTTTATGGTTGTCTACTACAGAGTTTGTGATAGTTATGTAAGTGTGCTTTCATGAGTATATGTTAAAATGAGATTATAGGTTATGTAATAGTATGGCCGTTGATATCGATGTATCGTGCTTTCTTTTTCATTCATGAATTTATACATTGTAGTGTACTTTAGTTAGTTCATTAATTTATTTCCAATCCACCTTCCAAGACATCATCTTTGATGCTGGCTCAAATCATAAAGTCAGTATTAAATGCCTTTCCAAAGTTTCCATTACTGTCAATAGCAACTACTCCTCTATGCCCATCCAGTTCATCTTGAAGTAAATTCACAGCCCTATTCGCTGCATCCTTCAAATACATATAAATTTCATGAACTTGGAATTTAATAACAATACTTCCCTACACATGATTGTCGTCAAAATTCACCTCTGACCATTGTCACCCCTATGTGAATGTTATGGCCGGTTGCTAGACCATGCTAGGTTAATACTGTATCTAATGGATGAGTCTCATCCATAGGACAAATCACCGATCCAGTAAACATTCAATTGAATCATAAGATAAAACGTCAAAACTATATATATAATCGACCAAAGCATACCTAAAAATTGTAGCTATCAGATAGTTACACGATATAGGACATGGTTCATAATTGTGTGAAACCCATAAGTTCAAATAATTTACAAATTCTGTAAAAAACTCTTTTTATTAACCTGCTCAACTAGCATTAGCTAATGATGGTTTTGTTTAATCACTGTACAGACTGTACGATACCTTCTTTGTTGAAACGAGATAAAAAATGTCCCACACCTTCTTAAATCTCACTCATGTAAAACCAACTATTCACCCTCTTGCTTCAAAGTCATCGACACTGCCGACATCTCATTCTCCCTTAAAATCAAAGAAGCACTCCACATGAACAAAACTAACCCTGACCTCAATGTTCAAGTTTTTAAATTCAATACAATATTTAGTTTATAATACGCTCGGACGCTCCCCATTAATTTATCTTATTTCCTTATTATTGTTGTAATTTATGTTATAAATCATATTACTTTTATATAAACCTTGTGTTATTTATTATTTCACTTATACTAAAGATGGCGTCATGAGATGTCGAAACAAGTCGATTTTAAAAAACTTGTCGCGTATATTAAATGCGCATTAGCAATATTTCTTTTACGAAATTATGTTTTTGATTATTGTTTTGTTTACACTTTTAGAAACACTTTGCCCATTTTATCTTTAGCTCGTGATTGACACGCAAGGTAGCAACGCACATTTGGAAGCAGTTAAAAGTTAAAGGCAGTAAACTGTAAAATACCTGGAACGCTATCTTTGAAGCCACTCATGGTCAGTAAACTCTTTCTCTCTCTCTCTCTCTCTCTCTCTCTCTCTCTCTCTCTCTCTATCTATATATATATATATATATATATATATATATATTTGAAAATTGGTAACCCAGGCATATTATGATAATGATAAGGATTCTCTGGATTTGTTTTAAATTTTTTTTTATTAAGCTTTCAACTCGGTGCTTCGAGCCTCTTCGTCAGAATGTGACAATATATTATTTACAAAGATTTTTGTAGGCGTTTGGAGCGTCTGATTGGTTGGTTGGTAGTTGAGTTGATATTATTGGATGGTATAAGATGCGTTGTCATGGTTTCGGGTGTATCGATTACGTTAATGAAATTCGAGTGTTTTATTTTAGTCGTTTTTACGTTAATGAAATTCGAGTGTTTTATTTTAGTCGCACAATCAAACGGCCGACGTATGCTCAACAAATAGCACAATCAAACGGCCGACGTATGCTGAACATCCTCATATCTGACGCTCACAACCGCTTACGAATCTACAGACGAAAATGTTCAATAAAAACGAATTATGCCCAACAAATAGCACAATCAAACGGCCGACGTATGCCGAACATCCTCATATCTGACGCTCACAACCGCTTACGAATCTACAGACGAAAATTAAACCAACATCGAGAAACTGTCACGAATCACATCACACAAACAGATGCCAAATCCATTAACGAAACTATCAAAGAAACAACAAACGCGTATCGAACAAAACGACACAACGAAACGACACAACGATTTTTGTAGGCGTTTGGAGCGTCTGATTGGTTGGTTGGTAGTTGAGTTGATATTATTGGATGGTATAAGATGCGTTGTCATGGTTTCGGGTGTATCGATTACGTTAATGAAATTCGAGTGTTTTATTTTAGTCGTTGTGTTATTAGTTTGTTGTTTTGGTTTTGTCTACAGTATCAACTACCAACCACCAATAAAAACGAATTATGCCCAACAAATAGCACAATCAAACGGCCGACGTATGCTGAACATCCTCATATCTGACGCTCACAACCGCTTACGAATCTACAGACGAAAATTAAACCAACATCGAGAAACTGTCACGAATCACATCACACAAACAGATGCCAAATCCATTAACGAAACTATCAAAGAAACAACAAACGCGTATCGAACAAAACGACACAACGAACTCCAACGAAAACTACAAAAATCGAGATCATTTAAGGAAATTAACACCGACACGCATTCATGGGTCAAGAACATATCAAGCAAACCACTCACCGTACAGCAGACTAAAATTTTAAGCAAAGGCTTAAATTACAACATCAAGGACGCCGACAAACTAGACTTCGTTGCCGATCTAGAATCATCACTAAAATTGACCAACTTAAATGATGAAATCAAAGAAGACATTCGCCACAAAGTAACAACAAACCTCTGCCTCAAAAGACCAGTCACGCTTAACAACGAAGAACAAAAAGCTATCAGAAACTTACGAAACGACGAAGACATAGTCATACTACCAGCCGACAAAGGACGCAAAACTGTAATCATGGACAAATCAGACTACATCAACAAAGCGACGACCCTCTTACAAGACACCAACACGTATGAACCTCTACAAACAGACCCCAACAAAACCACTACCAACCGCATCAACAAGAAATTAAAACAACTAAAAGACAAAAAGAAACTTAACGAAACCGTCTACAAAAGAATCCGACCCAACGACTCCTCCACCGCCAAATTCTATGGACTTCCAAAGATTCACAAAGAAAACAACCCGCTACGACCAATTGTATCTCTTCCTGGATCTCCCACGTATGAACTTTCAAAATATCTTTATAACATCCTATATCCATTAGTCAAAAATTCACCTCACACCATCCGAAATGCCACCACTTTCCTCGCCAGTATTGAAAACATTAAACTACGACCAGACGAAATCATGATATCCTACGACGTGACATCACTCTTCACATCCATACCACTGGACATTGCCAAACAAATTACAAACGAACTACTCACAAACGACAAAACTTGGCAAGCTACAACACAACTAGACAAAAAATGACATCCTAGACTTACTCAACCTTTGCCTCGCCACTGAATTCACCTTCCAAAACACATACTACAGACAAATTTCAGGCACACCAATGGGATCACCACTATCCACCTTCCTCGCAGAAGCTGTCATGCAACACCTCGAAACACAATCAGTCACAAACAACACAAACATCAAACTATGGAAAAGATATGTCGACGACATCTTTGCCATAGTCAAGAAAGACAAAACTGAACAAATCCTACACACCATAAACAATACCACAAAGAACATTACCTTTACTAAAGACGAAGAACACGACAAACAACTTACCTTCCTCGACATCCTACTAACGAGAACAGATGACGGTACACTAAACACACAAGTATACCGCAAAAACACACACACAGACCAAATACTCAACTTTAATAGCAATCACCCAACACAACACAAAATTAGTTGCATACGAACTCTCTTTAACAGGATTAAAACACACTGCAATACAGAAGAAGCCAAGAAGAATGAACGCAACTACTTATACTCTACATTCATAAACAACAATTACCCACGAAACTTTATCAACAAAGTATTAAACAAAATACACAACAAACCACAAACTGAAAAACCTAACGAAGATACAGACGAACCAGTAAAAATAGTGACATTACCATATATAAACGGAACATCAGAAATGACATCAAGACTACTCCGACCATTCAAAATAAACATCGCACATAAACCAACACACAAACTCAAATCATACTTCACTAAACATAAAGACCGAACAACGACATTCGACACAACCAACGCGGTCTACATGATACCATGTAAAGATTGCCCCAAACAGTACATAGGACAAACGTCCAAGAAAATTGAAACAAGACTCACTGAACACAAGAATGCCATCAAACGACGCGACCCAAAATCACTACCAGCAGAACATACCTACGATACCAACCACACATTTGACTGGACAAAACACAACTTCTTGGACGCGCACAGACAAAACACGCACGAGAATTCAAAGAGGCATGGTACAGCAAAGACAACAACACAATTAACAGACATATTGACATCCCCATCATCTATTCACAACTAAAGACAAAACCAAAACAACAAACTAATAACACAACGACTAAAATAAAACACTCGAATTTCATTAACGTAATCGATACACCCGAAACCATGACAACGCATCTTATACCATCCAATAATATCAACTCAACTACCAACCAACCAATCAGACGCTCCAAACGCCTACAAAAATCTTTGTAAATAATATATTGTCACATTCTGACGAAGGCTCGAAGCACCGAGTTGAAAGCTTAATAAAAAAATTTAAAACAAATCCAGAGAATCCTTATCATTATCATATATATATATATATATATATATATATATATATGGAATGATAACGACAACACATTTTATAGATATAAAATTGAAGCCTATGTCCTAGTCTCTAGCGCGGTTTGTACGTCAGTTCCAATCCTTCAAAGTCGAATATTCACGCGGTTTGTATGTCAGTTTCATTCCACTGAGTGGCAAACATACACGCCAAAATAAATTTGAATACAAATTGCAAAACCATAAACATATAAACAACATCTCGACAAACAACACACGAGGCCAACTCTTGGCAAAAGGTTATTTTTACAGCTAAAACTTTGCTACAGTGAGTTTGTTGTAAATTACAACTAGTAACGAGGAAAAGCCAACTGAAAATTACACTGTATGCTAAAAAGACAATACAATAGGAAAATATGACAGAAAGTATTCAAGCAAAAATTTTTCCTACATGGGAAGGTAAATTTTCAAACAGTGTCAGAAAGTGTTTGTCTTTTTTTGTCATTTCAGTGGATTTAAAGATCTGTTTTTCCGAAGAAAAAATCAATTTGAATATCCAGTTTCGTAAAAAATATTGAGTCCATCGCATTTTTTCTTTTTACAGAGCGATTGTCATTTTCATCGATTTTGATGGTGCTTGAAATGCTAAATGATTGTCATCTCGATATTAATAATTGAATATTCCTTAAAGACTTTGATATGTTTTAAAGGAAAACCACAGCTTAAGAGCAGATCGACTGTGTATGACAAAAATATATAGAACCTATATTAAAGATGTTTTCATTCTAAATGTAATTTTGTCGAATAAAAATTCATAGCAACAAATCCTTTTAGTTTATTTGAAAACGTAATAATACTTTTGCACTGAGGATGATGTAGAATTAAAATAAATATAATTCAAAAGATTTTCTTCATGAAGATAAAACTGACTAGTAAAATGAAATCAACTGAAGTCAAACTAAAGATCTAGGATCCGAAAAAATACAAATTGTTTATAAACACGCGAGAAACACAAGTGATGACGAATGATGACAACAAATATTTTTTTGGCTTCAATCATTGAGTTCTATAATAACTGGAGCGGCTATCTCAAGTGCGGCCATAGATATCTGATGACGTCAACAAAATGGCGGATTTCGTCCTTTGCCGCTGAGATTTACCGAAATTGACCGCTTTTCCAAAAATTTCACAATTTCCCACTCCCTCCCGAGGAAAGAGTGAGGAAAATGTATGTGTGTATTTGGGATTCGGCAAGCAATTTTTTGATGAAAATCAACGTAAACACCTTAAATTCATAACCGCGAGTCAACTGTGGTTGTCAGTTATCTGCTCCTACGAGGATGCATTTATAACTGTCGACGAAAGAGCTATATTTCGGCTACCATGGCCTACTCAAATTTACAGGGCCTGATATCTTGCCATAGCAAGGCCAAAAATGCAAGGCCATTAAGGCATTCACGATTTCTAAATGATTTCGACTTCTACCACTTATATGCGAAATCGGATTGGAGTATATACTAGAGATCAAGTGTCTCAGAGACAAGCAAGACATTTGCATGCTGAAATTGAAACAAAAACTCGAGTTGAAAGTAGATGCCTTTTAAAAAACGCAGTCTCGGTTAATATAAATAAATTTACATCAATTGCCTTTGGAACGCTTGCTTTGCTTTAGTGCAACAACTCGGTCTTTGACAACAGTCTCTTTTCGCCTTTTCCTCTGATTGTTGAGGAAGACGTTACAAATAATTCTTATTGCCCGGTTATTGGCGATATCTTCGTGCTGCTCGCAGACGAACCCTTCGTTACACAAAACGGTTTTCAAAAGATCCTCCGCAACAAATCGCGATGGCAAGCTAGAGTCTTGAATAATATTTGCTGCTGCATTCAGCAAATCCATGAGCAACAAAATTACACTTAGTAGTTGCTCACAGCAACAAATGCAAAGCTTAATCAGCTTTTTTGCAATGTACCCAGGAACGTTATCAGAAATTTCCTTAGAAGCATCCGTCAAACATGTCCTAGTAGACTCAGATATTATTGGCTGCACGGAGTCTCTAAATTCTGCTACTTTTTCCGGTGATTTTTCATCGGTGACTTTGACCCGATCATCAATATCCAGTCGTTCCTTCACAAGGCTTCTTATTTTTAGAATATTTTCCTTAGAATACCACATCTTTTAAGCCGACCAAAAAACGACCACCACTCATTTGGCGGTACTGACCATACCGTTTTTCCAAAGGATCACTCTGGAAGCGCGAAGTCAGGACATATGAATAACCCTTACTTAAAAGTTCTTCAATTAAAGCAGCATGGCAGCGAAGGGTGCATCGAAGCGCATGACTAGTTTGAGCAGTAAGATTGAATTTGTCGCAATTCGGCAATTTAAGGTTATCCCACTCGTCAATCCAATCTGCAATGGCTCTCAAGAATTTGGGTTTTTTGTCATTGAGAACTGCAGCATTCCCAAGGCGATTAGAGGTGTTAAATCGGGATTTTGAATTTGAAATTGTCCACCAAACATCAACAAGGTGCAGGAAACTTGCAGCGTCGTCGGCTTTGTCAGGAAAATATTCTTGTTCGTCCATCGCGAGCGATGATGACCTTGACCAGTTAACTCAAGTACTAGAAGATTGGGTACGGTGAGTTCTGAGGTGGCTAATGAGCCCAATCTTGGCACGGAATGTTCTTGAACACGAAGGGCAAACCAGAGATGCATCTGATGTTGAAGCACTGGCTGCTCTTGATTTCCGCAGCTCACGTTTCTGTTTGGCGTCCACAGTCCGCCTTTCTTCTGATGCTTGACAGCCCTTAAAGATGAGATCGCGCCAGGTTGATCGGTTCCCTGCAAGTTTGTCCCATGTTGCGGTGTTGATGTTAAAGGACTTCAGTGAGGTCTTTAATGTGTCCTTGAACCGCTTCTTCTGGCCTCCGACTGATCTTTTGCCGTTGGAGAGCTCACCATAAAGCAGTTGCTTAGGTATCCGCTCATCTGGCATGCGAGCAATGTGGCCTGCCCAATGTGGCCTGTTCATACAAGAATGATGAAATGCAAGTAGATATGTTATAGCAAGGCTAAAGCTACGGGTACATTCTGTTTACAATTTCCCGGGTGTAAAACCTTCTCACTAAGTTTAGGCGCTGCCCTTAAATTTGCCTCAAATTTCTGATCTTTCTCGTACACCTCATGAAGTAACCGCCACGAAATCTCTCCTCCGCTTACTGAAATAGGGTCATAAAACCCAGTAAAATTGAAAGTAGGAAAAAGAAACCTTCAGCAAATTATTTCTGATGTTCTTCGCCAGGTGAACAGAGTCGAAAAACAGATAGGACTTCTGACTATTCAGTGTGATATACAGATCATCAACACCGGCGCCACACGCAGAGGGCAATTCCTTGTATGAATTGACGTTCGAAGAATGATCATCCGATACAATTCCTCTGACACGGAATCCATTGTCTTGAAGTAGTTTCAAACAGGCTAAAAGCTCGTCTTTAAACGATTTCCCAGTTATTTGTTTCTCGGGAAGGGCTTTGACAACATATGGAATGTTACTATTTAATCCAACGATCATGAAACATACCACACTTTTATACAGCTCACCTTGTTCATCTGCGCCATATGATTCACCAGCAATGTACTCCTCGCACTTCTGAAGACACATTTCATCCACGATCAGAATCACATCATCAGAAATACTGCCGTTGTCTTTAAGAAGGTTCGCAGCTTTCAATGCATCGATCTTCCCAGCTGTTATTTGCCGGAGGAGGGAAACAGATGGCAATTTAAACTCTTCTTGCAGCAGTTTGTAAGTCTGTAGAGATGTATAACGTAACAAGAGTGCATACCCGAATCATATTTGCTGAATACACAGGGCTCTTCAGATATTTCAACTTCCTTAACTCTTCCAAAACACCGCTACAGGATAAGCTCTTTTGTTCAACATAGGCAGGGAAATCGTGGAGCATACTTTTACTCGTCAATTTACACTGACCTCTACGAAACCACTCGAGTAAAGAAAGCAGGGCACCTCGGTGGTAAAGGCATACGCGCAGATCAACATCCACTCGGATGCAAACTGTAACTTCAGGCACAGATTGTTCATTCTTTTCCATTTTGAAAAAAATGGCATGGTCGTCATGGCGAGAAAACGAAAACTGGTGACCAAGTTCGTGGAGCAGTGAGTCGGTAATGTCACCAAAATCTTTTGATTATGTCAAGGTGCTTGAACTTGTCAAACTCATCTTCCCGAAAAATGCGTTGAGTCGGAGAATTTCGAAGCTTTGGGATTGAAGTTTGCAGTGAGGGACGATCTTTCAGGCTCTCTGGATGGATGGTTGGAATCGGCTTCATTGACTTGATGAGGCGAGGATACTTGGTGTTTCGCTGAATATACTTGTCCACGAAGTGATGTTCGCATATAAACTCGGATTTCAGTTCAGCGGTGTCATGAGCTACTTTGTTCAAGAACAAGTGTAAATTTGAGTAGGCCATGCGGCTACACATGTATGAATGCAGATGTGTGTCGTTGTTTTACCAGCGTCAAACTTGTTTGATCGATTTACGGATTTTCTGTAATTGAGTTTCATATCAAATTTCAAAAAGACTCAAGTCTGCATAGGTTTTTTAAATGAAAACAAACAATATTGTATAGAAATTACTTCAAGTAAACTTTTTGTGATGTTCTGAAGTGCAACTGCATCAAATACTTGTAAAGTTGTAGCACAATTTGATTTTGTTGTATTGATATATGAATTGGGCAAAATGCAAATAATCATCAAAACACTTATGCTTCCAATAATGGAAGCATAATTCAATCAATTGTTTAATTCAATTGTGGTTTTAATACTTCTACCCTTCTTTTTCACTTTGTTTTGTTTTTCCTACATTTGCAAGTGCACAATTTGAATGATTAACACAGTTTTCACCTTAATAATAAATTTCATAAGCAGTTGATAGTGCATTTTGTTCTCTGAGTATCCACATCTGGTGTTTTGTTCATACATGAATGATGAAATGCAAGTAGATATGTTATAGCAAGGCAATAAAACCTAATGAATTAAATACCTTTAGTGTACTTTCATGCTAGAAGCTTAAAAGCTTTTTCGAAATTATCAAGTTATTGCATTATACTACCTCTATATAATCAATCTCATGAAAAGAAATAAGAAGCAAAAAATTGTAGTAAAGCTTTGAAATTCGAAAAATCACGCAAATCATCCAAGTTAGATTGTATGTCTCGCAGTGTTACAGCGACAGCTTGACTAGTAGTTTCCATAGTTCAATTCTTCCGCAAAATAATTAATATCATGAATCACGAAATGATTCGTTATACGTTGAAGTAAAGGTTGAATCAATGAGTTGTTCAACGAGACAGTTACATAAGTAGTGGAAAATTGTAAAATGTATTTGCTGTTGCCATAAAAAGTGACAAAACTGAGAGAATGTTGTAGATTTTAAATATGGCATAAAAACGCATTTCGTGTAAATCTGCAGCTCAACAGTCCGTAGCAAAGGGTCATTTAGAAAACCAGACAATGGGACTTGGATAGTGTCGTTCCATGTCTTTAATGAAGATTATTATACAGTTGAAATTGATTAGCAGAACATTTTATGACTCTTTATGATACTCAATGCATTTAGTTATCAAAAAGCGACCAAATTTGTGTTATTGCAGGAAAAAAATCCTGCCATGTAATAAAATGGACACCCAAATTGTGGAAAATTGTAACTTTGCTTGTTTGATTAGTTCAACTTAACTGTGCGGAATGTTTTGCTGGATTTAAAATGCTGGCATAAATCACATAATCAACTATATATTTAATCAAATATAGATATGAGCGTCAGGGGCGTAACTATACTTGAAGTAATGGGGGGGTGTGGAGAAAATTTGCCCTGCAAAAGGGCGTTGCCCACAAAAACCCCTTAAATCATTATGGCTAGCAAATTATAATCATTTCTATTATTGCATACGTTGTTTATTAGTAAACATTATCGAAGATTAGGTTTCTAACACATACATTATTACAAAACCTGTTTTTAATTTGAAATATAAACCTTAACCGTTTCGGACATAACAGTAAAACAATGTATATTTGTTCTCATATCAAGAGTCTTAAGTGAGAATCATCTCAACGCAGTCTTGAGATGTTGCTTTTTACTTGAATTTTAATCTGAGTTTACGGTTTTTTCTGGCTGCCCAAGATTTTAGTACTACATCCAGATGAATTGTATCTGTTAAATCCTTCTCGCTTGAGAGGACAATGAGTTCTTCCATCCTTTCACCTTTCATTGTTGAACGCAAATAATTCTTGACAATTTTCATTTTGCTGAATGATCTTTCAATATCAGCCACACTTACTGGTGCAGTAAACAGAAGTTTGTAACATTTATAAACGTTTGGGAAAATTTCTTTATTTTTGAAAGCAGTGTTTCCGGCGTCGTGGACTGTCTTACATTCTTTCTCTGTCTCATTTACAAAGTTAACAAAAATCTCAAGTTCTGCATACAGTGACATACAATCTACGCTAATTGATGGAGGAAAAAGTTTGGTGACCTTTTCAACTTGTTCAAAATTTGGTTTAGTCAGTCGAGGCTGAAGGATAACAGCTAAGGGTTTTATTTTTTGCAAACAACTTTTTATGTTATCTCCATATTCTCTGATGAGGGAATCGAGGACCTCAATCATGCATTTTCGATAATTAGTTTTTAGTGACATAATTGCCAAAGTCTCAGGGTTGTCATCCAAACGTCTACTTGATCTTTTATTACTCTTTCTAGCAAACTCTTCCTCGGGATTAGAGCCTAGAGTCTTCGCAAACTCAACACTCGCATCTATTTGGTCATTCAATTCCGATTCATTGTGCCGTATTCTTTCCAGTGATCTAACAGTTTCATCAATCAGTTGAAGACCATCAAGGATATTGAGCTCTGGCTTCTGCATCTGTACTGTCAGGATCTTGGTCTTTCTCATGATAAACCTCATAAACATAACTGCAAAAACAAACTCAAATTTGACCATTTTCTTACAGAGCGAGGTTGCTTTGGTTCTGGTTAATGAGTTGTTGTCAATTTTTGCTATTTCCGCTAAGGCATTTCGTATGGCTTCAAAAGATCTCCATACCGCTTCAATTGATTCACTTCTATACACCCTTCTCGTCTTTGAGAGATTGCGCAATTTAAGAGCATTTTCAATTTTTTCCATATGTTCTTGCAACATAGAATCTCGTTTACAACTTCTGCTGAAAAAAACATACAGCTCTTCGAGCAAGCTATACATCTCAACAAATTTAGAGGCCTTTGAGCAATGCTCATTGAAAGTGTTTGATCTAAAAACATATAATTGAAAAATTATTCAACGCAGAGACTAGTCTTAAAAATATTTAAAAAGATATAGTTAATGCCTAAGTAATTTATACGGCAATGTTTAATGCTGTGCATTTGACACATACCTATGGCCTTGACATGGGATGTATGGAATGTTGCGTCCAACCATTTCCTGCAAATGTTGTTGAACTCCATTAAAAGTCCCAGACATTGAAGCTGTGTAGTCGTAAGACTGATACACTAACCCATTGTGACAAATAGGTAATCGTGATTTAAGGGAATCAAGAATCTCTTTTGCTTGGCCTTCACCTGTTTTATTCCTTGTTTCTTTCATCTCCAGTATTCTCTCGTTGGGCACGTTGTTTTCGTCAACGTAGCGCACTGCCACTACGAGGCGGTCCGCATTTGAAGTGTCAGGAGACGTGTCGGCCATGACTGAGTATATTTCAGATGAAACGATATCTTTTACGATGCGATTCCTTACGTCTTCAGTCAAAAGGCTAATAAACTCATTTTGTGAAATAGGTGATAGGTATTTTACTGAATAAGGTTTCATGTTCTTGTCTGACAGCCATGACTGAAGTCTAGGGTTATGCCTGGCAACAAGATTTGATATTTGGATAAAGTTTCCCTCGTGCTTTTCATTATGCCCTCTGAAAGCTAGCTGTTGTCGTGCCAATGTTCTTGCGATGTCTAAAAGGATCTTTATAGCTTCTTGGTTTCGCAAATTGTTTTCTTCTTCTTGTATTCTTACTTCTCTTAACTTCTTTTCCAACATTACATCGACGTTTTTCATATTGCATGCAAAGTGTGCCAAATCACTCAAAGCAATTTTGTGGGATTCGGAAGAGAAATGCTGTTGCATCTTTCCTTTTTTATCTTTACCCACGCTTCTCATCTTATCCCATGATCGAATTATTTCCACTTAGTAATCAATTAGTTGTTTTCGATGGTATGTCAATTTTTCTACTTCCTGAACACTGCCCTGCCACTTGACGGCAATATGCCTTGCAAAAACACTGTTTTCAGCAATTGGGGGGTGTCACACCCCCCACACCCCCCAACAGTTACGCCCCTGATGAGCGTAAACTATGGAGAGAGCTTTTCTCATCCTATTTTTCTCATCATTTTTGATGAGAAAAATAGGATGAGAAAAACGTCATAAGCAAAGCGCCATAAGCAAAGTGTGTAAAAGGTGTGAAACTAAGACGAATGTAAATCAAATTGATAAAATCTATGACCAATGCTCCACATTACTAATCGAGCGATTAAATTTTTCATAACGTTGGAACAGAAACGTGTGAACTTCATTAATTTAGAAAGATTGTCTCAGCTACAGATCGTGTGGTTGATAAATCCATCGAAAGAGGTTGTGAAAAAAAAATATCAAGAATGAATTTGTTGCACTGTTTGACATGTATATGGAAGGGGACAAGGTAACATTCAAATTACCAATGAATAATTTTGCCCTTTAGTTTCATGTGCTGTCATCACACATAGTTGCACGCAGCACCTTTTCGTAAGCGACGATTATTCAAAAACTTTTAGAAACATAAATTAATTTCACATACATGACAATATCTTTCATTTATTAACGAAAGTTGTTAAATTGAGTTAATAATTCTCTTCAACAACAGATATTTGTTTTGATGTTTTTAAAGGATTTGTCACTTAAACTGTACGATGTCGTTGTCAGATATCTTGAATTAGGCACTTGGCAATTTCTTCGAGATTTTTGAAGAGACTTTCAACTGAAAAAGGTCATGGCACACTGTATGTTAGTTTTTGCAAGGAAAAAAGGAGAAGAAGAGAAAAGAAAGAAAGTCAAATTAATAAGTGACATGATAAATGATCGAAGCCCCTAAAGAGATCATAACATGTCCTCTTGCAGGCTATGGCAATTGAAATAAAGGAGAGAATTTTGATTAGGCTTTACAAGAAAAAGGAATTGGAACAGCTTAGTGTTGTATACGGCATCCAATACATGGATAAGTGGAACAAATACAGACTTGCCAAAGAAGTGTTTCAAAGCATAACCACATGTGGGGAAATGGTATGTATCATCAAAAAAATCCAAAGCGTAATTCAACTCACGAAGGCAGTCGTCAGTAATATGAGATATGTCCTGCTTTGTGGAAAAATCTCTACCATTTTACTTGTTTGGCGGAGTAAACTTATCGTGAAATCTAGCCTTGAAGGATCTTTGTTTTCTAGGGTTTAAAGGTTGTCTTTATATGCCTAGAAAAAAACCGTATTTTTGCCACAAACAACAAAATGGGTTCCATAAAAACAATTCTCCCATGTACATCTTTAATTATTTATACTGTCTTGATTTATATTCTAACCTGCACGAGAAATAACATTCGTTTGTCCCTAACATCATCTGCCAACGCTTCTGAATGAGGCAAGAACGGTTGCCTTTATCCAACAGTAAGCTTCATCCCAGTGAGACCAAAGAATTTGCTTTTCATTTATAACAAGACGTCTTTTTCCTTGTGGTGAGCAATTTTCAACGTTGTTCCTAACCTTCTTGGTGTCGTGCTATATTGAACAAAAAAAAATGAGCTTGATTTGATGTATTATTAAAAACACAATTCAATGTAAATATAGCTCTGCAAATTAAGTATATCTTGCAGTCCAGAAGAAATATCAAATTCATCACTCAATAAGATGAATTTTAGAAGGTGTGTTGCTAGCTCTACAAAAAAATGACCTAAAAGTTAATGTGATTTTATTTAAATCTTAAATTGTCTAAATTAACAGATGTAAACTTTATACATAAACTTTATAATTAAAAAACTTGCGTGTTTTTTTAACAGATTTCATATTTCCCGTTGAATTGTAAAAACTACCAAGAGAGGCTATTCCAGTCAAATGATGACAACCACCTTTGACAAATAAATTTTGAAATAACATTGCCAATCAGATAATGAGCAGTAGATTATACCCTAAATCCTTGAATCAGTTTTGACTTATGTGGTCGAAATAAAATTATTCCTTTCCTTGTTATGGTGGTGAGTTAGAAGTATTAGATTAATTATATTTCTAACCTAGATCTTCATGTTGTCTAAAACCAAGCCACCTCAATAATCTTGTTCCTGTAAATTTTGCCGTCCAGCTTCTTCTTTGCACTACGAAACAGATTCTCAATTCCAACATCGACTTAAGCAATCCAGCGCCTTTTGGCTTTTCAAAATATATCAACAGCAAATCTAACAGTCCTCCCAGTTGTGAAACAATTCAATAGGTAATAATTAGGATAAAAAGTAAAAGCGTTCACAAGACTTTACAACTTTAAAGCCGGTTACAAACCAGCAATTTTTTGTGACAAGTTTTATTTCACAAGTTTTTATTGAAAAATTCACGTCTGTACAGATACAATATTTTCATTGGCAAGCATTGTTATGACAATGATTTGTGGCTCATGTGAACGTGTCAACAAGTTTAAATTGTCAAGTATTTTCTTAGCCGGCGATAAGTTGGTATAGCGTAACGCGCGCAAAAAGGCACCTGTTTTGAAACATAAAAGAAACATAGCGTATGCCGGTTTGTCTAGAGAACAAAAGATGTTAGCTTGTGGAATTGGTATGACCCTGCCAATTCAGTATGAATTTCTGAAGCGGCATATCAATTGAAGGTGGTGGTCCAGACCCTGGGCAACTGAGCGTCATAGAGTATCGCAAGGGTTTGCCAGCAATCTAGTGTCAGAGCTTCGAAAAACGAATGATGGCAGCTTTCACAACTTTTTCCGGTTTGTCGTGATTATCATCGCATTATGTAGAGTGTGTTGTGAATATATTTGTTTTCGCACTTATAAGTGTTTCATTCCTATGCATTTCGCATGTCTGTCTCATAAATTTTAGAATTCGTTCCTCAAGTGTGTGAAGTCATTTATGAAGTTCAGGACACCGGCTACATGCGATTACAAACATCCACAACACAATGGCTGCAATCGGTTTTCGAATTCCAATCTAAATGGCGGTTCCCTCATGATGTAGGGGCAAACGATAGGAAACATATTAGTTTGAAAGCTCCACCTAACACTGGCAGTGAGTTCTTTAATTACAATAAAAATGAACATTGGTCAAAATGCATCTACTTAGGGACACACACATCTTTTGACCCACGTCCAGTACCTTCTGAATACTTTACTTTCCTACCTTTTTCTCTGTATGTTGTTATTAAACTCTGGATTTTGCCTAGACATTGCACAGGGACATTGCTACCGGAGGGTATAGGGGTGCAACACCCCCCAATCAAAAATTAAAACAAAAATCAGGTAAAAAGTCATGTAAAAGTCAGGTAAAAGTCATGTGGTAACGATGCTGATATAAATTATCACTAAAACAAACATTTAGATAATTCCAACTTGAAACTGCTGCGTCGGTTGCCAGTCATGTAATATGTAAGAGTGGGCATAATTTTGATGCCAGTTAAAATTTTAACATTCAAAATGTATTGTAATAATACATTTCAAAGCTATTTATCACTTATGTTCTTACATATTACAAAATCATAGCCAGGCACATGATTTCAGAAATATTAGTGAGCGTCGACCACTGTATGAACATCTAAAATGTTATTTATACTATTTACAATTTTATACCTTTCAAACTCGCAATATCAATGCCAGGAACGCCGTTTCTTAAGATCTCAAGAATCTCTTCATAGTCTATTTTCTTTTTTTTTCCCTATATTCCTCCGACTTAACACTCCACAGACTTTCTCTTTTACTCGAAGCAATTCTAAAAGAGTGGTCGTTGCTTGGTCTGTCCAGTGGTATCATCTGGTAGACTGTAACAACGGGAAACGTTTGCTCAAAATTGAACAAGCCTAAATCGTAACAAATTATGTATATTTTAATCAAAAAGGACTTCTTACATGCTAAATTTGCATTATCTTTTGTCTTGACACCTAACTTCAAATTACCATCAGAAGAAATATCTTATTTCAAGCTACAAATTTGAATGGAGTTGCTACAATTTCTCCTCGCTTGCTTTGAGAGGGAACTTTTTGCTCAAGACATAAAACATTTGTAGCCTTAATTTCATAATTGGTAAATAAATATTTGGCTCATCTCCTGTATGTAATGTGTTTGTAAATATTCAAATGCAACAGTTTCTCCTTTGTCAAACATGGACTTCGTGTCATCACAAATTGTAGCAGTTGCAACGGCTCCACTTGCAAAATGAACAAGATTTCATGTCTTTCGTCAAAAGGGTTGGTCATAGATTTTATCAATTTGATTTACATTCGTCTTAGTTTCACACCTTTCACACACTTTGCTTATGGCGCTTTGCTTATGACGTTTTTCTCATCCTATTTTTCTCTCTTGGTAGTTTTTACAATTCAACGGGAAATATGAAATCTGTTAAAAAAACACGCAAGTTTTTTAATTATAAAGTTTATGTATAAAGTTTACATCTGTTAATTTAGACAATTTAAGATTTAAATAAAATCACATTAACTTTTAGGTCATTTTTTTGTAGAGCTAGCAACACACCTTCTAAAATTCATCTTATTGAGTGATGAATTTGATATTTCTTCTGGACTGCAAGATATACTTAATTTGCAGAGCTATATTTACATTGAATTGTGTTTTTAATAATACATCAAATCAAGCTCATTTTTTTTTGTTCAATATAGCACGACACCAAGAAGGTTAGGAACAACGTTGAAAATTGCTCACCACAAGGAAAAGACGTCTTGTTATAAATGAAAAGCAAATTCTTTGGTCTCACTGGGATGAAGCTTACTGTTGGATAAAGGCAACCGTTCTTGCCTCATTCAGAAGCGTTGGCAGATGATGTTAGGGACAAACGAATGTTATTTCTCGTGCAGGTTAGAATATAAATCAAGACAGTATAAATAATTAAAGATGTACATGGGAGAATTGTT